TGTTATTGTTGCTGCTTCTGGCTTCGTCTTCGCCGTCGAGGGCGTGGGCAGGCCGGTCTGTGGCGCCGGGCGCACGGGCGTGAAGCTGAGCATGTCGTTGCTGAGCGACTTGGGCTCCGTCGTGAGCTGCCGCGCGGCGCTGGCGGCGCGCGACGCCCGCATCGCGGCGCTGCAGGAGCGGGTGGCCATGCTCGAGAACGCGCGGCGGCTGGACCGGGAGCGCGTGCGCGAGGTGCGCAGCGGCCTGCGGGCGCTGGCGGACGGCGCTGGCGACGGTGGTGGCGGTGGTGATGCTGTAGCCGGAGGTGGCGGGTGAGAGTGGTGACGAGAGACAGGGAGAGGAGGAAGATGACCGGCGAGAGACCTGGGAAATGGGATATGGGAACTGAGAGAAAGTTATTGGGAGAGAACCTTGCGTGCATGTACGATGTATTTTCTGCTTTGTATTTCAGGGTTGCCTGGAAAGAGGCGGACCAAGATCAGATAGATACCCCGGGGGCTGCACAGACAAGCTCATTTGTTCTTATTAAACATCACGATGGACAACACGTTACATATCTCACATGAGGCCAGTCCTCAAAGGATAGAGATATGATATTTTATTCAATTCTCTAAGTCGCTACTCGGGTATTTCCTTCCTGGTTTCGTAGGGAGAGGAAGTCGTCGACATCGTCACGGCCGTCCCACTTCCCCCTTTTTTGTTTCCATCCCCCGTCCTCCTCCTCCCCCCTTTCCCAAGTTGCGTTGCATCTTCTTCTCGAGGATGCGCTGTTGCTGGATTCATGATAAAAAGATGGTCGACTGGGCGCGCAATTCGCAACCTTTCTGCACAGCGGGGGTATCTATGCTTTAACACACAATAATGAAGCAAGCCCTTCTCGTTTAGCCCCCTTTCGCTTCGGTTTTCAAACAACTGGCACTGATATACCTGCCTCCTCTACAGACACGCACCGTCGTCCTGCTGCTGCGGTGTTTCGTAGTTCGTCCACGGTTCACCCCCCTAGAACCTCTTTGAGAAGCGAGAACCTTTGACGGGAGCCGGCAGGCACGACGCAAATTGGTCTCGATCTGTGGAGAAAAGGACAGATCATGTCAGCTGGAAGTCCATATTCAACTAGAAATCCCGTCCTATTGTGCAAATCACTTACCCTTCTCACTTTCAAATATGATGGTGATGTCGTCGTGCTCTCCCGGCAGCTCCGGCATGTCGAGGCACACAAAGGCGGCATCGTTGTCTATGGGGCCGCCCTCCTCCGCCGCCTTCCTCGGCAGCGGGAACTTGGCGTCGTCGATCTTGAGGCCCGCCTTGCCGCTGCGCCCAAACGTCTCGAAGACGTCGGTGCCCTTGAGCACGAGGCCCATGCAGTGCCCGTGGTGAAAGTCCTCGAAGAAGGCGAGGAGCTGCACGACGTTGTCCTGCTCCACCAGCTGGAGGCGGGTCGCGCCCGCCTCCCACTTCTTGTAGATGGGGACCACCATGCGGCGGCGCGAGATGGCAAAGGTCGCGGCGATGCCGTCAAAGAGGACCTTGTGCCCAGTCAGGGCAGCTTCAAACGCGTGCAGGTCCTTCAAGGTGGCAAACTCGTACGTGCGGCACGTCTGGCTCTGCTGGATAAGGTTGAGGGCATCAGCGAGCTCGCCGGGTAGTTCCCGGGCCACTTGTGCCTCCGCAACTGCCATGGTCAGGTCCTTCTGTGGTTGGCGCAAGACGGTAAGTGACTGCGCATTGTTCACGTTCAGCCTGATCTTGAACTCGCCGGGGGCAACGTTGATTCTGTCGGTGATGGTGCCGTTCTTGAACTCCACGACCATACGAAGTCTGTCCGCCAGGACCACATTGGACTGCCCTGTGCCACTAGCTGCATTTACAACCCGGACTCGTTGTGTCGGGAGCTTCTGAAAGACGGGTATTCCGCTCTTCTCGTCAAAGTTCTTCGAGACGGTCATAGACACCAGGGGCACTTCTGTAACAACTTCTTCGCCGGGACGTAGCGCCGTACCTATCAGGAGGCTATGCAGTAGGACGCGTTCTTCGTCGTCGTGAAACGACAGGACCATGTTGCCATGAGCGCGCCCGTTATCGTAACCGAGCAGCAAGGCCGGGTCTCCCTTCTCACCCCTGAGAAATCCAAACTGGACCGGGGTTTGGGCAAGATAGGCATGATTTACGCCGCACATTGTTCTCGTTTTGGTGCCGGCGACAACAGCGACCCGGTATCCCCTATGAAACAACCGCGGGCCTGTTGCCGCTCCCTCCTTGTGTATTCTCTCGAAGATGCCAATCTGGCAGTCCGACACCGATTCCTTGGGAAATTGTCTCGAGCTTGGATCCGGGTCGAAATATTGAAAGGCTTTGAGAGTGGTGTTGAAAATTGGCTGTTCGTCGTTGCGCGGGTACAGTGTGGACTGGACCTTGTTGCCAAAGTCATACATGCTCCAGAGTAATTTGAAGTCGTGAGGAGTCAAGCGGATCGCGAGCATAAGGTTTCTCGGGAGCGCAATTTCGAGGCTAGACGCCTCTTTTCGCCACCGGACATCATCCCAGGTAGAGCCCTTGTTCTTCTTTGATTGTACTCGAAGCTGCACCGTGCCATCCTGACTGGAGAGGACGAGAACCAGGGTCGCCTGGTCTAGTGGACGGACCATGGACATCAAGCAGGGGAGATAGAAGTTTTGGGATTCAACGCCTTGTTCCATCAAGAAGACTTCGGCTGGCATGCGGCCAAAGTTGAATGCCTGCGGAGTGTCACCGAGCGGGAGAGCTTCCAAAATAGTCATCGGCGGGACGAGTGTCTGTGAGGAGGCCAGCGCGGAGACCCAGCTGCCCCAGAGCAAAGCAACGACATCCCTGCTGAGAGAAGGGTACTCGATCCAGATCGACTTTTCGATAGTCTGGGGTAAGAACGCCTCCTCGTCGGGCAGAAAGCCGTTTCTCTGCATGGACCCCGCCAGCTTCCGTAGATTCGAAGTGACTGCTCGGCGGACTTCTTGAACCTCACCATCGACAGGGGTCTGCTTGGTGTCCAGAGTCTCGGGGAGAATCTCTTCTGAAAGCCAGTAGCTCTTTGCAAGGTCTGCGTAAGCTTGTTGACGCGACATCTCAACAGCATTCTGCGCCTGCGGGCTGGCAGGCCGTTCCCTAATCACAGACTCGAGAGCCATTCGCCCTTTCAAAAACCACCACAATGCAGCTCGTGCCATCATTTCAGAGGTACAGGACGATAGGGGGACGCGAGTTTCGGAGTGTAGGCGGAAAAGCTCGAACAAGTGCCGGGTGCGCACCACAAAAGTATGGAAAGCGTCATCGTTAGGATCAGCCAGGGTCGCTTTCTGGGGTGAAGATGGCGATCCATTGCCCCTGTCCGAAATCTTGCTATTATTTCTGGACACACTGAAGGGGTGGCTGAAAGTGGATGCGGCGGATTGCACCGAAGCCGGACTGTGGTCCAGGGGGGAGATCCTCAGTCGGATATCCGGTTGGTTGGGTCGCGCAAGCTGGGCTGCGGGCATCATGGGAGAACGCTGAGGAGAGGGGAGAGGAGATATGTTCGCTGGTTGTACGACCTGCCTTTGAGGCGACGTTTGCAGATTTTGGGGTGGCTCTGCCGACAGGGAGCTGCGCGGCGCCGCATCCTCGACCATGATAGGAGGCGGTGATGCTCTCTGCGAAGGAGGCATGTCCTTCAAGGGCGAGACTGGCGGCTGTCTCGATTCGAGCTGCTCTTCCGCCCCAGTGCTCGCAGAACGCACCGCTTGCGCGAAAGCGAGACCCTCTGCCTCTCGCTGTTGCGCCTGGTGAACTTCGATAAAGGACCTTCGCTTTTCGTCCTTTGAGACGACAGGAGAGTCGAGAAAAGGCGCCGAGGCAGGCTGACCTGCCGGAACAGCCCTCTCCGGGGCATCTGAGATCGAGCTGTAGCCAGTCTGTGCTCGCCGTAGCATCCCAGGCCTGAAATCATCGTTGTCATCACCTTGTCTGACGTCTGAGTGGGCTCGGGATTGGAGGTCCGTTGGCCTATGTAGAGTCGCGATTGGGGCTGACTTTGCCCTCCTCCTGTTGCCTATCTCGACCACGGGGATCTCCGATTCATCGCCTCCTTCGCCGATGATCTCGGGGAATGTATCCACGAAGCGGACGACGAGGCCTTTGCGCCGTCTTGCGTGGGGGCTGTGTGTGCGAGGTCGCAGGGAGAGCCCTTGCTGGGCAGGATCCTGGACATTGAGGGCATTGGGATATCGGGTGGCACTGGTGATATCGAGCTTGGCTAGAGGCGGTGGAGCTGCATGGTTGACTTGTAGGACATCGCCAGGCCCGTGGAGGAAAGCGTCGAGCTCCCCTTGGCGCTGCTCGTTGGATACTTTTCGATCTCGGCTCCCCTTGAAGAGCTTCCCCATGGCCAGGCGGCCTTTCTTGAGTCGTCCTTCATCGTGGGTCGGCGCTGGAGCAAATGGGTCGTTTTCCATAATTTGGTGCAGGTCGAGACGTGCGTTTCAGTGTTGCATTCGGTGCGCTGCAAGTTGTCCTGCTGGAAGGTCAGCAAGCGCACACAGATATATGTAGGGCAGCTTTTAGGACCACGCCGACATGCCTATACACATGAATACGAGAAATGATCACGGCTATAGCCGTCTAGGCGGTCCTTCCACTTGACAGCCGGCCCACATGTGATGAAGGGGGCTTCGATCTCACGAGCTGGGAAATGGAGTTGGGCGTCTAACAAAGGTGGATAAGGAGCAGGATGCCTCCTTAGCAGGTAGGCGGGGTTAACTAGATACAGCGTCGCAGCTGCTGATGGCGTTGCTAGCAGGGAGATCTCGTGCGTCGACGATTGTCGCTCTGGCCGGTGCAGCAGGTCGGGTTCGGACAGGGGATTGTATCTGGCAGTAAAAATCGTCGAGGAGCCAGCTCAAGGATAATCAAACATGTGCTTTCGTCATCCTGCCAGGGCGGGCCTGAACCTGAATCCGAGTCGAAAGAGGGAGGAATAGCAACACGGTTCATCCATGTGTGGCTCCATAGAATTGGTTTCAGGGTCGCCCGCTCTCGGGAGGCCGTGTGGCACCTGTAAACAGCCTTAGCACCGGTGGCATTTGTGGGGAACCGCTAAGGAGCTGTGCTGTTGGAGCACCGAATGGGGATGGCCCCCTGGAAAGATAGGTACTCAGTAGATGATGTGAGAACAGGAACAAGAGACAACCACACACACCCTTGGACACCTCAACCGCTCTTTCTTCAGCCAAAGTCCACCCAATTCTAGGTTAGGCCACTGCTAGCCCGTCCATCCCCCTCCGCTTTGCCTGCACCAGTAGGGCTACAAGCAATCTCGTTAGCCAATCCGCTGGGCGTCAGAGAAGCACTTCCAAGACTTCCAAGACAGTGGTTTGCTACTACTAGGCATAAGGTAAAGTCCTTTAGGTAAGAGCGAGCATGCCAAAAGTTGCTTTTATTGAATACGCCTTTCCCTTCCCTGCCAGGGCATGGGATATCCCTACCTACCTACATACCCAACACCATGGATGAATGTAGTTATACTTTTCCAGCCCCTGTCGCGTGCTTAGAAGCCGGAACAGCACCTCCACCATTGGTAGATATCCAGTGAGGTAACAGAGGCAGAGGATGTTACAGGGATTGTCTGTCCCGGCTTTTGGAAGGGTTGTGAGCATCTTCAGAATTGACAGATTGAGTGGACATAACCAGAGAGAAACATCGGATTGGACGGCACCAAACCCTGCTCCAGGTCCTTTTGAAAAGATAGCTTTGTTACATTACAATACGACACTCACTAGGATGTCAACTCGTATTTGCTTCCCAACTTCTCAACCAACAACCCTGGACTGTCTGAATTTATGCTGGTTTATTCCGGAAGGATTTTTTGACAAGAAGCGCTAGCTACATTTGGCAGTCCAGATCACATACCGTTCTCAGTTGATGAATGTCGATCAGCCCCTGGTCTCATTTGCACAGAGCCGGTGTCACAAGAACATTCCAGCCCCTCAGGTCGGAGGAGGCGATTTAAATGGCAAGTGATGGTCAGATTAGTTGACGGACTGCTAACAGAAGTACTTGGCTATCCATCAAGCCCGTCGGATTTAGGTAGTGGGATAGCCCTTCCGAGTTCCAGGGCAAGGATGTGACAAGGATATTGATTGTTAAGATTGAGGTAGCTCCTGATGAACTTCCGCCAACTATTCAGACACCCACTTGAATGGTTAAGAGGTTACCTGCGTGCAAAATGTGCGCGGAAGTTCGTTGCAGGAAGAGCAAGCTTACGCCTCAACTATTTTGGAGATGAATGTCTTAGATATGGCCTTGGTGACCTCATGAATCGCCAAGAATGGACGCAACTATGCTCTGAGATTTGTGAATTGTGCATCCCACAGATGAACCCAGCATGCACAGTAACAATAGGTGTCTGACATGATGCTCATCTCGGAGTGTTAAGGTCAGCATTGATAACGAGATGGGTACTAAGAGAGTTATACATCTCATCTTGCCTAACGATAGCTCTCTGTTGGTATAAACAAAGATCATTCGACCACTCGCATCGCTCGCGTTCACAGTTTCCAGATGTTGCTTTGTCTGTGGATTGGCTGCATATGAATGACCTTTAAGCAAGGCTCTCTTTCCAGGCTCATCAATATGTTCAAGAGACGCCAAAGCCGAGGCATTGCAGCCGACCATTTGGGTGGAGGTACTAGCCTCTTTGAAAGTAATTCTGGAAACCTTGGTAGATGCTTCTTTCTTTTGTGCGGCTCTTTTCGGTGTGTATATCTGGACAAGGATTGATCTGTCTGCCGGGGCAAGGGTTAGGCTTTCGGGAAAACGAGGGCGTGACCACATCACGTCACCCCCGAACTGGCGGCGCATTGTGGTAGCTGAGCACGTCTGAGGTCCGAACGAGCCGTGCACCTTGTTCGTTCTGGGCTTGGCCTGGATTATCTCTCGGCCTGCAAGCGACGACAAGGTGCTTGAATGATTGGCCACCAGCGGCTGTACCTGCTGGGCCTGAAGGCGGCCTGGGCGGAAATCCCACTGGGCTGGGCGGACCCAACGTCATTACTTCCCGGGGTCTAACTAAAAAGCCCCTCTTCGCTCCCGAGCACCCCGCGCCCAAACACAGCTCGCGCAGCCCTTTGGCTACCTGTAAGCCTGTAGGCTCCCACCTGACAGCTTCATCGACGTAATCTCGAGGGCTCCAACCGACGATTAGCCTTTTATTTTTTCCCCCTACCACCACCCCTCAGCAAACCAGAGCTTTCCATGGGCGGCACGATCCTTAATAGCCCTGGTTGCAACCTCAACTCGCGCCCTCCCTTTCCCTTTTCCCCTTCCCTTACCTGCATTCTTATCTTTTGGGTCCCTCTAGTCTGGGGAAGGTACCGACGTTGAGGATATTCCCCACCTTTGCCGTGCATCATCTCATCTCAGGCGAGGCGCACCGACATGATATCGGGACTCGTGTCCGGCCGTCGCCGGACGATCTCCAATGCTAGTATGGCGACACAACTACCCTGGTTGTCTGCAAGGCACATGCTGTTTCCTCTTCTCTCTGGCGAGGCACTCTTTTGCCCGCTCGAGCTCGACGAGAAAATACAGATGTTGCTGTTGTTGAGACCTTGTACAGACCTGGCTGACCATGACTCTTACATTTTGCAATAGGCGCTCATTCCCACTCCCGTAAATCGTCCGTAGACGACAGCAAGGGCGAGATCGTCGACGATGACACGCTCGTAGTCGAGCCCGAGCAGGGCAATGGTAGGAGCACCTCCGATTCTCCCGGCGCATTTGTACAGACTGACCGATTTTCACAGTGCTCATGCATATCATCTCGCAGCTGCGGCCCGGAGCTGACCTCAGCCGTGTCGTCCTCCCAACGTTCATCCTCGAGCCCCGAAGCATGCTTGAGCGGATCACAAAGTAAGATGACCTCTGTCTGCTCGACCGTTGCAACCTTTACTAATGTAGCTTGCCCTCAGCTTCATGTGCCACCCCGAGATGCTCTTGCCCATCCCGCAAATAGAAGACCCTGTCGAGAGATTCGTCTCTGTTGTCAAATTCTACCTAAGTGGCTGGCATATCCGCCCACCGTAAGTACTCAACCTTTGAATCGGATGAAGTCCCGGGGGACGTGGGCTTACACTTGCGCAGAGGTGTCAAGAAACCCCTCAACCCCATTCTTGGCGAGATCTACACTTGCTACTGGGAGTTCGACGACAAGACAAAAGGTTACTACATCTCCGAACAGACCTCCCACCACCCTCCAAAGTCGAGCTACTTCTACATGGTCCCCGAACACAACATTCGCATCGATGGCACGCTGAAACCAAGAAGCAAGTTCCTCGGCAACTCTGCTGCGAGTATGATGGAGGGTACGGCCATCCTCAGCCTTCTGAACCGGGGAAAGCCTGGGCATCCTGAACGATAGTAAGATCAGTCACCCCCTTCCGGTCGGTACGGACTTACTAACACCACTCGTAGCATACTCACTCAGCCTAACATGTATGCGAGGGGAATCCTTTTCGGCAAGATGAAGTATGAGCTCGGAGACCACAGCTTCGTCCGATGCCCCGACCTGGGCCTAGCGGCCGACATCGAGTTCAAGACGAAGGGTTGGGTTAGCGGGACCTATAATGCCATTGGCGGCTTTATCAGGAACGAGCGGACCGGAGAGAACCTTTATGAATTCTCTGGCTTGTGGAGCAACGAGATGTATCTGAAGGATCTGAAGGTGAGTCTGCACCGTGCTGCGCCGTGGATCTGACACTGCGAGCTACGAATACTTATTCGGGAATCCTAGACTGGTCACAAGGAACTCTTCTTTGACGCTACCCATGCGAAACCCTCTTCTCCAATAGTCCGACCTATCGAGGAGCAGGAAGAGCGTGAGTCTGTCAGGCTGTGGCAGAAGACTGCCCAGGCGGTTAGGGACCGCAACCACGAGCTTGCGACCGACGAAAAGTCAAAAATTGAGGACATGCAGCGAGCAGAGGCGGCCAGGCGAGCGGAAGAGGGCGTTGAGTGGCACCCGCGACTCTTCCGGCGCGTCAAGGGCGGCCCAGGGGGTGTTGACGAGGGCGAGGAAGACCTGGAATGGATTATCAATGCTCAGATGTGAGTCGCCCCTCCTCGAAGGCTATCCCACCTCCATATATGTACTGACAAGACCAATGCAGAGACGGCACAACGCCAGAGAAACAAACCGAACAGATCCTGGCTATATACCCCATAGTGAAGGGACAAAAGGCCAGCCAGAAGAACTTCATCCCTCCCCACAGCTTCTCCCGCAAGTCCTCGCTCGTCGGAACCGAGGCCAAACCCCATGCCGCCGCCGACGATCTGATAGACTTTGGCCAGAATGATACCGCAGCGGCCCCGGCAGCCCCAAAACACGCAGGCGGTGAGATCGAGTCGCTCCTTGATGCGACCGCCACCTCCAAGCAGACGGGGCCGCTCGTGGACTTCCACGACGACCTCAAGAAGGACCTGCCGTCGGTGAAGCGCTCCGACACGGAGGAGTCGCACGACGAGTTCCATGATGCGCTGGAGTAGGGGTCTGCTCCTTGGCGCAGAGGCATTCTATCAGGAGGTCACGAGGCGCATTAGCATGAGACGCTTCTTTTGGCGGGACAGGTCCGGGGGGGTCGGGGGACGACAACTACTTTAGAAATGATACCTTGGCATATAATACGGCATGCTGCAGCTTGTTCCTTTCATTACCATGGCCGATAGGCTGTTCTCTTTCGTGTCTGAATGCTGCTACTCTATGTGGGTGACTACATGCAAGGAAATGCAATGTTTCGGCCAAACGGCTGTCTCAACAAGATGTCACGAAGAGTTTATTGATCATTTCATTTTGTGGACGCTCCAAGACTAAAATCCCATAAGCCAAGGCAACCCGAGCCCCCCAGAGACGGGCTATATATAATAATGACAATACAAAAGTTGGTGGTCATGGCTGGATGCCAGATACCATGGGTGCACAAGTATCCGGACTTTCGATCTCCGAATAATTCACCCAGGCAAACGATGTCGCCCGCTCTCTCTCTCACACGATGCATTCGGTTTCGTGACCGACGATGCTTTCGGTATCGTGATCGAGAGACTAGAGGTACAGAATGAAGCTGCTGAAGGGGCCCCTCTGTAGCCTCGTCTCCTTTACCCTCTTTAGTCGCTTGTTTCCGTGGCACAGTCTGGTTAGGTCCCATGCCTGCCTTGCCGTTGTCTCGCTAATACCGCCTCCTCGTCGGCTCGGGCGTGGGCGACCTGCTCGGGCTCCGCTCGTCCTTGCCGCGCATCTTGAGCCACTTCTTGGTGCTCAGCGTGAGCTCGCGGTCGAGCTCCTCGCTCGGGTTCTTGCGGTGGATGAAGTTGCAGAACCCGCCGCGGACGCAGCCCTCGCCGGAGTTGAGGCGGCAGCAGGCCTCGCGGAAGTCGGTGACGGGGCTGAGCTCGCAGTAGACGGGGCGGGCGGCGTACCAGCGCGAGTTGAGGTCGTCGCAGGCCTTCTGGGCCGAGTCCTCGTACTTGAAGCGCGCGTAGACGTTGCCGATGAGGTGGTCGTTGTTGTTGTCGCAGACGACGAGCTCCTCGAGCTCGCCGTACTTGCACATCTCGCACCAGACGTCCTCGTAGAAGGCGTCGAAGTGGTTCTGCAGCTGCGACGGGTTCATGCGGTTCTTGGCGTCGAAGGCCGGGTTCTGGTAGAGGTTGGGCATGAGGATCGTCTGCGAGTACGAGGGCTTGACGTGTTTCCGCGAGCAGCGGTCGCCGTGGCGGCAGGCGCCGATCTTGTAGTAGAATGAGCAGTTGACCTGTTTGGCAGATGAGGTCTGTTAGTATCTGGAGATCGCTTCTTGAGGGGCCTATAGTAGAAGGACTAGGAGGACGGGAGGGGTGGGTGGGATGAGGCTCGCTACATACCTTGTCTTGCTCCGTGCCGAAGATGGAGGCTAGGAAGTTCGCCATGGTGAAGGAGGAGTTGTTCGCCTGGTTCGGCGCAAAGCTGCTGGACCTTGTTTTCGATTCCTCGACAGGTATGAATACCGGATCTGCACCTGATTTGATTTTAAGAGCTGCGTGTACTGAGTTGGCGATCGCCTCGGGATGATATCCGTAGATTCGTGAAATGCTTGATGGGAGAGAACTATCGCGAAGAGGATGCGCGAAGGTGAGGCGAAATTTAGATATGGTCGATAAAGCGGGCGGGCAAGGCTGGCGAATCAAGGTCAGGATTGGGGATTGCTAGTGGGTAAGCGTGATTGGGTAGCATTGGATGGAAGCATCTGGAGGTGGAGCTTACAAAGAAGGAAAGACCAGGGTACTTACCTAGGTACCTCTAAGTGCTACTAATCAGAAGGTTTGGAGTCTTGTCTCGCTGAATTTCCACAAGCTGGCAAGTTGAAATAATCCTGTCTCTTGCGTACAGATTGACTCGCTGCTGATAGGTCTTCAGTATCGGATCGTTCTACCTGAAAGTTTAGTCTGTATGTCCTTGAGCGGCAAAGCTTCTGGCAATTTTGCTGGCCGAATAAAACGAAAGACTGGAGCTAATGGCAACTCCTTGCAAATGGATGCATTGCCGTCCCTTCAACGGATTGGAATAATGGGACTGACCCTGCCTGCCTGGCCATCAGTCACATCACTGCATTGAGGGATGGAGGTCCGCGGCCCGACCTTCAGGTACGGTTCCAGGGACCAAACCGGTACCTAGTTTCTGGTCAGCACGTTCCTCATTGAGATCCGCCTGCCGGGTGGGCTGAGGAATGGCTGTAGGTGACTGATCATCAGGCGGCCGTGCGCTAAAGGGCTGCTGATCCGGCCCCGTCAGTACCCAGCGCACCGGGCATTAGAGAAACGGCAATGACGATGCCGGTGAACTTAGGCGGGCGGGAAGACACTGCACTTTTGTATTCGGTGCTGGGCACTCACCAACAGAGCTGGCCGATGCGTTCAGTCCGATGTCATGAAGGTTTTTGGTCTGTACGGGGCACGGAACGTCTCCAGATCCACAACAGGGATTCATATCAAAGTGGGATGGGCAGAGGGACTGTACGGAGCACGACGTGTGAGTGGACGGACGGTGGCGCCTGCAAAGGTACGACCCGATCTTGGTAGTCCGATGTGATGCAACCTGGCTAGATTGCTTTGGTGCGTGCAATACCAGAAAAAACCAAGGCATGTGGCTGCCACTGATGATGAGAGCAAACAGGGACGTGTCCAACTGCATCTGGGAAATTTCCAAGATTCCGGCCTCGTGTCGGTTCCACCGTTTCAAGGTGTCCCCTCGACATAGGCTGAAGAACCAGAGTGACGCGTCGCAGGACTGCAACAGAGGGACGGACAACCACAGGCTCAGCTCTGCCCCCGTCGATGAGCACCAGCCAGTGGACCGCATTTCGTGCCTTTCTCTTGATACCTACCTATGGTTTTCTCTTGTCTCAACCAGCGCCGAGGAAATCTTGCCGGGAGGAGCACCCTTTAGCCTACTTGGGCACTAGCACAGATATGATGGGGCATTCTTAGCTGGTCGGACCCCTGTAGAGCTGGGTCTGCGAGGTGGGTGGAAGTCTCAACCCCACCCCAGCACCAGCTAACCAGCCATTAATAAATTGGACACGGGCGAGGGAACCTCCAAAGTACCGCCTGGCGGGGGATTGTGACCCTGATTTTGGTGGAGAGTGAAGTACAGAGCTGTGGCGTCGCAGGTACCTTTGCAAACGCCTTGCACCAGTGCTCCGATTTGGCGGCGTCGGTGCACCCGAGGCTGGGGGTGGCCCAGCGCCTGTTTGAAGCTGGAGTGGAGTGAAGCGATCTGACGTAGTGTTGCAAGGTACCTCCATACCATTGAGCACAGCGATCACCTCTTGGACAGAGCCACATTTTCCCTGCCATCCACCTCAACTTGGGTGCTAGAAGCTGCGTCACGCCCACCCTTTGGCCCTTAACCTTCTTTCTTGTCTGCTCTCCCTGCCCGGCACTTTATCCCGCGATCCTCTCATTGAATTTTCTTCCTCTTCCTTTTCGCCATTTTCTACACCCTTCGCGCATGCACTTGTGTTGACACAGTCGAGCTGCTGTTGGGTTCGGGCAGTTGGAGCTCTAGCTAGCTGTTTGCCGGCCATCAATCATCACCTCACAGCTCACTAGCGGCCCCGTCGAGCATATGCGAAGGCCTTATCTCGTCAACTTCGCTAACCCAAACACCACACTGGTCATATTTGCGCCAATTGGTTTCGTGGAGCTACCGCTGCCACCGCAGCAGCTACCATAGTGTTCCAAGACACCATGTCGACAGCGCAAGAAGCCCACGAGCTCAAGCAGCAGGGCGCCGAGGAGGCATCCCGGGACCCCAATAGCTCTGTCACCGCCGACGATGCCCAGCGCAAGATTATCGAGGAGAGCCGAAAGGTCGGCGTAGCAGCCTTCAACTTCGACCCGGACGCCACTCCCGAGGAGAAGAGGGCACAGGCCAAGGCTGTAGGTCACCCAAGTGATGCTGCACTCGCTCTCGAAACTAATCTCTGGTTAGGCTATCCCCGACAACTTTCACAACCCCAAGAGACAGAAGGGCTTCGCCATTGCTACCGACATCGATGACGGGGCCAAAGCTGCGTACGACCTGCCAGCTCCCTCAAAGGCCGGCGTTGTTGACGTTGCCAAAGACGAGGATGGGAAGCCGCTCAGTAAGGATGCGGCCGACGGAAAACCAGAGATGGGCGAGAAGACGGGTTGGGCGCCAAGGTTTGGTTGGCCCATGGAGTCGATCCAGGACGCCGAAAGCTTGCTAGATCATTCCACCTGGCTTGAGGGCCGCCTGCCGGACAAGTTCTACGGCGACTGGTACCACAACGCCGCCATCATCTTCTTCGCATGCATCACGTCTTGGCTGGTCGCAGTCTTCGGAGGTGGTATCGCCTGGGTGTTCATCATCATGGCAATCTGCTCTACTTACTACCGAACCTCCATTCGTCGCGTCCGTCGCAATTTCCGAGACGATCTGCGCCGGGAGATGTCCCTGAAGAAACTGGAGAGCGATAACGAATCTCTCGAGTGGATCAATTCGTTCATGTTCAAATTTTGGCCCATCTTCCAGCCGGTGCTTGCTCAGACCGTCATCAACTCGGTCGACCAGGTCTTGAGTTCGGCGACCCCTGCATTCCTGGACAGTCTCAAGTTGAAGACCTTCACCTTGGGCTCCAAGCCCCCGCGAATGGAGCATGTCAAGACTTACCCCAAGGCCGAAGACGACGTTGTGATCATGGACTGGAAATTCAGCTTCACCCCTAATGACACTGCCGATATGACCACGCGACAGATCAAGAACAAGATCAACCCCAAAGTGGTTCTCGAGATCCGGGTTGGCAAAGCAATGATCAGTAAAGGATTGGACGTCATCGTGGAGGACATGGCTTTTTCCGGCATTATGAGACTCAAGATTAAGCTTCAAATCCCCTTCCCTCACGTTGAGAAGGTGGAGATGTGCTTCCTGGAACGACCCACGATCGACTACGTCTGTAAACCTCTGGGCGGCGACACCTTTGGCTTCGATATCAACTTCATCCCCGGTTTGGAAAGCTTCATTCTTGAGCAGATCCACGGAAACCTCGCTCCTATGATGTACGCGCCCAACACGTTCCCCATCGAGGTGGCCAAGATGCTTGCTGGCACCCCTGTCGACCAGGCGATTGGCGTCGTCGCCATTACCCTGCATGGAGCAAATAGCCTCAAGAATCCAGACAACTTCTCCGGGACTACCGATCCCTACGCTATCGTCACTCTCAACAAGAGGCAGCCTCTGGCACAGACCAAGACTATCAAGGACACTCACAACCCGCGCTGGAACGAGACGCACTACATCATTGTTACCTCGTTCAGAGACTCGCTTGACACCATCATTTATGACTACAACGACTTCAGAAAGGACAAAGAATTGGGTGTTGCCTCTTTCCAGCTTGAGAACCTGGAGGAGCTCAACGAGTACGAGAATGAGACCCTCGAGGTCATTTCTGACGGCAAGGCTCGTGGATCTCTCTCCTGTGACATCCGCTTCTTCCCTGTCTTGCAGCCAGAGAAAGGCCCCGACGGCAAGGATGAGCCCCTGCCAGAGTCAAACACGGGTATCTTGCGATTCAATGTTGAGCAGGCCAAGGATCTCGACGGCACGAAGAGTCTCGTCGGTCTTCTCAACCCCTACGCCGTGCTATTGTTGAACGGCAAGGAGATTCACCAGACCAAGAAACTGAAGCGGACCAACAACCCTATCTGGGAGAACGGCTCCAAGGAAATCCTCATTACTGATCGGAAGCAGGCCAAGCTTGGTGTCGTCATCAAGGATGATCGTGATATCGCAGGCGATCAGGTTATTGGCACATACCAGATCAAGGTTGACGACATGCTAGAGCTCATGGAGAAGGGCAAAGATTGGTACAACCTTACCGGCGTCAAGACTGGGCGTGCCAAGATGCAGGCCCAGTGGAAGCCCGTCGCTATTCAGGGTGTCATCGGCGGCACTGGTGGTTACCAGACACCTATCGGCGTCATGCGGTTCCACTTCCAGAAGGCCAAGGATCTACGTAACTTTGAGACCATGGGCAAGTCGGACCCGTACACCCGAGTCCTTCTCTCGGGCGTGGAGAAGGCCCGTACGGTCACATTCAGGAACAACCTCAACCCCGAATGGGATGAGGTGCTGTATGTCCCTGTCCACTCTCCACGCGAACGCCTGCAACTCGAGGTTATGGATGCCGAGAAGATGGGTAGGGATCGCAGCCTCGGCTTGGTGGAGGTCTATGCTGGTGACTATATTGGCCAAGACGAGTCTGGGGAGTATCTTACCGACGATAAGAAGCATCTGCATGAGGATGGTCTCCGCATACACGGCAAGGGCATGGCCAAGGGCATTCTGACGTATACTGTGGCCTTCTACCCATGCCTCAACATCGCCGATCCGGAGGAAGAAGAGGAGGCCGAAGGCAAGGCGTCACTGGATGCTGCGCGAAACCCTGACGCGGGCAAGATCTCGTCGCTTGATAGAAAACCGCGCGAGAGCCTCGATGTTCAGGGGGCTGACAAAGTTCCACCAACGCCGACGAGCCCTACCATGCCCAAGTCACCGACCTCAACGGTTGCTCGGAAGTCTCGCGATGACCCCAAACCGCCAAAGGTGCATCTCACCCCTCAAGAGCTGCTCAAGTACGAGTCTGGCCTCATTGTCTTCAAGCTCATGGAAGCCGAGCTGCCCCGAAGCGACTGCTGTGTCGAGGTATACGTGGACGACATGGCATATCCTTCGTACATCTCAACTCGGGCCAGGAGCAGATCGCACAAGTATGATGAGATCGGAGACTGCTTCATTCGTGAGCTTGACTTTTCCAAACTCACCCTCAAGATCCGCGAAAAGGAGGAGAAACGCCACGAGGATCAGAGAGACTTGGCTCGACTGACCGGTAACACTCTGGATACCCTCAAGCAATGCTTGGTAAGTGATGACGCTTTACATTTCCGATTCGCAGCACAGATCCCACTAACTCAGCGTAGAACAACCCTACCACTCTTAAGATGAAGGACGAAGATGGAAGGGTCAGCACGGTCAAGATCTCGCTCAAGTACATCCCCGTCAAGATGCAGCTTGACCCAAGTGAGAGCATCAACAACATGGGTAATCTGCGTGTCGACGTCCTTGACGCCGCTGATCTGCCATCTGCCGATCGCAATGGCAAGAGTGATCCTTACTGCAAGTTTGAGCTCAACGGCCACGAAGTCTTCAAGACTAAGGTGCAAAAGAAGACTCTGCATCCGGCCTGGAACGAGTTCTTCGAGCTCCCTGTGCCATCTCGGACGGCGGCCAAGTTCAGGGTCCAAGTCCTCGACTGGGACTTTGCTGACAAACCCGACCTGCTGGGCTGTGCCGACATCAACCTGGAGCAGCTAGATCCGTTCAAGGCACAAGAGGTCCATCTCACCCTCGACGGCAAGTCTGGCGTCCTGCGGTTGAGACTATTATTCCGACCGGACTATGTTGTCAGAAGCAGACAGGGTAGTTCCACCTTCTCGGGCACCTTTGCAGCTCCAGGCAGGATTGTTACGGGCGTCGCCGGCGCTCCTATCAAGGGCGGTGTCGCAGTCGCGGGCGTCGTGGGTCACGGCGTCGGCAAGGGAGCTTCGTTCCTCAAGCGTGGCTTCAAGGGCAAGAAGGACGACGAGGGCAACGGTCTGGTCGTCCCCAGCGGTTCGAACACCGACCTGCCCACCATCACTACCACGGAGCCCGCGCCATCTGGCCTCCGGCGGTCGACCGGCTTGACCGACGGCGAGCCTACGTCCGAAGTCCCCCCCGGCCCTGCCAACGGCGCCACTTCCTCCCCGCACCAGCGGACCAAGAGCATCGGCGCCGCTTCCATCCACAGCCTCGCGCCGGGCGCTCCCGGCACCGGCGCCGCCAGCTTCACCGTCATCTCGGCGTCGGGCTACCCGCCCTCGTCGGACGTCTACGTCGTCGTCAACCAGCTGACGCCCAAGCCCAAGACGATCGGCAAGACCAAGGACCACAAGGCGCCGTCGGGCACCGTCAAGTTTGACGAGACGTTCCGGGCGGCGGCGTGCGCGCCCGACACGCAGTTCCAGATTCAGGTCAGGGAGCACCACACGTTCGGCAAGGACGGCGACCTCGGCGAGTCGGTCTTCTTCGTCGACGACAGCGGCTCCGGCGGCGAGAAGGAGATCAACGTCGGCTCGGGCACCGTCACGCTCAAGAGCAGCTTCGCGCCGGCGGCTGGCGAGGGCGGCAGCGTCATGGACAGCCCCAAGGCGTCGTCGCTGCGGAGGAGCTTCCTGAGCAAGAGGGAGAGCCGGCTGCCGAGCCGGGAGGGCACGCCTTCTTAGGGGAGAAGGGGCGGATGGGGACGCGCTGTGTGAGCCCGAAGTGAGGAAATCCGATGGTGGATGGGCAGAACAAAAGGGGTTGGTTGAGTTGCGCGCGCGCGTGCCTGCTTTGCTCTGATGCGGTGTCTTTTTTTCCCCCTCATTCTCCGAGATTACCTTTTCACTTGCCTGCGGGAAAGAGGCATGATACCCCTTCCACTTTCTTGCATGCATCCATCCCTTTTCCTGAATTTGTAATACTGGACTTATTCTCTTTTCTTCCTCTTCTGTCTTTTCTTTCTTTGTGGTTGGGGAAGCGGTTGGATATTGGGAGTCTGGAAGAGAATCAGCCGTCCGGGCTTCCCGTACATAGAGGTTTGGGAAGGAGTGGAGGGTTGAAACGGTGAATTCTGGGCAAAAAAGGAGGGGGGAGAGAGAAAGAGGGTGAGAGGATAGCGTTGTGATGGCACGACCTCGCCTTGGCAGATAGGATGTTAATTTTCTATTGTCTTTCAACACTTGCCTCTCTCACTCTCTCTGACTCTCTCTGAGTTGTATATCCTACAGTGCATTACACACAGTAGCTCTCCTAAGGGGCAGTTAAAATGCATATCTTAATATTGATTGGCCTTGTGATCGGTGACAAGATCCTTCAAAGAGAGATAGCTGGAGCCTCGCCAGAGGGCGCATCTATGCTGAAGGGTTACACTAGTGCATGAACAAAGACTCAAGGATCTGTAGCTTATATGTTGTATCTGGATTCAAATGCTATTCGCGATTCTAAGGATCGAATAATAAAAAGTCCGTATAAGAACGCCAAATGTTCAGATGTCGGCGAGTCGATGGAATTTCAAGCTGCTGGCTTCAAAGCGCTAGGTGATGGTGGAGAGATGGAACTGAGCAGAAAAACTTTCGAGGGGGTATATGTGCATGGGGACGGATTTGTTCCCGTTGTCGTGTGATCAGAGAATGGTTCAGATATCATGAGCTTTGAGAGCGAGGAAAGATCGGAAGAGAGGTCTTTTAAAAACCAATGATGCAAACAAGGAGGGAGCCGAGAGAAATCATCAGAGACTAGCTAGGGCGAGTCCATGGAAGAAAGGAAAGAAAGCAAGATCATCCGCTCCAATCCAAGTCTTTGAAAGTCGTAGAGAGAGAGAGAGAGAGAAGGTGAAAGAAAAGAAAAACCCGCAGACAGTTGTCCAGACGAGCCTTTCAATACCCGAAACTGTCATGCTGATGTACGGGGCATCTCCCGGGGTGGTTCACAAACCAAGCTCTGATGCACGCCCTGTGGAATCGGCAGAGGCACTCCAGCCTCGCCATCTGGACACCGACTTCGAACTCCTCGAGGCAGATAGTGCACTCGGCCGAGTCGACACAGTCCTTCTCCGTTGCCAGGTAGGGAAACATGCCAGTCCTCCTAGGCGGCGGAGGTGGCGAGTTAGATGTGTCCCGCTGGCCGGTGTTTGCGGCAGCGGTCGGCGTGGTACCGTAGGCGCTGTGCGAGGTGATACATATATTGATATGAGCTTCCCGCAGGGCCTCGAAATTTGGGAGGGTCCTAGACGGCAGCTCCCGATGGCAGACGGGGCATTCGTCCTCCTCGAGGATCTGGGGCGGGGGTGGCAGGCTGCGCTGCTGGAGAGCGGGAGTGGATGAGGAAGAGGACGAGCCGACATCAAGAAGGGAGCGATACCGCGAGTACATCGGGTTAGGCCCCTGAGACCCAGAGGCTGATGATGGATACGGCATGTAGGCGGGTGGCGTTCCCGCTAGAATTCGGGATTGTGTCGACAGATAGGGCATGTTGGGTGTCCTGCTAGAGGAAGCACCAGCGGCGGAATGCTGTATACTGTTGTCAGCGATCCTATCCAACGCCAGTCTTGACGTCGCACTTGACACTTACCATGGATACACTGCGACTCCTAGACAAGGCATCACTCCCACCGGGCCCCGGCCCGAAATACGCCCCATACCGTCGGCTTTCGTCACCAGGAAACACCCCACTAGCGTTGCTCTGGGACCTGGAATGCCCTCTTTGGGTCGCCGACTCCTGAGCCTGGTGTGGTGTGGTGTTGGGATCGGGGACGCAGGGATTGCAGAGCCTAACTCGCTCTCCGCCGCCGAGGGTCCTGAAGTCGGCGTAGCCGCCTTCGCTCCCCATGAAAGCGGTAGAGTATATCTGGGATAGAGGACGGACCGCGCCTGGAGGTTGCACGATGTACTGGTAAGGGATGGTGATGCGGTGAGGCGAGCAGCTGTTACAGACCACTCTTCCGCATTTTCTAGAATCATCGTTAGGAGCAGTTTGCATGAGCAAACCAGGACTTCGACTCGACTAACCTGCAATGATGCTTTCGCACGAATATACTAAATTGGGTGTGGCATATTGGGCAAAATGTGACCTCGGCATCTGGCTGCCACCTGGGTAATGACACCGACGAGGGCCTCCTCGGTTCCCTGGCCAACTGTTCAGTCGGAATGGGATTGCTAACGTCGCCCCGAGATCGTCTGTATGTGGGCGAGAGTGGCGGCGGCGTCGGGGGAGGCGGTGATCTTGGTAACTCTCTCGAGAGCCTCTCCGGAAGGTCTACGCTTCTTTGACTAGGCTGAGCGACTGGGTCCGGGGTTGATAGTGGTAGATCAGCCATGTCTCGCGGAGGAGCGGTGTCAAGACTCAAAGACTGTCGCCGACCCGAGCCAGCCTCGTCCGCCTCGGGACTTCCTTCCGTGTTCTCACCCACGGCCTCCTCTTCGTCTACAGCCTCGCCGGGAGACTGCTCTGCGCCATCTTGAGACATGTTATAGATATCTGATTCGGAATCATGACGGACGTCTTCTTCGGAGTCCCTGCCACTTTCGCCTGCGAGAGTGTCCAAGTCTTCCACCGGCCGCTGTGCACCACCACCATCACTGCTCAGCTCCCCAGTGGGAGGGCTATTTTGTGCCCCGTGATCCTCGCCATGCCCTTGATCGTGTGATTCGGCCGACTCTTCGGTCTCAGGATGATCGGCCTCAGGATGAGCCCTCTCGAGGTGGTGGGAAGGACAGTCGAAATATCGAGAGCATTCCTGGTCGTGATACTCGGAAGTCCGTAGAGGGCAGATGCTGGATCTCAAAACATCCACCGCAAAGGAGCCATGAGGGCTGTCTGCACGAGAGCTGCCTGGATCGGATTCGTCGTCATGGATCACGATCGCTCTTCCTGCACTCCCTTCAGGCTCTGCCATTGCGCTTCATGAGGCCTAAGCAGTCGTCGGTACGGTCCTCGTGTTGAGAGAGGGGTTGTCGTCGACTTGTGGCAAGATAGAGATTTGAAAGCCCGCGATAGGCTGGGCAGGCTTAAGTCGACAACGTATAGTCCTAAAGACCGTTTCTGAAAGGAATAGCCTGCAAAGTTATATCAAGCGGTTAGCTGCGCTCAACCATGATAACACCATCCACCCACCCGTTCTCCGCTCCCTACAAGGGGTTTGCTCGGCAGAGCCCGACCTAGGGCTGGCTCCCTTATGCTTGGGAGAGAAGGGAGACAACTGAACTCACACGGGAACTTTTCGTCAAGAGTTCCAGAACATGATCCTGGGTTACCCTGAAAGAGAGTGCAGCACCGCTTTCGAGTCGACCAGGATGGTCGGTTGTCGGGGCACGAGACACAACTGATATGACAACACCGCACGAGTCCAGAATCCTTATCACCGCTCACGGGCAACTCTTATCTGCCTGCTTACTCTCCCATTAATGGAGGCTCCTCGGCGGCGCCCGGAGGCGCTAAAACCAAGGTGAGGGACCGAGTTTGGCGCTATGCCGTCAGCCTAGCATGGGAGGCTCAGAGGGGACCACACAGGGGTTGTCGCGGCAAAAATGGTGGGGTTACAGTATGGAGGCTTGCATCATGCTTTCAGCCAGGAAGTGCAACCTAGGCATCTTTGGACTAGGCCCTAGGCATTCTCTTTGTCCCGCTTATATCAGTGTCTGGAGAGACCGAAAAGATTCGTGAGAGTCCTGTCATGTTAGTCTTGTATTAGTCTCTTGCATCAAGCATCAAAACTGCCCCGGCGCAAGCAGGCTCGAAGGCAGATGGGATGAGAGCTGCTGCAGGTACCCAAGACAGACCCGGGGTTTTGTTGTTAGGCATATCTACCTCCTTGAGTTGGGTACAAGTACCTACTTTACCTACCTAGGTACCGTAGGTACGTGTTGGGGCGACGAGTTTGATGAAACTCGTTCTGCCAGCAATCTACTAGGTATTGAGGATGTGGCACAACATGAGCAGCAGATAGGTACAGGTCAGCCACGGCATTGAATTTGCTCCCTCCCTTATGCCTTTCGGAGTCAAGTGGTGAGTAAATGAATGCCTGGCCACCTCTCCCAAGCAACAGCCCATCCATGCCGTACAGCCATCCATACCCGTACAGCCACCCTGCGCGCCACGTGTAAGACGCCCTGGCCCACCATTAGTTGGCCTTTGTTAGCTGACTTTGTGATCGCCCACACCCCAACACCAACACGCCTCGTCCCAACCCTTGCCCGTTTCGTGGGAAGCGCGATGGCATTCCCGAGGCTCCCACCACGGGAACTAGGCACAGCTGCTGCTAGGTAACAGACTGTTGGGTAGTGCAAGAACCCACCAGACCTCCTCTCAAAGAATGACGAACTGATAAGCACGCATCACCACCACCACCGCCCACACCTGCCTCTCCTCACCCTCTAGACTTGCCTTGCTTTGTGGCCTTGCTTTGTTTGATAGCCGCTACCTTGCTATGATAGGACCTGTCGTGAGACACATGCGATTCAAGGGATCACATGTGAGCCGTTCATGTTTCCTTCTTTCAAGATAAAGCCACAAAGCCATATCGCCAGCCCTTCCCTTCTTTCAAGATAAAAGCTATAAAGCCATATCGCCAGCCCTTTGCCTTCTTCATATCAACCCGTACCTTTTCTGGGCTAGAATCGCATCCTCACTCATTCGACTTGAGGGCACCATACCCAGATAATAGAGAGCCGTCGACATGGACTACCTCTCAGATGCCTGGGAGAGGCACAGTCACAGCACGGCCGTGATCGTAGCCACCACAGCGGTAGCTACCACAGCCATCATTACCATACTCCGACACGCCCTCTATCCAACCTGGCGGCAGAAGACCTTCCCGTCGCCCCTCCAAACCACCTTACCCAAGCTCGGCGATGAAGCCAGCAAGCTAGACTACAAGCCCGATGCCTTCCCAGGCGCCCGGGACGTGCCAACCCCGGTATGAGACAAGGCCTGCCCCTGCACTCCCTCAACTCAACTTGCTTCGCAGAATGACTAACATGCAACGCCAGTACGGCTCCATGCGCGTCTACGAGTTCGGCCCAGAGACGGGCCGCAAAGCCCTCTTCATCCACGGCATCTCCACGTCCTGCCAGACCCTGACCTACCTCGCCCGCGGCCTGGCCGAGTCGGGCCACCGCGTCATGCTCTTCGACCTCTGGGGCCGCGGCTTCTCGGACGGCGTCGGCGACCTCCCCCACGACGCGCGCCTGTACGCCTCGCAGGCCCTGCTGGCCCTGGCCTCGTCGCCGCTGCCCTGGACCGGCGCCGCCGGCTTCGACCTGGTCGGCTACTCGATGGGCGGCGGCGTCGCCGTGCACCTCGCCGCCGCCCTGCCGGCCACGGTCCGCTCGCTCGTCCTGCTGGCGCCCGCGGGCATGATCCGCGAGGTCAGCTTCGGCGCCGTCGCCCGCTTCGTCTTCCAGAGCGGCTACGTGCCCGACCGCCTGCTCTCGGCCGTCACGCGCCGCCGGCTGCGCAAGCCCATCGCCAGCAGCGTCAGGAAGAACCGCGGCATCGTCGAGGCCGAGGAGGACGCCCTGGCCGGCGCCGTGCTGGACGCCAAGACGGCCGAGGCCGTCGAGCTCGCCGCCGCGGAGCTCTCGCACCAGGACGGCGACGGCAACAACGGCGACGGCGCCGAAGCTGACCCGACGCCCCTCAACGCCCGCGTCATGCGCTACGTCCACTGGATGATCGACAACCACGCCGGCTTCGTGCCCGCCTTCCTGAGCTGCGTGCGGCACGCGCCGCTCTTCGGCCAGCAGGACGTCTACAGCGCGCTGGCGGAGCGGCCGGCGCGCAGCGTGTGCGTCGTGCTGGGCCGCAGGGACGAGGTCGTGCACCCGGAGGACTTTGAGGCCGACGCGCTGCCCCTCATGGGCGGCAGGGAGAAAGTGCCCGACGTCACCGTCGTGGGTGGCGGCCACGACTTCCCCATGACGCACAGCAAGGAGACGCTCAAGGCGATGCAGCAGTTCTGGGGTGAGGGTGGGGGATAGACGACAAACGCGGCTCGGGGCGGAGTTGTACCTTTGGCACGGGTGTAAAGTAACTTTTGTTTATAGACTTTGCAGCGATTTGAATAGGGACAAATATTGCTTTTGATATTGTTTCTGCAGCAAAGCTGTGTAATGACAATGAGGGAATTTCAACTCCCGGCGAGTAATTAGCCAGTCAAGCAACTCATGCTAACACTTGAGAGGAAATCTTCAACACGTTTGATACGGACAAGTTTTGTTCTTTCTATACTATCCCTATGGAGGAGGGGTGTTGCTTCAACTCCATCATAGCAAGAGATGGATGGGTATCTATCAAACCATATAAAATAGGAGAAGGGTGCGTCGTATGATGGTGTTGTACTGTAAATGAGTGGGTAAATGCTCGCCAAATGTCTATCCGAAGATGCCGGCCAGTAGAGGGAGGATGATTGCCGAAAAGCACGTATGGATCCAAGTAGTGATCCCGAAGAAACAAGAAAAGATTTGTATATATTATACAGGTCCTCGCGTGCCCGTTTGTGGCTCCTCCGTCTCTCTGTGCGCTGGGGGTGAAGTAGGTCTACCTGTCGAGGGCTTGGCTCTGGCACTGTTTTCAAGAATAGCAATTGTCAGCAAGATCCATCTCATCTTCATACACTTCCAAGGCTCAACAAGCCCAGGGCAAAGCAGAGGCAAGGAATAGAAACATACCATGTTCCAGTACACCCCCCTCTGCCGCAGCAGCTCGGCGTGGCTGCCCTTCTCCAGCACCCTGCCCTCGCCCAGCACGTAGATGACGTCGGCCCGCTGGATCGTGCTGAGCCGGTGCGCGACGGCGACCGTCGTGCGGCCCTTGGCCACGCGCTCGAACGTCGCCTGGATCAGCTTCTCCGTGTCCGAGTCGAGGCTCGACGTCGCCTCGTCGAGCAGCAGGACGCGCGGGTCGCGCACGAGGGCGCGCGCGATGGCGATGCGCTGCTTCTGCCCGCCCGACAGCGACACGCCCTTGCTGCCGATGTCCGTGTCGTAGCCCTCGGGCAGCGAGACGACAAAGTCGTGGATCGACGCGTCGCGGCACGCCTGGTGCAGCCGCGCCTCCGTCACGCTGCCCTCCTCGACGCCCAGCAGCACGTTGTCGCGGATCGAGCCCTGGAAGAGCGTCGCCTCCTGCGCGACGAGCGAGATGAGGCGGCGGTACTCGTGCAGGTCGATGCCCGCCACGTCGGTGCCGTTGAAGAGGATGCGGCCGCGCCGGGGCTCGTAGAAGCGCTCCAGCAGGGAGACGATCGACGTCTTGCCCGAGCCCGAGGCCCCGACCAGGGCCGCGTACTGGCCCTTCTCGATGGTGATGTTGAGGCCCTTGAAGATGGAGACGTTGCGCGTGGGGTACTTGAAGTGCACGTCCTCGAGATCGATCCGGATGCCGCCTTCGGTCTCCCTGATCGTCTCGCCCGACAGGACCTCCTTCTCGCCCGACTCGCGGATGCTAAGGATCCGGTTGGCAGCGCCGGTCGCCTGGGCGGCATTGGGCCCAAAGGAAAGGCCCTGGCCGGCGGCCTCAGCGCCTTGGATGACGGCCATGTAGCACACAAAAAAGTTGAAGATGTCGTACTCGCCCTTCGCCACAAGATGGCCGCCGTACCAGAAGATGAGGGCCTGGCAGGCCAGACTGATGGAGTCCGCGAGAGCGAAGACCAAAGTCTTGAATCGGGCACTGCGCAGCGCTGTCGACAGGTGGCCGGCGAGGAGGACATTGTAGCGGGTGCTGATGAAGTCCTCGAGCGTCAATGCAGTCACAGTCCGGAAGGCACCGATGCTCTCGGCTGCCCACTTTGAACTCTCGGCGAAGACAGCGGCGTTCATCTGGTCGAACTCGAGTTCGTACTTGACACGCCAGTAGCCCGAGCCGAGGCCCATGGGCACAGTCACGCAGAGCGCAACGAGGGCAAGCTTCCAGCCATAGATAAAGGAGATGATCAACGACCCGATGATCTGGAAGATGGCGGTCAGCACCATGGTCATGTTGATACCTAACAATTCTTCGAGTTGCTTAGGATCACCACCGACACGCGACGTGAGGGTTCCGGCTGAATGGTCTTCCTGATCAAAGAACAAAGTCCTCTGATTCAGGATGGAGACGAAGTATTGCTGGCGATAGGTGGCGCAGATAAAGTGCTGGAGGTAGTTGGCCACGAGACCCATGACGAAGTACGAGAATCCGACGCCAGCAGCCAACACTACCCACATCAGCGCCCAGAAACGGCTTTCATGCATGAGCTCCTCGCCCCTGAGTGTGAAGACTTTGATGAGCCTGGCAAACAAGTAAGCCTGGATGGGTGACGCAGTGGCGGCACCCATGGCGCCAACGACGGCGATCAGGTAGCTGGGGATCTTGGTCTTCTGCTCGAGAAGGAGCTTGCCGAAGCTGCCAAAGAGGCCTTTGTTTGTCCACCCCTCGATTATGGCCTGGTTTTCGCGCTCGGACACGGCTGCGCTCTTCTCCCGGGCAAGTATGTCGCCAATATTCTCCTCCTGGAGTTCGTCATCGCTCGAATCGTCACCCAGAGACAGCTGCTGCGCATGGACGAGGCCATAGTACACACCAGCTTCATTCTTCAGAAGCCCTTCGTGGGTGCCAGATTCGACGCAGCGACCTTTCTGCATGACTATGATCTTGTCGGCGGATTTGATAGTCGATAGACGATGCGCGATGGTGATGGTAGTCCGGTTCCTGGAAACTCTTTCGAGGGCGGCTTGCACGATGCGCTCGCCACGCACGTCAATAGCGGATGTGGCTTCATCGAGAATGAGTATCTTTGGTTGCTTCGCGATACTGCGCGCAATGGCGATGCGTTGGCGCTGGCCGCCGGAAAGCTTTGTGCCGGATTCGCCGACCATTGTCTGGTACCCATCGGGAAGACGGTCGATGAACTCGTCGGCAAACGCCTCTTTACAAGCTTCTTCGACCAGCTCCTTCTTGCGCTCGTCGCTCGCATTCTCGTTCTCGGAGCCAACTAGTCCGTACGCGACGTTGTTGAAAATCGTATCGTTGAAGAGGAAGGGCTCCTGCTGTACCAGACCGATCTGTGACCTCCACCACCTGATGTCTACCTCATCGATCGAGTGCCCAGACAAGGTGATGCTACCCTTGAGCTCGACGGGGGTCTCTTCATCTTCCACGATCAGTGGTCCAGCTGGATTGACGGTTTCCTCAGACTTGGTCTCGGAACTGTCCTGGCCCTTGCTATTCTTCTTTCCTTTCTTCTTCTTCTTCTCCTCCTTCTTCCTTTTCTTCTCTTCTGCCTCCTTCTCTTTGTCCTTCTCCACTGTCTTGGCAATGACATATTGGCCATTCTTGAGTGAGTACCATCTCTCAATCAGGCCGACTATGGTGCTTTTGCCGGAGCCGGAAGGTCCCACAATCGCTGTGACTTTGCCCGCCTCGATGTGTATGTCTAGACCGTCCAGGACCTTGACGTGCGGGCGGCTAGGATAGGCAAAGTCCACATCGGAAAAGACGATGTCGTCTGTAGCGGAAACGTCGGGTTCTTGGAGAGTGCCAGGGCTCGGAGGAGGAGCGTCGATGATGGCGAAGAACTCCGCAGCAGCGACCATCGCCTTGGAGGCCTGGATCAGCGGGCTCGATACCCGCTCGAGGGAAATGACCATGAGCATGACCGACATGAGGACAATCACAATTTCGCCCACGTTGTCGAGATAGCCCTCCACGAAGAGTTTGGTGCCGTACCAGAATGCCAGGGCGAAGGCGGCGTACATCCCAAAGAAGACCAGACCAAACTGGACCGCCATAAACGGAGCCATCGTCTGTCCATGCTTTTGGGCCTTTCGTACCCATTCCGCGTAACGTTTCGCCATTCTGGACTCGGCACCGCAAGCTGCGATCATTTTTATACTGCTGAATGCTTCATTAGCCACCGAGCCTGCCTTGGTCTCGGCCTGTCCTTGTGTGAGCATATAATTACTATTCTCGAGCTCGAAAGCACAACAATCTTGTCCATACCTTGGTAAGCAGCCCCTGGAGTTTGATGATAAAGGGGAGCAGGATACTGATGACTATCAAGATGAATATAATCATGGTTGAGGTAACGAGTGTCAGTCGCCAGTTCCGGGTAAAGGCGATGATGAGGGCCGAGATGATGGTGGCATTGAATTCGAAGTAGGTCCCCAGCTTCTCGCCAATGCCGCTCTGCAAAGTGTTGGCCGTTGTCGTGATGGTTCCCGCGGCCGCTCCAGATGGCATGGAGTCCAGCACATGGACTGTTTGACTGAACAGGCATTGCAAGTAGTGTGCCCGAATGGCAGCAGACATGCGTATACTGATCATGCGGAAGCAGAACTAGAACTTGTCAGCAAGCTTCGCCGCGCGAAACGGAGACAAGAGTGCGAAAGTACCTTGTTGAAGTAACCGAGGAAGAAGCGACCGATGAAGAGGGCGAAGATGTAGAGGGAAAGTTTGTCAAGACTTTTCTCGAAATCGCGGATCATGGCCGCCGCACCAGGACCTGCTTTGCTCGGGTCAAAGTCGGCGAAGTTGCCGACAAGTTGTCCAAAGACGACGTTCATCAAGGGTAGTGTCTGGTGGCTGTCAGTAGCTTCACAATACCAACCATACGGCCTCGACTTACAATGCCAGCGCCAATGGCTGATACAATTGCAATGGCCATCAACAAGAAGTCCCATTTTCTCGCATACGTAAATATCCGGATATAATCCTTGAAACTGGCTTGTCTCTCTGGGCGGGCCTTGCTTTGTTGTTGCGCTTTTGGCGTTCCTGTACTCTCGTCCACCTTTTCTTCACGTGTTGGTGGTTGATCCTCGTCCCTGGTGTGAAGAAGTGGCGGTTGAGGCTGTAACGGCGCTGGAGCAGCCGGCTCCATGGCCTGGACTTTCTCTGGATCCATGATTAACAGGCAATGACCGTGTTAGTCCGATGAATCTGCAGTCACGGCAGAGGAACGCAGATGTCCCCCGGCGAGTTGCCCGACGACAATATTCTGGACCGAGACGAAGCCGTTGGTGGTGCGGACGCACGATAGCTTCTGCCTACTTGGCGTGTTTACCACAGGACGTCATCCATTTGCTTGGTGAGCCGTCGACACAGAGAGAAGTAGTTAACGAAGGTCTACTGACAGCCGTCTAATATGGAGAACACGAGAGGATGGCTAACAAAGAAGCAAGCACTGAGTTTATCAATGGCCTGGTGACTGACAGGGTTTTATTAGTCTCTCCAGGAGTGCCAAGAGATCTAGGCATGAACCGGGGTCATTGCGCAGGACTGTTCTAGGTAAATGGTCAGGATGAGGCGCCACTGAGCTAGCATTCGACAACAGGTGTGCTGACCCCTTTGCGATGATCAAGATGGGGGGCGATTCGATGTAACTAATTACTTGCAATTCCTTAGTTAGACCGCATGTCTGAACAGAATTACGGCGGGGCATGGGGCACGGGAAGGCTAGGGCTTCCGGCCTGGAACTACAAGATACCTATCCTAGGGCGACTTAGGTAGGTAGTACCTGGTGCTGCATCATGTAACGAACGTTACTTCCTGAATGATGGATATCTCACGCCTCCGGGGAGTCGGGTTACGGAATCGCTTACTTCAGAGCAGACGCACTGGTAATTGAACCGAGCACCCCGACGAAGGCGGCCGGCTCCACCCCGGAACCCGTGGCCTAGCGGTGCGTCAAGCATTGATGTACTCCGTAGGGAAATCAATCGCATGCTGCGACAGCGGGTGCGAGTACAAAAACTAATCCAGGCGCCCTCATTGGAATATCGCACCAACGCCATACTTGCTTTGTAGACATAAGATTTCGTTGTGGGGCTGTCGGTCCCTAGCCGGCTTTCGAGGTCGGACGACGTAATCGTAATGCTTACCGCTTTGGGCATTTTACGACAATGCCAATGCGACGCAGCCGTAGTCAGCATCCCTTCAAACTTTAGTGCAAGCAAATGAAGCAATTGTACGAGAGATACGACGCCCTTTCCTTGGTGCAATCTATCTCGCCTGGGTAAGGTAAAGTGCAAAACCACGAGTCACCCGAGTCTACTTGACTTGGCAGAAAGACCACAAAGGAATCAAGGCCCCAGGAATTCGTGGTCGCGGTCGTCATCACGGCTGAACCATACGTCCGAGCTGACCAGGCAGCCAAATTTGTTGATGTTTCACCATGGTCCCTGAGCCTTTTCGGGCATCCACGAGCCACTTACAATCAGATGAGCTCGAGAATTAAGTTCAGGATAGTACCCAAGCTGAAGATCACGAAACTTGATGGGTGTACGTTCAGACGAGAGTCGACTCAACCCCATTCAATTCGTACCGAAACTAAATCCCCGCAATCTGGCCCCGTACAAGTGCCGATAGGTCGTCTGCAATGCCTGGCAATGGAATAGCCAAAGACTCGTGGATCTTCAAGTCACTTATCTACACAGTTTCAGTTGGAGTAAGTAAAGCTCAAGACCTGCCCAAATTTGGCACTTACAACAGCATTGCTACCTAGTGATTCGAGCACACATACAGTTCACAAGGTAACCAGTGTTCATCTCTAAATGGAACCATGAGACGTGGCGGCGACTGAAAGTAGCACTAAGGTGACTATGAAAAAGACAAGGTAATAGAAGGGACAGAGCTTGTGTGTCCAATTCCTCCAGACTTATGGGGAGAAGAAGAAGCTTGGGTTCTCACTTCTTGTCATCTACAGGTAGATTCATGTGAGTGGTGGAATTGCAAGGGGCACTCAAGAAAAAGGCTATTACGCTTTCATTATGTCCAACTGGGGTTTGGTTGTGCCATTTTCAACTATCGGATGATCAGTTCGACAGAGGAAGTAATAGAAACAAGACGCACCGGACTAGGAAAGAAGAGAAATCTTTGCCCTTGTGTTCTATTCTCAAAGCCTACTTGATGAAGTAAGTAGATGGATGACTGGAGGTGACCCTGTGCTGTCCAGTGTTGATTGCCCAAAACGGCAGGGTAAGGTAGTGGGGGTGGGGCCGTGCTTGGAGGGGCCGACCAACGGCGAGAGACATCTCGTCAGGCTGGCTGATTAGCCTTGCATTCTACACTTGTTTAGTGGCATGAAAAAAAATACCCTACCCAGAAAGCGTCAATTTACCCCGAAGAGTCACACAACCACACTTTCCTGGCCGAGGTGACTTGTTGCTGCTGCACCGAGTCCTTCCCCTCCGCTTGCCCTCCTCACCCACAAGTGACATCAGTCGCATCTGAATGCGGATACTAGTGTCAGCAGTTCTCAGGTCCGCCAGACCATCACCACGCCTACGACCCCTATCGAGTTTCTACATCAACCCCACCATCGTCGGACGAGACCTGTCGCGAAGCTTCACGTCCAGCACAGCCCGTCGCAGCCAGCTTGACGACGACGCAAGCATGGCTCCCAAATTCGAGCTCAAGACCCCCAAGGGCACGCGGGATTGGGCAGGGAAGGATCTGGTTGTCCGCGAGAAAATCTTTGCCAATATTGTCGACGTCTTCAAGCGTCACGGTGGTGTCTCTCTCGACACTCCCGTCTTCGAGCTCAAGGAGATCCTGTCGGGCAAGTACGGAGAGGACAGCAAGTTGATCTACGACTTGAAGGACCAAGGCGGCGAGCTGTGCTCTTTGCGATACGACCTGACGGTCCCCTTTGCGAGATGGCTCGCGTGCAACAAGGACGTCCAGAATATCAAGCGTTATCACCTCTCCAAGGTCTACAGACGTGATGCCCCCGCTGTCGCGAAAGGTCGCATGCGAGAGTTCTACCAGTGCGACTTCGATATCGCCGGCGCGTATGACGCCATGATCCCCGATGCTGAGATCATCCGGATCATTGTCGAGGTTTTTGACGGCCTTGGCTGGGGCGGAAACTACACAATCAAGCTGAACCACCGCAAGATCCTGGACGGTATCTTTCAAGTCTGCGGTGTCCCCGATGACAAGCTGAGGACGATATCCTCGGCCGTCGACAAGCTGGACAAGTCGCCGTGGGCTGAAGTGCGACGCGAGATGACCGAGGACAAGGGGCTGGCCGAGGACATCGCGGACAGGATAGGCGAATGGGTGGTGCTGAAGGGCAAGCGGGAGCTGCTGGAGAAGCTGCAGAAGGACGAGAAGCTCTCTGCCAACGAGTCGATGAAGCAGGGCATGGCTGATCTTGAGCTGTTGTTCACATACCTCGAGGACCTCGAGGCCCTCGGCCCGGTCTCGTTCGACCTGAGTCTTGCCCGTGGTCTTGACTACTACGTGGGTCATATCAGATCGACGGTACTCGATGTTGCGTTGATTGCTAACAATATTCGCAGACCGGCGTCATCTACGAGGTTGTTACCGAGGGCTCAGCACCCCCTGTTGCCTCTGCCACGGACGGCGAGAAGCCGGCAAAGAAGAAGAAGTCAAAGGCTAGCGAAGACGACGACCGTTCTGATGACCCCACCGTCGGTGTTGGCAGTGTTGCGGCGGGTGGCCGTTATGACAACCTCGTTGGCATGTTCTCCGGCAAGAACCAGGTCCCCTGTGTCGGTATCTCGTTCGGTGTGGATCGCATCTTCTCTATCACCAAGGCACGGATGGCAGCACAGAAGGCCGAGGTCCGGAATAACGAGACCGATGTCTACGTCATGGCATTTGGAGGTATGTGTAGCCGTTGCTTGGCCACCGCGGCGTTCTGGTAGCTAACAGCGAATACAGGCAAGGGCTTTAATGGCATGCTGAAGGAGCGCATGTCCGTGTGCTCCACTCTGTGGAAGGAGGGCATCAAGGTACGTTTTGGACGGCGATACATCCAATCATCTAGAGTTCTTGTCGTTTGTTCGATCCATGGCTGACTGATCATACTCGTAGGCCGAGTTTCTGTACAAGAACAAGCCCAAGCTGCAGAACCAGTTCAAGGCAGCGGAAACCAACAACGTTCCGTTCGCGGTCATCCTGGGCGAAGAGGAACTCGCGCAGGGCAAGGTCAAGATCAAGCAGATGGGCCTTTCGGATGGGCACCCCGAGAAGGACGGCGTGCTCGTCGACCTCAGCAACCTGGCAGCCGAGGTCAAGACCAGGCTGGAGAGGAGTCACGCGTTGGACGAGCTGGCCGTGCGGGCAGAGGGCCTCAAGGTTGTCCACGGCATCAAGGGCGATGACAGCAAGCCCGCCGACAGCAATGCCGAGGCGGCTGCTGTTGATGCCGCGCTCGCCGAGCCTGCGAAAACAGAGTGAAAAAGAAACAAAAAATATGAGAGCTGATAAAAATAGATAGCGGAACCCTCTATCTCAGGTAGGGTCGTGGGCTAACGCGGCCGATCGGGTTTCACAGTAGAAAAAAAAAAGGAAAAATGTATGTCATCCAAGACCAAAAAGCAAAGGCAGTGCTCTCACGGAATTACCGCCGCCGAAGCCCTTACACGAGTTTTCTACCGAGTCTCCGAGTGGCAGGTTTGCCAGTTGTCACTGGATCTCAAAAGCAACGGGCAGGAGGAGTGGCTTGTCCTATTGCACGTCTAGAAGGCCCATGTCAGCCACCTCGTGCGTTGCCGGATCCAACCGAGACCCAGATGCTGTGCTGGCAAAGGCACTAAAGTAAGAAGAGGCCCGTTGGTGGGCTATCGGCTCATGGGGATCCATCTCTGGGTCACAATCGAGAAATCCGATCCTTGCGAGCACGCAGCTCTGACGGGTGAGTACGACCATACGTTGTATGGGGCCCCGTTTTGGGGAGAGAGCACGCCAAAGTGCCTGAGCTCTATGCGAAGTAACATCGGTTGTATGCACTGGGGACTCGTTTCTTGCTGTGATAAGATCTAACTTGTGTATGATAACTAGTCCGTTTGTATAGCCATTACTTGGCAAGACGTTGCGAGGTCTGTGGGGTGGAAATGGTTCGGACGAGTTTTTGTGTGTTCTAGGTACGGAGCATCTGAAAGTGCCCCATCCATGGTGCTCATTGCTTCTTCACCGACAGTAGTTACTCCGTACTTGTAGTTCAATGGGGTCGACGCTGACTCCGGACACAGTCTTTCGAAGCTGACTACCTCCGGAGTATGGGTCTCTCGTGTCTCTGCTGGATACAAGATGCACCATGCTGATCAATAGCAGGCGTATCCAGGCTGACGGTCGATGCTAGGCCATGGGCCAGCGATGCCCGCGTTGCATTGGTAAATGTGACGGTTCGTGATCTGACGCAGGGGTGCGGAGAAAGGTGTGGAGCTGGCGGCATGCGGCGGCGCCCCGGCACGGACCAAGCCTGTTTGTCCGGCTCGTCTGCTACTGCAACCACTCAGAGGGCTAGCCGCCCCTTCTGACCCCGTCTCTCGGTCCTCGCGCACTCACCCAGGCCCAGACGAGCTTGGAACGGTGGTGAGGAGGCGGCTCTCAGACTCGAAGCACTGGCCGTGTGTCAGGTGCTGACGCAGGGTGTTCCTGCAGTGCGTTCTGTCAATTGTTTGTGTGTGTGCCTTGCAGGTTCTTTTCCAGAGCCTCTTCAGGAAGAGTGAGGGGGGGGGACTGGACCATGACCAGGTCTGCCGACGTTGAACCCACCATAGTACGCTGTATTAAGGGGGGTTTTGCTGTTGGACATACAAGTATTGTCAGGGAGGTTTTTTCTTTTGCAGAAGTGCGAGCCCCACACGCGCAAAGCAAACATCAAAGGTTGGACGAACCGATGGCTGGGACATTTCCCCCAATTTCGCTGCTCCCACCATACAGAGTGCCAGGCCAGCTCGTCGGTTTGCAGCCACCAAATGGCCGAATGGGTTTTCCTGTCTTCCCGCCTCATCTTTTGTTGCACCCCCGTTGGCATTGATCCCCTTTCCCCCCCTCCCATGCAGCATTTCATTACCAACGCGCCAGGAGCCAGCAGCTTGGGCCACCTGGTGTCATAGCAAGCCCTGGCCTTGACCAGCTCCCCCCCAGCTAGCCTCAACTCGGCTGCTCACCCGTGCCCCAATCTAACTCGTAATAGACCCAGGCATCCCAGCAAGCACATCCAATATTCCCCTGCCAGTCAGGGGATCATCCATGTTCCTTGCAGCTCAAGTGCTCTCGAGAGGATGCGGGCACCCAGCAGACCCAAAGGCAGGGCCGTCTGTGAATGGCTTTGCCCAAAATCGATCTGGATCCTTCATGCGAAAAGGAGGAGCCTCTACTGAACTCTGCTATCCACCTGTGCCCTCTCTCCCGGGACTGATGGTGCGTACTCCGTATGCATACATGGATGGATGGGCATTGTCGATGCTCGTCGGTATCTCGCGCTCTCTTTCTTTTTTTCCTGGCTCCTGTCGTGTGTCCCGTCATCTATCCATCCATCCATCCATCCTTTTCTCTCTTTCAAAGCAGTCGTCCTTTCGTCCACAGACACCTCTCGTCCTCCTCAACAGCAGGAAGCAGCAGACGTAGCTCTGCTCGGGAAATACATTCATTCTGCGGTGGCTTGCCATCACTCCGTTCTTTGCCGTGTTTGATTGCTTCTTCTCGTCCCATCTGCTTCTCTTTCTGCTTCGACAGAACCTTCCCTTCTAAAAGTGTGGTTACGGTACTCGACTTTCAGCCGTGCTCCCTCTCAGACAAACGTCCCGCTCCGTGTAAAAGTTGCCGAGCCGTGTTTGGTGGTTGTTTTTAACCCTCCTCGCTCTCCCTTCTTTCCTGGTTGCACTACTCGGTCGAGTGTGTTCCAGGTGTTTTGTCACTCGAAACTGTGAAGCACCACCAAGCCGCCGCCCTTGGAGGACGATCAGCCTAAAAACGGTCAAGACCATCTGGCACCTCCTGAACCAAGAATTGCGTTTCCCGCGGGACCGTCACATAGCTTACAAGTCGAAGCTCGTGCTGCTCAAAGGCGCCGGGCACTCTGCCGATCAGAAGGGGTGACAAACGTCACCTCCTTGCTTCATCCGAACACAGCCCTGGCTTGCTAGTGAGCTGTCACCACCAATCGAGCCTCCACTCCTCCCCCCAGATACCGACCACAAACACAGGTGCGACCCGTCAGACTATCTGGTCCTTGCTTTTTCAGTTCGATGCAGCTGTCGACTTAGACGGACCAATCGGTTGCTCCAAGAGGCCCTCCGTGCCTTGGGAACTCGGGTTGCCAGGTTATACATCATATTCGGAAGCCCGGGTGCCTGCATCTCATCCAGGCTACACCAGACTGCATAATTGGTGTGACGCCGCAGCGGACTGCTCATCCAACAAAAACCAATTGCTTCACCGATCTTGTTCAGCTGAACTTTCGCCACCTCTTTGCACACACACCGCACGTCCAAGTCGTCCAGCTCCTTCGTCATGCCTGGTCTAATACCCCTTATGCTGCAGCCCTCGGGGGCGGGCAGCCGGTCCAGCATCGCCTCCTTCCCTTCACCACCTCTTGGCCGGACGCACACTCGTCACCAAAGCGCAGGATCGATTCCGACAGCGATCCCGCTTAGGCCCAGGGTTCTGAGGTATTCTACGCAGCCAGCGCCGCCGCCGACCATGGTGAATCTTCCCTATACCCCTGCCGATTGGAGGCGGACGATGGCAGAGATCAAGAGGCAGCATCAGAGCAAGAGATATCGCGCTTGCTCCGCACGGTGCACCGAGATCCTGGACAACCTCAAGGATCTGACTCGGATCGAGCCTGCTCACCTCATCTATCTTCATTTCTATGCGGCTCACTCGATGGAGATGTGTGCTCGGGCGCTCTTCAACGCCTCGCCCTACAGAGCGCAGCTCCTGGATCAAGCACGCACGCACTACGACCGTGCTGCCGCATTGATTGAGAAGGCAGAAGACTCCGTGACGGCCAAGACGCGCTCAAGCTCTAGGGCGTCCAGCATCTCGAGCTGCCACTCTCCTTCCGGGTCTGTGAGCTCGCAGGCGTGGTCAGTAGACACTGGCATCTCTTCCCCTGCTCGGTCTGTCTGCTCCTTCGAGGACCTCGCTTCCAAGTCCCAGCCCCAGACGCCAGTCTCGCCCGTCCGCCCGATCAAGAAGAAGGTGTCCTTCTCGCTGCCCGAGCCAGAGAAGGAGGAGCCAGTGCCCGAGGCCCCCGTGGAGCCGTTCATCCGTCCCGATTCCCCTACGCTTGGAATCGAGGACGAGTACCTGATGTTTGCCTGCGGGCGCAAGGAGCTGCCCAAGCCACCAGAGCCGGCCGTCCAGGTCGTGCAGGAAGCCGAGGAGGAAGAAGAGGAGGAGACAACCCCGAGGGCGTCGGTCCTGCCGACGAACCCCTTCGACGACGCGCTCGACCAGTTCCACCAGTTCCGCGACTCGTTCGCCCTCCTGGGCTCGGTCAACCGCTACTGCGACCACCTGTCGACGCTCAAGTTCCAGCTGGCCTCGCACTCGTCCAACCTCAACACGCTCCTCGAGGACCCGCGCGCCGAGGACGAGCACCCGCCCCTCGCCGCCGCCGCCGGCACCAGCGCCAGCACCAGGGCCGCGACACCCGCCGGCGACGAGGCGCGCAGCCTCGACAAGCAGGCGCGCATCGAGCGCCTGCGCAGGAACGGCTGGCAGCGGAAGCGCTTCGACCCGCGCCGGTACGAGCAGCTGTGCAACTCCGTCATGGCCGAGATGTCCTGATCTGCCTCTTTCTTCTTCTTCTCTCTCTCCTTCTTTGGGCACCATGCAACGACAGCTGGCCCTTTGTTCATATTACAACTTTTGTCTTTTTTAGCGAACAAACTCACAAGGTACAAAAAAGCATAGCGTAGCATGGATCAAAAATTCCGGGTCCCTGGCCTAATGGCGTTGCATACACAGCACATTCGTATCACAATATTCTTACTGTTTTATAGTTATTTTTCATCTTTTCTTGATCGGATTGTTTAGCTCTTAGGTGGAAACGGAACCTGCTGGCGTTTTCATCTTGTACGGAAAAGTACCCTTCTTTTTGATATACATGTATCACCGGCGCTCTCTGTTTTGCAATCCTGCAAAAGCAAGAGACCTCCTCTTTTTTTCACTGTATGATAGTTGTCATGGTTGGACAGCTTTGAGATGGGGACATGGGCTTAATTTCAAGCTGGGCGTGTGAATCAAGACGATTGAAGAGTTTGACATGAGATCCAAGATGACAAGTGAGACAAGTGAGCATTATTTGTAGATTGTATATCACGATCCGATTTGCCCTTTCCTCGTCCCGAACCGTTCATAAAGTACGGGATGAAATGCCCAAGTCAGCAGAAGGACAATAACCCCTTCGTCCTACCAAGAAGTTACTTTCATTTCCAACATCAAGAACCCAGGAAAAAGGAATCTGAATAATCCGTAGATATATGAAGAGAGAAGCTCAGGCTAGATAGGAGTTCCCGACACACAAAGACGCACACATGAAACTGGTTTCTTTTTCTTCTGCCTTGACAGAACCCAAAAAACAAGCCCTTACAAGGCCACAAAACCGCATCTTCCCAACATGATGATGTAAAGAGATCCCCCCGGTATATCCTGCGCATTCCCCAAGCTTGTCGATGTGATAAAAGCATATGCCACTCAACTCACCTCCTCTCTCCTTGGGACGACATCACCACCCGTAAATGCACCCGACGAAAACCATCATCACCCGTGGAAGCTCCGCCGCTTGACCTCCTTCTCCACCTCCTCGGCGGCCTTGAGCGTCTGCTCCTGCTGCTTCATCTCGCGCACCTTGGCCAGCACGACCTCGCGGAAGATGGCGCCCTTGATCGCCTTGGACAGGTTGCGCTTGCCCGCGCCGCCGCCGCCCTCCTGGCCCGCCGCCGCCGCGTCCGCACCGGCCGATGACGACCCCGACCCCGCCGCCTTGCGCGACTGGTCGGCCGCCCACGTCGCGTCGCCGGGCAGGTCCGAGTGGTCGGCGTCCTCGTCCTCCTGCATCTTGAGCGCCTCGATGCGGTTCGTGAGCTTGACGAGCTCGATGCCGCGCTTGAGGCGCGCCTTGGCCATGAAGGCCTTGATCTCGGGCAGCAGGTTGTGGTCGGTGGCGCTCTCGCCGCGCAGCCAGGGGTGCGCGAGGGCCTGGCCCGACGACCAGCGGTCGTCCGGGTTGGGCTGCAGCAGGTGCATGATGAAGTCCTTGGCGTCCTGCGAGACGTCCTTCCAGTAGCGCTCGTGGAAGACGACCTGGGCCGAGGAGCACTCGTCGATGAGGTCCTGCAGGTTCTCGGAGCGGAAGGGCGAGTAGCCGCACAGCAGCGTGTAGGTGATGACGCCCATCGACCACATGTCGACGGGCTTGCCGTGGCCCTTCTTGAGCATCACCTCGGGCGCGGCGTAGCCGAAGGAGCCGGCCATGGTCGTCAGGACCTCGTCCTTGGAGTCGAGCATCTTTGCGATGCCAAAGTCGGCGAGGACGAGGTCCGAGTCCGGGTTCCGGTTGAGGTAGAGCAGGTTCTCTGGTTTCAGGTCTGGGGACCGGCGTTAGCTTTGTGGCACTTCCTGTGAAAGGGTATGTGTAGAACGTGTGAAGAGCATACCTCTGTGCACGACATTCTTGCTGTGTAGATAGTCGACAGCTTCGAGCACCTGTCTGATGGTTTGAGAAGCATCCTTCTCAGTAAATCGCCCCTGCTCGCAGATCCTGTCGAACAGCTCTCCGCCAGTCGCCAGCTCGGTGACGATGTAATATTTGTCCTACACGGCACAATCAGTCGCTGTGACCTTCGCGTATGCGTATGATCAGTTTCACTCACTCTCGACTCAAACCAGTCAACAAACTTGACAATGTGAGGGTGCTGGAGTCGCTGGAGCATATCCAGCTCGTCGTACACCATGCGCTCGTTGCCCTTGACATTTTTCTTGAGGATAATCTTAATAGCCACCTTGCTGTTAGGGCCGTCCGCCTCCCTGACGATACCGTATGTGCCTGCGCCTAGGGTTCTTCCGAATCGATATTTCGACCTGCGTTGTGTGCCTATGTCAGACTTGGGGATCAATGTGCGGCTGAAGAAGCACCAGCTTACTTCTTGTCGTAACTCTCGGGCTGCCCGTGGAGGCGGTTGAGCATATTGGCGACTAACAAGGCAGATAATGTTAGCCAATTTCCCGAACATTGGGCTATGGGAGCAAACAACGTCTGTAGAACAGCCTGTCTTTTGCAGAGCCTCGTGCGCCGGACTTAAGCCGAGTGCTGGTCGACTTACAACTCATATTGGGGACTCTGGTCGTCTCTCGGTAGGCCGCTAATGGGCTGAAGCTATCCGCCGATTGAAAGCGCGGCGCAACTCGAACTCGACTGAAAAGGCAGTCGGGTTGATAGGCGATGGATGTATGGAGAGACGAGGTAGTTGGTAAGATCGTCCGCGGAGGAGGGAGGTTGAAGAGCACAAAAGTAGTCGAGAAGGCTGCGGATCGGGTTCAGCTGTGCTTGGGCGTGGATGCGATGAGGGGTCGCTGTGCTGTAATACGCGGGGCCCGCTGGTTGGCGATAAGCCTGCCAGGAACGAAGCGACAAAGGGGGGGGGAGGGAGGGGGGAAGAATAAATGCCAATGATATCCGTGACAATGACCGCGATGCTGGCGGGCACAGGATAGAAATAGCAGCACGACCCAGGAAGTGAGGTAAGAAGAGGTAAGCTGGCGAATAAGCCTTATGAGTTTGACTCGGCCTGGTCCGTGAAGCTGTGCACTCCAATACTTGAACGGCATGCAGCAGCGCACCCGCCGACGTGATGATGGGAACCTTGGAAGGGGGGGAAGGTCAGGCCCTCCGCCCACCCAACTGTGACCCATGGGTGCCCCATTGTTCGTCATTCGCTCCCAGGCTAGGACCTAACCTGCCGGCGTCCAGTCCAGCTGGGTCCCGCTAGCATCTGGGCTCCGTCGGCTGGGAGGGCTCCTTTCCAGGGCTGAGGGGCCGGCTAAGAATTGCACAGCCTCGTGGCTGTATAAGGTACAATCTCTATCGTGTTCCTCTCCCCATCATAGGAGATGAACTGGCACAAACGGAGCCACTGGCATATTCTTACTTCATTGGGTAGTTACATGTGGCAGAATTCTCGGAGCTGCCCATGACATGTCAAACGGTGTGGCAAAGAGATGATGACTGCTCCCGACAAGGCGTAACTCTGGGCGGACGCTGGCTGGCAGTTTCATGCTATGGTGTCGGCACCTGTTATTCCTCTTTAAGCAGTGAGACCAACTAAGTAAACGGTACCTGGGCTTACCGATCTAGGTACCTCAAGGTCTCAGGGCATCTTGTTTGCTTGCCCAAGTAAGTACATGATTCGTCGCGCCATCTCTTTACGAGGACATACAGGCACGGAGCAGAGTAGTTCATCACTCACAGGCTCCTACGCCGTTCTTTTCAAGGGAAAGTATGATCACCACGTATGCACCCGCCACTTCGTCCACGACGAAGATGATACGATGCAGACAGACTCGACCTGTTATCGATACTCGCCAATGATGTTTGTGCTCCATACAAGTCCAGGTAGGTAGCTACCTAGGTATGTACTCGGAAACCGACTGAGCAAGCGTCTCTTCAGGCCAGTCACAATGGTTGTGGCGCTTCTCATACTCCTGTCTGCTGGTTGGGCGGACAGGCGAGGACCTTGTCGGGCACGGATCCTGTCGGAGCCTTACCCTGAAGAGGTGGGTTCAGCAGTGGCCCGTCCCAGTCATCCGTGATTGTCTCGACCAGTAAAACCTCTATGCACTCTAGGACCATTCCCAAACAGGCCCTAGCACTAGAGCACAGCGCCCCAACACCTGGGGATGTACTCGGTAGACGCTATCTGGCAGGTCACATCACCACACGGGACTGTGCCTAAAAGCTCCAGTACTTAGACCTGATAATCACAAGACATCTTCTTGTCCTGATTCTTAACCCAAGGCCCTTACCACCGGGAGCCGTGATCCCTGGCTGCATCGTCCTTTTATTTTATTTTCTGCATCTCTTCGCCTTTCCTTTGCACCTCAGTCTCCGTCGCTCAACCCACCTAGAGCCTTGAAAGATCAATCTTCTTCTTCTCGTCTGAGAGCTCCTTCTCGGCCAGCTAGCCCCGCCAACCCTCGATCTAGTTACCCCACAGTGTTCACGACATCCATCCTTCTCTTCTGCCTACTGCTGTTGATCCCTAAAGCACTTTCAGTGCGAACATCCTACCGGATATTGCGATATGGCCTTCGCTACCAAGAGGTTGCAGAAGGAACTTGTCAAGGTAGGAATCCCTTCTCTTGATGAGGACTGTGGATTTCTTCCGCTCACCCAAGTCGCGTTAGATTCACCATGGCCTCCCGCCAGGCATCGAGCTAGTTTCATCCGACAACCTCGAGGAGTGGCATCTTGATATTCGGGTTCTCGACCAGAACCCGTTGTATCTAAACCAGATATACAGACTGAAGTTCAAGTTCAGCTCGTCATACCCGATTGGTACGTCTCGAACCGGGGGCGTAGTCGATCTGTTGCGACGTTCGCCCGGGAAAAAGCTAACAACCGCCCCCCCAGAGCCGCCCGAAGTCGTGTTTGTGAAGCTGCCCGACCGTCCAATCCCTATGCACCCCCACATCTACTCCAACGGCATCATCTGCCTGGATCTTCTCGGCCAACAAGGATGGAGTCCAGTGCAGAACGTTGAGAGTGTCTGCATGAGCATCCAGAGCATGCTGACCGGCAATTCCAAGAACGAGCGGCCCCCCGGCGACGAAGAGTTCGTGCGCGGTAACCGGCAACGACCCAGAGACATCGACTTCTACTATCACGATAACACCGTCTGATACATGAGATGCTGGGGAGGCTCCCGCCTCTTTCACCAAATCCCTCGAGCTGGCGCTTAGCGAATTGGTTATTCTTGCACATAGAGGGTTGGTGTTTGTCAATGCATGTTTGGATTCAGACAAAAGGGTATTCACACAGGAGTTGCGGTCATTATGGGATCGGATATTACGACTTTTTTTTTTTTGCACCGCGGCGTCACCCGCGAACTACAACGGCAGCATCTTGGGAAAGCGAGTGGATTTCGGCATATTTCTTCTCCATTGAGCTGTTCGATTTGGTACTGATCGAAGAGCTATCACGACCCTGCCCAGGATTAGTCTCGAATGAATCGCCTCCTACTGAGCGGGAGAGACTTATCTGCTCCTGCATCTTCTGTGGCACCGTAATAAGTGGGATGTGGAATTGGAGTCATCTGCGGTTTTCTCTCTGGGCTAGGTTGTCTGACATATGTGGTGAATACAGGGACAAATGCGTGGTGTTTTACAAACTTGATGAAGTAGTCCAACGACAGAACTAGGATCGGGACGAGTTTACACAAACTCTGGTCTTTGACCATACGGTCGAGATGCAGCATGTCAGTAATTCATAAAGTCATACATCTAAGTTTCGACAGAACGGTCTATCCTGTAGTTATTAATCTTGATCTTTCGTATCCTTGCTTGATGGGTGCCTTGCTAGAGCACAGGGGCGCTTTGCGCGTACCTACATTACGCATTACGGAGTACCCTGAGGTGAGCGGGCGTGGAGATCGACACTAATTTAGTGCGACTTGCCAGGTAACTACCTAGGTACAATACTGAGCTGGTGACGTCCCCGCCTCGGAGCTCCAATTTCCAAATCCCCATTTCCAACTGCAACATCGACAAACACCTCAACAGCTAAGCGCTCCGTCCAGCTTTATTCGACGGCCCGCGCCATCCTCATGGAGAGCGCACAATGGCTCCTCATGTAGGGTTTGACAGTGGCCAGATCAGGGACAAGGCCCGAAAGGACCTCCTGTATCTCCTCGAGGGCGTAAGTACGGCTGCACTCACCGTTGCATGTTGCGCCCGCCACGGCTCTGACTAGGCTGCTGTAGGTGCGCGGAAAGAAGAACATAGTCCTTGAGAAGTGCCTTGCAGGCCCGGTAGGGACCTTTGTCAAGGTTTCGACTCTGCAAGACTACGGGGTCGACAAGTTCTTTTTCCTCGAGAACAAGAACGCCGACACCAGCCAGCGTAATGTAGTCTTCATCGCCCGCGGCGAATGCGGCCGCCATGCTCAGACAATTGCCGGTCAGTCATACAATAACCTGCCTCCGTCCATAATCATGCTATGTCTATGAGATATCATACCCCAGTTTCCCACACACACACAGATGGGCTTAAGGTTAAGCTCACTCATTGTCGTGGATCAACCCGTGCCTGACCTCACCAAAGCGATCCAACCTCCAGCACCATTCTAGTCGCTCAGTCATGCAACTGGTATGAGCATATCTCATGCTGACACTATCGTAGACCAGATTCGTCGACTCCAACGTGAGAGCCAAACTGGCCATGAGTTCCACATCTTCTGGGTGCCGAGACGGACGCTGGTGTCGGACAAGCTCTTAGAGGAGGCCGGCGTCCTCGGCGATGTCAATATTGCAGAGCTTCCACTATACTTTTTCCCCTTGGAGAACGATGTTCTCTCGCTCGAACTCGAGGATTCGTTCCAAGACCTATACCTGTCCAAGGATCCGACACCTACCTTTCTCCTTGCCAAAGCCCTGATGGAGGTCCAACAGAAGCACGGCCTGTTCCCACGCATGATCGGCAAAGGCGACAACGCGAAGCGTGTAGCTGAACTGCTTTCACGCATGAGGCAGGAACTCCTCGCTGGCGAGGATGCGCACGAAACCAACAGGGTCGGTCTGAGCCCAAGTACCACCATGGAGAGCGTCATCATAATCGACCGCGAGGTCGACCTCGTCACCCCGCTACTAACTCAATTAACATACGAAGGCTTGATAGATGAAGTATTCGGTATTCAGAACAACCAGACTGAGGTGGACTCAACTATCGTCAGCGCCTCATCTCAATCCGCTTCGCAGAGCACATCAAGCGCAGTCGACACCGATACGCAGTCAAGGAAGCGAAAAGTCCAGCTTTATTCTTCTGACAAGCTCTTTGAGCAGCTGCGAGATACAAATTTTGCCATTGTCGGAACCCTACTCAACAAGGTCGCTCGACGTCTGGCAAGCGATTACGAGAGCAGACACAACACAAAAACCACAGCCGAGCTGAAGGCTTTTGTACAAAAACTGCCCGGTTATCAAGCCGAGCAAGCGAGCCTACATATTCATACCGGATTGGCCGAAGCGATCATCAAGTACACGAGGACGGATGAGTTTAGCAGCCTCTTGGAGGTGCAACAGAATCTCGCTGCTGGTGCAGATCCGTCGACTCAATTTGAAGCGATTGAGGAGTTGATCGCTCGGGATACGCCCTTGCCAGAGGTTCTTCGCCTGCTTTGCGTTTACTCATGTATCTCTGGCGGGATTAAGACGAAGGAGTTTGACCACTTCCGGCGACTTGTCCTTGAAGGCTATGGCTACCAGCACCTCCTCACGCTTCAGAATCTGGAGAAGCTGCAGATGTTTCTTTCACGATCGTCGCCATTAGCATCGATGATTCCAATGGCGGGCTCTGCCGGCACTACGGGCACCAAGACCAACTACACCTACCTGCGGAAGCAACTGCGACTGATCGTGGACGAGGTGAACGAGCACGACCCGAACGACATTGCCTACGTATATAGCGGATACGCTCCCCTTTCTATACGTCTCGTCCAGTGCATCCTCCAGAAGCAATACCTCCTGACAATAACCAAAGGCAACGGTGTTACGGGGGGCACGCAGGGCTGGAGGGGGTTTGACGAAGCAGTCAAGCATGCCCGAGGCCAAACATTCGACGAGCTGCAGAAGGGTGAGGATAAGGCCGTCAAGGCGCGGGCACTTTTGTCTGGCAATGGCAACAAAAAGACCGTGTTTGTCGTTTTTGTTGGCGGCGTTACGTTCACGGAGATTGCGGCTCTTCGCTTCATTGCGAAGCAGGAGGAAGGTTGGTTCCCAAGCACGACTTTGTGAATCATATGAATTGCACAAGCTGACAGATTCCTAAACAGAAAAACGGAACATCGTCATCTGTACCACCTCGATCATTAGCGGAGGGAAGATTATCCAGGCAGCTATGGAGACTGGGTCATTTCAGAAAGAGAGGGGGAACCAAAGCTCATGACGAACCTTTACACCCTGGGAAGCTCGAGAAGAAAGGCGCAAGGATCATACGCCGGGACAATCTTTCCTGCTGTAGAGAATCTTCGTGGCAGCGGGCCCAAGCATATATATACCCACGGAGGAGGAAGAGGACTTGCTCATAGAGAATCATAGAGAATGGCGACGGGTTGTGTCCATTGCCAGGACTTACCGATTACTGAAGGCTTCCCGCCTTTCTCGCCGTTTGTCACGATAACTCAAGAGTAGTAATAGTAAACAGCCGCATGATATCGTAATATGAGCACAGATTCTTTTCGATTGCCATCATCAGTTCGGAGGCGGACGGGCTGTGGAGGGGGGTTCGGGTTGCTCGTCCGGGCACTCACGTGATACGCTCTTGAATCGTATCAGTTTTCTGGGCCGGGATGGCTCGACTTGAGTATCAACCTCAACAATTGAGTAAATATACCAAGGAAGGAACATTACTTTCCGGCCTCTATTTCACATTTTCGTCTGCTCGCTGCGACCTCTGCAATCGAACGATCCATAGGGGCCGGCACCCAGTCTTCATCTAGACTTCGTACAGGGCATATGTCCAGGTGAGTCTCATTCGCACTGTGCGGGTGATTGAAGCATGGCTCTCACAAGTCTTATATCCCGACTAAATGTAACAAAAGTGCCCAGGCTCTGAAGCTGACAGGCCGTATGCAGATCACCCCATATGGACTCATAAACATTGGACATGATACATCAATAATACGGGGTGGTGTGGGCTGTGATACTTTGCATGGAACCAGACAGTTGGCCGGCCTGTCGATGCCCGCCCCCTTCCTCTTATATCAACTGAACCGCTCCGATCCCACAAGCCGAAACTAGATACGATGAGATCCAGCTTGCGGGACCGACCCGGAAAAGACAGTGGACTTGGAAAGCGGCTTCTCAAACCCACGCATAGGACGAAATCTCACCCTTCAAAGATCCTGCCCTCCGCCATCAACGCTAGTCTCGCCAAACCTTTGTCCCCCGCAACTAGCATATCGGATATCTCGCCGACCCCCGAGTCCTTTCACAGTTCATGGGCCGATAACACGGAAGAAATAGTGCCCGAGATCATCGTTTGTACGGATGATATGGATATCATAGACATGGACAGCAGCCCGGAGCCTGAGCCCGCAGAGACCTTGCAGGAGCCTGCCCAGTAAGCCCTTCCAGTTGACTTACGCCATGTGTGATGTTGTCTTTATGAGACTTGAAATTTCTTGTGCCCCTTGATCATTTGGTTCTGAGTTGACACGGCTTAATGTGCAGTAACGCCACCGATGAGAAGCCGCCTGTGGTGGAGAAGCCGGCCGTCGAGGAACCGATGGTGGAAGAGTCTACTGTTGAGGAACCAGTGGTAGAAAAACCTGCTGTTAAAGAACCAGTGGTGGAAACGCTCCCTGCTGCGGAACCAATTCTGGAAACTCCTCAGCTGTCCGCCGTGGTTGGGGAGGCTGGGACATCACTTGACTCTTCCTTGTCGGTTTTGACAGAGCAATCCGAGCTGTCATCCATTCCGTCTACCAAGGCTACCACCCCTGTCGACGTCGACAGCTCGAAGGACAACGGAGCGCCTTCTACACCGCAGCCGATCCCCGCTCCTGTCCCCGTCTCCGTTGTCGAGAAGCGCCCTGTCGCCAGAAGACGCTTCAATGTGCGCCCCAGGGTATCCATCCCCGTGGACCTGACACCTCAGGACTATGCCATTCAATGCGTGGCTGCTGCTGAGTCGTCGAGGCTGAACCCATACGCTCTGCACAACGAGGAGTACACGCTCCTGCGCAATCATATCAGCCATGCACAAGTCACGACATACCTGAACATCAGAAACGGCATTTTGCGATTATGGATCTCGAATCCCCAAATGAGTGTCCGTCGAGAAGAGGCCGTCGGCTGTGCCCGTGACGTGAGGTGGTTTGACGTGGCAAGTGTCTGCTATGACTGGCTTGTCCGACGTGGATATATCAACTTTGGCTGTGTGGAGGTACGACAATCGCGCAAGAAGCCGTCCAAGGAAGGCCCACTGAAGAGAAGAAAGAGAATCGCTGTCATCGGTGCGGGTATGTCCGGCCTCGGTTGTGCCCGGCAGCTGGAAGGCCTCTTCAAGCAGTATTCCAGAAGACTTTCAGAGCTCGGGGAAGAGCCACCAGAGGTCATCGTCCTGGAAGGACGGAACCGAGTGGGTGGGAGGGTATACTCTCGAGCATTTCAGGCAAAGCCAGAGAAACCTGCCCCTGGATTCGAAGACAAGAGGTGTACTGCTGAGATGGGTGGAATGATTATAACAGGGTTCGATAGGGGTAACCCAATGGACATACTCGTGAGAGGCCAGCTTCACCTTGGATACCACGCCCTGCTTCCCGAGACTACCATTTACGACTCGAATGGCAAACCAGTGGATTCGGTCCGAGACCTCGCAGTGGAGAAGCTCTACAACGATTGCCTGGATCGTGTGAGTGAATACAAATTCAAGGCCGCACCTTCAAAAGTTATTGAGGGCAACAGGGATCTGATGGATGAGGGCAAGGACAGCTCTGCGGAAGTTGTGAAGAGCATCAGTTACGTTGAGGAGACCACGGCGGCGCAGCCATATGCCCCGTCAGTCGCTCAACAGAACGTTTCCTCTCCCGTGAGCCTCGTCCCAGTATCGTCAGACCGGGTTACGGGCCGGATGCACATGGAGCCTGGTACTCCGGGCAGCCTGAAAGCTGCCTACAAGGCGAAGCTGATGGGCTGGGCTCTGAAAGCTGGCGCAAGTGAGGATAAAGATCTGGACCTCGAATTTTCGACCAAGGCGCCCAATGCAACACTTGGGTCGGTAGTAGACGATGCTATCATGCAGTACAAAGACGTGGTGGATCTCAACTCCCAGGACTTTCGCCTCATGAACTGGCATATCGCAAATCTGGAGTACAGCAACGCCATTGATTACAGCCAATTAAGTCTCCAAGGATGGGATATCGATGCTGGCAATGAATGGGAAGGCAAGCACACCATGGTTGTCGGAGGCTACCAGACGGTACCTCGAGGCCTTGCGCTGTTGCCGTCCCCTCTTAAGATTCGGCAACGATCACCAGTCAAGAAGATCAAGTACAGCACAGACAGCTCGCATCAAGCTACTGTCGAGTGTGAGGACGGCTTCGCGGTAGAGGCCGATTATGTTGTGAACACAATACCGCTAGGCGTCCTCAAACACGGCAACGTCGAGTTCGATCCTCCGCTCCCCACATGGAAGTCGGATGTCGTTAACAGGCTTGGCTTCGGCGTGCTCAATAAGCTGGTACTCGTCTACAAGGAAGCGTTCTGGGACGAGGACAGAGACATTTTCGGAGTGCTGCGAAACCCGAAGAATCGTTCTAGTCTCAACCAGCGTGACTATGCATCTCAAAGGGGGCGTATGTTTCAATGGTTCAATGTCACGCACACCACGGGCATGCCCTGCCTCATTGCTTTGATGGCAGGCGAAGCTGGCTTCGACACTGAGCAGAGCTGCAACGATGACTTGCTCAATGAAGCCACGGACGTATTGCGCAGCGTCTTCGGGGCAAGAGTGCCAGCGCCGCTAGAGTTCGTTGTGACAAGATGGACTTCGGACAAGTTTGCTCGGGGCAGCTACTCTTCCGCCGGCCCCGATATGAAGGCCGACGACTACGATGTCATGGCGCGCCCGATCGGCAACCTGCACTTTGCCGGTGAGCACACCATCGGCACCCACCCGGCCACCGTGCACGGAGCCTACATGTCTGGCCTGCGAGCGGCCTCCGACGTCCTGGAAGCCATGCTGGGACCCATCGAGGTGCCCGAGCCCCTGATCCGGCCCCGGGAGTCCGCCTCGCTCTCCTCCCTCAAGCGCAAGGCCTCCGAGGACGCCGACCGCAAGGACCCGCGCCAGGCGCGCCTCGAGGCCTACGAGGCGGAGGTCTGGCAGCACATCCACGCCCGCCTCGGCGACCGGCCGCTCAAGCCGCCCAAGCTGGCCGGCAACGCGTACCTGCTCTTCAACAAGGCCAACTTTGACGCGGCGCGCCGGCGGTGCGAGGAGGGCCGCCGCCCGGGCAAGGGCAAGCCCGTGCCCAACGAGGTGCGCGTCATGACGTCCAAGATGTGGAGGGAGGCCGGGCCCGAGGAGCGCGCGCCGTACGAGCGCCAGGCCGAGGAGCAGAAGAGGAGCTACGCCGAGGCCGTGGCCGCGTTTGGCGCCGCGGCGGCCGAGTGGGACGCGCGGGCGCTCGAGGTCCGGGCCGAGTACGAGAGGGAGCGTCCTAGCGTGCCTGGCCCGGAGGAGGTCGCTGCTCTGGCTTCTGCCGCTGTTGCTGGTGCTGCGGATGCGGACAGGGGCGGCAGGAGGAGGACCAAGGCTGCGGTCGGGAGCTACGCGGAGAGCGATAGCGATGTCGAGATGGAGGAGGCGTAGAGCATGCCTCTACGTGTGTGTGTTTTCTTGTTCAGGTCTGACTTGTGTGTATGTGTGTACTTTTTTCTGTAATGATTGCTTTTTGAAGGTGGAAAAACAAAATGGCGTCTGTGTAGTGGTGGAGATGGCTTTGATACATGAGCTACTCTCTTCGTCGTGGGAGTCTCGAGGGATCGATTCTTGGTCAATGACTGGCATTGCCCACGCTTGGCGCACACAATGGACCAGGTTCATTGCATCAATACAGATGATGATAATTATTCTTAACCCGAATCACTGGACACATGCTCGAATGTATGTACCCGGGTGGGAAGTGTGCACACAAGAGGACGTTTTGAAATTCAAAAGTAAAAACGGCTTTATTCTACGGTTTCTTTGGTACAGATATGGACAAGATGGGAGAAAGCTATATGGATAGAACCTCTCTCATCTCCTGTCCAAAGAAGGGCCTTGAGGGATGTCTTTGATACAAAGGGAAGGTAGAACAAAGCTCTTCTTTTTTCCATCTTCGACCTCTCACCCACACTCGCTCGCATGCTCACGCCAGAAGCCTCCTTTTCTTCCACTGAGGCCCACCAACCAAACCACTGCGACTCAACCCGAAAAACTGTTTTTTACATGTCGGCCGAGGCGGTGGCACCAGTGATAATCTCCACCAGCTCGCCAGTAATGACGGCCTGGCGAGTACGGTTGAAGAGAATCTGGTACTTCTGGATCATGTCACCAGCGTTCTTGGAGGCGTTCTATATCGTACACATGTCAGTCTCCAGATACCAATACAACAGAACTCCTTAAGCACATCGTCGGTGTGAGCACTTACATCCATAGCGTTGCGGCGGGCAGACTGCTCGCAGGCGTGGCCCTCGGCCAGAGCCCAGTAGAGGGAGTTGGCAAGGGCGTACTCGCGCAGGTTGGAGAGGAGCTCCTCGTCGACCTCGAAGGCAGAGAAGTTGGCTATTGCGTAGAAAAATCGCGCATCAGTATCGCGTTCGAACATCATGTCCATTCACAGGGAAAGCGGTAGAACTCACGAGAAGCAGCGATGGCCTCCTCGGAAAATGCCTCAATGGTGGCAGCCTCGTAGGTCTGGGCGTTAATGAACTTGTTGTAGAGGATCTTGATGGAGGCGTACTCGGTGGGCAGCTGGACGACCTGGTCGGCGACGGCCTGGGCGTCGGCGAAGGTGGGGACGTCCTTGCCAACACCGGCGAAGTTGAGGACGATGTCGCGGGCGTTGGTGCGCTGGAGCTGGGATCGGCACTTCTCGCCGAGGATGACGAGGTCGGCGTTGGCGCCGTCGGCAAAGTGGCGGCGGATGTAGCGGGACAGACCGGAGTGAATACCGCCGCAGAGGCCCTTGTCGGAGGAGCAGACGATGTAGAGGGTCTTCTTCTCCTCGGCGGACTCGAGGGGCTTGGTCTCGGCGGACTCGAAGACCTCGTTGGAGGTCTGGCCGTACTTGCGGGAGTCGGTCATGGCGCGCTGGGCGCGGGTGAGCTTGGTCGAGGCGACGATCTTCATGGTGTTGGTGATCTTCTCGATGTTCTTGATGGACTTGAGGCGGCCCTCGATCTCACGGAGCGTGGCGTAGCCGGCGGCGGTGCTCGGGGCAGCCGCGACACTGTAGGACGGCACATCAGGTCAGTCACACACATTGCCCATCTCACGCATTGAATCTCCAGATATCCTGCAGTCCGTCTTTCTTCTTGTCTACCTCTGCAAGTTTCACGTTCCTCCTCTTCCCGATTGATCGCGGCGGCGGTGTTGGACGTACCGAGAAGGAACCGAAGCCCCAGCTCTCAGAGCTGGCCTGGCAGCTCGGGACAGCATCTTGGCGGTGGTGGAGGGTTAAGGGGGGGAGCGAGCGCGAGCCTCTGCCAACGGTGGCTCAATTGACCACGGTTATATCAGAATCAATTGAACTTGATCCTGACTGATGCGAAGGAGGGGGCCCGGTTGAGAGGGGATGCGTCGTTGGGGATTGAGGTCTATTGTCGCTTCTTGCTCCAGTCTCGCTATTTTCTTCAAATTGGCTCCTTGAGCCGCCGGCAAGAGTTCGGAACTGGGTTAGCGGATACCTCCGCGCCCCACGTGATCAGGCCGGATGGGATTCTAGAGGGGACAGCTGGCTGCCAGTTGTTCTTCCCAGCGCCTCCCCCCACCCGCTGTCGAAGCACTGTGCAGGGTGCACTCTCTGGCCTGGCCCGCTTCCTCGGAGCGATTTGATCAACGTACCACGGTGACAGGCTTTGCGTAGGTGTGCTCTCTAGCCTCTTCTTACATAGTAGATCCATGGAGCATCGGCCTTGGTTGTTTCCTCTGTGGCCATTGTCTGCCGCCCCCAGTCCCGATCGTCTTTGTCCTTTGCACCACTCTCTACTCTCTACTGTACGCACCACACGGCAATTGTCTCGCGTGCTGGGCTGGCCTTTGATTTGATAGCACCCAACCGTAACAATTAAGTGAAAAATAAGCCCGATAAGCCCTGCGTCGCTGCAGGTGGTTGACCACTTACCCGTTGGCGGTACTGGCTGTGCAGAGTATTGATGCCCTGCCCTGTAATACACCTACCTACCTGGCCAGCTCGGTGAATAGGCATTTGATGCAACAATAAGGAAGAAATAATACAAACAAAAAAAAACAGGCCGCCTTGTGATCTCCCGTCCAGTCGCCTCGTCACATCTGCACCCGCTCTCTCTTGGGTGTGTGTTGTTTCTATTATCATCCATCGATGCGGCTGTGGGGCACGTCGTCCTTCGCTAGCTCACTTGGAAGTTAGGCAAATCGAGCCATCGATTTTGACCAAGACACTTCGCCTTTCCTCTTCAAATCCCCCTTCTTCCTCGGTTTCTCACTCCCCAAATCTCTCAATCCTCTCATTTACCCGTGGAGTCTGGGAGGCAAGGCTTCGTCAACAACCCTGCATCGTGGTCTTCCCTTTTTTTCCCGCGTTCCGTGCGCGAAAGCCCTTTTCATTCTCACCAGCCCGCCACCTTAGGCAAATTCTTCCTCGTTCCATCGCCCATCACAACCACGGCTTCCACCACCACCACCACCCACCTTTCACTCGCCTATCACCGATCTCAACCCACGCCCTCACCATGAGCTCGAGCGGTTCTGACGACGATATGCCTCTGGCACGATCCAACGGCCACAGTATGTATTCAGACCCCCATGCATTTTCAGGCTCCTGCAACTTGACGCCACACTGAAGCGCACGCCTTGTTGACGTGGCGGCGGCGCTGGCTCGTGCTGCATTCCACCCTCGCATTCACATCGCACCTGGGCCTCTTCTGCTTGGGCTTTTTCTGAACACATCCTGACTTTTTGATCACAGAGTCAGCTACGAAGGTTTCCCCAGCCGACGACCGAGCCATGGCCAAGTCGCACTCGAAGAATGGCCCTCCTCCGGGTCTTTCTATCCGCAACGGTCCAGTCCATGGCGGCGAGCCTATGGATGTGGACTCGGCAGCCAACGGTACTGCCAAGCGCAAGTCGCGCGCTTCAATTGACAAACGCATTTCCTACAAGGATGAGTCAGACAGTGATGACGGTGCCCCTCTGGTACGCACCCCTTTCTCCCTCTTCCTGGACTCCTCGTTCCCGGTTTGCTGACATGCAGTTGCAGGCCAAGCGCCAGAAGCACAAAGTCGAGGACGATAGCGACGATGAGCCCATCTCGAGAAAGGCCTCGAAACTTCCTCCGTCCATCTACGAGACCGCTCTCCCCGACTCCTCAGATGACGATCAGCCCCTAGGTGCCAAGCTGGCCAAGAAGAAGGCCAGCATCGAGAAACAGGCGGCTCAGGAGGCCAAGGCCATCCGCGCCAACAAGCCTGCTCCCAAGGCGAGAAAGGTCGTCAAGGAAGAGTCTGACGATGACGAGCCGCTCGCAAAGCCCAAGGCCAAGCGGCAATCGAACGGCGTTGCCTCTGCAAAGAAGACCAACGGCGTCAAGAAGATCGAGTCAGACTCTGACGAGCCCATCTCGAAGAAGGCAAAGCCGGCTCCCAAAGGCAAAGCAACTCCTACGCCCAAGAAGGGTGCTAAGGCTGCTGCTAAGAAGGAGGAGAGCGCAGACCCCGGTGATGAGGAAGAGGAGGAAGAGGAGTACCGATGGTGGGATGCGCCCAAGAAAGAGGACGATTCAATCAAGTGGAACACTCTTGAGCACAGCGGTGTCCTCTTCCCCCCTCCTTATGAGCCGCTCCCGAAGCATGTCAGGCTTCACTACGACGGCAAGCCGGTTCATCTTCATCCTGAGGCTGAGGAGGTTGCCGTCTTCTTCGGTTCCATGCTTCACTCTACCCAGAACGTTGAAAACCCTGTCTTCCAGAAGAACTTCTTTGGCGACTTCCAAGAGTACCTGAAAACCACTGGCGGCGCCAAGGATCGTGATGGCAATAAGGTCACCATCAAAGCGTTTGAGAAACTCGACTTCAAGCACATCTTTGAGTACACCAAGGGCTTGAGCGAGGCCAAGAAGGCGCGTTCCAAAGAAGAGAAGAAAGCCGAGAAGGAGGCTAGAGAGAAGGCCGAGGCTCCCTACATGTACTGCAAGTGGGATGGCCGCAAAGAGAAGGTCGGCAACTTCCGCGTCGAGCCTCCAGGACTCTTCCGTGGTCGTGGAGATCATCCCAAGACCGGCAAGGTCAAGAAGCGCGTCATGCCCGAGCAGGTCACCATCAACATTGGCAAGGATGCCAAGGTCCCGACGCCTCCCGCTGGACACAAGTGGAAGACTGTGCAGCATGACAACAAGGCTACCTGGCTTGCCATGTGGCAAGAGAACATCAACGGCAACTACAAGTACGTCATGCTCGCGGCCAACAGCGCTGTTAAAGGTCAGGCCGATTTCAAGAAGTTCGAGAAGGCGCGCGCTCTCAAGAAGTACATCGATCGCATTCGAAAGGACTACACTCGGGAGCTCAAGAGCCAGCTGATGGCCGAGCGGCAAAGAGCGACGGCCATGTACCTCATCGACAGATTCGCGCTCAGAGCCGGCAACGAGAAGGATACCGACAACGAGGCCGACACTGCAGGCTGCTGCTCCCTCAAGTACGAGCACATCACGCTCAAGGAACCCGACATTGTCATCTTTGACTTCCTCGGTAAAGATAGCATTCGCTTCTACGACGAGGTCACTGTGGACAAGCAGGTCTTCAAGAACCTGAAGATGTTCAAGAAGGCTCCGAAGACGACGGGCGACGATATTTTCGACCGCCTGACTACTTCGCAGCTCAACAAGCACTTGTCGAGCTACATGCAGGGCCTGACTGCCAAGGTCTTCCGTACCTACAATGCTTCCTACACCATGTCCAAGCTTCTCCAGGAGCTGCCTCAACAGAACTTGACCATGGCCGAGAAGGTCAAGCTGTACAATGACTGCAACCGCAAGGTGGCCATTCTGTGCAACCACAAGCGTACAGTCGGTGCCTCTCACGAGGCTCAGATGGAGAAGCTCGGCGATCGCATCAAGGGCCTGAAGTACCAGAAATGGCGGACCAAGATGATGATGCTTGACGTCGACCCCAAGCAGAAGAAGCGCAAGGGTGCAGAGTACTTTGAGAAGGACGAAGACCTGACCGAGGAGTGGGTTCTCAAGCACCAAGCCTTCCTGGTCGAGGAGGAGCGCCTCAAGATCACCAAGAAGTTTGAGAAGGAGAACGAGAAGCGCCAGGCCGAAGGTGAGAAGCCCCATCCTGAGAAGGAGCTGAAGGAGCGCCTCAAGGCTGCCAATGAACTCGAGGCCAAGTTCAAGAAGGAGAACAAGTCCAAGAAGGTCGAGGCAGAGGGGAAGGGCCCTACCGTGGAGAAGTTCGAGGCCGCCGTCAAGAAGATCGAGGACCGCATCCACAACATGGAGCTTCAGGCGGCCGACAAGGATGGCAACAAGGAGGTTGCCCTGGGCACTTCGAAGATCGTAAGTTGCAAAAGTACTCTCCATCCGGAAAGAATGACGTCCGGCTAACATGGCTCGCAGAACTACATTGATCCTCGTCTGACTGTCGTCTTCTCCAAGAAGTTCGATGTCCCGATCGAGAAGTTCTTCTCGAAGACCCTGCGTGACAAATTCAACTGGGCCATCCACTCTGTTGGAGACGACTCCACCTGGGAGTTCTGATCCTTTCTCCTGCAATCGCTCGCCCATCAAACGTCTTCTGCACTCGAAACTGGAATCTTTGTGTCATAGTTTATATACTCTGTACAACATCTTACAAATTTCACCCGGGCGGACTCCATGGATATCTGATGCGCCTTGCAAAGGGACTGACCGCAGCGGATGTTGGCAGATCCTTGCAACAACAAATTTCCAGGTGCAGACGCGCGCGAACAACAGTTTTATCAGTTGAGCTATATCTTGCACCCATCATCATTATCACCAAACCCGGCGAACCCGATGCCGGCCGACGTGCGCAGCCTCATGGGCTTTCTTCGCCACATCGTGCTAGCTCCTGCTCGTGCGCAAGGTCAACGACTTTTGAGCTTCGCTGACCTGTACCGCCCGACGCACGATCGCCTCGTCAAGGTTGTTCAGTGACTTGATCAGACTTTGTGCGCTTCCGAGAGAGGGCCAGACGAGCTTGATCGACGGGGGCCGGTACAGGGCTTTTTTTTGGGCATATGGAGGACTAAGCGTTGCATTCAACAGGAGGGGGAGGACCGGCGGAAAAGAGAGGAGAAATTAGAAATTGGGAACCTCAAAAAACAACAGAAAGCATGCTAGATGGGAAGCGATGAGTTAGACCAGATCAATGAATTCGTTTTTCAAATATATCGGCCCTGCAACCTGTGAGGTAACATGTGTTTGTATCCCTTTTTTTCCCAGTTCAGAGGAGGTTCTTGTACACGACTGCGTAGCCGTGCTGTTCAGAGGGGGGGGTCTTGTACATGAGTGTGAAGTTGCATTCATTACTATCAGATGCTCTTATGCATACCTACCTGATATAGCTATCCTGCTGTAAAAGGCTCTTATCCATATATGTACAGACTTTCCTAGGTATAATTGTGGTATCCAGTATCACACTGACCCTACCCTCACTATCATCGTAAACGGCTTTCTTTTTCATCCTCGGGGCAATCTGAACTCGCCGGGACGGCCACATTTTACTCACTCGTGGCTGTGTGTGCTCTGGCCAAATCAGATTGACGATGTATGTTCTCTTGATTACTATTCATACTGCCTACGTACGTCCGTGCAGGAATCATGCTATCTACCACACCCTGTAATACCCAAATTCTATGTGTATGCGTTTGTGCCTCCGTCAGTCATGATCATCCGTCCTCCCGTCATCACAAGACGAAGTAAGGTCTCCGTCCCGATTAAAGAATAATCCCCTATCCATTCTTGCTGAAAAGAACAAGAAGAAGAAGAAGCAGCAAAAGAAACGCCAGCGATGCAAAACAATAAAAAAGTCGTTCATAACCCATCTTATCTCATGTTCTCCGTTGAAAAATAAAAAAAAGCCATTCCTTCTCCCTTCTTTGACGCTCTCTTTCCCCGCCAAGCCATCTTTTTTTTGGGGGGGAGGGGGGAATATGTAGCATGAGGCAAGCGCTTTCTTTCTTTATCGTATGAGGATGATGATGATGAATGGTAATCACACAAGAATATACAGACCCAGCACGCCAGCGGCCGCAGCCAGCGCCAGCCCAGAGACGCGAGCGGCGGCAGCAGCAGCAGCAGCGGAGCTACTCCCGCTCTTGGCGTCGGCCTTGACGGCCAGGCCGCCGACGCCGGCGTCGGGCATGGGCGGCGCGGCGGTGGCGGCCGGGGGCGCGACGAGGAAGCCCTTGCCGTCGTAGCTCTTGGGCAGGGTGGTCCAGCCCGCGGGCACGGTCATGGTGGTCGGGAAGCCCTTGCCGTCGAAGGCGGTGACGGTGACCTGGCCGCCTTGGCCGCCGCTACCGGCGCCGCTACCAGCGCCCGAGCCGGGCTGCGAGGAGGCAGAGGGCGATGGGCCCTGCGAGGAGGGCGGGGTGGGGAGGTCCTGTTCGGCGAGAGGAGAGATACCGGGTTAGTTTTATATTCTTCAATGCTGATTGATGGAGGAGCTTGAAAGCAAATGTGCAACGCACGCACGCAGACGCCATGTAAGTGGGGTGGGGAGGGGAGAGGGGAGGGGAAGAAAGACAGCAAGAAAAAAAAAGCCATTAATCGATTTTCAAACGTACTTACAACAGTCGAGCTGGCCGGCACGATCTTGCCGCTCGGGGTCATGACCCAGCCGCTGGGGATCGAGTTGGCGCCCGACGACGCCGTCGCCACCCACGGCCAGCCGGTCTGCGTCGTCGTGGTGGCGGAGCCGCCGCCCCTGCCGATGCCGCCGGCGGGCACCGAGGGCGACAGGGACGTGGCGGCGGCGGCGGTCGCGGTGACGGTCTGCTGCGCCGCCTTCCCCTTGTTGCCGTTGACCTGGCCGTCGACGGCCACGATGGACTGCCACGTGCCCGACTGGTCGCCGTACTTGTACTGCTTGCCCGTCGAGTAGTCCGACACGACGACCGACTTGACCGTCATGCTGAAGGGGCCCTTGCTGTAGTCGGTCGGGCCCCGGGCCCAGTCGATGGTGCCCGGCGGGTTGGACGGGTCGCCGCCGGACCAGGCGCCGAATTTCACCTGCATGGGCGTCTGCGGGTACTGGCCCTGGGCGTCGGCGAACTTGAGCTCGCGCACGACCGTCTCGCCGACGGACCAGACGATGCGGTCGGCCGTCCAGTCGATGGTGTACTTTGTGAACTGGGCCTGGTTGTTGGGCGCCGGGTTGAACTGGCCGCGGTTGTACGAGCCCGTCTGGCCCTTGCCGAAGTAGTTGGTCTGCATCTCGCCCGCGTCGGCGCCGAGCCACTCGATGTCGACCTCGTCGAGGTCGTCGGACTGCAGGACGAGGGAGCTGACGATCCCGGCCCCCGGGGCGCACTTCATGGTCATCTCGACGCGGCCGAACATGATGTAGAAGACGCTGGCGAGCTGGGGCGCGTCGCCGGGCCGGGCGACGGTGAAGGACACGCCGTCGGGCCCGTAGGTCGGGGCGCCGCCCGAGGGCACGAACGAGTTGACCTCGCCCTTGGTGAAGTCGACGTTGATGGTCATGCCGAGGGCCGTGTCGGCCGGGCAGGACGTTGCTGGGGAAGGGGAGAGATGAGTCAGCAGTTGTCATTCATTGTCTCTCTCTCTCTCTCTCTCTCTGTGTGTGTGTGTTTGATCGAGAGAGAGCTCAGTAAAGACTTACAGTGCAGCGGGTTACACGTCGTCCATGTCTGTGCGGCGACGGGGGCGGTGGTGAGCGCCAGGGCGGCCGCTGCGGCCGTCCGTATTTGCCTCGAGAAGATCATGTCTGTGTCTGCGGGATGGCCGCCAGGGAAAGGACAAGAAAAAAAGATATACAATCGCCCCCAAAAGACGAGAGAAAAAAATACTGTGGCCCTTTTTCTTCGAGGGCGACACAGACACACGCGGCCTCCTATGTATATATGCGGAGGACGGATGGACGGTTGGAGATGGTGGGAACAATGCCTTTGTCGTCGGGGATAGACAAGACTTGGACAGCCGGACCTTGGTCTCGAGGCGTCTAGTGTACCAGAAAGAACAATGGGGGAAAAAGTAACAATCAAGGTTGAGCGGGAAGTCGCATGGGAGAGCATTCCAGAGGAAAGGTTCTTTATGTGGTCTGGATAAATGCGCGGATGTGCTGCTGGGCGTCAGTCATCTCATCCCCAACCTTTCGATTTTACTGCAGACGGACAGCATGGATGCCAGCATGGATGCCAGCATGGATGCATCATCGTATTGTGTCGGGCATACACTCCACCCATTCCATCCGTGACGGGCGAATCCCTGCAGCCCAAGGGTTTGCCAAGATGGTGGGAAGGGGGCCATCTTGTTGCAGGCGTGGGATGATGAAGACATCAAGACTTGCTGGTTCTCCGTGGTGACGAAAGCGAGGAGGTTGGGCGGAGCGCGAAACGAGCCTTTTCCAGCGGGCATAGCAGGGCACGCAGGCCATTGGAGGCTCTGTAGTGGGCGGGCTTCCAGGGAGCGACCCCTGTTTCCCGGTGGGGCCGCTGTGGCTGGCAGAGGCGCCACGCTGGGGCCAAGGCCCTGCTGCAAGCGTAGCGCTGCTGGAGAAGGCGGGAGGCTGGTGCACCCTCTTCATCCATCCATCTTCAGGTGCTTTAGGAGCTCACTGGATGGAAAAAGCCCAAGAGATGCCGGTGCGAACAAACAGGGAGGCCATCATAGAGCGAGCAACCCGGCAGCCAGGAAGACCCAGTCTTGTGCCCACACCTCTCAGACCTCTCAGACATCTCGGTAGCCCTGCCGACCGGACACGCCCCGCGCCCCTCCCCCGATGCGCAGCCGAAAGAGCGGGTCTCAGCGCGGCCTAAGCCCGAGATTGACCTGCTCCTCCGGCACCGCGGAAGCGGGACAGCACAACCTGGTGATGGAAGGGGGCCGAGGGGGTGGCATGCTGGCCTAGATATGGCATGGCATTTCTAGAAGGGCTGCATCGCAACGAGCTAGGCGCAAAGCTTGTCGTGCCGAATTACGTACAGCAAACCAGACAAGCCCATACCGACACGCCTATTCCGGACAAGAGCCACGAATCCCGTGGTCAGCAGGTCCGGTGACGGGGTACGGTGTGAAACCAAGAATGGCCCCCATCGGCTACCCACGGCCAACCCCGCACACCGCTCCAGCGGGCAGCCCTGGAGCCCCCTTTTAAAAGCTGGAGGCATGCATGCTATCAGCTAACACTTATCTCATACCCAACCAGTCAACGATGCTCGCCTTCTAGCATCTCCACATATTACCTAGGTAGCTCCGGTACCTAGTCACTTACACGGCCTGCAGCCGCAGATAGCTGTGTCACATTGTCCTTCCCCCTTATCTCTCGACTCTCTCCCTTTCAACTCATCCCACAAACAATCGACTTGACATCATCTTCTCCTACTTCATAAACCTGACCCTCGAGATATTCCCATAAACACCCCCTACAAACATCACAAACCACCCAGGCATGGTTCGCTCGGCCGCATCCCGGACTCTCCGGGCATTCGCCGCAGCCCCGGAGCAAGGCCGGCTCCGCTGTCGGGCTGCGCCTTCCTCGCGCCGGTCCCTGCAGACCTCGGCCCACCGCCACGCCGTCGCCCTCGCCAGCAAGGCTCGGCACCCGGACGCCGACCCCGCGGAGGAGGAGGAGGAGCCCGCAAAACCCTCCTCCTCCTCTTCTTCTTCTTCTTCGCGCAGCGTCACCGTCCAGGACGTGCTCGAGCGCCGCGCCAGGGCAGGCCGCCTCGTCGCCGGCACGGCCGCCTACTCGGACAGCGACATGTTCAAGGCGCCGCCGCACCCGTCCAAGCCCCGCGCCGCCCGGTGGGACCACCACCTCAGCGCCGAGAGCGCCGCCCGCGAGCCCTGCGTGCTCAAGTCGGCCGCCGCCAAGCACCTCGGGCGGCCGGGGCTCATCTCCCTCGGCGGCGGCCTGCCCTGCCCGGAGTACTTCCCCTTCGAGTCCATCAGCATGCGCGTGCCCCGCGCGCCGCTCTTCTCCGAGCGGGAGACGGCCGAGTCCGGCGTCGACGTGACGATCGGCAAGTACGACGCCTCCGCCGCCGGGGGAGAGGACAAGGTGTACGACCTGTCGATCGGGCTCAACTACGGGCAGGCGACGGGGTCGGCGCAGATGCTGCGCTTCGTGACGGAGCACACCGAGATCGTGCACGACCCGCCCTACGCCGACTGGCGGTCCTGCATGACGGTCGGCAGCACGGGCGCGCTGGAGCAGGCCTTCCGGATGCTGTGCGACCGGGAGCGGGGCGACAGCATCCTGACGGAGGAGTTCAGCTTCTCGACGGCGCTCGAGACGGCGGCCCCGCTGGGCGCCAGGATCGTCGGCGTCCCCGTCGACGAGGAGGGCCTGGTCCCGGCGCGCATGGACGAGATCCTGACCGGCTGGAGGCCCGAGGAGCGGGGCGGGATGCGGAAGCCGCACGTGCTGTACACGGTGCCCAGCGGCCAGAACCCGACGGGCACGACGCAGGGCGAGCAGAGGCGCCGGGAGGTCTATGACGTGTGCTGCAAGCACGACGTGTACATCATCGAGGACGAGCCCTACTACTTCCTCCAGATGGACCCGTACGCCGGGCCGGAGGCCGCTGCCGGCGGCGGCAAGGAGCCGGCGACCACGACGGCGGCGCCCGTCGACCCGGCGCAGACGCCCGTCGACGAGTTCCTCGACCGGCTGATCCCCTCGCTGCTGAGCATGGACCGCGACGGCCGCGTCCTGCGCCTCGACTCCTTCTCGAAAGTGGTCGTGCCCGGGTCGCGCCTCGGCTGGGTCACGGCCTCGGAGCAGATGGTCGAGCGCTTCCTGCGGCACGCCGAGGTCGCCAACCAGGGGCCCGCGGGCTTCTCGCAGCTCGTCCTGCACCGCCTGCTCGACGAGGAGTGGGGCCACGAGGGCTACCTGCGCTGGCTGATGCGGATGCGCCGCGAGTACACGGCGCGCCGGGACGTCATGCTCGCCGCCTGCGACGAGGCCCTGCCGCGCGAGGTTGTGAGCTGGAACGCGCCCGCGGCGGGCATGTTTGTGAGTCTATGGCCCCCCCCCTTTTTTCTTCTTCTTGTTTCTCTTCTCTATCCCGGGGATAGAAAGTACAAATTCACACTGACTAATCTATTTTGGAAAATGTAGCATTGGCTCAAGGTCGACCACACGCAGCACCCGGACGCCGGGAGCAAGAGCATCGTCGAGATCGAGGAGGACATCTTCGACCGGTGCATCGACAAGGGCGTGCTGGTGGCCCGGGGCTCGTGGTTTGTCGCCGAGCACGGGCGCCCGCCGACGAACCTCTTCTTCCGGGCGACCTACGCCGCCGCCCAGCCGGACAAGATGACCGAGGCGATCCGCCGGTTCGGCAAGGCGGTGCGGGAGAGCTTCCGGCTGTGAAAAAATCCGAGACTCTTTTCTTGGCATTACCCAATAGAAATAGCATAGGTCTGCTAGAAAAAAGCAAAACACAGGAATGAGCAGAGGTCATCCCGGGGTTAGACTGAGGGTAACATCTCAGCGCGTATTGTGATGTATTGTTTGCCGAACGTATGCGTTGTAGCAGTCCATTCAACCGCCTTGAGCTACGAAGAATGATGCGGCTGTCTACCGATACAGGTCAGGCCTGAGTAACGGGGGTGATGTCCTTTGTCCCCTGGCCGCCTCTGTACGCTCGGTCTCTGAATGCTCGGTCTTTGAGGATCTGCGAGTACTCCGTAGGATCATGAAGCCAGATCGATGTCTGAAATGGAAATGGAAATGGAATAATACCACCGGGCACAATAAGCACTAATACGCAGCCAAACACACAATGATAACGTCGGGCCGCCTCGTAACGAGGTCCCGAATCCTCCAAAAGGCGGGTTTATTACCTAAGTCAATCCTATGGACTCATTGGAGCGTAGAACCGCAGTTACACAAAAAGCAAGCATGCCCTCTCACAGCCCCGTCATTCGTACGTCCACGATAAGCAGCCCTACTACCTCAGACATCATTTTCTTTCTCCTCTTCATCCCAAAAACCACACTTCACTACCTCAAAACTCCTTGCCTACTTACTCCCTCTTGGCCTCAAAGAACCTCACCCTCACGCCCGGCCCGCCAGGCGAGAGCGTCACGTCGGTCCGCAGCGTCGGCTCCCCGCGGTCCCGGACCGTCTCGACGCGCTCGAACCGCTGGAAGACCCGGACGAGCAGGTACGCCATGATGGTCTGCGCGAACTGCTGCCCGACGCAGATCCGCGGCCCGCCGTTGAACGGCACGTACTGCCACGGCCGCGGCTGCCAGCGCTGCCAGCGCTCGGGCTCGAAGACGCCCGCGGGCGGCAGGCCCTTGGCCGGGTCCGGCGCCGGGTAGAGGTCCGGCCGGCGCTGCATGACGAACGTCGAGTACGCGACGGCCGTGTCCTTGAGCACGGGCAAGGGGAGGGTGCCGTCGGGCCCGCCGCCGCGGGGCAGGGTCGTGTCGCGCGCGGCGAAGCGCACGTTGTACGGCACGGCCGGGTACAGGCGCATGGTCTCGCTCAGCACGCTCTGGAGGTACTTCATGCCCTTGAGGTCGGCGTACGTGGGCACGCGGTCCGGGCCCACGACGGACAGGACCTCGGCGCGCAGGCGGGCCACGACGTCGGGCCGCCCCCCGAGCTCGTAGAAGGCCCACGACAGGGTGCCGGCCGTGGTGTCGCGGCCCGCGAGCAGGACGGCGACGATCTGGTCGCGCAGCACGACCGGGTCGCGCGTGAAGGAGGCGAGCTCGTGCAGGAAGGTGTAGCTCGTGTCGGAGCGGGCCTTGGTGGCGAGCTCCTCGGGCGGCAGCAGCAGGGCGGCGTCGATGAAGTTGTTGACGAACCGGTTGATGACCTTGAGGCCGGCGTTGTACGTCTTGTGCGAGATGAAGGGCCCCAGGGGCCCGATGCGCGAGATGATGTTCTGCACGCGCTGGACCTCGTTGAAGGCCTCGGCGAATTCCTGCTTTGGGTGGCTGTGCGGTTGTTGTTGTTGTTTGGTCAGTTCGTTTGGTCTTCTTGTCAGGCTCGAGGGGGACCCATTCCTTCTCTGAGTGGCTTGGAAAGAGCAAAAAACTAAACTTACCACAAGGAGCTCACCGTGTGGCCGAGCAGGAAGTCCGTCGACGTATCGAGAGTGTAGCGGAAGAGAAGGTCGCTGATCTCAAAGACCTTGCCGTGCGAAGCGCTCAGGTCGACGTCCTGCTCCGCGCCGTTGAGCGGGCCGCCGTTGGCCATGGCGCGGAACAGCACCTGGATGTGCTTCTCGAAGCAGTGCAGGTCGCTGACGCGGTCCTTGACGAACTGGGGCCGGATGAGCTGGCGGCTGGCGTGCCACTTGTCGCCGTCGGTGGCGAAGATGCTGTCGCCGAGGAACGGCTTCCACTGCTCGTGGAAGATCTCGCCCTTGCCGTAGTCGGCGAACTGCGTCGCGAGCACGGCCTTGATGTTCTCGGGCTCCGAGGTGAAGACGACGCGGCGGCACAGCAGGCGCGCCTCGCTCGTGAAGATGCCCTTCTCCGGCGGCGAGACCTCGAGCCAGCGCTCGTACGACTTTTCGGCCTTGGCGGCCTTCATGTCTGCCAGGATCACGTCGAGGCCTACTTGCGGCGGGCTGCGTCAGTGCTGTCCAGTCGAGCCGGCGTCGGGTAGCGATGTTGTGCGGCCCCCGGTGGAGTAGGGAGGCAACTCACCGAATGGCACCCGTGTCTTGATCTGGTATCCGGGGATGCCGAGTCTCCTGACCCGGATCGTCTCGGACACATAGAGGACGACATGGTACACTGTCAGAAGGACAAGCGGTCCCAGAAGGACCGTCTTTATGGAGACATGCTCCACGATGGTTTCGACGAGACCCATGATATAAGACTCTTTATCTGAAAGGGGTGAAAATCGGCAGTCGCAACCTGGGTGAGCACTCTTTCAGCTATTCGGCCAAGGTCGGTGAGTGTGGTGATGCTCTCGTCGCTTCTCGTTTGTATCCGCGTTGAGATGATTCCCGTCTCTTGACAAGCTCTCCTTTCTCCACCGCGCTCGATCTTTGGTATACCTACCTCAGCTGAAGACGGCCAAGTCGAAAGGCTTGGATAAGACACGGCCCGGTGTGATTCAGGCCGATGAACACGGAAACCCCGAGCACAAGGCTATGTGTAACACCAATCTCTTGACCACAAGTGTGGGATTGAAAAAGAGTTGCGTATGAATGCTACCATTGACCATACACAAAGGGAACGCCCTACACTTATGGAGAAACGGAGCAGTGGGGGTGCCTCGCAGTACTTATTAACCTGAGAGCCCAGATTGGCCGTTAGGAGAGAGCTCTGCACCGCTGTAAGAGGTATGCAGCACGGGCTCCGAGGACAGCGAGTGGGATGAAACCCGCATCAATACGACTTTGACACATGCTTCTTGGCCCACCGTTAGGTATCCTTCTTCGCCGAAGCGGGGAACGGCTCTAGCTCGCCAATACCCAACAGTCCGGCAGAAGCAGGGGCGGGGGTGCCTCTCTCGCGGAGGGCCGTTGGCGACAACTTTTGAAAGCAGCCGGGAGTTGGTGTGTCTCTCCAGCGGTGCATCAGCCCACCCCATCCCATCCGGGGACTTGTTGGATGGGTTGGTCCGGTTTGGGCAAGATGGTGCGGACGCTGCGGAGAACTGGAACGTCATGTATGGTCAGGGTTGCTCTTTGTTGACAGGGGCAGCGTTTTCCCTTGCATGCTCTTCCTGCAGACGATATCACCGTCCCAGGCAGGTCATCGCACACAATGTTTTCACCCATTATTCCTTTATGTGCGTAGTCTCGACCAACAGACCCCTTCGGTCTCCCTTCTCAGGCCAGAAAAAAATGAGTCGAACTGGACAGTCAACAAGGGGCTGCAACGCACAGAGCGGAGCAGCATCAAACAACTAAAACTCTATGAATGGTTAGTGATTGGTGCCCCCGTAATAAGCGCGCCTCGTGGCCAGCCATCTGCATCTAGTCATCCAACTACCCAGCTAGAGAAAGGCGAAGACAGGGCGTTTTTCAGTGGCTGCGATTCGTCGATGGCATTCTGATCTCCAGGGTTGTGTTTAGAGAGGCTTACGGAGTAGAGCTTTTGCTCGCATACCAATCTTGTTCTGGCAGTACCGAGGCTAGCCAAAGTGCGGGGAAGGCATGCGTAACTTTGGAGATCTTGTACCTTTTCCGGATTGGGATGGATCGTCGAACTTGTGTGGTCTCTGCGATTACCAATGCTGGCGCGAGGGTTCACATGGGAAGGGGATGAAAAAGCTGTAAGCTTGTTGATCCTTCTCAATTGCTCCGGGCCCCGATAGATTTGCGTGTCCACCATTCCTTTGAGCAGAATCAACGTCCCCATTGCACTATTTGATCTAGGGTCCCAACATTCCCCCTAGGGCCCCGCGACGGTGACAGGCGCGGCTGCCCGGCGCGCCCGGACCGGAGATGCGCCGGCTTACACCAAGTTCGGGAGCGATGCGGCATTGAAAGGGCACGTATGTAGGGCCGAGATAGAAGGGTTGACTGTGCTTCAGCAAGAGATACCTTGATCTGGGTTATCCCACTGCCTAAAATCGACTGTACTCTAGATGCAAAACTAAATGTCCCTTCCATGTTAGGATGAACAAAAACTTGGTATACTAGAACTGCCAAGCAGAGAAAATGCCGTAAATCTTGGGGTTTTCTCACCCCTGAGAGACTGGAGCCTAGAGACGAATTGAGCTCTTTTATTTGCTCTATAATTCTCTGTTTCTAGCATCTTGACTCATCCGCTGGAGCACCTGAGCAGATAGATAATTTTTACGGCATGAGGTAGAATGCCTTCCACATTGATGAGCACCATGGTTGGTTGACAAGACGACGGCCATGAACCATGGTACGAACCGAGCAGAAAAGAAGCCTGACGACTCAGAAAGCCTTGATAAAAGGGAGCCTGCCTCCCATCAGGACTTGGATTGCTCCCAAGACAGAATCCATCCAACGAGTGCGCTGCCACCGGAGACCTGCTTCACATTCCCAGCGTCTCTCGAATCAATATGATCCCCCGAAGGCGCGTGGTATGTGCGACAAGGCGACCTGTCGTGGAGCTTCCAAAGAATGGAATATGGGACTATCAAGAGCAGGAGCGTACGGTGGTACCTTGGACACGCCTGCCTCCAGAGATCCGCCTGATGGTCCTTGAGCAAGTTCGAGAATCAGCAAAGGGCCAGCTAGCATCAAGGGGGAAACGAACCTACGAGATGTCGATCTATGCCACTGTCTGTCGAGAATGGCAGAGCTTCTTCGAGAAGGAGAACTTCAAACGCTTGATCCTACACCAGTCCGACATATTTCTGTTCGGCGCATTCACGCATGGCCAACAGCAGCGCAGAGCCTGGATAGAATGGATATGGTTGCGCATAGAACTTCCACAGTACGACTGCAAGAAGTGTCAAAAAGCAGAAACACTTGACGAGATCAGAAACAACAATATTGTGTTTACCAAGGCAGTTTGGGGTCTCTTCAACATATTGTCAACTTGGGAGAGAGATCTCAGCTCGGTTCATCCCTACAAAGGACTACGCCTTGAGCTTGGGGTATACTCTCCAAGCGATGCGACCCATTTCTGCAAGGAGCTGCAATGCCGTGTCAACGATACCTCGTGGAGTAATATTATCGGGATTCAAAATAGAGGCTTCCACGACAAGGCTCATGGTTGGAGAGAAGAGCGACAACTTCGTCCAACAGGCGATGCATTGAGAAGAGTTTTTGGGCCTTCATGTGGATTAGCATTCGACTTGCGCATATCAACTGCCCGCCAACTTGAGAAGGTCCTTCCAAAGGTCAATATCATCACAGTCTTGGTCATTCGACGCCAGTTCTACCGACACTACTCTATATCCAAAGCTTTGCAACCTATCATCCAAAGCCTACCACAACTCTTCGACATCAGATACGAACACTGGCGGGACCCGGAGGGAGAGGATGGTCTGGCAGTACGAGATGCAGAACATCACATCCTATTATCTATGCTCCGTGCCCAAACAAACTTACGGAGATTCCGGATCTTTGAGGATTTCAGACCACTCTATCACGGCAAGGAAGACAGGAAATTCTGCCCTTCTTTGGGACAGGCCCTTGCAGAATCAAGCCAGCACCTCGACGAGCTACTTGTTACCTTTAGCATTGATGCAAAGGACTTCTTTTCTCAAGTCTCTGGAGAGATGATGTGGCACAACCTGAGGCTTCTATCTTTAACCACACCTGCACTCAGTCCTCTGCGTCATGATCAGCTTATTCAAGAGGCAGCAAAAATAATCCCAAGAATGCCTCAGCTCAAGATAATGGAGCTCTGGCATATTGGGCATTATTTTGCCTGTGTCTTTGAATATTCCTTAGGCTATCCCAGTCTTCGGCCTTCGATACGGCTTCTCAGCACATGGGATGGGAAGCTTAGTGCAGAGGCAATCTCATGCTGGAAAGAAGTTACGAATGAACACCGCGGCGAGCTCCGTTCAGAGTCGGTGTGGCTAGATCCAAAGAAAGCTCGGTCTCATTTCGCCATCATGCGCCTTTTGCTTGTGCGGCGGCGGGTCGTACATAGCACCTCTTATGAGCAACTTCGATCATCACGCCATGAGAACCGGTTCTGTAGAGCATGAATTTTTCTATTTTTATTTTTTTTAAAAAAAAGAAGCAGAAGAGAAGAAGAAGAAAAGAAGAAGAAAAGAAGAAAAGAGAAAAAAGAGAAAAAAAGAGAGAGACTAATAACCATCACACCCCGTTATGCTGTTAGTGTTTCGCCTCGATCTATCAACGCAAGTGTTGGTAATCGATGAACAAACTTACAAAACTCTTCGTCCTTGTGCGGGTCCTCCACGTCGTCATCGTCCTCCTCGTCCTCGTCCTCCTCGTCCTCCTCGTCGTCATCATCATCTTCCTCCTCTTCCTCGCCCTCCTAGGGGGTTGGAGGAGGAGGAACGGCGGCAGGCCCTGTGATGCATGCCGTGCCAAATGCAAATACCTTCCGTCATAGTAGTTGGAGAAGAAATTTTCTCCAAGTGCATGGTCCTCTCTATACCAGCATTGAACCAAGCGTGCCGCTCAAGTAAAAGAGACATGAGACGCGTCACACAACCAAGCCTATTGAGTCTGCTTACTCATTATACCCAGGCAGGTTCTTGCCGCCACCAAACTTCAGCCTGTCCTTCTTCTTCTTCACAGTCTGGATGCCCTAGAGCCAGTTCATAAATGACACATCACGCTGTAGCTAGTGGTTAGCACTTACTGTGACTATATGGGAGGAGTGATATACTGTAAGGATCGTGACACGTCTGGCATGAATCGCCAACATATTCACCACTTCAAGCCACGATACAACATACACCTCTGCCGATTCCTGCAGTGCATTGATAGCAGATAGCTGGAATCATACTTCATCTTATCTAAGAAATGGCATCCCTTCAGAAAGGATATCGTATGTTATCTCACACACCTAGGGAATGTCAGGATGAAGTCGGTATATCAGTGGAAAACGGATATACCAGGCGAGAAAATGTAAGCTTCGGTAGGAGGAGATTGAATGACTTCTGGTAGCGGCGGATTTCTCTGATCGCTGCTACTCCAGGGCGCAATCTCTTCTTCTTCTTCTTGCCGTAGCCCTCGGCAGCTGGACCCTTTCCGCCAGTGGTCTTGCGAGGACCGGAGACAGAGCAGCGGGAGCGGGAGCGGGAGCGGGAGCGGGAAGCGGAACGGCAGACGCCGGAGGCTGAGGAAGGGCCGGACGCAGAGCCGGAGCGGCAGCACAGCGGCGTCGGCGACGCGCTAGGCGGTGGTCGCCGGCGGCGACCGTCGCGGCAACGTGAGGCGGATGGAGCGCATGGTGCTTGTAGCCCCAGTTGACTTGATCACCGTCAAGATCAAACAGTCCGGTTCTGCATTTTTACAACCATCGTTCCAATCCTATACTGCAGGGGCTTAGACGAGGACTGGTAGCGATGATGATGATGATGATGGTGGTGGGGATAGTAGAGATGATTGGAATGGTGGTAGATGGTAGATGGTAGTAGTCAAGCTGACCATGGGCATTTACTCGAGAGCATCAAGCGTCGTGCCTGCGCCCTAGCAATGTCGAGTTGGCCATATAAGAAAGATAGTACATGAAGTGGCTAAGAGATGGAGCATCTTGCTGTGGCTCAGCTATAGATAGTAGTTTCCTTCCTGGAAAACAGAATGCCTACTGCGTAGTTCTTCCCGCTCACTTCACCCATACCATCAACAATGTCTGGCGTATGTAGCGGAGGAACGTTGCGTGGTCTTTACTTATCTCCTATCTCCAAACCGCGAGGGGAGGAGCAAACCAAGGTTTGAGGCACTCTCTCGGCTTGACCGTCAAGTGCTAGAGCCTTTCTGAAGCCTCGCCATATCTACATAGCGAAGAGTACATCATGTAAGTTACGTGGGAGCGGGTTGAGGATGGGTCTGCTGCCATCCATCGTTGTGAATAATCAAGGAGAGCGGGCTGTTTCTGATCGACATGGTAGGAGCCTCTCGGTCATCTCATCTATGGACATTAAGGTACGTCCTGCTGAAGCACAAAACCCCCTTCCCTCGTAGAAATGCAAACCATTTCTGTTCCCGAAGCCTGTCAGTCACGGAAGTTGTAAGATGGGTACATTCAACGGGGAGACCCCTTCCCTTCTCGCACACAGCAACCTGGATGCAATTTTCAGGTCGAAACAACACCAGATGCCTCGATTGCCCGCTCATCATAGTCATTCAGAGCATGCTACTCTACTTAAATAAGTATATACGTGAAGTTCGCTAGTAGTAGTCCCTCGCCCTCCAACCTCTCCCAAGGGGTCTCTACCTAATCCTAGGTACCCAGCTCTGTACCGAAAAAAAAAAGACAAATTCCAGAGGTAGTACCTCTTCTACATCCCCCCCCTTCCTCCCCGCCCTCCATCATCAACCGCTCTCACACAGCAGCGACAGCGCACTCGCTCGAGTTGGCCGCCTGCATGCACCACGTCATCTGCACGACCGACGCGCCGACGCCCCGCGCCACCATGCGCTCCCGGAACTCGTTGAGCCGCGGCGCCGCGTCGAGCTGCGTCCGGTTCGCGCCCGTGGCCGGGTCGAGCCGGCCCGACCAGAGCACCTCGCCGGCGGCGCTGGCGCGCGGCCACACGACCTGGTCCAGGTTGACGGGGTCGATGGTCTCGCTCCAGACGGCGACCTCGCCGCCGAGCACGCGCGCCGCCTGCTCCGCGGCCAGGCCCGCGCGCGGGTCGTGCGAGTAGACCAGCTGCCAGGCCTTGGTCGGGCCGCACCAGTCGTTGAAGGGGTAGTACGTGTTGTACGAGGCGCCGTTGTCAAAGACCATCCACTGGCCCCGGCCGCAGTCGAGGTACTGTTTCGTTGTATTAGTGTGTCAGTCAATGCAAAACATCTCTCTTATTGTCAAACGGCGGAGAGAAGAAGAAGATGGGAAAGCCTACCCAGTAGTTGTAGTTGCTGTCGATGACCTGCAGGCCCTTGGCCGTCAGGTTCTTGACCGACGCGTCCCCGAGCCAGGCCTGCACGACGGTGTCGTTGCCGATGCTCACGTTCCAGTTGAGCGGGATCTCCTCCCAGGTCATGGGGGTCAGGCCGTGCTTGCGCACGCGCGCGTGCTGCGCGTCGACAAACTTCTGCAGCAGCGGCTGCAGCACCTCGGTCTTGTTGCTCCGGATGCCCGGGTCCAGCATCGAGTCGTTGGCGTTGAGCTCGTCGCCGCCGGTGTGGAAGTAGGCCGCGTAGGGCGCCACGCGCGGCAGCAGGTCGTCGAACATGGCCTCGAGGAACCTGTCGACGGCCGTCGAGTTGAGGCGGAAGGCGCCGCAGGGCGGCTCGGCGCACCACCACTGGTAGGGCTGGGCGTCGTAGGCGACGATGAGCTCCGGGTGCGACCAGTTGAGCGAGCCGATGTGGCCCGGCATGTCGATCTCGAGCACGACCTCGACGCCGCGGGCGACGCCGTACTCCTGCAGGCCCTTGAGGTCGCTCTCCGAGTAGATCTGGCTGCGGCTGTAGGCGCCCTCCCGGGCCACCTCGGGCATGCTGGGCAGGTCCAGGGGCCAGGACTGGGAGTCGGTGATGTGGACGTGCAGGCGGTTCATCTTGTTCCAGCTGAGCGCGTCGATCGTCCTCTGGATGTCCTTGACGGGGTAGAAGTTCCGGGCCACGTCGAGCAGCATGCCTCGGTGCGGGTACTCGGGCGAGTCCTGGATGGACACCGGCGCATAGGGGGTGTAGTAAAAGGTGCCGGTCGAGTGCGTGTAAAACAGCTGCGAGAAGGTCTCGAGACCGCGCAGCACACCGGTCGAGGTGACGGCGCTGAGCTTAGCGACACCGTCCTCGCTGAGAGTCAAGTTGTACGACTCGTCGACCTGGCCTGCGAGAGGCTTGAACGTCTCGGGCTTGTCCTCGCCGGTCTGGGTGATGGCGAGAGACTTGATCCACTTGGCCTGGTTGACATCGGGCTCAAAGGACGAAAGCTCATTCTTGCCGTGCAGCCTCCACGGTACAAAGTTGGTCTGGAAAATAGAGGCGAGGGCGCGGGAGACGCCGGCCTGGACGATTTCCTTGCTGTTGATGGAGGCTGGGGAGTAGCCATAAGTGTAGACTAGCTGCTCATTATATTCATATTTAGTACTGAACTCATCAAGGGGACAGGAATGCTCAGAGAAGGAATTCCAGCATACGTTTCCACCGTTATAAGAGAGTGCCAGGTTCTGATGAATGAACAGGGGCTTGTTGCCTTGCTGGTAGGATTTGGGGATAGGCCATATCGCAAAGGCAGGGCTGCTCAGGAGCGCCAACAGCAGAAACGAGAAGATGGATTTGGAGATCATGGTGTAAGTGGAGTGGGCTCTTTGGGAGAGCACTCAACCCACGAGAACCAAAAAAGAAATAAAATGAAGGAGAACAACCACGCGAATGAAGCCTTCCAGGTGTCTGGATCCTCGAGCTCGTAAACTGGGAACGACGGAAAGTTTATAGAAGCTGGCTCGATGCCGTACGTAGACGATGTGAGCGATTCGTGGGCTGCATAAGCCGACCTGTCCGCGGCGGTATGGTTCACTCCCACTCCGCCATGCGCGATTCGTGACCAGGGCAGAACCAGGGAACCAATTGCTACCTTGGCCGACCAACTTTAAAATTGGCTGGGAAGGGGAGTCACGGGCCCGGTTCACTGCCTGTCTGGATCCCGTTGTAGGATGAGATGAGAAAAAGAGCTGATCCAAATCTCAAGGGATGCTGGCCCTGGTCGCAACGTTACGTCAGAAAGGCTAGCCCTGGTGACTGACGGATGGCGCTGCTTCACGGGCGACGCAGGCGGTCGTGAGGTGGTGACAAAAGGCCCGTCCCGGCCGTTGGACTGGATCAGATGAGAGGGCAAATGCGGGGTCTGGCTTGGGCCAATGTTCCTTTTGAGAGCTCGAGGAGAGAGACAGGATCCCGGGATTGGGCTGGGCGAGGCGAGGGTGAGGCGTGAGGGAGGGGAGAGGAAAAAGCAAGAGACGGATGCGAGTCTCGGGCAATTCCAACAAGAAAAGGGAAGGGAAGGGGGGGTACAAGAGGCGAAGCAGAGGATATTTAATGCTGCTTCTAATAATGCTCTCTCTCTTCTCTGAGATGAGATGAGATGGGATGAGATGAACAAAGTGCGAGAGAAAGACCCCTTTGGTGCTGCCTTGTCCAAGCAAACACCCTTGACAGCTATTTGCGGGTGTATCCAGCAGGAGTTGTATGTAAATGAAGATCGCCAGGACAGGGCTGATCAAGGCCAGGCCCGACTTCCACGCCTTCCGATTGCTAAAGACGGGACTGTGGAGCGTCTCGAGTGAGGAGATGCTCTGTTCTCTGGCACCGGGATTGAAGAGAGTGGAGGCCGCGGAGGATGGCACATGGATCAGCTGCTGGCATGGCACTGGCCAACGTCCATTGATGCAAGATGCGATGCTATGCTATCAATGCTGTGCCGTTCCGAATGCCGCCAGCCGCATGTATGGCGAGATGATGACCCGGGCTGAGTTTGCTTGCTTGCTGGTGACTGAGAGCGAGACAACCCAGGTGGGACAGAACAGGGCAGGACAGGACAGGACAGGACAGGACAGACACAGGATTCACATTGAGCGACACAGGTAGTCAGCTAGGAGATGGCTGGCGAACTGCGGGTTTGTTTGCTGCAAGAGGCCTGAAAATGACGGAGGCTGACGTTGCACGACCTTGGGTCCCAGGATTGGCCCGGACAGATAACTGGCATCGGACTCTGCATGGAGGAAGCTTGCATCGAGCCAGCTGCACACACAACACAAGATCAAAAGACCAAGACCGGGCAGATGGACCACCCAAGGTCACGACGCTATGGAACGTGTCGTGGCACTCATGTGCGTGCGTGTAGCGCCTCATGAGATAAGTGTAACAAGCAAGAAATAGCTTAGCTGCACACAAGGATGTTGAGATGGCACAATCTTGTACATAAGGTAGGTATCTAGCTCGGTCCATCACCTCCTGCACCTGGTTAGAAGGGGAATATTATTAGGTGGTGAGGCGATGGCGCTATTAACGGAGGAGGAGCCTCTGCAGGGGAGAGGCGAAGGAATCCTGAATAGCATCAAGGAGCCGTCTATGTCTCCGCTGCTGTTTGACTACGGAGTAGGTGCAGAAAAGAAAGAACTGCTTTATATTCCGAGTTCTTGAGGAGAGATGATAATTGTGCAGGTGGCCCATTGCCCTTTGGTTGACTCGTTAGTTGGCGGCGGCATAGCATCCATTGAGAGATATAGGGGCCCTCAGTCTGAAATAGGTAGGTTAATGCAGGGCTGCTTCCGGTAACATCAATTTGCTCTGCGCCAAGTCTACCCTGTCGACCCCGTATTTAAGTGATTGGTCAGTCAAGGCGCACAGGAAATATATGGATGCTCTTGGCTTATTTACAATAGCAAAGCAAGGTGGAAGTCCATCTTCCGTGCAGTTGGGGGTGCCTTATTGCACCGTAGTGCAGTGCAAGTGCGGTGCAGTGTAAGTGACCTAGGAGCCTAGGTACCTAGGTAGGCCTGGAATGGTCCATGGATGGAACCCAGTGGACTTCCCTAGAGATCTTATCGTTGTTCTTATCGCCGACGCCACATTCATTCCCAGCCACAGACTGCCTCGGGATATGTAGCATCACGTGAGCGGTGACTGGCCAGGCCAATCACCAGCGGCTGCTTTCTCTGGCGCGCCCCGTCACGCTCTTGTCATGGCTAACTAATCGCCATCAAAAGTTTCCCCCAGTCTCCCAGTCCTCACAAAGACCCTGTCTTTGAACGACCTCTTCCTCCTCCCCCAGACTTCTGAAAATCAACAGGACCTTGACCGAGCGAGACCGCGCGCCTTTATATCTCATCGCTGATCGCCGTCGACTTCGCATCTGCCACTGTTTCTGAGTTTTCTTATCCCCTCCAACTTCGTCGCGTACCAACCAAACAAGTCTCACGTACCTCTTATTTCGAATTGCTCCTGCGACCACAGCGCGCCACTCTCTCTCACCTCTGCCTGCCTCATCCGAGGCCATCTCACACCATGCCTGTCGAGATCGCGCTCAACACTCCGCTCGCGGAGGCGCTGAATAATGAGATCCAGCCCAAGCTCGTCGAGGCCGGCTGGGCCAGTGCCGATTCCGACGACACAAACCTGTCCGAATACATCATTCTGATGCTGGTCAACGGCAAGACACAAGGCGAAATCGCTACCGAACTACCCGAGCTGCTCGGTCTGGGCTCTGACGATCCAGCTGCGCAACAGTTTGCGCGATGGCTGTTCGAGCAGATCGATGTCCAGAACGCCAAGCTCAACGGCAGTCAGGACAATGCCATGGCATCACAAGCTGACGCTTCTGGTGGCGCTGGAGATGAGGACATGGACATGCATGTCGAGCCGTCAGGTCCCGGCGATCTGAATGCGTATGTTGCACACCGTGCATCACCCTTCCAAACTTCCCAACTAACTTCTTACTCTAGCCCCACTGGCCCCAAGGCGATGCGGAACAACAACAACAACCCTCGCGGTAACCGCGACAGGCGGATGCTGGGCCAAATAAACCGAGCTCTAGATCGCACTCACGATTCGTCGCTTCATCGGGTCCGTGGCCAGGCGGGCATCAACTCCCACAAGGCCCCGCCTAGCGGTCCGAGGATGGGTGTCGGTCGACAGCCTCGCAACGCCAATGGCAGGGCAGCTAACATCGCCCACGGTATGGCGATGGGCATGGGCATGGGCTCCGGCGGTCCTGGCATGAATGGCATGAACCCTTCGTGGAACATGATGGGCGGAGCTCAGTCGCCGCAGGCCATGGACATGTACGCGATCCTCGAGCAGCAATCCCGGATGATGCAGCAGATGCAGCAGCAGATGCAGCAGCAGATGATGCAACAAGGTGGTGGCAACTTCCGGCAGAACGGAAGGCCTCTTCAAGATCGCATCCGCAACCCCAACAAGCACAACTTCCGGGGAGGTCACCATCAGAACGGGCACCATAACCAGAACAAGCCCGCCACCGAGGGCGAGGATGTCGACATGAGCGGGGAGAAGCGCGAGCCTCTCAACCCCGACGAGTCCGTCTGCAAGTTCAACCTGCGCTGCACGAACAAGGACTGCAAGTTTGCTCACCAGTCCCCTGCCGCACCCCCTGGAACCGCAGTCGATGTGAAGGACGTCTGCACCTTCGGTGCAGCTTGCAAGAACCGCAAGTGTGTCGGCCGACATCCTTCCCCTGCTGCCAGGGAGGCCCACCAGAGCGAGCAGGACTGCAAGTTCTTCCCTCACTGCACCAACCCGCGCTGTCCTTTCCGCCACCCCAGCATGCCCCTCTGCCGCAACGGCGCCGATTGCTCCGTGGAGGGCTGCAAGTTCACCCACGTCCAGACGATGTGCAAGTTCAACCCGTGTACGAACCGGTATTGCTCGTTCAAGCACGAGGAAGGACAGCGAGGCACGTTCCAGGATAAGGTCTGGACAGCCGATGGTGCCAAGAGCCACGTTAGCGAGCGCAAGTTTGTCGATGAGAATGCTGCCGAGGAGAACATCATTCCTGACCAGCCTGACAATGCCATGGGCGACCACGAGGTTGCTCAAGATGCCATTGCTTAGGGCGCATGAGTCTAAGGGATCACGCACACGAGATGACGAGTTGAGTGCCAGTGATGGTTGATATTCAAAAAAGCTCAACGACGGATTTTCGGGCAGTGCATGTGATTGGTTACGGCGGAGGTATTCTGAGTCCTGTATTATATCCATTTTTGTCACGATCAGACGGGTCATGTAGGCCCATGAGAGGAAGGAAACGCGGTGAGAATGCATGGCGTTGGGTTGTGTGGATGAGAAAAAGCGGTGGCTTGCTTCCCAAAGGAAAGGGGTGACGGTCTACTATAGAGGAAGTGAATTATCAGGGCATAAAATGCCCGACTTGACCCAAAAGAAGGTCCGTTAGTTGACGCCGACGACGTAATATACACTCAAGTCGTCGTCGCTCTTCTCCAAACATTCATCAGTTCACTACTTATGCAATGTGATGTTTTGAAGTCCAAGTGATCCATGGATGGATGATTGCTGCTCAACACCAGGCTTACCTACCTCTTATTATCCAGAGGTGAGGCACTGGTCTTTTACGGAGGTTAGCGCTGCCTGTGGGCTGCTACAGAGCTCCACGACTCTAGCACTTAGGTTTAGTCCCGCCCGCATCCAGCCATATCGTATGCCGAATGTGGCGCCATCGGAAGATTTCCCCACTGTACCTCTTGTATCTGCTCAGTTGCACTGTTATATATGGGCTGTCTTTCCGTCCTGCGCTGGGAGGAATGCTTTTTGCGGCTCAATTGAGGTCGTAAAAGCATCCACGGCTACCTTTTGATCGCCACTGTGACATGGCCATGCCTCCCAGACTCCAGGACCGAGCTGTCTTGGCTCTGCTGAGGATATACGGCACCAGCACGCGCTGCCTGCAAGCGCGCCATGCCAGCCCGCGGCTCCCCATGCGGCAGGTGAGCTCGCTCGTAGCTCGCAGCGCCGGGTTTACCAGGACCGCAGCCTTCCCGGCAGGCGTCGAAGAGGGCCAGTCCTCGCCTGCGAGCCACGGCGGATCCCGGCGGAGCTATGCGTCGTCGACGAGCCCGGCCAAGCAGCAGCAGCAGCAGCAGCAGCAACAGCCGCCGCGGGAGATCGCGGTCTTGGGCGGCGGCCTGACGGGCCTGACGACCGCTTACTACCTCAACAAGTTTGTGCCGTCGGCCAAGGTCACGGTCTACGAGGCGAGCGACCGGCTCGGCGGGTGGGTGGACTCGCAGCGCTTCGCTGCCGAGGGCCGGGGGGGGTCCGAGGTGAAGGGCATCTTTGAGAGGGGACCCCGGGCGGTGCCGGCGCTGGGGCAGACGAACCGGTATGACGACTTGGTGCTGTACGAGCTGGTATGTTCTTCTTGTCCTGTCTTGTGTGTCTTTGTAGTTGGGCACCGAGAGAAGCAATGCCGTCTCTAACTCGTCTTTGTCTCTTCTTTCCAGGTCCAGGATCTCGGATTACAGACCGAGATGTTCAACATCCCGCGCGGCGAAGAAGGGCTTCCCAACCAATACATTTACTACCCAGACCACCTAGAGAACGTGAAGCTCAAGATGCCAACCAAGAATGACAGCCTCGCAACCTGGGTCGGGGCAGCAGTGAATATCCTTCACGCCGCACTGACAAGGCCCATCTTCAAGGGCGCGCCGACGGCCTTCGTGAACTTCGTCCTCGGCTACGGCAAGCGGTCGCCGGCCGGCCAGGCGTCGGGCGCGGTGGCGGACGAGTCCATCGGCGACTGGCTGCTGCGGCGCACGGGCCGGCGCGAACCCGTCGACAACATGGTCGGGGCCATGATGCACGGCATCTACGGCGGCGACGTCTGGAAGCTGAGCGTCTTCCAGTCCCCGATGCAGTCCATGTGGCTCAAGGACAACCTGCGCGGGCGCGGCAAGCTCGTTTTCGAGAAGGACCTCGACCTGTTCCAGGACCTGTACTACAACGGCGACGCCGAGTACAAGAAGATGGTCCGGAACAGCATGAACTTTGGGCTCATTGGCTTCAACGACGGGTTCGGCACCCTCACCGACGCCATCACCAGGCGGCTCAAGACCGACTCCAAGGTCAAGTTCAAGCTCGGCGAGCCGGTGACGGACATCTCGTATAACGAGCCCACAGGCAGGATAAAGGTACAGCCGCCTCAAGAATTTTAGTAGTTGGTGGGGAAAAAACAAGTATTGACTCTGTATTCTGTAGATCAAGACGTCCAAATCCAAAACAGGCGTCGCCTACGACAAGGTCATATCCACCATCCTCGCCAAGGACCTCTACGCCATCACCAACAACAAGCTCCCCTCGCTCCGCAACGAGCAGGCCACCTCCATCATGCTCGTCAACCTCTTCTACCCGAAGCGCGACCTCATCCGCCCCCACCGCGGGTTCGGCTACCTCGTCCCCTCGTCGGTGGCCTACGACCTCAACCCGGAGGGCGCCCTGGGCGTCATCTTCGACTCGGACCACCAGGACTTCATGCGCGGCGCCAACAACGCCGACGAGGTCCGCGGCACCAAGCTGACCGTCATGCTCGGCGGCCACCACTGGGACTGGCTGCCGCGCGACCGCTGGCCCTCGCGCGACGAGGCCGTGCTCATGGGCCGCGCCGTCGTCGCGCGCCACCTCGGCATCCCCCCCGACGAGCCGCTCGCTGCCGCCGGCGCCAAGCTCTGCTGGCAGTGCATCCCGCAGCAGCACGTCGGCCACACGACGCGCATGCAGGGCGCGCGCGGCGAGCTCGAGCGGGCCTTCCGCGGCGGGCTCGCCGTCGCCGGGCCCAGCTACACGCCGCCCGGGGTCCTGCCGTCGCTGCGGGCCGGGCGCGACGCCGCGATGGCGGCGGCCGGCAAGGGGTACCGGACGCACAAGGGCACGAGCCGGATGACGCACGTGGGCGAGACGGGGCTGGGGCAGTTCCGGGCCGGCGGCGAGGGCGAAGGAGAAGGAGAGGAAGCAGACGACGGGAGCAGCGACGGGGAGAGGGTCCTGCGGTCCGAGGTGCTGCCTTTCCGGCATGGGTATGCGCGGGGGCTGTATCCTGAGGATGAGTAGAGGATGGCTAAGGGGGGTTTTTGTGTGAGATGGCTGGGGGTGAGATGGGATCGGAAGAGGATGGCATGGCTATGGTGACTGGGGATGATGGGTGTCCCTGTGTATGAGTATAGTGAAATGGGGCTGTTGCTGCATATAAATTAGATGAAGAGCGTGCTTGTGTGGTCTTTGGGAATCTCATATAAACAAACCAGGAGTAGGGCATGATGGAGTTGTATGGCAAGATTCAATGTATATGAAGTGAGCTGAAGACTTACTTCATGTAAGGTACCTATCTATCATAAGCAAGAAGGAGCTCCATCCAGATATAAATCATGTCACGAATTCATGATCAACAGCATTTGGGTAAATTTTACTTCTTTGTTTTTATTTTTTTCTCGCCCAATAGTGATTATGAGGAGCTTGTTTGGGCAGGGTTTTGTTACATAAACACTCGGTGGTATGGTATCATCATGATGAAAAAAAGGTCTTGTCTGACCAGCCCTCGACCCCGATTCGCGCCTTTTGTCTCCGATGCAACCCGCTTCGGCTTTATCTACAAGGAGAAACTGTAAAGTGATATAAAAAAAAGTGAATATGCAAGGCAAATGCGCTTGCTGCTGTGTGCCTTGTATTGTGACACTGCTCGCCGAACCAGCCACGACTTCTGGGCCGGTGTGCAATCCGGAGCGTGCCCCCCGATGGCTCGCTCCGTGCTGTGCGCCTCCCGAGTCTGCCTCTGCGTCGGCAGCTCATCTCGCCCTTTGCAGATCAAGAGAGGCGTCCACGCCCATGGTACCCCTCCCGTTGTCTCGCGAAGACACTGACTGCAGTGGGGTGTGTACGTGTCGAAATAAGATAATGTGTACGGTGTGTATATGACGGGGTTATGTCGAGGCTCCAGTACTTTCCATCAGTTGGAGTGTGTGTGTGCCCTCACGTCAGATCAACAACGTCCGGCTGGGGCTCAGGAGGGCGCGCATGTGCAGCCTTGCTCGGCCTCGACTGCTGCTTCTTGGGGGCCGGCCCTGCCTGCTGCTGCGGCTGTGCGGTAGCCGCCACCGGCGGAGGAGGAGGTGCCGTCCCCACCAGAGCCCGGACAGCCTCATCGACCGCGTCGAGCAACGGCCCGATGCCGTCCTCTGGCCGAGCAGCCGCGGCCGTATTGAGGCCCGTCCAGCGTGGACCGCTGCCACCCCAGACCTTCTTGAGAGCGTTGTCAAACTCGTCGCCCGCGCCGCTAGAGAGCTGGGCGGCGGTTCTGCGCCGCTCTACGGACCACCAGGTGGTTGATCTACGCATGCGGAGGCGCAGAGACAGGTCGAGCTGGCGCTTCTGAGTAATCTGCGGCGATGGAAGCCGGTAACGGAGACCCATCCAGTTCACCGAGCGAGGGAAGACGGCGAAGGAGCCATCTCCGTTGGCATCGATCGGTCTCCAGGCGTCGTCGATCTTGTCCAGCGCGGTGAGTAGGGGAAGAGTGGCGGATAGAACGGACGGGAGATAGCCAAAAGTCTGCGGGTCGTTGACGACTTGCACCAGGAAGTCGTATATGCGCAGGTGCGGGTTGCCCTTCTCCAATTCAATCCGGATGCCGTCCTCGGCAGCCAGGTCGAGTACAACACGCCATCGTTTGGCTGCCGCGGTTCCGGAATCATTTGCTTGCGCTGGCGCTCCATATGTGAAGACAACCTGGCGTAATGTGACGGACTCGCACTCGATGCCTTGGCTGCCCTTCTGAACATTGTCCAGGAAGTCTACCAATCGGACTATAGATTGCAACCGGACAATGAGCATGTCAATGACGGACTTGCCGATCTCTGATCGAAGTGTCAGACAAAACTCGCCAGTGCGGTGGTTGAAGGCGACATCGTGGTCCACCTTGCCCTGCAGGAGGCTGAACTTCTTGCGGTCAGTGACAACGAGCCTGGCCTCCGTGATGCCTGTATTGCGCTGCAAGCTCGACTTGCCGCTGCGAGCGGCAGACGCATCGGCACTGATGCCCTTGAAGAGTATCCGCACCGAATTCAACGCCCACGGATGCCGACCCAGAGGGTCTGAGGAACTTGTCCTGTAGGACAACAGCTCGGCCAAGCTAACATGTATCACCGGGAAGCGCGACTTGGTTGTCAAATAGGGGTTATTGGCCGCACTTTGGAAGTTCTTGATGCGCTTCGCTCTCAGATCGCGCATGTCGCTGATCTGAGATATGATCCCTGAGACGAAGGCGTTGAAGTTGCTGAAGAAGGGATCTTGAAGATTTGGCTGTGCCGGGTTCTGCGGCAGGGGCACATAGAACCCTACGGCTGGTCCTGATTGGCTGTTCACCCTAGACGTCACGGTCAGCATTCTTGTTTCTGAAATCAAGTAGATTCACGGGGATCACACTTACAACTCAATCAACCACCACCTGTCCCCGCTCAAACTCAGACTGACCATGATGTGCCACTTCGAGTCCCAATCCTGCCTCTTGTACCAGACAGCTTGGTAGTTCTCACGAGTGTTGACTATTGGTCGCAGTGCATCTGGCTTAACGGGGCTGCGGGTGGCGATCCAACCGAAGCTCTTGGCACGCCGATTGAGTTCCTCAGTAGCGAACAGACATCGGATACCATCGAGCGCATTGACTCCATCCTCGGCAGGATCCTTCCCGCTGAGATTCAGGCGGTGTTCGCCTTGGGCAACTATGCGAGAATGAGGCCCCAGGGCAAAGGAGCCTGTAATAGGGTCTATTCTCGCGATAGCCTGGTCCTGATAAGTCATCTGCACCTCCAAGAACGAGTCCATCGGCTCCGTCCGAGAGATGTGCAAACGCAAGGCTGCTTGTCGCTGCGCAAAACGAGGCTTGATTGACAGCCTGTCGTGTATCGTGGACAGAATGTGCTCGGTATGCCTGGCAATGACGGCCTTAAGCAGACTCTCCGCCGAGATCTTCTCGGTATCGAATGGTATGTCTGCATTTTTTACCTCCACATTGTCTCTGAACCACCTTATGCTTAGTCGGCTCGTTGTCCTCTCATCTGCGTCGCGGCCGGCGGTTTTCCCGCTGTGGACGCCAATTATGATCCAGCTCTTGAGGTTGTCGCGAGGCTTAGAGGCCCAGTACTGGATCGCAAGAGCACGATTCAGGGGCTCAACCTTGAGTGTGTCGATCCACCGTCCTTGCCGTAGCTCGAGAGCTTGCCGCTTGAGCTCGTTGATCTTGTGAGTTAGGACGTACTCGTGTAGAAATTTGTAGCAGCCCGGTAAGCCTTCTGAGCCAAGGACGTCGTTAACTTTCCCCTCTAAGAAGGACCGAAGGGCCTCGGAAGGCTCGGAAGGGGCCGGTGAGAAGCAGAATCGAAAATCGAGAAACCATAGTTGTTTCTCAAAGTCCTCGTCGGCGATGGTCAGATCCACCTCAAACTCGCCCTTCACTCTGAAAGTTACCCGGCCAGAAGCGATGCTGTAGTCTCTGAAGAAATAGGGTATGGTGTCGTGATCTTCCAGGTTCAGCCGCAAGGACAAGAGCGTGTTGATGTTGTCCATCCATTTCAGTTGCTCCTTCGGGTCGATCGGGGGCGGCGCTATGTAGTCTAGATCGGCTAACCACGGTACGTCGCCATCTGAAAGTACTTGAAGAGCAGTCTTTAGATCCGGGCTTGGCAGTCTCGCAAAAGTCAAGTTCCTCTTCAGGTCCATCATGTTCGACAAGGCGTTGTCGTGTGTCTGCATTTGGCCCATCAAATATCCCTTCAGGTCGATCAGCTTGCTGACCTGTTCTGCTTTCTTACTCCACTCGATTATAACCAACGCCTTGACCCAGTTACTATGTTCGTTTTGTACGAAGTTCAGGAACGCCCTCTTCTTCTCCAGGTTAGCCGCAGACTCGTCGTTATCGAGAGCATAGGTCTCGGTGGTGCCATTCAAGGCGGCGGCCGGCATAGGCTTTTGCGCCATCTCGATGATTTTCTCCTGCAGAGCATTATGTGACCTCTGCGCAAGCCGCGACAGCAGAAAACTGAGTGGTACAAAGTTATCGGTGATGTGCTGGATCTCGTCCGGAAGGTCGTTCATGCGAGCCCGTCTCTCTTCAGGAGCCTCGCCGTCGAGTGGATCCTTTTGCCGGTCCGCGGTGGGCGCGGCGCTGCCGCCGTCGCCGTTCATAGCCGCCGGCTTGGTCTGGTCCTTTTCTGCAGCTGGTTTCTTCTTCTCGGGGGAAGGATTTCGACTGAGAGGCGATGCGCCGTTAACGCCATTGAGCCTCGAGAAGTCTCTGTCGTGGTTGGTAGGAGCTATGCCATTTTGTGCGCCGTTCTCCATCGTGGCGGCTCCAGCCTCCCGCGCGAACAACCTCCTTTGTCCTCCTGTGTCCAATTCGGTGTGCCCACCCCAGACACCCCCAGGCAGGCAGGCAGGTGTTGTTGTCTTTGTTTGCAGGCACGGGACCGGGTGTGTGGCGTCTCTATCGTATAAATCGTTCCATGGAAGGCCTTTGTCGAAGCCGGGCTAGGATGCGCTGCCCGTCATTGACCTCAGCAAGGAGCAGGCTGATGTCGCAAAGGTGAGCGATACCCAAGGCCGGATCACAACGCGACGCGCGAAGCGGAAGGCGACAGACTGGAGGGAATCGAGAATGGTCCCAAATCGCAAGTACACACACGGTGAGATCCGGAATACTCTTTGTGCCGTATGCGCTCTCCTCTCATACGACCAGCGTCGATCTCTGGAGGCGGAACGCTTTGCGCAAAAGAAATGAACGTGATGACAAGGGTGAGACTATTGGGTGGTGGTCCTGGTACTTTTTCCTGGACGCAGCCAGGGCGGGCGGCGGCTGAGGGAACGAGCACCAAGACACATGCAGTCACGTGATTTCGGCCAACCGAGGATTGCCTCCTGCCTGGAAGCCACCTAAGTACCTGGAAGGTACAAACACCACTTCCATGTAGGTAAGGTAGGTACCTCATCATGGGAGAGCATGACTCTTGGCCCCAAGCTCAACAACCCCAATAGATACATACTTTAGGTAATGTAGATTGATTTCCTGCACCCCAGTATGAATAGAGCCTGCGTGCTCTCCCAGTAGATGCACTCGTCATATGCCTCGATGCTCCCGGCTCTTGGTCCAGTCAACATTCACAATGGACCAACCACCACAAGTCACCCAGCTGTACCGAGACCCAAGGTTAGGTATATATGAATTTCATTGCCATCCAGTCGTGACTGAAGGAATAATAACACTGCCGTAATAGAAACTAATGACGAAATAAAATGTACTCCGGACGTGTGTCGTGAAGCAAGCCCGAAATGCCTCCCATGAACCTGGAATCAGTAGCAGGAATTGTACCCCAATGTTGCCGAATAGGATCCCTTATTTTTTGCTTTTCAACGGTCTAAAACAGTCGCTCCCCCGTTGCACACATTAAATGCTGTGTGGGTATCTGAGGCCCAGCCCCCATCTCGTTGATCATTCGCAGGATGATCCGCTTAACTGTGTCGAGGCCGTCTATCAACAAAAAAGTCCGCTCAAGGCAGCACCGGGCCAAGGAACCCTGTCCACCGACATCCTACTACTTACAACTTGTTGGGCTGCAGAGCCGAGGTGGTCGGCCACTGGTAGCCAGCCGCATCGCTGAACCGGTAACCGTACGAGGCAGTGAAGTCGTCCAGAACAGCAGGACCGCGAGAGCCTAGTCAGCGTGCAAAGTCAGTATATTGAGTTTTCTGTAGTGTGAGACGTCTCCGCCATGGCTTACCGTAAGGATACTCCATAGGAATGATCTCCTTGTTGTCATCGAGATAGTGAAGCAGAGGGGTGAAGATCCTCCAGCTAGCATCGAGTTCGTCGTCACGGACAAAGTTGGAGTGATCGCCCTTGAGGCAGTCCAAGATGAGCGACTCGTAGGCCTCGGGGATCTTCAGATCCGAGAATCGTCGTCGGTAGGTCAGGTCGAGCTCCGTCACAACGGTCTGCATGCTTAGGCCGGGCAGCTTCGAGTTCATCTTGATGTACACACTCTCGTTGGGCTGAATCCGCATGACCAGCTCGTTTCGTGGAATATCCTTGAAGATTCCAGACGTCACGTCCTTGAATTGGATTCTGATCTCGGTCTTCTGCTCGTTGAGTGCCTTGCCAGCCTTCATGATGAAAGGCACGCCGTCCCATCGCTCATTCTTAATGTAAGCCACGAGCGCGCAGAAGGTAGGGCACCGCGAATCCTTAGGGACAGTGTCATCCTCCTTGTACGAAGGCTTGCTGCCGTCCAGAGATCGGCCGTACTGGCCGATAATGACGTTCTTGGGCTCGATCGCAGGGATGGCGCGGAGTACCCTGACCTTCTCGTCACGGATGTCCTCTGCCGAGAACGAGATGGGCCTCTCCATGGCGAGAAGAGTAAGAACTTGGAGCAGATGGTTCTGCATGACATCACGGATGATGCCGAACTCGTCGAAGTAGCCGCCACGCCCCTCGGTACCGAACGGCTCCTTGAAGGAGATCTGCACATTGTCGATGTTGTTCCTGTTCCAAGTTGCGCCGAGGAAAGAGTTACCAAAACGGAGGATGAGAATATTCTTGACCATTTCTTTGCCAAGGTAGTGGTCAATACGGTACAGCTCGTCCTCCTTCCAGTCAGGCTCCAGGGATTTCTGCAGCTCGCGGGAGCTGGCAAGATCCTTCCCGAACGGTTTCTCGACCTAGCAACGGGGTAAGCAACCACGGGCATGAGATGGAGGCAGGAGATATGTTGGGACTTACAATCACGCGCGCCACGCCGTTCTTGGGGTAGCAGATCTTCTTTAGGTGCTGAGAGACAATGGTGAAGACGCTGGGGGGGAGAGCCATGTAGAATAGCCGGTGTGACTCCTTTCGACCGCCCTCAAGCTCTTCCAGGTGCTTCGTCAGTTGCTGGAAAGAGTCGTCTCGGTCGTATTGACCGGAGACATATGTGCACAGGGAGCAGAACTCCTCCAGCTGCTGCTCCATATCCTTGGTGGGAGTCTTGATGTAGGAACGGATTCTTCGAATGTACTCGTCGTGGTCCATTTTCGTCCTGGCATAGCCCACAATCTTGATGTCTTTAGGAAGGAATTGATTGCGGAACTTGTGACGGGGTTAGGCTTGGCCCATGGCACATATCAGCGAGGCAGGCGGGGAGGGACCTACAAGACCGAATAGGGCGGGATACTATTGAGTCTCGGTTAGCCATAATGGAATTGCAGAAGGGATGGCATCCTCGACTTACCGTCTTCTTCTTGGCAAGATCACCAGAAGCGCCGAGAACGACGATGATGGTGTTCTCCTTCAGCTCCATTGGACTGGTTGGATGGATATGTCAGCTTGTGGACAAGTACTCGTAACGGGCACAGGGAAAGGCGGATCGAGAAAGGAGACAGGGCCCAAGCAAGGATCAGACAATGCCATAGTACGCTCTTGATCAATGCGAAAACAGAAGCCTGTTTGGCAGATAGGAGTCGGCAGCGAGGGCGGGCAGCTTGGTGGATAGAGTGACGACAGGCTGTGATGATTAATGGTGGGGTTGACAGAAACTCACGCTGAAGCGGGATGTAGGTCTGACGCCATCTCAGCTAGGTCGAGCTATGCGACTGTATCGATGGCTCTTGGAGATAGTACAAGGTCGAATGAGAGGAGCTTTTGAGGTGTGAAGCTGAGGGACACAAAAAAAATATCGCGAGATCTGAGCAGTGGAAAGTTGGAAGTCCGGGAATCGGTGTTAGAGGGTGCTCTTATCGTGACAGAGGTGCGGATTCTATGAGCTAAGCAAAGATGTTGAGCAATGAGGGCGGGCGGCTTGGCGGGGGAGCTCTTGACTAGCTCCTGCATACCTACCTAGGTAGGTAGGAGGGTCGTCACCTACCGCTACCTGTTACCCTTGCAGCCAGGACGGGACTCGGTGCAGCGAGGATCAATCCATGGCTGGCAAGCTGCCCAGGTGGCTGTAATCGTCCCGCTTTTGTGGTTCTTCCACGGGGTTAAGACGTAACTTTCTGCGAATAATGCAGAGCGACACACACGAGGTCCAAATGGATGGATGTAAGCCTCACCTTCACCCGCCTGAGTGTGCCTCCGCTGCCTCCGCTCGTCTCTGAAGCTCTTCTGATTGATAAAAGATGCCTACCAGGAAGCAATTGCTTACAGATCAACTGCATGCGACACTCGCAACCACCCTTCCGACTCCATCCCTGTCTATTGGGTCCATTGCAGCCTTCCCATTCCATTGCTGTTTCCGACGTAGACAGTCTAAGCAAGTACCGTATTGCGTCATTAAAAGACCCGGCGCGGATATCTGCCAGATGGCTTTCCCTTTTTTTTTTTTTCCTTCCCTGGCTGGCAAGGTTCACCCACGGCTCCTGCTGCAACCTGCAGCTAGCTCTACACAAACGTCCGGCCGGTGAAAACCTTCAGGCCTATGTTCCGGGTTCCGGTGTGCCTCACCCCCAGGACTCTCAATATTACTTCTCAGAATTGTTCAGCTTCAACCCCCCCACACGGGCCATCCCCCCCCCCTTTGCTCAGATTTACCGCTTCGTTGAGGCCATCTAGGAATCCATTTCAGCCGGTTCCGGCAGGCCGTCCACATCATACGCCTCAAACATCCCCCCTTCTCCTCCTCCTCCTCCTCTTCCCCCTCTTCGCATCCTCTATCACACCGTCTGGGCCCTGGTAGGTAGGCCCGAAGACGTGTCATGTCTCGGAGCTCCAGGCGAGATGGAGGTTGGGATAGGATGCAAGACCCCCATCAACCTTGGCGGGGCGCACCCCTGTACGAATAAGGTGCATCACCCTAATGGGAGGCTGCTTTTCCGGGTCCGCGCTTGGCTGCTGGTGGAAAAACGCAGCACAGCTTGACATTGCATCGATGCTCTTCGTGGCTAAATTAGTGGTTCCCACTGCCCAATCCAAAGGAATTGTTGCAGCACTTGTTACATGTGTGTGTGACAAACATCTCGTCACAGAAGACACGCTTCGGCATCCGAGAACCAAGAGCCAGACGCTCCCGTTTTCGAGATGTCTCTGGAGGAGAGGTCAAGGATTACTGGCTGCCTCACCACGAGGGAAGATGACACCACAGAATTTGGATTTCACAGTCACAACTACTTGTAATGCAACTAGCAAGGATGGCACTACTTGCGGCTGTTCCGCCGCCATCACTCCGAGATCCAGAATTCTCCATACGACCACAGTCAAGGTTGGTATGGGGTAGCCTCTACCCTGCTTAGTACAAAAGAAATACCGCATTTCAATATTTCAGTGACTGGATAGTTGCTTCTCTTTCCTTTATCGGAGCTCCCAAGCGCATCTCAGCGCCGCAAATGCAGACTGCCGATGTCGTTTGGATACCAGACCGCCGCCGGACAATGTTTAGGGCGGGCGGACCTCAGAACAGATTCGGACAGGCCTCGAAAATACTCCAGGCCGCCGCTGGGGCATGTCCGGACAATTGCGTTCGGAGTTGCCCTCCTTACAAGTCCATACGTAGGAGAATCTGAATTGCTACGCTCGAAGGACAGACAGCCGTCTTGCCATCAGAATTTCGAGGATCCAGATGGACTTGACGCAATTCTCTTGCACAGGAGCAAACCTGGGACTTGAGAAGCGCGAGTAAAGATTTGACGCAAATCGAGGTTCAACTCGGAGAAAAGCGGCCCAGTGAAAGTAACTGACAAATCTATTTCTACGGCATCCGACTAGAACATCTGGGACACTGGCCAGAATTGGAGGCAGGGTATAATTATCGTCCAGAGGGTCAGATTGGTAACTGTTTCTCGAACTGGGATTCTTCCCCTGTTTTCCTACTGCCTGGAACCCGTGAATCTCCTGTCCGTAGAACCGGGCCACCACAACTCCCGAACATGAGATGACACATTTACTTGTCACTCGCTCCCAAAGTCCTCCTCGCCTTAGCGTTTGACACTCTCCTCCACAGTAAAAGTGGCTTTACCGCTCCAATGGGGGATCACTTCATCAGACTTGCGGACTGGAGTCATCTTGTCACTCTGACGAACAATCATTTTCATCAATACGTGGCCAACCATTTACAATGAAGCAAGTAGATCGATGCGATATTCTGACTCTTACTTGTCGGCAAGAGGTCTGGAGAAGATGAGAACTCAATTTTTTGGTCCATTCGGGTGTTTCGAAGATCAAACCAGCGCAGCCAATCATCATCACCAGTGGCAATCGGTACGGTTGACTAAGAAGAGGCTCGAGCCACATTTCAGCCACCGGTTTCTCCAGCCACCCCAACTTCTTCCAATTTCCCAGACCACGTGACTCATTTTGAGCGCACAGACCAGAGGCTTTAGGGCTTTCCAAGCCCTTAGCCGAAATCCAAAAATTTGGTGAAGGCCTGATTCGCAACGTGCATCAAGAAATCCAACCCATCGCCAACACCGCCAAACGCGACGACCGACAACCCGCCAGCAGAAGAGTCTTTTCAGTAAGACATTTTCGCTGACACTCCTTCTCATCGTGGCACGGACAGACCGGTAGAGGGAATCACATCATCATCATCAAAATGTCGACGGAAGCAGGTCACCGACGTGAGTTTTCCCCAGCTCCCCCGGGTCACATCGCAACGGATTCGAGCATTCGACCTCGCATGGTTCTGTAATCATCAGGCTAGGCTGTGCTTGCACGGATTCGTCGCGACACCCCTCAAACACTCTTTCGTACTTGATTGCTGACTTGCTCTTCTCTAGTATACGTCAAGTAAGTAGCATCTCCATGCCTCTCCGTAATCGACTCGACGAAAGGGAAGCGACGACTTTTGGATAGCGCTCGGCCGTCTAGGGACGGAATAGGATACACAACTGCGACATGAGGGCTTTGGAACGATGACTGACAACTCTATCATTAGGGGTCGCCACCTGAGCTACCAGCGTAGCCGACATGTCACCCACTCCAAGACCAGCCTGATCAAGATCGAGGGTGTTGACGACACCAACGCCGCCAAGTATGTTTGCACTCCGGATGGATTGAAAGGAACATGTCGACTGACGGCCTGAATAGCTTCTACCTCGGCAAGAAGGTTGCGTATGTCTACAAGGCTCAGAAGGAGGTTCGCGGCACCAAGATCCGGGTGATCTGGGGCAAGGTCACCAGGCCCCATGGTATGCTCTCGCCGACTCGAAAATACGCGAAGGCTCGATACTAACGTATGGCGATCTAGGCAACTCTGGCGTTGTCCGCGCGAAGTTCGCCAACCCCCTTCCTTCGCGGTCCTTCGGTGCTTCTGTCCGTATCATGCTTTACCCTTCGTCGATATAAAGACCGGTTTGGGGCGGAGTTGCGTGGAAATGGTTCATGACTGGGTGCATTAGGGTTCCGGCAAGGATAAAGAGCTTAGGCCCTTGCCAATAGCATTCAAATCAATGGCAAAATAACAACCAAAAAAATCGTGCAGTGTGGGAGAGGAGTGTGCCTTGCGTGTGCTACGGCGGTTATGGGGTCTCGATGATTGCATCAGATGGTGTGGGAAAACTTATACCACAATCATGAGCTGCAAAAAGCTCAACCTAACAAATCAAAGACTTTACAATCCATGCATCACATCCCTGTGGGGGGTTCGCGCAGTCGCCGGGTTACGTGGATGATGTTAGGGAATCTTGAGGTCCCTCCTGAGTCCTGACGCCATGGTCGACCTCACATGGCCTTCATGTGTGATGCTATGAGACGTCTTATTGCCAGCCATCTGTCGGTACATACAGGTCCAACTGGTGATGTACTAACCATGGACTCATCGACTTTACCAGAATGCACTTTGTTGTAGCCCATTTGGGCGAAGCTTTGAATTGGCAGGATACCAGAGGTCCGGGCATCATGGCTCCGTTGAAGGTGGTGTGAATGTCTGTCAGCAGGTTGAACTTGAAGACCATTCAGGCACTTCGGTGGCACCTCCAGGCAGAGGTCTTCATGAAATACTTGTATTTCTTGGACGATCATCGTATTTCCCACTCTGCCCATGCACTCGACCTGACGGTGGTCCTCCACATGAAGGATATACTTGCATCTTCAATTCTGAACGACTTGCTATATCTGGGCGCATCTCATATATTCTGCTAAGATTGCAGTTTAAGACTTTGGCCCCCAGCTTTCTCGGCTCTCAAGTTAATCGTGAAGACCAGAGAGTATCGCGATGAGCATTTCCAAAGCATTGTTGCCCCTTTGGTATAATCCTGAACAGGTGTCAGTGTAATTGACGGAGGTCCAACAAGTGATATTGGCCTCCATGCTAATCATGCATATCATTACCGAACATCTTACGGGTTCTCCCGTCACCTCGAGACCACTTGAATCGAAAAGCTTTGTCGCGAAATGGAATAAGTATTGAGAGAGATGATCGTCAGGGTAAAACAAGCAGTGCATAATTCTAATTCGGACACATGGCTGCGATTTGAAAGCTCTTTGGCTCTGATATTTCTGTTCATATGATCAACAATGATTGTCAAGAACAAGCCGTTGCGAAACTGGATATCAGGTATGCGACGCAATGCTGAGCAGTTGGAACGGGCAAGTGATCGACGATAAGACCCAGCTCTCGGTTTGGGGCCAGGGACACAGCCTGGACAGAACGGGTGCACCTTACGCTAACGTGACGTTTTTCTGGGTCGTATTTTTAGGATCCTGCAGCCCTTCCACATGTGTGCGGAGAGAGTGGGCCGGAGAGGATCAGTTCTCTCGTTGTCCTGTCAAACATATCACACCGAGAGAGAAACGGGGAATTCCAAGACTCCGGCATCCCGCCAGTCTATTTGCCGGAACTATCTGGTGGCATCTCTCTAAGATAATCGGCTCCTGGGGCAACCAGAAGTATTGCATAGCTGTCTTTTTAACGTACCTTAAGAGATCCCCGGGCAACAGGACAACGAGGTATCGCATCGTCAACAATACGTACGACCTTTAGCCTACAAGCTGCTGTACGCCTGTTGGTGCTACCTGAACTCTGCCTGGCAATCTACTTGGGACACATCCAGACAGGTTTGTAAGACCACTGAAATGCACAAATCCCCGTGTCTAGACACTGGCGCTTGCTTGGCTGCTTCTGCTGCAGTGTGCTCTGGGTGTCAGGTAGATATCGCTCCCCAAGATAAGACATGTGTCCACAGATCGGTGCCCGCGGATGTTCTACGTGAGCTGGGACTGCGGGATCGTCGGAAGGGGCCTGCGTGCGTCTCGAGCCACGCATTCCGGATCGAAAGTCTGCCGGCATTGACAAGACTTTTCGTTTATCAATAGCGTGGAGCATCCTGCATTTCCCCTGGCAGGAGAAATATGATATTGTAAGTCCCAGGGAACGGGGAGATGATGTGCTTGATGTCAGCCGCCATTGCTCTACACTACCTAGAAAGTACTTGAGGGTGATCGCCCTGGTAGATGTAAAATAATGCCTAGCCTTGGCACTTTAACAACCACCGTTTTGCGTGGGCTTCCATCTGTCTGTTGTTCGCGGGCCCTCCACCGATAGGATCTACGACTAGGTCTTGGTTCTGTCTGAACCTAGACTACCTCACTACCAAGACCACCTGGTAGCCCTGGAGGTAGTTTACGACTCCACCAGGCGCAGTCGTCTATCTTTTGACGCTATCGGGGTTTCTGAGGGTGGTGCTGGGGCGATTGTCCACTTACAGACCTAGATTCGACAGCCTAGGCGTCATCTACTCCGTAGTTGCGGCGACGTGCTCGAAAAGCGTTGGTCTTGCTGCAAGATCTGCCGATGCGTCCTGGGAAAGAGGGATGCTAAACTCTGGTAGCGGGCTTGTAAAGGAGGTTGAAAAGCAAGAATCCGGTGCTGCAGGATGAGCTAGATCTGCGGCGATAGGTCCGGATGTTGGACCGCGTTGGCAAGATGGCGAGCCAACGAGCCTATCAGCCAATCCTTGGGCCTCGAGTTTGTCAAGGATGTGTGCACTTGGGCACGGAAGTGTACATGGACCCGGGACGCCTTCAGGAACAGACATGTGCGATTTCACGACAGTCTGCTCTACCCACATTTTCGTTGCGTTATATTCGTCGATCACCTGCTGCTTTGGTCTTTCTTGACTACGTGTGCACCCAAGCAAGGCTCGATACGAGGCAAAAGTCGCCATTATGTACTGTGTCGAGGCCATTCCCTAAAGAAAAATAAAGATATCAATGGAACCCCCTTCATCCATCAGGTCGTCCCAACTTGTGCTGCTCTTCCGTAGAAGCCGGACAGCTCGGGACAGGGGAAGACCCTGGAACATTGGGAGATCAATTGATGGGAGAGGCGGGGTAGGTACCGGAGCGGGCAGCGCTGGGCTGGTCCTTTATTATCGTGCCTGACCATACCTCAAACAGTTGGTGAGCCACGCTATTCCGAGGCACCCGCAACCTCGAGCTTGGTGTAAGTATGCTCGATGAAAGCCAAAATGTTGAACGCGCGCGAGCAAAGGGTGAGGCGTGGTGAGCAGGATGATGTGTTGCTGCCACTAGCTCCAGGACCCGGTGCCGACGGGGCTTGAGGCTATGCGAATGAGGATGGAGGATGAATGCGATTCCCGCTTGGCCGCCGATGATGCGATGCGATGTGATGCGATGCGCGTACAGTACATGGGCAGGTAGGTACAGCAAGTACATCCACCCGACGATTGTCAAAAAAAGAGAGGCGAATCACCAAACAAACTGCCACACAGTCGAGGTTTCTTGGTCTCCAGTGCTCCACCTTCTGGACCTCCAAGACATGTTACTTTTACGCGGCCCTTCCTCTGCATTGGATACGACACACCACCACGTTGATCAGGGACGTTCCTGTCATTCTTAAGAATTCCATCGCCCGACCTGCCCTTGACTGGAGGCCTTTCTCGTTCTTTTAAACTTTCTCCCTCGAGCTTTGTAGACACTCGTCCCCGCCTGCCGTATCTCTCTCCCTTTTGTGAGACAGGGCATTCTTCTTTACTTTCGTTTTCTGGCATCACTTTGATTTTCGGACACTTGCATTTGTCCGTCCTGTCGTTCTGACACTTCGCCACACACGTCTACGTGCAGACACCCGAAAAGCCACTCTACACACCCTCACTCACGCACGCACGCACGCCGGATTCACCACCCACTGCTGCGGCGCATCCCTCCCCCATACGCCTCGAGCTCGTATCTGACCTGCCAGGCCAGAGAAGCGTGGTGCAGAGACGCAATCCACTCCTGTCAGACGCTCCAGCTTCGAGAACACCCCACGACTTAGACCACGACCCACACAGAACCCTTTTTGAGTTATCGACCCACCGGCTCTTGATCGACTTAGTAGTGCAGCGTCGTCAGCTTTCGGTGCAAAAACTTTGTTGCCACGAATGGGCCGAGAATTGGAGCTGGTCTTATCCTAAGGAGTTTTGGCGAATCGGTCAGAAAGCTTTCCAAACGAAGTACCTCTTGCGCAAAGATATCAAAGATATCGCGCCCCGTCCTGAAACTGCATCAATCGATCCGGAGCTTTTTGTTTCACGACGAAAAAAAAAGCGACGTACGAATCCGGTTTCCGATCAGCCCTGTTGCGTTTCCTCTTTTACACTCTCCACTCGATCCATTAAATTGGGAGAAAGGCGATAACGTTACCTTTCTTTGACGTCAGCACAACGCGAAGGCCCCAGTCACTTTGCAGAACGAACCGTTTTTTGTGTTCTGAAACCCCCCGCGCCAAAGCCCCAAGCGACAATCCAGGCACCCTCTATTCTGGGCTTGGCGGTGCGAAAATCGCCTATCGCACAGCGCACCCAGTCCACTGAGGGTTTTCGTGCCTGCCGTCCGTTCCTGTTACACACTGGACATAGGTACTCCTCCACCCAAGGAGGTCAGCCACTCAATACCGACCGTGCGATCGTGCAAATTAATCAAGCCAAGGGGGACGCCGCTTCTTTTGACTTGGACGCGCCGCGAGACAAGGAGCGAGAAGAACAACAAAGGAAACCCAGCATCAGTAGCATTTTCACTGCCGACAGGAAACCAGCCTGCGCTTTGAACCTCCATCATCCTCCTGGCAGCCAACGACCAACACTCCATCTAATTGATCGATCCGTTCCTGGTTGCCCGGCCGTCTTGAGACGACCGCTGCCTTGATTTTTATCCAATTCTGCGACAGGACAGCGCCTGCCGGGTCCACTGATCCACCACGAACAGGGGAGGATCCCAACCACCCGCTCCACCACCTTGCAGCCGTTGCGAAGGAAAGCTTCCTCCTGGGGCCATTTATCAGTCCTTTCGCGTCGTCCGCGACCGCTTTTCCACGCTCTAAGAGACATCGCCCTGCGCTTAACCCCTGCCAGTCAGCCTGTCGTCAACTTTAGTCGTATCTAAACCGCCAGGTCAGAGCCGCCATATCCACGTTTCTCCATCACAGCCCGATCGAAATTGCGATCCGTCAGAAGGAGCCCGGCGTGGACACTATCCACATCCCCAGACATTTACCAGGATCAAGTCGCAGTAAAGCTCCGGTCACTCCTGGCTAGCTGGTAATCATGGCTTCCACATATAGCCAGCAGCAACCGCTGCCTTCGCCGCCCTCAGGCTCCCAGCAACAATATCCGTCGCAATACCCACCCCAGCAGCAGCAGCAACAGCAGTACTATCAGCAGCAGGAGCAGCAACAATCGCCGCAGCGTCCCAACTCAGGGAAGGACCGCCGCGGATCAAGATCTTTCAGTTTCCACTCGGACAAGTCTCACAAGAGCAACCCGCACCATAAAATCGACTTGCACGAAACCGCCGCCGAGAAAGAAGCCAAAAGACTTCACAGCAAAGCTGATCCCACTCTCGCTATGAACGAAGCTGAGCCAGGTGAGTTTCGTCCTAACCAGCAACACACCTCCAATCTGAGCGCCTTGGCTAACATCAGGGTTCTAGCTGCCGTCGCTGCCGGCGTCAAGTCGTCACTGGCCTCTCTACGTGAGATGCCACAGAAAGATGCCTTTGGCAACCCAATCTGTTCGTTCCCTATCACTTGCTTCGACACCAGGTCCTTTGCGCTTTTGCTAACCCACAACAATAACAACAGCTGATCCCGATCGGTCAAACCCTACTCGAAGTCGCTGGGAGCGACCTCTGGACACCATCCGGAGCTTCGAAGCTGCCATTGACGGCGGATACAACCGAAAATCTTATATCCGCTCTGATACCGACTCGGTAGCCAACTGGAACCGAAGAAGCAGTTATTACGGTGGCAGTGCGTAACTCTGATCCACTAGGCTTCAGATATTAGTGTATTGTACTGACATGCCATTCCTCGCAGACAACGGAGGCGCCCGTTTCCCCCAAGACAGCTACTACGGCGGCCGGGCTAGTTCAGTGGCCCCCAACGGCCAGTATGATTGGAGGCAACAGGGCCGGGACGGTGGCTACGACCAACAACAACAGTACGGACCATATGCAGGTGGACGGGGCCAGAGATTCTCGAGAATGAACTCAGAGTCGCAATTTACTCCTCGATACGCCGAGCAAAACGTCTATCCGACGGCCGCCAACCAGCGGTCATATGAAACGGTTGCATCTGGCTCTGGGAGCGGTGCCTCTGGAGGAGAACCAGCCGGCTATCAGACGGATCCTACCAGTAGCGACAACAGCTCCATTGAACGGATGCAGGCGCCGCCGAAGCGACAGGAGCCAGTCAATGACTATGGCATTGGCTTCAACCAGTCGCCCACCTATCAACCATCTGCCTTCACGGTCGGTGTTAACGACGCCACGGGCCCGCCTGTACCCCAGCACGGCTACAACGGGCCGCCTGTACCGCAGAAGGACGGTGGTCGCGGCCCCGGGTCCGTCCTTAGGAAGGAGGTCTCGCCGCCGAACGATGGCCGGCCGGGAATGGGCGAGAAGAGGAAGAGTTGGTTCTCGAAGCGATTCAGCAAGCAGTAGAGGGTAACTGACCCTTCAAACTGCGGTGTGATTTGTGTGACGAATTTATTATTATGATACCCCCCGATATTTTGACATCTTTCATGATTCACCTCCAGGTATTGGGGAGCATCATGCATCACACTCGAGAACCGTGGATCGGCCGGACGCCCAGGTGGGCAATGAGCGGGGGATTGTGTCCTCCAGGCTGCTATGATGACAACGAGTGAATTGGTCGAAGGCTTAGAGCAAGGCCTTGCAAGAGAGTTCTCTACGGAGGACATGGGATTATTCGAGAGCACAGACATACAAGGCGTACACGGCGCGAGCATTTCGAAGGCAGGTTTCACATGAACTCAGGATTTCCTGAGGCTACGGATTTTTCCTTCGCAAGAGAGAGTTCAACTCGACTGTACCCCGTTGCTATTTAATCAACTATCCTACGGTGTCTGGACAACGATGTCTGCAGTGAGGTGCAGGCAGGGTGCATGTATCAGTCGAGGGGAACAAGTTTGTTCCTTCGCGGAGACCACATAGAATATTCTACTACGTCAGAATCAACAGGGTATCCTGGAGATCATAATTGAAGTGGATAGGCAGACCTCTCATTCTACTTCCCTAATTTCGTCCCTTGCTGTGAGGTCTTGTGCGTTTTGGAACAGACTCAGGGGAGCTAGTACGTGACTTTTCAAATACGGCTGTGTCGTCGGTAAAAATGCCCAGTGACAATGTGCAGGTCGAAAAGGTGCCAGTTTGTTTCGGTAAATCAGACGTCATTACATACAGAGCTATAGTACAGTAATCTCGCCCCGTTCAGCGGTCTTTCTTGGTGTCCGTCTTCTTGCCTTGTGCCTCACGGTCCGACTGGTCTTCTCTCATGGCGACGATAACATAGCCGATGAGCACGGCGTTGGCCATGACGGCCGCAAGCGCACCCGCGAATGTTGAGTTGCCTACATGGTGATTAGCCAGGTTCGGATTCTCATATGATATATTTGTTTTGGAAAAAAAAAAGGATGTTACCTTTGAAAATTGTGTTGACAGAGGCAAAGTATGACCCGATGGGGATGATGATCATGGCAAAGGTGAAAGCCAATAGTTTAATGATGACATCCCTAGAGAGCGTGAAATTCATTAGAAATGGCACTTTTCATTTCTGGCAGCCCGTCGAGGACGAGAAGCATGGGGAGGTTTGGCAAGCATACGCGGGCACGGCCGGAGCTATGTTTGACTGCTGGCTTGCCGCCGGGCTGGCGCCAACAGCATCATCCTTCTCGAGAATGGTCTTCTCCGACGATATGATCCTTCGAGAGGACATCTTGCGAGGCAGTGGATGTGTATGATATTGACTTCGGGTTATATCTTGCCACCGTTTGTGTTGAATGGCAGGGCTAAGCAGAGAGCTCAGTGCCAAAGTCGATGAGAATTGCAATTGAGATTACGAGGCACCGAGGCTTATCCAGCTTATCCAAGTCTCGAGTCGGGCACTGGGGTAACTTGATAGTCACTCCTTGCAGTTAAAGAGGGTGCGTCAGTGGGCACGTGTGGGCGCGTTTAGGGCCCCACTGAAACGGCTTTAGCAGGCGTGATCTGGACGCGAAAAAAAAGGCAGGCTGCCCGCCTCGCCAGCGGTCCCACCGACTCTCGCCTCTCAAGTTGACATTGCGACCACACGGATGAGCATGAGAGTATAAGGGCAGATCTACGTCCAAGCCTGATCCAAGGCTCTCATTTTGTGCTCCATAACGACCATTCATCGGCTTTGTTGGCTTGTGGATGCTTCCTCCTCTCTCACTTGTCTCCTTGCGGTTGGCCGAGTCTGGAAAGGAAGCCGTATGAGTGGCGATGAGTGCTGGTGAAGTTGCTATTGTGAGGTGAATAGCGGAGGACGACACCAGGAGAACCTATTGATCCGATATTTACCCGACTATTGTTGGCTATTGGGGGGCTGGTCACGTCCATTGAGCACCCGAATCTGAACTGAACTTCACATTGAAGTCAGTCACAATGGATCTCAACTCCTCCCCACTCCCGCTCAGGCGAGCTCCTACTGTTGTTCCTGCAAGTCCATCTGCAAAGACAAATCTCAGAATCGACTTCAACTACGACAGTGACGAGCTGGACGAGCTTTCAGTGGACACCGTTCCTTGTTCTCCTTATTTTACTCAGCCGACTCAGATTGTCACTCAACCAACTCAGATTGTGAATCGCATCTCATTGCGTCCTCCTGAGTCACCTGTCACTATCACCTCATCTTCACCCAGGTCGGTGGTCGAAGTCCCTGCCTCTTCACCTTTTCGAACCCCGAAACCAAAATTCACCTCTGGTAGGCTGGCTTCTGCTCTGGCACCAGCTGGAACCGCCTACAGGGCCCCAATGGCGCCCCCAACTCGGAGCTCGCGCAAGCGAGCCTTCAATCAATGCTCCAGTGACACTGAGGCCGACAAGCCGCGTGCCCTCTCTGTCGAAGAAAGCTCTGACGATGGCCTCCCACCCCGTGGCGACATCAAGCCATCATCTTTCAACAAGCGAAGCAAGCCCAATTCCAACTCGATCACCTCGTACTTTAAGAGCTCCGAGGACTTGTCTGCCAAGCCGGCGGCTTCCACCACTAAGGGCAGCAATGTCAAGAAGGTCAGCAATGGCCTGGTCGAGATGCTCGGCCGCAGACTGCAGAAGAAGTTCGACTGGCCTCTGGAAAAGTGCAAGGCCGCTGTTGCAGAGACAGGCAGCATAGATGCTGCAGAGAAGGCACTGCTGAATGAAGGCAATCACAAGGTCACTGCTCCTGCTAAGAACGCAGCATACATCCAATCCTTTGCCTACAACCAGTCCAGCTCGCCTCCTTCCAACTCGTCGGAGGAACCAGAGGCATCGCTTACACCCTCTCCTCCACCCAAATCGAAGAAAGGCCGTCTCCAGAAAGGCCTCCGTCGGCGTGAGCCTTCGTCATCTCAGACTCAGTACACCGTCGAGTCTGCAAAGAAGTCCCAACCCGCTAAGCTAATCGACCTCACCGCTAGCGACGTTGAGGATGTCGACGATCAAGCCTATAGCGACCGGGATGCTACTCCTGAGACTCCAGACCGCGCCGAGTCCCAAGATGGCATGGACCCTATTGAGGAGCGGGTTTTGAACTACCTCAACACTTGCACCGCCGATGACATCGTGGCCATGTGCGGCCAGAAGAAAGACAAGGCCGAGGCCATGATCGCCAAGCGACCCTTCAAGAGCCGCCAAGCCGCCCGGGATGCCTACATCATGAAGAAGGCCAGAGGCAAGGCGAAGAAAGTCGAGATCGGTCTTGACATCTATGATGCTGTGGAGAGCTACGTCCAGGCTCTTGACCACATCGACAAGATTATTCAGAACTGTGAGACTGAGGGAGCCAACATCAAGTCGACCACTGAGCGATGGAACGTCGACTTCCGTGGCAAGAAGATCAACGACACAGTTGATGCCAACCGACTCATGACCCCTTCAAGCACCGACGGCTCCACTCAGCTGGTTGATCTGCCCATCCCTAAGGAGCCTCGCTATGTCAAGGGCCATTGCACCATGAAGACCTACCAAAAGTACGGCCTCAACTGGCTGGCTCTTCTCTACCAGCACAAGTTCGGATGCATCCTCGCCGACGACATGGGACTGGGCAAAACCTGCCAGGTCATCGCCCTCATGGCCCACCTGATCGGCACGTATCAGGAGAGCTCTGGCGAGGCTCGCCCTTGGCCCAACCTTATCGTTGTTCCTCCGTCAGTTCTGGCCAACTGGCGAACTGAGTTCGAGAAATTCGCTCCCAAACTGAGGATCACCATGTATTCTGGAAACCAGAGTGAGCGATTTGAGATTGCCACCAAGATCCAGAAGCATCCCGAGCGTCACCACGTCGTGTTGACCTCTTACTCGCAGCTGGGCCAAGAGGCGGATCGCGATGCCATGCGCTACCTGCAGCCCAATGTGGCCGTCTTTGACGAAGGCCACAAGATGAAGAACAGCACCAGCAAGATCTACAACCAGCTCTTGGGCATCCCTGCCAAGTGGCGCCTGCTGCTCACCGGCACTCCGGTGCAGAACAACATCATGGAGATGATCTCCCTGCTGAGGTTCATCCAACCCAAGATCTTCGACAACCACCTTGAGCACCTCGAGGCCCTCTTCAACCAGCGCGTCTCTATGCGTGATGTCAGCAACGGTGCGCTTCTCCTCAGCGAGCGCGTAGCTCGTGCCCGCAGCATTCTCGAGCCCTTCATCTTGCAGCGACGCAAGGAGCATGTTCTCTCTAGTCTCCCGCCCAAGACCAGCCGGGTTGTCTACTGCGATCTCGACGAGACGCAGAAGCGAATCTACAAGGCATACGAGGATCGCTTCAAGCGCGGCCCCGAGGACAAGGCTGCCGGTCGCACTGCAGCAGTGGTGGCTGATGATGGCCGCTCAAACGACAACAACAACGTGTGGATGCAGTTGCGAAAGGCAGCGATTCATGCGCAGCTGTTCCGGAAGTTCTTCCTTGACAAGACCGTCGAGAAGATGGCCCAGGTTGCGATGGACAACATCTCCCAGAAGGAGCTCCGTCAACCCAACCTCAAGCACCTCACCAACGAACTCAAGGCCTGCTCCGACTTTGAGCTGCACTTGTGGTGCCGCGATTACGAGTGCCTCAACGAGTTCGACGTCCCTGAGGAGTCTTGGATGCACAGCGGCAAGATCCAGGCTCTCCTGAAGCTGATCGAGGATTACCGTGCGAATGGCGATCGGGTTCTTGTCTTCACCCGATTCTCGACAGTCATCAAGATCTTCCACGAGTGCTTCGCCACGGCGGGCATCAGCTACCTCGCGCTCGAGGGCGAGACCAGCGTCGGCGAACGCCAGGGCCTGATCGACGAGTTCAACAGCAACGAGGACATCTCGGTCTTTGCGCTGACCACGGGCGCCGGCGGCACGGGCATCAACCTGACGGCGGCCAACAAGGTCATCATCTTCGACCAGAGCATCAACCCGCAGGATGACGTGCAGGCCGAGAACCGCGCGCACCGGCTCGGGCAGGAGCGCGAGGTCGAGATCGTGCGCCTGGTCACGCGCGACTCAATCGAGGAGCTCATCTACAAGGCGTGCCAGAAGAAGCTGGAGCTGGCGAACCGCGTGGTCGGCTGGGAGCAGAAGGACGCCTCGACTAGCGAGGAGGTGGCCGCCCGGACGGAGAAGGAGATCGAGAAGGAGGTGCGGGAGATGCTGATGGGCGGCGGTGGCGGCGACGGCGACAAGCCTATCACGACGCCTGATACGGACTGAGGTCCTCGTGTGTGCCATACGAAACGTCTACATATGGATGGACGGGTTCAGTAGGAACTGCAGTTTCTGGATGGTTTTATGACTTATTTTATTTTGCGGACAAGACTTGGCGGACAAATCGATGTCGTTGTGTATCGACAGCGGACAGGACTGTGCCTGCGGTGGTGCTGAGGTACGGTGTTTCGGACGGGGGCATGACGGAAAGCCTCTGAAGAGTAGGATTTAGTGGTTTATCATGATATAGTCTGGGCCGGGAGATTGAGTCTCTGTCACGAGCAGCGGATCATCATCACGGCTGCCTTTTTCTTTTTGCCTATGAGGGCATTGCATGGTATGGTGTTTTCCATCATAGATAGGATGCGCTTTTGTCTCCTCGACCTCCCATAGATGCTGCATGTTAGAAACGAAGAAGATTCGGGCATGCAGATGCTCTCTGATCACTTATGACATATTTCGTTGGCGGTGACGACGATGATTTCCACTGTTCTTGATTGGGTCTTGAAGCTCAACGATGTCTTTTGGTGCTTTCTTTACGCGACTGTGTTGCATGGTAGTGTTTTACGGCAATATACTTTGGTATTTTTCTTACGAATGTCATTGAAGATGTGAATATTAGAGGACTGCTGCTGGCGACTTACACCAAATGCATATTGTCGGGACTCCGCCCTTGGAGCGGATGGGCGAGCAAGGGCGGTTGCCAGCACGCACGAGCCACCGCCAATGCTCCTCCTACGTCAACCCCGCCGCCAGGAAGCACAGGTCCCCAGCTAGACCATATCCCCACGTACGATAAAGCTCCCGCCCCGTTTCAGGAGCCTCGACCTCACCTCCTACCTGCGGACGACCTTTGACCCTCTCGGACCCAAGTTGACCTCTCTTCTTTCCCTTCTCCAATACCCTCCAATTTCGAAACCATGGCAGCCGACCCTTTCGACTCGGCGCTGTACGTAAACAAAAACACATCCCCGCCCGCCTCCTCCAGAGCCGGCATAGCCTTCTCTCTCCTCCCCAAAAGCTAACAAGGACATACCGTACCGAACCACAGGGACCTCCTCCGGCGCCTGAACCCGAAGCAGACGACGGACCACCTCAACGACATCATCTCGCTCTGCCCGGACCTGACCGAGGACCTCCTCTCGTCGGTCGACCAGCCGCTCGGCGTGCGGCGCTGCAAGCAGACGGGGCGCGACTACCTCCTCTGCGACTACAACCGCGACGGCGACTCGCACCGCAGCCCCTGGTCCAACCAGTTCGACCCGCCCCTCGACGGCGGCGAGCCGGGCGTCGGCGGCGCCAGCGCCGAGGGCGGCAGCGAAGGCGCCGGCGAGGCGGGCCTGCCGGGGGACCGCGTCCGGCGGATGGAGGTGCGCGCCAACGAGGCCTTTGACGTCTACCGCGACCTGTACTACGAGGGCGGCGTGTCGTCGGTCTACTTCTGGAACCTCGACGACGGGTTCGCGGGCGTGGTGCTGCTCAAGAAGTGTAAGGACGGATGGCCCCCCCCTGCACCCAACCCACCCCCCACCCCCGTTTTTTCTGCATCCCCCTTTTTGTGTGTATAGACGGAGTAGTAGCGTACCAGGGGCTGACACGCACAACAGCCTCGCCGCAGGGCAACACCGCCGCCGAGGGCGTCTGGGACTCGATCCACGTCTTCGAGGCCTCGGAGCGCGGCCGCACGACAAACTACAAGCTCACGTCGACCGTCATCCTCAACCTCTCCCAGGGCGGCGCCCGCGCGTCGGGCGGCGGCGGCGGCGGCTCGCTCGACCTGAGCGGCAACATGACGCGGCAGGTCGAGCAGGACCTGCCCGTCGAGAGCGACGAGTCGCACATTGTCAACATCGGCCGCCTCGTCGAGGACATGGAGCTCAAGATGCGCAACCTGCTGCAGGAGGTCTACTTTGGCAAGCTCAAGGGCGTCGTCGGCGACCTGCGCAGCGTCGGCAGCCTGAGCGAGGGCCAGCGCGACCGCGACGCCCAGCGCGAGCTCATCGGCAGCATGAGGAGGTGATTCTGACGGACGGCGGCCACGCCCACTCAGCACCCCTCCTCCCCCACCCGCCAGGAGTTATATAAGGGTGATGTGAGGAGGCTCAATTTTCTTCCAAAAGAGTCACAGGGGGAAAGATCTTTCTCTTTTGCGACATGAATGAAGAGCAATGAAAAACGGTCTATCTAGATTCCAGCGTTCTGGTAAATGTCTACACTGCGCATGTATGGCACCGGCACAAGGCAGAAGCGAGAAGAGACGTGATGTATCGATGCAAAGAGCCGTATCTTCAGAGAGCGCCTATGCTCTAGGAGCGAGGGAAGTGCTTGCTAGAGATGGAGTGTGAGATATATGAGTACCTCGAGTCGATACATGGATATTACGAATAAATGACACCTGAGCCAAACGGCAATCTCCGCAGATAATACGGGGCTATTTGAGTCTTGGGGCTGTCCCACGTGTCATCACGACATCCTCTGTTGCTTTTCGAGACAAAGGCCTAGAATCTCTGATGTAGTACAGACTTGTATAAGGCCTCCTTCCCTTGCCCCTTAATCTGGCGTGCGCAAGGATAAACCACCTGCGGGAAGCCGCCAGTGACTTGTCCGGCACAATAGCCTCTGGACCCAGATGCTGACCGACGGGACTGGAGAATGTGAAGGAAACAAATGTCGTGTTTCGGAGAATGGTCCTGAAGCAATCTACGGTCCCACGGGGACACGGGACGCAAAGCGGAATGACTTGCATATGCAGGTGCGACATGGTGTACGTACTTGGACAAGGAGATCAAAGTGCACCTGCTTAGGAAGATCAGCGGCTTGCCTTGGCCGCGGCAGTGTACTCGATTTCCCCGAGCCGTTTCGAGATTTCAGGGCTGTCGATCCTGGCTGGCATCTGCTCAGTCTGGACCAGACTCTCCGTGGCTTCGAGGACAACCTTCGATCGGCCACTTTCTTCCCGGCTAGTTAATTATGTTCGCCTCGGTATTGGAAGTAACACACCACTGGCCCGTGATCAGAAGAGGCGAGGATAACCTAGCCGTGCTATATCGACCCGCCCAAGTGTCTTGGCCCCGGCCGCAAGCACGGCCACACTGATCCAGGTCTCCCGATAAAGAGGTGCTCTACCCAGATGTGTGGTGCCATTAGCCTTGAAAGCGAGACAAGATTCTCGGTCGGGGCCCCTTTCATCACACCTGCATATTAGTTTATGTGCGTTTGGACATATTGGGCATGGACGGACAAGTTCACACGCTTTCTCCTCTTGGTCTTCTCTTGGTCGACATGCTTCGAAGGATCAACGGGTTTCTCTTGGCTCCCCTCTGCACGTGTTTGAATCTGATACAGGCTGAAGGGTGCTTGCGGCCGTTGAAACCCCTTTCCATGAGAAGCAGAGGCCGGTGGCTGTGACAAAGCGAGCCTAGACAGCATGACAGCCCACTGGTTGCAAGAGACATGCTTCAGAAGCGATTTGAACTCGCTTGGAAAAGCACGGAGAGCCAGACCGAGGAAGGAAAATGAACAGAGTCGTACCAGGCTGTGGGATAAGGGCATTTGGGCTGGTAACTCGGAGTGCTCCTGTTATCGAGACGGAGTACGCATGCTCTTATCAGCAAGCCAATCTGCACATCTGACCTCGAGAGCAATATCCCTTCCCGTAGCATATCAACAGCCCTCGTTTTGAGACTGCGAGATACGCAAAGGAAGCACAGCTTCAGATGCAACGAGGCGATCTCCAGTAAGCCGAAGAGCCAAGAACAGGCAGGAAAGCACTGCATTTGTTCGAGAGCCTCTCGGAGGCTCTGCCCAATTTTGACAACACTCATTGCCTGGAAAGGACGGATTTGCTCGGGGAGAAGATCACCTCGGGCATGATGGAGAGTGTCATTCATCACGCCCACTCGTCCGCCCTGGCGACAACAATGACGGGTAAAGGGGCGTAGCTGAAAGATGTCGCGATCAGGAAACTTCCTGCAGACTAGTGTACTTCGTAGGCAAGTAAAAGGGGTTGGGTCGCTGATGACGGCCGCTCGGGACCGACCTGCATCGCAGAGTTGTCTGCATTGTATGGTAGCATTGCTGAGACGCCAGTGACGCACGTTAAATGAAGAATTGGAAAAGGAAAAAGAAAATATCCAGCAATAGGGGCTGGCGAGCGTACAAGACAACTGAAGGATGCGTTCATGTTTCTGCAGAGCAGGGCGATCAGATGGAGATAGATGGTTGTTGAACATGTATTGATTAATACCACGGGCGTGTGCCGACTTGAATCAATGGTGCAGCCCAGTCACATTCGCTCCATTTCTTCCGTCAGGGGCAGAGGGGCAGGGAGGCAGGAAGGCAGGCACTAATTACAAGTAGTTACCCCTTAGTTACAGCATCCAGCAAAATACGCGATTCGTTGCTTGCTTTTTGGGGCCATGGTCATGGCTTCCTTCTAGAAGTGTTCTGTGCCTGCCGTGCCTGCCCGCGCCTGAAGGATCATCCATGTACTCCGTACTTGCCTCCAGGGCTAGCATTTGGACCCGCGTCTCGCACCAGACGCCATGTAAGAAATAGAAAGCGAGGAAGAAGCAATTCTTCTTCTCATCGACTGCGTTGGCTTCAATAACTCCATCCTCTCCACCTCAAGTACCCAACGGGCGCATCAGTGGACGATGACTAGGCTTCTACCTAGCGCAATCACCTGTCAACCGCTGTATGCATGTTTTGACGGAGAACGGCCAACACAGAAGCAAATATGTGCTACTTACACCTCTTCGGCCACAATGAGCCGCGACGCACGCATACACACACCAAATCCCCAAGAGTTTCCCACGCTGCACGCCGCACGCCGTTCCAACTCTTGTCCTTGCCCTTGTACACCTTGGCTTGTGCGTCACGCTACGCACATCCTCCCGACCAAGGTACTTGTATTAGTTAGTGTCGCGCCGGTACCTTAGCCCATCCACCAACCCCGCCTCAGCGGACCCAACCGCATCTCAAGAGTGAGCGGGCGACGGGCACTGGCGGGACGGTCAGGCGGTGTGTGTGCATGGATAGCACCTGATGTCGGCGTGGGACGGCCCCTTGTTGGGCGCCAGCTCGCCCTACTAGCGGGCTTTTGGTGCCTGAAGAACCGCTGAACCGCTGGAGCTAAAACTGCCCGTAACGGCTAGTGACGCCCTGGCCCGTCTTGGGACCTGACTCTCCGACTTCTTCCCAAGTCTCCATCTCCTCTGTGGAGATGGCCTCAAATTGCGATAAATCTCATCTCGGGTGCCGGATGTACGTACCTACTTTGCATGTACAAGTAGCTGCTTCTACTCCGTACCTACTTGTAGATCTGAGAGGCCTCAATGCTCGTACTCTTGCTGACTTCCCATGATGCAGCGACGCCACCGGACCCATAATCCTCTTCCCATTGCAGGATCTGGATAAATCCGGCCCAGATGTGCACATCAATATGTCGTCCTCCCCACTGCTCACACGCCGCCCTCTTTGTGCGCCCACGAGAAATACTTCTGCCCCCAGATGAGATGACTGGGAGGCACCTGTCATGTTAATCAGAAACAGCCCGCTCTCCTTGATTTTCCTCACTGGGTTGCACGGCAGCAGACCCATCCTATCCTCATCAGCACTCTTCAGGGGTGGACACTTGAGTTACACCAACCAAGTCTCAGACTGTCCATCCTCGAGAGAAGGCAGCATCATCCAGGGAAGTGTCAGACTCCGGATACCCTGCTCTTCTGGCGGGTGCTGGTACAAGTAGAACATCGGGATGCCCAAAAGGATGGAGTGGAGAGGAAGGGAAAGAGGAAGAGGCAGTACTTGTAGACCGACCCTTGCAACTGACAAGGCCGTAAGGCTTCAAGGAACGGCTCCATCATGCTCGCTTGCACGGCTTGTCGTCAAACCCTGCTCGAGACGACTTGGGATCAGGCACGCGCCCCCAGACCTGCTTCTATCAGACCCATGCATCAACTCGAGCACACAGGCCAGCAGCACGATGTTGGTTTACCTGTCTGTGCAGAAAAGGCTTCCCTACATGCAAAGGATTGCTTGGTACATATGCATGTAAGTATGTACCTGCATTGCATTGCACATACTTGTACTTGTACTTGACCAACCCGCTCAGCTGTCACTACTCGATGGAGACAGAGTCAGACAGAGTCTCTGAGGCAGAACAAGCAAAAGACGACTCCTCTCCCTGGCCGCTATTCCTGACAGCTATTTTAGAAGCAGACTGGGGTGTAAAATGGCGTGTGGTTTGGGGGGTGGGCCCTGGACAAGGTGTTGGAGTCCTCTTCAAACAAAAGTTCATACACCTGCGCTGAAGATCAGCAAAGGCCCATGCTCCCCATGCTCCCCTAAATATCAACACCCTCCCCTCCCCTTCCCCCTCCCCCCTCTCCATGAGGTAGTCATGCACCAGGCCGACAAAGGAGATGCTCTGGACCAAAGGGAAGAATTCCAGCGTAGGACTGCATCTCTGCTCGTCCCTCTCTTCAGGTCGCTTTGCCCCTTGATGGCATGCCTCCTCGCCTGAGCGCAGTAGCCTCGACCTGCCACCAACCTTAATAAAACCTACCTGCTTTAGTTTGTTCGCCTACTCGAGGTGGTGATCTTGGCCCTGTTTGTGCCTTGGATCCGGGAGAGTCCGTCCGGACTTGCACGATGCATCTTGGGATACATCCCGAGCTGATCCCATATGCGCGAGGCCATTTCTCTGTGTTTGTGTGTGTGTCTCTATCTCTCGCGGCGCAGGCTCTCTCACACCTGGGCCAAAGCAGGACATCCATCCACCTGTAATGACTATGCCCTTGATATGCCTGCCCCTATGATATACCTGACTTAGCTACGTAACTACGCTACCCACCCGCGCGCTCCAGCTCTCCCCCCTCCGATCTTCCCAACTAAGAGTTCGGGCCAGGGTTCAGGGGGGGGGGCGTGGGTGGAGGGGTCGCTCGCTCGCTCGCTCGTTGATGAATGAACAAGCGGCGGCAGGCCTGGGCGGTGGAGGATTCGCATAAAGGTCCGCCCCGCCAGCCCGCCCGCACCTTTCCCTTGACGTCCACACCTACCTTGACCTCATTACCTTTCCTAGCACCTCTATCGAAACGTCGTGGGCAGAGGCAGAAGCCCCCAAAAGAGGCCAGCCAAAGGGGGGAAAGCCGTTCCGGTTCTGCCATACTAACTACCTAGTAGTCTTCTTGACTTGGATCTCTTTCTCTACTTGTACTCTCGCGCTCTCTGTTCCTCCCCTGGTCAGGTCTCATAACCCCAAGGAGACCCTGTCTTCCCTTTCTTTCTTCCTCAGTGATTCATTCTGCTGCTGTCAGGGGTGTTTCGTTCTCCTTATCCCCGGGTTTCGAAATCTTACCAAAGGTCGGCGGCCGGCATTCTGAACGTTTCCATTCTTCCAGTCTCTCGAGCCTCGCCCGGAAGATCCTCTCTTTCTCTCCAACCACACGCACTGCCCTCTTGCCGTGTTGACATACCAAGCGACTGCCTTTTCCGTCTCCAGCTTCCAAAGGGCTTTTGTGTGTCTTGCACGTCGCAAATCGCGCATACCCGCAACACACAGATCATCCGGTATCCTATGCGCACCGATTAGAACCCCCCCACCGCACACCGGACGACCATACACCCCTCCGACTCGTCCCTGACGACGCAAAGTGCCACTGGCAAGCTCAGCCCAAACACCAACAGTTCGCAGCCATGGCCGAGAAGCCATCGGTCCTGATCATCGGTGGCCTGGGCTACATAGGCCGCTTTCTTGCGCTGCACATCCACAAGAACAGCCTTGCCTCCGAGGTTCGGTTAGTCGATAAAGTGCTCCCGCAGCTAGCATGGCTAGCGCCCGAATTCGAGGAGGCCTGCGCTGCAGACAAGTTTATGCAGGCCGACGCGAGTAGAGAACGTATGTGCCTAGACCCTCCTTCCTCTTGACGGTCCCTGCCATTTCCCCGTGGTCTTGCCCACAGCACCAGCCTCTATGCGACAATGTCTTCTCTCTCCCGTGCCCCTCTTGCTGACGAGCTTCCACAGAGGCGCTATCCCGGATATTCGATCGTGCGGACGGGAAACAGTGGGACTATGTGTTCAACTGCGGCGGAGAGACCCGTTACTCGCAGGAGGACGAGGTGTATAAGCTGCGGTCGCTTGCCCTGTCGCTCGCCGTCGGCAGAGAGGCGGCGAAGCGCAAGGTCAAGTGCTTCGTGGAGCTGAGTACGGGCATGGTGTACAAGGCTGATTCGAAAGCAAGCGAGGAGGGCGACAAGCTCAAGCCTTGGAGTAAGATTGCCGTGTTCAAGCTGCAGGCCGAGGAGGAGCTTGCCAAGATTGAAGGGTAAGTCGCCAACTTCTAGGCAGCCCATTGCTGCTCTCGCCAGACATTGGGTAGATGAGCTGATCGTGCGACCAGTCTGAACCTCGTGATTGTTCGTCTCGCGCACGTCTATGGACCCTACGCGTCCCAGTGGGTCGCCACGATGCTCTGCATGGCGCGGACCTACAAGGCCCTCGACGAGGAGATGAAGTGGCTATGGACCAAGGACCTGAGGACCAACACGGTTCACATTGAGGACGTGACGCGCGCTCTCTGGGCTATCGCGGCCTGGTACGACGCCGGCAAGGCCAACTGGGAACCCGGCATGGGCAAGACCCCCATCTTCAACGTCGTCGACGACGGCGCCACGTCGCAGGGGACGATGGCCGACCTGATCGCCGAGGAATTCGGCATACAGACGGGCTTCCAGGGCCAGCTGATCAGCACGTTTGCCAGGCTCAACATGGACAGCGTGGTGGACGACGTCAACGACGAGATCCTGCGGCCCTGGGCCGAGCTGCTCGCCGATGCCGGCATCACGAGACCGGGACCCCTGACGCCGTTCATGGAGAAGGAGCTGCTCAAAGATACCGACTTGAGCATGGACGGGAAGAGGCTGAAGAAGGTGGTCGGGTTCGAGTACTCCAAGCCCAAGATCACGAAAGAGCTGATCGACGAGATCATCGAGAGCTACCAGAGGATGAAGTGGTGGCCTTAAAGAAGCCGCTGGGCGCACGAGCATCGGGACGAACGGACAGACGGACGGACGGACGTGCACGGTTCCACCAAGAGCTGCCCGTCGTTGCGGCGCACAGAAAAAACCGGGGGTGAGGCTTGCAGGGGGATTGATGCTGGTTGCAGATGCAGAGACGCAACCTTAATGCGAGTAATGGCTGGGATGAAGGAGTGGATGTGATGCATTGCATATGCCCTACAGGTTGTCTATGATAACGGCCGTTAGCGTCTCATGGCTTATGTCTTATTTTGGTTCTGCTGGTTTTTCTCTCTCGTTGCTTTTTTTTTTCCTTTATTCCAACCTCTACCGGGATTCTCTTTTCCAGCTTCGATCTGGTTTCAGCGGAGGCGAGCTCAGGCGGCTCGAAAAGCTAGAGCTTTGTACCATTAGGATATCCGTCATAATTTCTCTCTCTCTCTTTTTTTTTATCTCTCGGTTGATTGATTGAAAGGTTATAAACCCTTGTAATATAGTTAGTATAAAAGCTTGCAGACTCTAAACACGAATACACAGTCAAGTTGGTTTCAAACGTCAAGTTGATGGCTACTAGCAACTCAGAGAGAGCACACATAACTTCTTTAAATGGTGTGAGAGAACACCACTCATACGCATTGGTCTTATGCTGAGCCTTGGAAGCTCTTGGCCAAGGAGGAGTAGGGGTCTTCAGAACAAGGATCTGCAACCGTCAGACATACCTACTGTTTCTCACGAGCTCAATCATCTTTCACGTGAACCTCGGGCTACTCGGACTGCATTGCACATCGCAAGCTTGGCTTCTTTTGTCTCCCACAGCTACTACTAACTAACTACAGGTATTTCCCAAGACCCCACCGCCTATCTTCCCGTTCCTGAGAAGCGCTAAATATGCCCCTGAAGCTGTCTCTGGTCAGGATCCCGTCCTTGGTCCCCGTCACTAGGAACGCTTTCTCGGCGGGTGGTCCCAGTGGTGCACGCACCAGTGAGGCACGTTGCATATGACGATGGCCTGCAGCTGTGCCTAGGACCGAAAGGGCTCACCAACGGTCCCGCACGGAGGTGAAGAGCGCCAATGCACCAGGCCACTTATCTGTGAATGGTGCAGGACACAATTTCAGCTGTGCTTGAATTGTGTCCCCCCGCAAAGACGAGATGCGAGCTGCGAGTCTTGGTACCTACTTGTAGAAGTTATGCCCCTTTTGGCCTTTTGGGAGGGATGCCATCTGGGCGGTCTTCCTACCGCTTTTGGCGGGGGAGGGCCCGGAGGGGGCCCTGGCCAAGTGGGGGCGAAGCAGCTCTCTGATGACGGAGTTGCCCTTGTGCATCTGTTTGTTGGTTGCTTGTGCTTTTTGGAGATGCCTCGGCCGAAACAGAGACGACGCGCATGCCTTTCTGTAACGGTTGGAGGGAGGGGGGAAAGCCCTAGCACTGGTCTTTTCTTTACTTGTGACAGACAGACAGACAGACAGACAGACAGACACACAGACAACAATAAGATTGCATCGAATTATAAAAACAGGCACAGTCGATAGCTCATTGGGTATCTTTATATTTTGTTCTTCTCAAGATCGGCCCCCATCTCCACATTCCCCTCGCTGTGCAGAGGTGCCCCCCAAAGGACTACATAACTGTTGATTGCCTCCCAGCTTTCCTGTGAGCTACCTCTGCCATTTCCCCTTTATTAGAGCCTTTCCCTCTTGCACATCCTACGGACTGTTATTCCTGTCATACCCCCCGGAGCCTCGTACCTGACTGAACCAGCTATCTACGGGCATATAAGACTTTCCTCTCTCAACATGGCTGCGCCCGACTCCAAGTCCATCGCCGACCTCAACGGCAAATGGGTCATGGTAAGCTCTCCCCCCCCCGCCCCTCCCCATTCATACACAACACACACTCTCTCTCAAACCCCCCTCGCCCAAAAACCCTAGCTGACTCTCACCTCACACAAAACAAAACAGAACAAGACCCTCTCCTCGAGCACCGACCCGGCCCTCGCCCTCCAGGGCGTCGGCTGGGTGACGCGCAAGGTCGTCGGCCTCGCCACCATCACCCTGCACGTGAAGCAGTTCGCCGCGGAGCCCTCCCCCGTGGGGCCCAACGCCGACCAGCCGGCGCCGACGTCGGACCCGGTCACGCACGTCGACATCGAGCAGACGGGCACGGGCGGGATGAAGGGCACGACGGAGCGGCGGTGCCTCGACGACGCGCTGCGCGAGCACACCGACTACCTCTTCGGGCACGTGCGGGGCCGCACGCGCTGGGTCGACCTCGCCGAGGTCGAGGACGAGTTCCTGAAGGCGGGCTGGAACGAGGAGGGCGAGACGGCGGGGGGCCAGGACGGCAAGCTGCACATGCTCAGCTGGGTCGAGAGCCTGGACCGCGGGTGGGTCGCGACGCAGGTCTGGGGGTTCAAGAAGGTCGACGGGGAGAGGATGTACGCGCGCAACATTGTCATCACCAAGGGCAAGGAGAGGGTCGAGCTGAACCTTTACTATGACTATGTTGCGTAGAGAGGTTGTGTGGTGGGAGGCAGGGGGGGAGAAGAGTCTGTATAGAAGAAGACACACCCATGTTGGATTTGTTTTTCTCGGCAGGGAAAGAGAAGCTGGAAGAGGACGAGACTTCTTTCAAGTGGATGCTCAGCCAGAATTTGACTCTTGATGAGAGGAGACTTTGGTCTGCTGGACTTGCTCTCCCCGTCTGATGGCAAATCGTCGAGGTTCTACACTTTTAACAATGCAAGCAAGCACGTTTGGCTCACAGTTGGAAACTCCGTTTGATATTCCGTCTACCAAAAATCATCTATGTCCCAAGCCGGCCTGCTCCATGTTGAATATGCATCCTTTGCGTCGTCTGCGCAGTCGGACGCCCGAAGTTAACGCCAGCCGATAGTTGATATGCCATGCAATGCTCTTGATCCTCGCCTCGCCTCGCCCCGCGGTATCTCATATGTACCTTTCCCGCCCCGCCCCAATCTGAGAAGCGACTAGCTTCCAATCATGAATGAAATCTCTCTCCATCGCCACCACTGTCCGGCTTCTTCCCTCTCGTCTGCTCCTTTGAAAAAGCAATGTTTCACGCCGGTCTCCTCTTGACAAACTCCTCGAGGTCCTGCACCGTGGCGACGCCAATGACGAACCTCCTGCGCTCGTCGGTGATGACGGCGAACTCCTGCTTCTGGCCCGTGACGCCGCCCTCGAAGAAGCACTCGAGGTCCTCGAGCGGGGTCTGCAGCGTGATGAGGTGGAACTTCTTGCCCTTGCGCTGGAAGCGCGTCACGGCGCTGCGGACCTCGTCCTCGGGCCGCACCCGCCCGGAGTCGAGCATGGCCTGCAGCTGCGGGATCGAGACGTAGCCGAGGAGGGCGCGCGTCGAGGCGTCGACGACGGTGAGGTGCGTGTAGTCGCGCTCGAACGCCGACAGGAGGGCGAGGGAGACGGTGTCGGACGGGTTGAGGGAGAGGGCGGCGGGCGGGTCGAGGTCCTCTACTGTGGCCTGTAAGAGAAATCTTGTCAGTTTGGTCGGTTCTTGTTTTGCCATATGTGCCGTTCGAAGCAATTCGAAGCATCGTTATCCGCCAAGTGACGTGATGAGGAAAGGGGAAATGACTCTTACCCCGCGATACCTCGACGCCCATTTTGAGACAAAGGGCTGTGAGAGGGGGCTGTGGCCCATGATGCTGCTATTCGCCTGAGTTGCTACGCCGGCCATGGCTTCTTGTCTGTGGGGGCTCTCTGTGCTCGTTGAATGGTGATAACGGTTGATCAATGGCTGGTGGTGATCCGAAGAAGAGAATCCCGAGCCTCCCCAAGCTTTTGCGGTGTGGGCCAATCAATCACATGCTTGTGGGACAAGTGGGTGGGTTCTAGCCTGCAGTTGAGCCCCCACCGCTGTATCCACAGAGGCCGGAGGCCGGATGGCGACGAGAAATACTCGGTTTGAGGCGTGCAGGTGAGCAATTTCGAGATGGAATTTGCCAGATCCGATCGCTTGCACAGCAGACTGTTACTCAAGATACAAGTAGATGACGGAATTTCCTCAAGAGAGATCATCATACGGGCTATCCCACTACCTATATCCGAGGGGCTTTGATAGAGGGGAAGTACTCTTACCATGCCTTTTAACTACCTAGGTAGGTAAGTCTGGCCACAACTCGACCCTCTATTGCAGAGCGTTTCTCTTTGACCAGAATACCTAGACTAATGTCCAGTTCACTCACTATCAAGATCGCTTGCTGGACATGCGACGGGATTAATGCCAAGTGGCCCTGCACTCCTGCACTAACGAGGGAGAGAAATCTGGGGTTCTGAGCACCATCAGCCTGCGATAAGGCAGTAAACTCGCTGATATGGCGCTGGAGAGCGATCCACAGACCCCACCGACGTCACTCCTGACACCTCTTTGTCTGAGAGAGGTGAGCGGGAGCTTGCCTGAGTGGTCGGTGATGGATGGATGATGGTCGCATACCACCCACCATCTGCTAATTGCGCAGCTGTAATCAGTAATGGTGAACATGGATGGCGCGCTTTTTGGAGCAGTGCAGTGCATTCTGCGACAGGCTGGCTGGCTTGGACACTCTGCCGCTGCCGCGCTCTCCCTCCCAAGTCTCCCTCCTCGAATCATGCAACTGGACGAAAGGTGAAACCTTGTTTTGCTCCCGCAGCTCCCCTCCCATTTTTTCTCTCCCTCTCCTCAATCCAGAGCTCACCACCTCTACCGACCCCAGCTATCCTATCAAAACTTCTCTTTCCGGGACTTCATCCATCCCTTTGAGGTATCATCAAGAGATTCTGCTTCTCGGTCTGGTGGGTCTTTTGTGAATCGCGATTGACTGGTGAGTTCCATTTATATACACGGTCTTTATCTTAACTCCGGAAGTGTCGGCAACAGCGACCGGCACGTCACTTCCAACTCGCCTCGAGTCGAGAATTGACTCGCTCTAGTTGATTGTCATTCGCTTTCCTGCTAGAAGCTTTCAATCTGGAGAGCCGATTGCATGGTCAATTCGACAGCCTGGACAAGACTGACTTGAGTACCAGCTAGAGTGCCGCTGCTGCCAACAGCTTACAGTCAAGATGTCGTACCTCTACCCCAGACAGGACGCGCTGCTGTCGACCTTTGGCCACCCTCTGGCCCCAAAGCAGCCCAAGAAGGTATCCTACCGGGGACGCCCGGAGCTCTACTCGGCCTACTCGGTCATCGACGATGCAAAGGACAAGGCCAACAAGCTGAGCGCCGAGGCCACCAAGGAGTTTGAGAAGGCCAGCGCGAAAGCCCAGGCCAAGACTGGCAAGATCGAGCTGTTCTCGGGCCAGTACTATGCCGCCTGCACCCTGGGAGGTCTGCTGGCTTGTGTAAGTCGCCTTCACCACTGCTTCCCATATTGCCCAGCATCTCAATCAATTGACACGTCGGACTTGACCAACAGGGCCTCACTCACACTGCTGTCACCCCCCTTGACTTGGTCAAATGTCGCCGCCAGGTCGATGCCAAGCTCTACAAGAGCAACATGCAGGGATGGGGTCTGATTTACCGGGCTGAGGGCCTTCGTGGCATCTTCACTGGCTGGGGCCCGACCCTGCTGGGTTACTCGGCCCAGGGTGCCTTCAAGTACGGATGGTACGAGTACTTCAAGAAGACCTACTCGGATATGGCCGGCCCCGAGGCGGCTGCCAAGTACAAGACTGTGCTCTACCTGACCGCCTCTGCCTCGGCCGAGTTCCTGGCTGACATCGCCCTCTGCCCCTTCGAGGCCGTCAAGGTCCGCATGCAGACCACCATCCCTGCGGCCTATAGCGGCACCTTTGACGGCATCAGCAAGATCACCGCCGCCGAGGGCTGGGCCGGCCTGTACAAGGGCATCTACCCCCTCTGGGGCCGCCAGATCCCCTACACCATGATGAAGTTTGCCTCGTTTGAGACCATTGTCGAGATGATCTACGACCGCCTCCCCGGACAGAAGAGCGACTACAGCAAGGGTGCCCAGATTGGCGTCTCCTTCACTGGTGGTTACCTGGCCGGTATTCTCTGCGCCATCGTCTCCCATCCCGCCGATGTCATGGTCAGCAAGCTCAACGCGTACCGCGAGCCCGGCGAGGCCTTCGGTGCCGTCGTCTCCCGGATCTACAAGGACATTGGCTTCGGCGGTCTCTGGAACGGTCTCGGCGTTCGTATTGTCATGATCGGAACCCTCACCGGTCTGCAGTGGACGATCTATGTAAGTGCTGTTTGGGGAGGGGGGGTCTTGCCTGCCTCTTGAGAGCGTCGCTAATCCAAGGTGTGTCAACAGGACTACTTCAAGGTCTTCATGGGTTTCCCGACGACTGGTGGTGCCGCGCCGCCCGCCAAGCAGTGATTGGCAGCAGAAAAGAGTGTGTGAGGGAGATCACGAGTAATGAAACGATGGGCAGTGATGTCGTGGAGGACGTGCTGAACTGCACGGTATAGCTTTGATGGTATATGTGATGCTGCGACGGATCCAAGACGAACGAGAGAAGTTGGCACTTTCATTATCAGTCTAGAGTCGGTTCTGTCTATACGGTGTAATATCAAATCGGAACGATTTTTTCTTTCGTGCTCTCGATACAGATCGATCTTAGAACCAACGGCTTTTCCACCGCCCAGAGCCAACGTGGCCCGGGTTATGAACTTGATTCGTCCTGGACGTGTCGTCTGGAGCCTTGTGCCTTGGGTATCGATGATTATTCATGATGAGCCTGTTCTCCAAGAGTCTGGTCATCGGCCTCTTCGTTATCGCGAGCTATTTGAGTTCGAAACACGAGTTGCGGATAGGTCAGTCTGAGACATAAAGTCCAGCGAAGCAAGGAACCACCACATGGGAACTGGCGACAGTGGAGAAACCAGGGGAGCTATCAGTCTTGCCGGCTGCGAAGGTATTCGTCATTATGATTTACGCAAGCCCGCCCCGAAGGTCCCGTCAAAGCTCTTCCCGGGTAGAACTAATGGAGGATGGGGGCATACGATGATTCAGCAAAGCTCCCGAGGCCTCGTTAGTGCGGGGGCTCTACGAGGAGCCTTGGTAGGCATTCGGTCAGATGGGAGGTGTGAAGAGAACGTCGCTGTTTCTTACGCCCTTACATTGTAAAAGTCTGGGGGTGGAAGCGCGTGGTGGCTTGGATGTACGAAGCGAATGGGTGTGCTGTATCCGTCCATGGTACTGGATCCTCTGGCAGACATGCCATCCCAACCCTCCCTCCATCACGAACCGTGTCCTATTTTTTTTTTTTGTTGAGGGGATATAGCCCTCTGCACCATGTGCCGATTAAGCCCTTCTTTGCCTAGTTGCCTGCCCTACGCTTGTTCGAACGATTCTTGTTCGTTTGTTCGAGCTAAAGGACGACCAACAGCTTTCAAGTAGTTTAAGAGAATGCGGGGGTGGCGGGAAACGGGGACCCAGCTTTGCTATTCTACAAGTATGCTGAGCCCTCGATTCCATTTACTGAGAAGGGCTTAGTTAGTTGGGTGCAAAGTACTTGTACAGCTGTTGGGCCTTGTTTGGATCCATGACCTGATCTGATCTGCACGTCATATTGCAGAAAGCGGATATGGACAACAGGAAGAGAGAGAGAGAGGGCCTGCGGCTTACAAGCCTCGGGACTGTACGTACAAGTATTTGCACTGAAGATCTATTACTCAAACCACAAACCGAACACAGTCAGGGATGGATGGGCTCTCCATAGGCGAATGGGGGGCCCCGGGTCTACCTGTCCCGGATTTGCAGGTTGTCATTGTCAGAAGACGGGACCAGGAATGCTAAGCAACAGCCACACCTAGAAATGGGCTTGCCAAGTCATGCACGAGGGGGAGGGGGTTATGGGATGCATCGACCGGCTCTTTCTCGGTGCCTTGTTGCTGTGTCCCGTCGAATCGGGAGCGGGGGTAGAGAGAGAAAGAGGGCAAAGTTGGTATGTGATGTTGGGATATGCGGGGTGTGTACAATGCATGTAAGTAGGCACGCACGCCGCCTGCATATGCCCAGAGAAGGAGGTTCGAATGTTTGATGCCCCGGCTCGCTGGCGTGCAGCAGACAGGACAGGCTTGCATTAGCTTTGGACAAACGAAAGTTTTTGTTTCTCATGCGCATGTTTTTGACATTTTTGCAAGGAAGAGTATGGGTGAAACCTTGAGCTTATTAAGGTGATACGGGACCGGGACCGGGACCGGGGGAGGGGGAGAGGGAGAGGGAAATGGGCATGCTCGAACGCACGCACGGGCAGCTCCCGCTCTGACGGGACGCGGGTTCGTGCTCTATTTGACGTGCTGCTGGGACCGGGACAGAGTTTGGTAGTTGCAGATATTGATGTATGATGGCTTGGGGGCCCTTCTTGGATAGAATGAGTGGGAAAGCCCGGCGGAGGACCTCGCTTACAGTCAAGGCACATGCCTACACTTTCTTTCTTGCCTACCTCGGGGACATTCTTCGGGGGTCCCTTTGCTCCTTTCGACGGCCTTGACGGGATCGATAGATCGGGAAGAGGTGTCAGACGGTCAAGCGCCCGCCCGTGCCGTCGAAAAAAAAACAAATGACAGAACGGATCTATCTGGGTAAGGTAAGATACCGCGGCCTGGGCAACACGATACATACGAAGTCCCACGAACGAGGGGGAGCAGCTGACCTCTTTCGGAGCTGCTCGGTGGAGAGATCACCGACGCGAGTCGGCGACGATGACCAGCTCAGGGCTGACATTAATCAGCTGTTGTCGCTGAGTGTGTGGGAGGTGATGGAGACATCATGCCAAGGTAGGACCTGCCTGGTGGTCGGTCCATCAGAAAAATCAGGAAAGTCGGCTAATCTGGCAAATACCACGAGGTTGGAAACGGGGGGTCCTGCTGTTTTTTTTTGGTGTCTTTGAAGAAAGGTGAAGGAAGGAATTCCTAACCGGGGTGCGTTATTTACATAGGTAATGTATTAAGTATCCTGTACGGCCTACTGTAGGTACCTCTTTTTCCTATGCAGGTCGCGGCGGCTCCATAGATAAAGTAAGGTAGTCGAGAAGATATCATCCAGAGACCGTGAGATAGACTACGTTGGTGGACAGGTGATAATGCACAACGGACAAATGTCTGATGGGGTTTGATGGGTCTGGCTGTCTTGCCTGTTTCTGTCTTGCCTGTCTCAAGGTCGTACTGGCTTTCGTGTGCAACATGATGTCAGGTCGCCTCTCTGTGAGAATAGAAGGGAGGATATTGGTGGATGATTTTCATACTACTTGACTAGGTACGTATGTGCTCATGGTCTTCTCAGCCGTCGATCTCAGTACACACTAAGTAGCTTGTAACTACCTAGCCATCAATCACCTTGCTCCAGCTACTCGCCGGCTCTGGGCGTCCCAGACCAGACGAGAAGCAGGATGGACATCCTTGGGATTGCGGAGAATCCATGCGTACGGAGTACACCCAAGCCCATGCGATGATCCCATCACCTCGCGCTACCTACCCGTAACACTCTCACTCACTGACTCCCTGTCTTCCTCATCCTCGCTCTCTCCATCTTCCATCTCTCTCTTGCGCAAAAGCCCACTCACTAGTTAGTGAATGGCTGTTGGGAGCGAATGGACCAGTGAGAGAGCACCCAGTACTTGTAGTACTCGTAGTGTCGGATCCCTGTCCACATCGCATGCATGCTACCCAAAGACAGAATAGCACCACCCGCCGCGTGGTGGAAGCGCCTCCAGCCTAACGGAGCTACCTTGCGTCCCAGCCGTCGAGACGATCGGGAAGGTCCCCGTCTTTTCTTTGGCGCTGGGGGTATTACAAGTAACTACTTGTACTCAGAAAGACGGCCTGGCTCAGACGACGGTGGACTGAGCTGCCCCCGGCTAGCGGCGACCCGGCCTTTGCTAACCTTCCCTCCTAGTCAATCAGCTCCAAGTTGCTCTCCTCTTTTCCCTCGTGGCGTTACTGTGCGCATGTCTTTTTTCCCCAGTAAATGCAACGCTCCAGAACAACGCCCAGTTCGTTATCTGGCCTGGCCCTCCAGGCGGCGGAGGCGGACTTAACGGGGCCAGCCAGCGGCCTGGGAAAAAAGTACCTCTGATCCTTCTGATACGTAGTAGATACCGCATGTACCGCATGTACATGGCGAGGGGCCTGCCCACCATTATCTTTGCTCCGCCGACGCTTCGGCTTCGACGACACATCTAGGACCGACATCTTCAACAATTGCGCCCTTTTTACTCTCGCTCCCTCAGGCGAATATCAAACAAATCCTTCCCCCTTTCTAAGACACACACACATACATACAGAGACGACACGCCGCTTTCACGCACTGATGCCCTGTGTGGTCCTGCAGCCTGTGCTCGCTCTGACCCCCCTGGTCTCGCTAAAACATTCTTCTTTTTTTCCCCCATCTTTTTGCCCCCCTCCCTCGGGGACAGCGCTGGGAAATCCAATTGGAGCCCCCAAAAACCCAGGACCGGGTGACCTCGTTGGGGAAAGTTGCCCCGGACCCGCTCTGAACCAGCACCAGCCCTGATCACCACATGCACCACCGGAAAAGTCCACCACCAACAGCAGCCGAGTACCAGTAGAGGAGCAAACTAGAGTCGAACAGAAAGGGAAGCGGGCGGGCGCTGTCTTTGCTCTAAGTTAGTGTCTCTCCTCTTGTTCGTTACCTGCCTGGATCTACGGAGTACCTAGCTACATTAGTTCGTTCTTCTCAAGAGGCGGCGGTGGTTGATCTTGAAGTAGTACCTCTTTCTCCTCCTCCTCCTCCTCCTCCTCCTCCTCCTCATCCCACACACATACGCACACCACACACCACACACACACACATACACCACACATTGCGCACTCCGTCCACGCATACATACTCCGTACACACACCTGCAGCAGTTACATCCTCCTCCCGCTGCCACGCAGATATTACACTACTTTGCAACCCCATTTCCAGACCCTGTGCGCCACCAGTCGCGCTTCGGCCGTCCAACCACTTCTTCTCCTCCAGCGCTTGACGCTTCTCTTTTTCCTTGCCATTGTACATAGCAATCCTGTCCCGCCTCTTGACTGGAAATTGCTCTTGAGTTTCTGGACCTCTTTTTTTCCCTCTCCGTGCCGTAAATGCTCCTCGACATTGGGCCCCCGACTGCGCTGCTAAGGCTGCCTCTCCGATTGCGCTCCCTCCCCGCGACAAGCAGCTCCCGGGCTGATAGTGCCGATTCCCCGACCTGGCAACTCCGACCACCAGCAATCGCTCCCAGAGGCAGCATCTGATTCACCATGTCGATGTTCTTGAATAAATTGAAAACAAGCAATGTAAGTCGAGAGAGCACCAATTGCTTCCTGTTCTCCGAGGCAGAAGCGTGCCCCTTTGCGCCTCGAGAGCACGCGGGTCCCGCCGCTTTCGCGGACACCGTCGGCTAACACAAAGTCGCTCACCTTTCAGGGCACTGCTGGCGGCACCACTGGCACGGCCGTCGCCCACAAGAAGAAGGATGAACCGCCGGTAGAGGTCACGCCTCTCGAGAAGATGCTGGCGAACGCAGGCCCGGTACGAGAAGATGGGACAGACAAGTTCTTTGGCATGGAAAACGTAGGTGGCTGGTCCTCTCCTCTCCTCCTCCCCCGAAAAGTCGCCGACCAACCAAGAGTCTCGCTAATGATCGTTCCAACAACCTACAGTTCGGAAACACCTGGTAAAGACGCGCAATATGCTCAAATGTCTGTTGTTTTAACTCGAGACTGACCATGGGTATAGCTACTGCAATTCGATCGTCCAAGCATTGTACTTCTCCGAACCTTTCAGGGACAATGTCGTCAACTACCCCCCGCTCTCGCCCTCAGACACCCCCAACGGCACGGCGCCAAGGGTCAACGTCTCGATCAGACCGCCGGCCGTCAAGGAGCCTCCGCCGCCTGCGCCCCCAAAGAAGGGATTGTCGACGTCGCAGACATTGAAGCAGCGACAGCTCATCAACTCGGGGCAGCCCATACCAGGCCAGCCGCTGAAGCCAGAAGACCGCCCCGACTCCCCCGAGTACAAGAAGAAGCAGGCCATGATCAAGGGTCCCGTCTTGGAGCTGACGCAGGAGTCGGCAACGGTTTACGGCATGGATGAGTGTACCTTCACCGGACTCAAGGATATCTTCATGGCCCTTCGCCAGAGCGAAACGAGGACAGGCGTCATTAGCCCGCAGCGCTTTCTCGAGATATTCCGGCGGGACAACGAGATGTTCCGGACATCGATGCACCAGGACGCGCACGAGTTCTACGGCATGGTGCTGAACGACGTCATCACGAACGTCGAGTCGAACGCAAGGCAACGCCAGGTGAAGGAGAAGGAGGAGACGGAGACGGGGCTGTCGCAGTCGGTTCAGAATGCGCTTGGTGCTGGCTTGGTGGCGAATGGCCGATCTGGGACGAGGTCGCCCGGGACCGGCTGGGTACACGACATCTTTGAGGGCGTCCTCACCTCGGAGACCAAATGCCTCACGTGCGAGACGGCGTCGCAGCGAGACGAAACCTTCCTCGATCTGTCTATCGACCTGGAGGAGCACTCGTCAGTCACGTCATGTCTGAGGAAGTTCTCGGCCGAGGAGATGCTGTGCGAGAGGAACAAGTTCCACTGCGACCATTGCGGTGGTCTGCAAGAGGCCGAGAAGCGCATGAAGATCAAGAAGCTTCCCAAGATTCTCACCCTGCACCTCAAGCGCTTCAAGTACACAGAGGACTTCACCAGGTTAGAGAAGCTGTTCCACCGGATCGTCTATCCCTACCACCTGCGCATGTTCAACACGACGGACGATGCGGAGGATCCGGACAGACTCTACGAGCTGTACGCAGTTGTCGTCCACATTGGCGGGCATGCTTACCACGGCCACTACGTCTCCATCATCAAGACGCAAGACCGGGGCTGGCTCCTGTTTGACGACGAGATGGTCGAGCCGGTGGACAAGCATTTCGTGCGCAACTTCTTTGGCGACAAGCCCGGGACGGCCTGTGCGTACGTTCTCTTCTACCGGGAGACGACCTTTGAGAATGTCGTGGCGGAGCAGGAAGCCGAGGGCCTGGAGGAGGTCAAGCTGGCGAGCCAGAAGGCCGAGGTCGCACTCGGCGTCGAGCCCAACGGCACGGCAGGCGGCCTGTCCAGAAACATGACAGTGCAGCCCGGGTCGCCGCTGGACGACCGCGAGGAGTTTGTGTCGCTGGACCACGCACAGACGGCGCCGGACCTCCTCAGGAGCCCACAAGCCGCCGCTCCCACGCCGACACGGCCCCTCGCGCCCGCGCCCCCGACGCCCGACAAGAAGCAGAGCAAGGAGGAGCGGGAGCGGGAGAAGAAGGAGGCCAAGGCGGCGGAGAAGGCGCGCAAGGCGGCGGAGAAGGAGCAGGCCAAGCTGGACGAGCGGGCGCGCAGGGACAAGGCGGCGGCGGACGAGCGGGCGCGCAAGGAGCGGCTCGACACCCTGCGCGAGCGGCGCCGGGCCGAGGAGGACGAGCTCAAGCGCGCGCTCGAGGAGAGCAAGCAGACGGCGGCCAGCGAGGCGGAGCTGCGCAAGAAGGAGAGCAACACCACCAACACCAACAGCAGCGCCGACACGACGACGCCGCTCAAGAGCGTGACCTCGGGCAGTGGCGGCGGCGGGGGGTTCCTCAACCGGTCGAACCGGGGCAGCAAGTCCATGTCACGCAAGAGCTTCGGCAGCATCCTGGGCCGGGACAAGGACAAGGGCGGCGAGGTGACGACGGTGGAGCACCACCACGGCAACGGCAACAGCGGCAGCAACGGGAACGTGGCGCCGTCGTCGCCGGCGACGGGGGACAACAAGCCGCTCAAGGAGCGGTTTAGCTTCAGCCTCGGGAGGAAGAAGAGCAATTCTGTGTTTCAGTAGAGACGACAACAACAAAACGGACCATTTGAAACAATGCGTCTCGTTTTGAATGTGCTTCCTCTTTTTTTTTCCCCCACCAAAAAGAAAAGTCTGCTTGGTTGACTACGGCTCTAGGAGGTTGTTTTGCGATGCATGCGTGGCAACGGACCCTGTTTGGAGCCCGTGCCCTACCCCCCTTCCCAACTTAATAATGTCTCTTGGTTTGGGGATGTTTGTATTTGGGGTGGTTGGTTGGTTGGTTGGTCATGTCATGTGTGAGAGGGAGGTGTGTATATATGTGTGTGTGTGTGCGTGTGTGCAGCATTTTGTATGGCGTCTGGAAACGAAATGTCTTGTTTCGTTCGTTGGCCATTTGAGTTTGGTGATGTTTGTTTTTTTTTGTTCTTCTATATAGCTGGTGTTGATTGTGTTGCTGCATCCAGACAGACAGACACTTTGACTTTTGGTCACATAGTGCTAATCAAAACTGATTGTGTGTGTGAGAGAGATGACTCTTTTCGGGTCTATAGTTTTACAGTGATGGCAACCCTTTTGAATGCCTGTCGTCATTGCAGGAAAGGCCCTCTATGTGAAGTTGCTTGGTTGTAAGAGATCTGCCTGCCATGACATCTGGAAAACAGCCGTCCAGGTTCTCCTACTTGGAACTTGGACTATCATGTGGGAAACGATTATTGTCATGTATGTATCATTACACCTTTGCTGGTCATTATAGTACAGTCCCCATGCGGCATATTGGCTCTTCTCTCTTAACGTCTTCACTCCAGAAACGCCAGTTGTCCCCTGCTCTATTCGAACTCAACCCCCCCTAAGCAGCCCTGACGTCCCGCCCACTGGGCCTTGCTGGGTGCTTCTCGTTCTACTCCGGGCTTGGAACCAGGGAGGACTATCCCACTCGACGCCTTGGGATGCGCGTGTCCATCTAACCGAGCACGAGCTCGTAGGCTATGATGAGGGTGTTGATGACGATCAAGGGTACTGCAGGAGGAGACAAAGAACATGGTCAGTTACATGGAAAACAACATTAGGTAGTTTGTATTCTCCTGGGCCGCCGGGGGGTGGCAGGGAGGGGGAGATGACGTACTTCTCATGAGTGTCCGCACGCTGGCGATGAGGTTGATGATCTTGGCCTTGACGCTGGCGTCGGCCGACTGCCCAAAGGCAGGGTCGTAGGATGCGGGGGAGAGGTTGACTTGTGTTTTCGCCCGCCAGACTTTTGTCAGCATCTTCTCTCCCGTGTTCAGGTCGCATGGGAGGAGAGGGGGAACATACTGCGCGCGAGGAATCGGTCTTCGGAGAGGATGGCGACGGCGTTGATGAGGAGCACCGAGACTGCAGGAATGATACGGTCAGCTTTTGTGTTTTTCGATGAGATGCCATATGGGTCGAGAGAGAGAGCGCCAGAGCAAGGAGGGCACTGAGCTGAGGCGTGGAAACATACTGTACAACAGGCTCCCGAGGATCACCATCTTGACGGCGGTGGCACTTTGGCGACAAGGGTGCTCGCAGGCCACTGAGGTGATTATGGGAGGTCTACGCAGGGCCGGTTGGTCGTCGCAGCTGCGCGTACTGGTGGGAAGTTGCAGTGCCGTGTTGTCGTCAGGCTGGTTGACAATGGCCACGGTCGCATTTGGTGTCGTCTCTATCTCTCTCTCTCTCTCTCTCTCGTCGACTCTTTTTTAGGGCGAGGTTGAGGAGAGCTCTAGCCCAGGTGCACTGCTGTTCTCAAAGCTGGAAGATTATTGGACCGAGTGCAGATGTGCCCCTCTTAGCGTGCCTTTCCTAGGTAGTTGGGGTGTTGGCTCAGCAGGGATCAACCGCTAAGACAGGGGGTCCTTACAGCGCGTTGATCACTGTTTGAGTTGTGAGAAGCGGGCAAGGCAGACAGATGAAATGAGATGAGATAAATCGGAAACCTGCCTCTCTACCTGATTGAGATTGAAACCAGCAAAAGAGATCCCGCATCTTCACGTCAGGAGTGGATGATACAGCCAAGGACCTCCAGAGATTCCGAGCAGACCCAAACTCCCAACATGGCAGGCATAGGTACGGATGGACCAGCAGAGCGCTACCTAGGTAGCTCATCATAGAGCTTCACTCTCACAGCTCCCTCAATCACCATGCACATCCAGTCCCAAAAGCTAACAAATACACATAGACCTACGCCTGTCACTCTTACTTCTGGCCATACCGGCCCTGGTCCTCCTCCATCTTGCTGTGGCACCGTACACAAAGGTGGAGGAGTCCTTCAACATCCAAGCGGCCCACGATCTTCTCGTCTACGGCACGCCCATATCTAGCAACGCTGGAAAGAGGCTGGCTGCCAGCTACGACCACTTCACCTTTCCCGGTGCCGTGCCGAGGACCTTTGTAGGAGCCGTCCTGCTCGCCGGTCTGGGCCAGCCCATCGTTGCCATCGCCGGGTTCCAGTATGCCCAGTTCATAGTCAGGGCCATCCTCGGTCTCTTCAATGCCGGTGCCCTCGTCTTCTTTGCTCTGAGCGTCAAGAAGGCCTTTGGCAGCTCGGCAGCGGCATGGTACGTTGCGCTGCAGGCCAGCCAGTTCCACGTCATATTCTACGCGTCGCGGACGCTGCCCAACATGTTTGCCTTTGGCATGAGTGAGTACCCTCTCTTCCTCCCCGGAACTCACCATGATGCCAAGCCTTTCCCCCGACCGGACGACTTACACCACGCCTCAACATATAGCCACCATCGCAACGGCGCTGCTCCTGCCCACCACGACGCCGAGGTCCATCACCGCGCGCCACCGCCTCGCCATCTCCCTCCTCGTCTTCGCGGCCGTCATCTTCCGCTCCGAGGTCGCCATCCTGCTCGGCAGCCACGTGCTCTACCTGCTCGCCGTGCCCCTGACCTCGCTCGACAAGGTCGCCTACCCCTTCGCCCTCGCCTCGGCCGTCGCCCTGCTCATCACGGTGCCCGTCGACTCGTACTTCTGGCAGCGCGCCCTCTGGCCCGAGCTCTGGGGCTTCTACTACAACGCCGTGCAGGGCTCCGCGTCCGCCTGGGGCGTCAGCCCCTGGCACTACTACTTCACCTCGGCCCTGCCGCGCCTCCTGCTCAACCCGCTGGCCTACCTCGCGCTCCTCCCCTGGGCGCTCCGCCAGCCCGCCACCGCCCGCGCCGCCTGCCAGCTCGTCGTGCCCAACCTGCTCTTCGTCGCCATCTACTCCCTCCAGCCGCACAAGGAGGCCCGCTTCGTCTTCTACGCCGTGCCGGCCCTCACCGCCGCCGCCGCCCTCGGCGCCGCGCACGTCTCGGCCCGCGCGGCCAAGTCCCCGGCCTACCGCCTCGGCGCGCTCCTCGTCGCCGCCTCGGTGCTGGCCTGCCTCGCCGCCAGCACGGGCATGCTCCTCCTCTCCTCGCTCAACTACCCGGGCGGCGAGGCCCTCGCCTTCCTCCGCGAGGTCGTCGAGTCCTCCTCGTCCTCGTCCTCCTCCTCCGCACCGCCCTCCGCCGCAGCGGCAACGGCCGGCAACGCGGTGGTGCTGGCCCCCGTCGTCCCCGTCCACGCAGACGTGCTCTCGTGCATGACGGGCGTCACGCTCTTCGGCGCCGGCACGGGCGGCGCCCTGCCGACGCACTTCCAGCCGCACCTGCCCGACGCGGACTCGGCCTCCGCAGGCAGCGTCCTCAGCAAGAAGACCGACGGCAACAAGAACAACGCCGACGCTGACGCCCATACCGCCGCCGCCGCCGCCGCCGCCGCCGCCGCCCCGCCTCCTCCGGTCCTCGTGCTCGACAAGACGGAGGGCGAGGCCGCGCTGCGCGACCCCACCTTCTGGACGCGGTTCGACTACCTGCTCGTCGGCGACAGGGCCGCCGTGCGCGGCGGCGAGTGGGAGCCCGTCGGCGTCGTGGAGGCCTACGCGGGCGTGCAGGTCCTCCGGCCGGGCGACGTGCCCGCCGACGCCGAGAAGGCGGAGGAAGGACGGGCGGCGCCGGGGGTGGGGACCCCCGTCGTGGGCCGGGGCGCGCTCGTCGCCGCCGTGAGGGACAGGGTCCGCGGGCTCACGGGCGGATGGTGGGCTGGGCCGAGGATGGAGCCGCGCGTGTGGGTGCTGCGCAGGGTCAAGGGGGGCGAGAGGAGGGGCGCCAGCAAGGAGGTTACTTCCTAAGGGCGGACGGAGGGAGATGGAGATGGAGATGGAGAACGCAGGGGGTCCGTCCTCCTAATCGGGTTTTGTGTATGGGGACTGACTATTTGTAGAGTTTTCGGAAAGCGTTGGGGACCAGGGATGGGATGCCGCCTTGTACGATAGATAGCATTGTGCTCGAAACGGTCCAAAATGAATGACTTGCGTGGAGGTGATACGGGATGTGACTTGCATGAGAGAATAGTGTGTATCGTATTGTATCTCCCGAGTTCATCATGTACGTACGAGTTTCCTCCGCCACGAGATTATAATAGACATCGTTCACGTCCATCGTCCCAACAACGGCGTGAAGGAGTCACCCCTCTCCCGTGCATCACCAATCTCAGGAGATAACCCTCGCTCAAACACACAGCCAGAGAATATCAAATGCTCTCTTGTAGGTAGTGATCCGATTGTTCGAAATAAAAGCAGTGCAGCGGATGTTAGTTACATCTCGGATAGTAATAACGAAAAAAGGGCCCCTGATCAACGCCGCTCCGTGATGGAGTGAGAAACGACTTCCCCTATTTGCCTTTCTTCCCGAGAAAAAAAACCTTCCCCCTTTTGAATATTTCCACTCGACAGAAGGAGACCACAGGGAGGGGGGAAAAAAGGAGCTGAAAAAGAAAAATCATGAGATTGACTGTCAGGAGTTAAAGTATGATAAAAATGACAACCCGGCCTCCCCTCCCTTCCCGTCACTTCCAAGCAAACAATTTGTAATGTAAAAAGTAGATTATGTACAGTTGGTAGTTTGGAGTTCGTTCTTGCTCGTGTCAGACCTTTCAAGGACCTTTCCGTGCATGGAGAGGGGGATTGAACGATTTGGTAGCCGACATATATTTTTGTTTTCTCGGTATGGAAACAAATCCCTATCAAGACGCTCTCCCCGACTCCAGTCGTGGACACTTGCTCCCAGGCTGCAGCATACAGTATGCCACTGCCTCGAGAGTGTACAAATTGAATCAATGTTGGCTCCCATAAAAGCCATAGCCAAACAACCAAAAATGTTGCGAAGAGTCCTCAAACAACGCCTCGGCCATCCTGCACCTTCTCTCGAGACACGTACAACGACCGTGCTGCAGCCAGCTCTGCCGCACCGACGCTTCCTACTTCTTGCTCCTCTAGCCGTAAACATAAATGGTAAACGTAGAATATGCGGCGGGCTCGACCTCCCGTAACCGTGTACAGAACCAGAGTCCTGAAGCGAGGGGACACAGCTGTCGAGCGTCCACACCATCTGCAAGTCTGGATAAGAGACACATGCAGATACGAAGACGGTTCTGTGGTCCCGGATCGAGTGTCGGAAGAGTGGACCTCTGGGAGTACTCTTTATTTCCGACGTGGGCGGCCGTTGCGGCCTTTGGACTATGACCTCTGAGGTGGTCGGGCCGTTTGTCCTTGCTAGTGAACTTGCGCACCGCAGACGAGGCAGTGGATCGGCTCAAGCCACGACTTCTCTCCGCCCTCGATCCCGTCGCGCAGATCCGTGATCTCCATCTGGGGAGGCGTGAGGTCCATTCTCGGGGCGGCCTCGAAGAGTCCCTCGTATGGCTTGTTCTTGGCATCGGGACCCAGCGACTCGTTCTTCTTTCTCGGACGGCCGGGCTTGCGTGCCGAGCTTGGCGCCGCCGGTGCGCTCTCGCTCTTGCGCTCAGACTCTCCTCGGTTGCTCTCGGCAGCTTCATCCTCCAATCGCTTCACCTCGACGTTGTCGTTTACCTTGACACCCTCGCCATCCACATCGGCCTTGACGTCAATGGACTGCTCTGCCGACATGGCAGCGCCGCTCTCCGTGGGGCTCAGGGGCCGCTTAGGCTCGTCTCCGTTCTTCTCCTCTTTGACGAGATCAGCAGCCTTCTTGTGCGGCTTGTCTCTGCCCAACCGCTCAAAAGTCTTCATCAAATGCTCATGTCTGAGACACTCGTCGTGTAGCCACTTGGTGCATCCCTCGGCAGTGCATCCGATCAGAGTCTTGTCGGGGTTGGCGGGTTGCCCGCACTTGCAAACAGCCTCAACGGTCTGTCGACAACAAACAAATGTTAGCCACAAGAGTCGAGCACAAGGGGGGATGCATGTTGACCAACCGAAAGCTCCATCGTCCGTACGTCTAATGCTTGCCTCCAGTACAGGGCATTCTGAATGTCGTCGTCGTTATCTTCGATCATCTGATTGACCTGCGCCTGCGAGGTTACGCTGACAACATTGATGATATCCACTAGAGAAACATTGTCAGCGCATCTTTCTGATAGCCCAAGTAAGGTTATACCCACTGTGATTCGAAGCGATCAGCTCGGCATTGCCGTGGTACGACTGGCGACCCTGGACCGCCTTCTTGCCGTCGTAAGTACCTGGGGGAAGCTCGTCCGGCCAGTACATCCAGTAAACTCGGGCATAGACGTGGTGCTCGTCACTAGCTCGGATCTCGAGAATGCGCGCAACCCATTCATCATCAGACTTCTTCCTTGGTTGCATGGGATCTCTGGTTGCGTCCTTCTGCCGCTCTATCGTGGACTCATTCGCAATATAAATAAAGCCTTCACTGTGGTACTTGACGCCATTGACTATATGACACGTCAGCGCGAATGCGCTTAGGGGAAAACGAGCTCGGCGGGGGATGGGGAGGAGCTTTCACAACTTACGGACAAAGCTATTGTATCGAGTCATCTCCGACCATCTCTTGGGAGGGTCGACAGCATAGTGCACGTCCAGTGTATCATAGGTGCGAAAGCGACCACTGGGCGCGAACGGCGAGAGCTGGTTCAGGATCTTCTTGGCTCCATCGCCCTCGTCGGTCGACTCGCGCTTTCTGCGCTTCTTGCCCTTGGCGTCCTTCTCTTTCGGGTCGACGAGCCGGACAGTGAAGGGGCATTCGGCACGAGACGACTCGTCGATCTCCGGTCTCGGGCGTTTGCGCGCAGAAGCCATTATTCGGTATTAGGACGGTAGTAAGGTTTGTTGTCGACGGAGGCACGGGATAGTCCGCTTATGGGTTGGCGCGCGCCAGACGATCGCAAATGATCGAGCGCCTGATAAATCTGTCCAAGGAAATTCGATGGTATCCCGACGCGACAGCTGCGTAGTGACGAGATGGGAAGCTGCAGGAGACAGGTAGCGACTCCGGTCAGAAGAGGATCCGGCAGGAGCGGGCACTCTCTCTCTCTATCTCTGAAGGCAAGAGTGGAGCGCGACAAAATCTCTTGAAGAAAAAGCACGACCCAAGAAAAGAAACCCGGGATCAATGCGAGATGCGACCGTGTCCGAACAGTCAAGGCCGGATGGCGATGTGGTTGCGTCGCGAAGGGGAGATGGCGTCAGCCCAAGAGTGGACGATGTGCGATGTGACGGATTCGCGGGTGGCTGGGGAATTTGCCTGCTGGCGCTCAGGGATTGATTGGGTTTTTTTTTCCTTCGAGAGGGAGTCGGGCCCCGACGGCCGCGTTCCTGGAGCTCTCCCCTTTCAAAAAAAAAAAAAATGACACAAACGGCGGCGGCGGAGAGGAAAGGAGTGCCTTGAGAATGACTGAGCGTTGGACGAGGCAATCGCGCGATGCGCGGAAGCACAATGGGCAGCTCTTTGGGGCGGTGGTGGAGGGGGGCGAGGATGGCGACGGCGGGCTGCAATGATTATGTCGCAAAAAAGAGGTTTTGTTGTTCCGTTCAGGTTCGAGTGGGAAATTTCGCGTCTTCTCCTCTTTCGCCCTTTCCCAGTCCTGTCCCAGTCAGTCCAGTCCAGATCCCGCCACACTAGCAGACGAGACGAGGGTGCCCAGGTGCCCACCCAGCCAGGGAAGGTGGGAGAGGTACCTACTGAGCCTACCTGCTCACACTGCTCTCGAGCTCCTGCCATGCTACGTACTAGCCACTAGCCACACAGAAGAGGGAAACGACGACCCACCCAACCAGGCCAAGCGCAGAGTCCCCCCCCCCATTTTCCGGCAGGGATGACGGGAGGCAGGAGACCAGAGCGAGTGACAGACAGAAGTACCTCTGCGCTGCGTGGCAGGTACCTCTCCTCTCGCGCCTCTCCCCCTACCCTTCCTCAGCTGTTAGCTCATCGGTGGGCTAGCTGCACGTGACCGGTAGCTACAGGAGCTGCGACAACGCGCTACCGAGATGAGCAGGAGGGATGGGTGTGAATAAGGCGAGGAAGCTTCTGGATTCAGCTCACCCAATGTCGCCAGGTGGGCGCCTCAGACCTCGAATCGAGTAAGACAGACAGGCCGATGGAGCTTCTTCATTTCTCATTTCTCCATCAGAGCCACCCAGCAGTGGTGCAATACAGCTTTCTGAACTTCCGTGCTGTATCTACCTAGGTACAGTCCTTTTTTTGACTTTGAATTCCCGGAAACGACAAACGCAAGTACATTTTTGCTTGGTTGATGAAGCCAATACCGGCTCAATCGGCACTGCACAGTGCCGCTCTGCCAACCAACCATATCCGCTGACCAACACCGCAATCTGACCAAGTTTCATTCGCGAAAAGTCAAGGTCGCCGTCCAATCACATTACATCGAGGAACAGTAGGAGGAGCACACACGCGCCGGAGATGAGTATCTACACTGTATCTTGTGCGCATAGCTCTCACCTTGGACAATAGCCGACTCCATTTAATCCGTCAAGCTGTGAGCAAGGAGAAGTAGAGTAAGATGATGGTCGTGTCGAGCTTACGGAGTAACCCCTCGTAATCTTAAACACCTAGGTTGGCGCGCGCCTCTTGCAGCCAAACACGGAGCGATAATGCAAATGCAGTAGCCATGCAAAAAAAGAAGTGTCCAATAGCTCTGTTGAAAAACACTCCCAGTGAAGGTACATGTAACAAGCACCCCCAAACTCCTCGCTATGCAAGCAACCGAAGCAAACACACACGCACACACGCACATACAAACATCCCACGCCTCCCTCAACGGCGCAAACCCGCGTTCTCCCTCTCCGTCTCCTCCCCATCGTCGTCATCGTCCTCACCATCCACCCCAGCGAGCAACGCCCTCCTATTCCCCTCTCCTTCACTGCTCCCGTTCCCGTTCTCGCTCCTGCCACTGCCACCACCACCACCACCACCCCCGACCTTGAACCCCTCGATCGCCTCGGCCATCCTCTCGCCCTCCCTCTTGCCCCTGGCCACGTCGACAAAGTAGATGAGCGGCGCCGGGAACCCGACCAGGCACGCCAGGAACCAGAACGCCGGGCGGATCTCCCCCGAGGCGTCGATGATGGCGCCCACGATGGCCGGGCCGAACACGCTCGACCCCTTGTCGGTGATGGCGTAGAGCGCGTAGAAGGCGGCCTCGGACCCGGGCGGGATCAGCTCGCCGTACAGCGACCGGCAGTACCCGCTGAGCCCGCCCAGGACGAACCCGTAGACGGCGGCCAGCGGGTACATCTCCCACGGCTGCTGCAGGCCGCCGACGCCCCACCCCCGGACGAACGGCAGGTAGCCCAGCAGGCCGTAGAGCGGGATGAGCTCAAAGATGGCGATGCACGCGAGGATGGTGTGGTGCGGCTTGAGCCCGAGGCGCCGCGAGATGAAGGCCCACGAGAAGGCGCCGGCGATGCCCGCCGACGTCGAGATGACGCTGATCATGGCCAGCGCCCACGGCTCCATGCGCAGCTGCGTCTTGGCAAAGAGGATGGCCGTCGACGACGTGGTCGCGATGGCGTCGGACAGCAGGAACCAGGCGCCGAGGAACAGGACAATATCAAGTAGCCTCCGCGCCAGCGATATGGTCCGGAACAGCGACTTCCACGCGTAGAGGGTGTAGGAGACCCAGGCACGGATGCCCGTCTGGTTGGACGTGGAGGGCAAAGGCGGCCCCGGTCTGGGTCGTAGCCACATAGCGGCCGGGACCGTGAAGACGGTCCACCACACTCCAATGCCAAAGAGCACAAGTCTCTGTGCCCATGTAGAGTTCTTCATCTTGATGAGCACCAAGATAGCCAAGCACTGCACCAACAGGCCCGCGCAGTACCCAATTCCGATTCCCTTTGCCGAGATCTGCGTCGAGAGCTGCAGCTCCAGCGACGTCATCTCCTCGTGCGTCTTGGCCGACCTGAGGCTCGCCCTGTCCGCGCCCGTCCCCTGCCGAGGGAGCAGCGCCGCCGTCGACCCGCTCATGCCCTCCTCTGCTTCCGGGTCGTTCTCAGGTACCGCCGCGAACTGGCTCGCGTCCAGGTCCTCCTGCAGGCGCCTCGGGTGATGCCTCACGAGCAGCGGGAGGAACGAGTTCAGCAGCACAAAGGACGCACCAAACGACGTGTTGGACACAATGGCCAGCAGCGCGCCGAGCAGGTAGGTGGACTTGCTGACAAAGATGTAGAGCATGACGGAGCAGCTGCCGATCCAGGCGAATCCCAAGAGCATCTTCTTGCGGTAGTTGCCGTGGTCGGCGGCGCAGCTGATGCTCACGACGATCAGCGCCTGCAGCAGCACGCTGACGCTGAACGTATACATGGCGAAGCTGGCGGTGTTGATCTCGATGCCCAGAACGTAGACGACGCACTGCCCGCTGTCTTCGCTGGGCGTCTTGTCGTAGGACTGCCGGCATGGCGTCGTATGGTCGGAGAGCAGCACACCGTTCTCGCGGGCCAAGGATTCGAGGAGGATGGGGATAAAGGAGGCGATGGCTGTCTTGCTATGTCAGCGGTCTTGATGCCATGGTTAGTTGGTCCGGCAGCAACATACCGCAGATCACATAGGTCTCCGCCGCGAAGGCATACATGTACCAGCCCCGGAGCTCCTTTGGGCTCGTCGGGCGGGTGTCCTCGCCGGGATAGGACGGCGGCGGGTAGTCGTCGCGGCCGGCCTCGTCGCCATAGGGGCCAGCAACGTCATTGGTGCTGTTATTCATGGTCCAATCAAATAAGCCCGAGGCGGCTGAAGGACTGGTTGATCGTTCGTCGTCGGCCTCGAAGGAGGACGAATGCGAACGAAAGGAGCGCTTGGAGAGGGCCGATGTCGAGAAGAGACGCTGGACGAGCGGTCGCTGTTCCGGATGCTCCTCGTTGCGCGGCGCCATGACGGCGAGAGTCAGCACACGGTGAGACCAGACGATGTGATAGGGCCAGTGCACGATCTAATTAGCTGGAGGTGTCACCTGGCGGTGCCAACCCGCTATATGTCCAACTACGCTGGCGCGGTGGGGTTCGAATTCTAAGCCAAGCCGGCCTTTAATCTACCTAGCGCGCTTCTTAGGCTTTTGAGAAGAAATCCATGTGAACAAGTGGTTGATTAAGCTGTATAGAGAGAAAGCCAAACCAATAAATACAAGGAATCAAGGAATCAAGGAATAAAAGGATTGAAGAAAAAAAAAGAAGAACCAAAAAAAAAGTGCAAAAAAAATTGGTAGCTTCTCTTTGATTAAGCGTGTCATCCTTAGTGCAGGGGCCATGCTACTAAATTGGAAGTCAGCATGCGAGACTCGAACTCGAGCCCTGCAGTGGAGAACTTACATCTTCTCTGTATCGTTTCAAACTGTGGCTAGGTTAGTGCTTGGGTTTCTCTAAAATAAACGAGCGGTGGATCTTACTTGACCAAATTGCCCGAAGGCAAATATTCTACGGTTATAAAAATATTTATACGCACTAGACCATCAGCTGATGACTCCTCCAACACGCGTACCATTCCTGTCATTGACCGATCACATATGCGCGTTCCTGTCTACTCTCACAAACCCAATCTGCCCTACTTTTTGATCACCAAGAAGAGTATGTCATCGACTCAGCTGTCCCGGCCAGTCTGACAACTCCTCTCAAGCACTGACGCTTTGGTACAACAATCCGGCTGTTCTCCAACACACTCCAACACAAGCCAATAAGTGGTTCAGCTACCGACGACAGAAAGCGAAAGAACGAACTTTTGCGCGCCTTCGACAGCCCTCGGAGTTTCATTTCTCGACATGGACATGGGTGATACCCTGAAATACCGTCCACCAGCACCTCCAGATCCAACGTGAGCTCAAATGCCCGTATCGTGGCAAGCCTTCTCGTTCTAAAGGCTCCCTTAGAACGCATTTTTTAGAGCATACCGGGCCGTCCTTCCTTTGTGAGGCGCCTGACTGTCGAGCACATATGTATGCCCCTTTACGTAGCCCGCAGTCAGATGGGAAGACATCAGCGGCTTTGCTCGTCCCAGATCTGGGTGTCCGTTTGCGGGTTTGCGGGGATGGCCACTGGTCGTGGAGTCGGCGGAGAAACAGCAGTACTCTGGTGACATCAACCTTGTTTTCTCTTGGTCCTTATTTTACCACAGAAGGCTCGTCAACGCACGGAACCGGGTTGCAATTATTTACAACACGGCTAAATCGTGCCGAATCAGATGGCTGTCAAGGCCGTGTCTCGGCGCGGGTCAGGGGCGGCATGTCCGTGTGTTCAGACATTCTTTCCCGTAGACTCCCTGAAGCCGCACGGCAGATGACTTCGTTCGCATCGCATCCATTCAAGCACGAATAAAGCACAGGCTGGTCCGACTGAAGGCACCAGAGAGAGGGTTTGCAGAAAACCACAAAACGGTGAGGATATCATTAGTCCCCCAAGGGAGCGCAGAACTCGAGTGCCAAACGCAACTCGCAACTCGCAACGAAAAATAGTAACGAATGGGCGCCTGCAAGGAGTATTGCCGGCACACAGGTATAAGAGGAGGTTCGTCGAGCAAGCCGTAGCGTAGCAGCCCAGCCTATCCCGTCGCAAACGCAATCCCACCACTCAACCAACCCAAAACCCTCCCCTCCGCTCGTTCACTTCTTGCCGAAGCCGCCAAAGATCTTGCGCTTCAGCTTATCGGCCAGGCTCATGGGGGCATCGACGATGGCGTGCTCGCCGTTGGCCTTCTTGACCTCGGCGGTCTTGCTCAGATGCTCGTTGCCAGCGCCGCCGCGGCCGACGTGATAGTCCGAGTTGTCGGTCGAGGGCCGGATTGCGGCCTCGGGGACGACGTCCTTGTCCAGGCGGGTCGCGGAGCGGGTGCCGACGTCGCCAATGTTGGCAGCGCCTGTAATTTCCCATCTCGTCAGTTCAAGCTTCTTTTTTTTTTTTTTTTGGCTCCCCTCTCTCTCTCTCTCAAACCGGCAAGCATCAGTTTGGTTGGACAGGGGGTGTTCGCTAAAAATGCCTTCCCGGGGGCCGTCGACGCTGCAGTTTGTGGCGCTCTCGTAGCTGAAGCTAGGCCTGACTAGCCTTATCTGTGGAGCTCGCGACTAGCAAAGGCGAGGGATTGGAGGCTTGGCGCGGGTGAAGGTTGCTGATAAGATGACCGGGACGAGTCTCGTTGCGCTTGCTCTCACGATCTTTTTCCCCGTTGCCGAGCAGATGTTGTGATGATGATGAAAGGAGCATGTGAAATGGCAAGGGGAACCATGATGTGCGATTTGCGCTTCATAGAGAAGGGGATCGCAAACTCACCACCTCGGCCGGTGCTATAGGCACCATCATGGTGGCTGCCCTCGACGCCAGATCGAACGACCTCGCCGTCGACGTACTTGGTGTCGTCCTTGTTGATGTTTCCGGCGCCGCCACGGCCGTGCGAGACCTCGGGAGTGGTCATGATGAAGATAGTTTGGTTGGTGTCGAAACGTGCTCAAACGGGGTTGTGCTGTGAGTAGATCACTGTCGACTTGTGAGTCTGGCGCTCAGGGAGATTCTGCGGTCTCGTGTTGCGAGTAGGATAAAACATACCGAGGGTGTCAACTTCTTGGGGTTTCGTGGTGATATTTGAATGAACCAGCTTCTTTTTGGGGGAGGCTGGTCGGAAGATGAGCGCGAGTTAAGAGGTCGGTCGAGTCAGGCAGACAAGACTGTTTTAAGAAGGCTCGGAGGGCTGATTATGAGATAACAAACAGCAAGCAGTGCATGTGAAGCGCGAGGTGACAGCTAACGGCACTAAACCAGATCTAGGCAGCCACTGGGCAGTTCAGATGGAAAAAAAAAAGTAGGCAGAGAGTCAGAGAAGGCAGTTCCGGTCCGTTATCGCATCGAGCTGGCCTTGCTGTAGAGGAGAATGGAAGGGTGAAAATATCAGCCAGACATCTTTATTCTCCAAGTATGTACATCATCACCGACAGAAATCATGTCATACCATCAGCAAGGTACCACACCACCACAAACGCGCACACTAGAGCAAGCTCCCGCAGTGGCCTTGCATCCCACCGCCGCCCGCAAACCGATTACATGAGGTGTTGCAGTGGCCCCGTAAAACCCATTACGTACCTGAATTTGATGAATGGAAGCCCTCTGTTGCATCCCCCGCTGCCGAATCTGGATTGGCCGAGGACCCCCAGTACTTGTACGCACCTGCAAACAGGGTTGCTGATAACCGTTCCGGCGCTCTGGAACCCTTCTGTAGAAGCTATGCGGAAGCTAATTGCCGCCAGTGGGCGTTTCTTCCTTTCTTTTTTTGACATCTGATTGCCTTTCTCTTCCCAAAAGCAATGCGATTCCTCACGAGTCTCACAACGTCTGGGTGTGGTCAATCTACCATGACAGACGCCAGCCTTAGCTTGCTCACCCTCCGGCCAGGCACCAGGACAGCGAGCCCGACGTCCGCTGGATGCAATTCCCTTCCTAATACTCCCAGATCCCATCTGTCATCCAAACTCCAGTCGTTCAGCTCCGGAGAGATAAGATAGCGCTCGGCGCATGATTGGCCTATCCCCAGGTCTTGGCAATACGCCCTCGCGTGGGTAGTGGAAACACCCGGGATACCCCCTTTTCCCCAGCCGGTCATAGTCTCTACCTACTTGTACTTCCATAGACCACTCACTCCGTAGTCCTTTCTGGGTCCTGACATCACTCTGGCGAAGCCACCTTGATGACATCCTCGGTTTCGTACTGATCCATGCATGCATGATGTTGATTCTGTCTGTCCGGGGTTATCCATCCATCTGGATAGGACTGGCTTGCTTGATAGTGACTTAGCCTGCATACTTGGAACTAGACTAAACCAACCCCTTGATGATCGATCCCAATGCAAATAAAGTCAGAAAAGTCCATCTAGCACAAGCCAGTTCTTCTTTTCTTCCCCGTTGTATAGAGAACATAATAGAGTATATAGAGCAAGTCCCTCCCTGCCCTCCCCCGGGGAACCCCCCCTCGTACCCGACGATAAGCAGCAGACAACTCCCACACTCCTCCACTCCCATCTGATGTGTTTTGTTTTTTTTTTGCTTCGGCAATGCTAGACAAGACACGAATGAACATCAGAGAAACAGAAAAAGAATAGCAGCTCCCATGCCATGTATCCTGCTCTTTCCAACCATTCCCATGGAGCGCGTTATCTTGAAGCCCCCTCCCTCCCCTTTCCCAGGGAGAACTATTCCAGCCACTGACCTCCCAGTTTTTCCTCCCGAATTTCCAATGCCAGCGGTGCGCAACAAGAAAGATAGGATCAACTCTTCCACCCCAATGCAACCCATGATATAACAAGAGACCCCTCAAAAAAAGCAACCATCCGCCTCCATCTAGGAAGGGTAGAACTGAAAAACGACCCAAACAGAGATAGCATTTCCCATGCTCCAAACAGTACAAAAACCCCCCCTCCAATCCCTCATCGGAATATCAAAACGGTTGTCGTTACATCATAAAGGAGGAAGCGCTCACTCCGTCTCGCTCCCGCCCTCGGAGTCGTCTTCCCCCTCATCAAACCCTTCATCCCCATCATCGTCAACAACAACCACCCCCTGGACCTGGGCCGGCCCGATCTCGCCAAACAGCGCCTTGTACCGCTGCAGCTCGGCCAGCTGCTCCGCGACGCTCTGCATGACGTCCGACATGGGCGCCCTCAGGTCCCCGAGCTGCGCGAGGTGGCCCCCGCCCGCGGCCATGTGCCGCAGCGAGAGCGTCGTGATGCACGTCTCGATCCGGCTGACCTGGTGCTCCATAAAGTTGACCAGGAACCGCTCCGTCATCTCGCTGCTGCGCTGCTTCATGCGCTCCAGCAGCTCCGTCTCGGGCGGCTGCAGCCCCCGCCCGCTGACCTCCTCCAGCGACGAGCACAGCATCTCGAGCCGCAGGCTGACCCGCCACAGCGCAAAGATGGCCTCGGGCTCGACGGCGATCTCGACGCCCGGCTCCCGCGTCGCGATCTTGTTGGCCGGGGCCCCCACCGCCAGCTCGTTGACCTGCCGGTCGTGCGCCTGGTGCGCGTCGACGCGGCCGGCCAGCGCGTGCGGGTAGAGCGAGTACACGACCTCGGGGTTCTCGAGGCCCTTGAGCTTCTTCTCGCCCATCTCCTTGACCTCGAAACCCTGCGACGACAACGACCGGAGCTCTTTGCGGATAGCCTGGGCAAAGGTGTCGTCCTCGAACAAGTCGTCAGCACCGGGGGCACTCTCCTGGTACGTCTCGAGGCAGCGCTGGATCTCCGAGATGAAGTCTGACGAGACCGTGATCTGCCCGCCGTCGGCGACCGCCGAGATGCGCGACGCCTTGTTGACCATGGGGCCGTAGTAGTCCATGCGGCGGGTGATGGGATCAGGCTCGCAGAGCGGCTCGCCCCAGTGGGTGCCCATGCGCACCGACAGGCCCTTGAAGATAACATTATTGTCCTTGTCGACCATGGGCTGGCACGATACCGAGTTGAGCATCTCTGATGGCCAGGGGACCTCGAGGAGCGACATCTGCACGGCGAAGCACCACAGCAGTGCCGAAGTGGCTGTAGGGAAGGAGACCATAAAAGCATCGCCTTCAGTCTTGACCTCGAAACCACCAATGCGACGCAGTTGCCGCCGCATCACCTCGTTGTGCAGCTTGATAGCCGAGCGCATGGCTGCCGGGTAAGTCTCCCACAGATTGGTCGAATTCTTGATGTCGGTGAAGACGATGGCGATCATGCCTGTGGGCGCGGGCACCTCGGCCTCGAGACGTTGGAGTGTCGAGTCGAGCACTTCGCACTTCTTCTTGAGGCGCCTGGCAGGCTGGAACTGGGCTTCGTCAGGAACACCAGATGGGTACAGTGACATACTCTGGCCACGGTGGAGTCGTGAACGCTCATTCCGCCTCTTCAGATCGGCGACGCTGATCATCATGACCATAAGCTTGTTAGTCGCACCATACGCCATGGCAAGGTCACGAAGCTTTTGCGCAGCCCGCATGAGGTCGCCCCTCTCCTGCCGTGCAATGTCGACGACCAGACCGGGGCTGAGGTACTCCCAAAGTTCTCGGGTAGCAATCAGGACAGTCTCATCCTGCTCGCGGACGGTGACGTGATGGATGTTGGGAGCCGCCATGACGGCAGGCATGAGATCGGAATACCCAAACGCCCTCGATACCTCGAGCAGATCGTTGAGGCGGCCGTTGCGCGAGACCCAGCCTCCCGCATCTCGAATCCTCGACCGCTCGCTGGGCTCCGCGGGATCGTGCTTCTTGGTCAAGAACTTGTGGCTGCCATCGTTGGAGATGAGCATCGCCTGAGCATCGCCCACATTGGCGACGTAGAGCTCTTGGCTCTGAAGGTAAGCCACCGTAGCGACACCGCCGGAGTTGAGATCCTCTTTGCTCAGCACCATTGGTGCGGCAGCCGAGCCGCGATGTGACATCAGAGGTCGCTCCTCGTTGGTTTGCAGCCCGATAGTGATCAGATCCTTGTTCAAGGATAGGAACGCACGCCTGAGGGCGTCCTTGGGCCCCTCATCCTTGCGAGTCTTGAGCGCCTTGAGCTCCATGGTGAAGATGTGGCCAAAGTTCTCGTGTAGGTACTTGGCGATCTTCGAACCCCCACTCGAGAGCGCCTGGCCGTCGAACAGACCCAGCAGCGTCTCGGTGTCGGAGGAGTTGAAGCGCGGCACTACGAGATCGATCGTGGACAGATGCTCATTCTTGCCGAGAGTGTCAGCCATGCCGTACGGTAAATAGCCGGCGAGCGAGCCTGACGTCCGGACACGGCGATCTTCGCTCTGATCAGGAATACTAGGTTGCGTCAAGGTGACATCCATCAGGCCCAAGACACGCAAGTTCATCAGCCGGTTGAAGTCGGTGTACTGCTCGCGATTCGCGGCGCCGGCCCCAAACACCGTCTGCTTGATCTCAAGCCGGCGGTTGCCCGATAGATTGAGGAACCTCAGATTGGGGTTGAGATTCCAGTTCCAGTCGTAAGGCACGTTGGAGATGTTGTACTTGAGGAAGTTGCTACCACAGTCAAGTACTGCTAGTTTCTTGGCGCGCGAGATGTCGGCGGGCAGGTTAGTGAACTTGTTGCTATTGATGTGCAGAACCTGGAGCAGGCTGTATTCCTCCAGATCGTCGGCAGGCAGGCTGGCAAGTTCATTGCCGGAAAGGTAGAGTTCAACGAGCTGCGGCCAGTTCTTGATTGATCGCTGGGGCATGTCGCTCAGGTCATTGTACGACAGATTCAGGACGCGGAGCTCCGCAAGGAGGGTTATCTGGTCAAAGATGTCGTCGTCCAGCTGGTTGTCTGCGAGGTAGAGGTTGCGCAGGGAGCCAGCGAAGGTATTAATCAGGCGGGCGGACAACCCCGAGTCTTTCCTCAAGTTGGCCGAGGGTGTCATGGAGCCGCTCTGGTTAGTCGTCGTCGCCCTGGACACAACCGACGTCTTGCGTCCGCCCTTACCGTACACAGAGACCACGGAGCCCTTCCTATCGGGACCGGGCGGCACGGGAGAGGGGCCCACACTCAGCAGTGTGCTTGACGCCTGACTCGGTCTCCTCAGGGCATCGAGATGAATCTCCTCCTCACTAGGGGTTGCAGAGAGCGTTCCAACTGTGTTTGACCTGCTATTAAGACCGATCCGTGGTGAGTCACCATTGGGCGCTTGCGGCGGTCTTGATGCCGGCTTGGGGAAATTCTCCAAGACGTTCGAGGATGCGTTAAGTGTCTCCAGCTTGTTAGCCCACCATATTTCCATGGGCAGCTTCCGGATGTTGTTTCCTCGCACATCCAGGACCCGCAATTCAGTCAAGCATCCGATCTCCTGGGGAAGCTCGCCCACTGAATTGTGCGCTATGCTAAAGTGCTCTAACCTTCGCAAGTTGCCGATCTGATTTGGTAAGGAGACGAAGTAGTTCTTGTCAAGTACTAGCCTCTCTAGGCTCGTCATGTTGTTAAAGGACTCGTCTATGCTGGCCAGTTGGCAGTTGGAGAGATTCAGATTCTTCAGCGTCAGAATAGGCATGTTCAGGATGAAGTTTGTGATCGGGTTGGCATTCAGCTTGAGGCTTCGTATCCTCTCAAAGGAGCCGGTGAACTGGGAGATGGCATTGTGGTCTGCCGTGAGGATCTCGAGCTTGGGCAGGTGCGAGATCACGTCTATGGCGGTGATAGCGTTGAACTTGATATCCAGCTCGCGCAGGCTCGAGAGCTTATCAAAATGCTGCGGTAGGGTGCCACTGAGCCTGTTGTTGGTGATGACAAACTTTTCTAGGTTCTGAAGCCTGCCAATGTCCTCGGGTATATGGGCGATGAGGTTGAAACTCATGTCGAGGTCCACAAGACTCTCCAGCTCGCAGAGGAAACTAGGAAACTTCTCCAGGAAATTCGAGGAGAGATTGAGTGTCCTCAAGGAGTGGTAGGCTCCAAAGTAAGGCGGTAGGTATTTCAAGCGGTTGTTCGACAAGTTCAGCTTCAGAAGACCAGCCAGTCCGTTCAGCTCAGCATGTTCCAACTGCTCCAGGCGGTTGTTGGAAACGTCGAGATAGGTGAGCTTGCTTGCGCGACCCAGACTTGGGGGTAGTTTCCTGGCCTCGTTGTTGTTGAACTTGACATCGCGTAGGTTCTGGCAACTCGAGATGAAGTCCCTGGGTACATCTAGCGACAAGTTCCTAGACAGGTTGAGCGAGATGATTTCGCCAGCTTTGGAGTACAAAGTGATAGGGATGGTGACGAGATTCCGGCCAGAAAGATCAACGTGATTGAACTTCTGCAACCTGCCAAGGCCAAGGTCGTGTGTCTTGGCATGGAAGTCACTTTCGCGTGCCGACAGGAACAGGAAACGGCAGAGATAGCTGTTGTCCTCGCGACCGAGATCTTCTATCCGGTCGTTATCTTCGTAGCCCGCCTGCTGGAGGAGCCGCTTTTGTATCAGGAGCGGCCGCTCGCCTGAGCCGAGGATGCGGAGGAGATCGTGCCTCTTGAAGACGATGTGATAATTCAGGTTCTCCGTGAACGCCTTTCTGGCCAGATTCGAAATCATGTCGGAGACGGCAGCATCGAGAGGCAGTTGCAGTGTTGCAAATGTGCCGTCCGACTTGAAGACACGAATACAGTACTGCGTCATCTTCTCCCCAGGGCGAGGCGGACTGCCAAACTCCTCGATCTCGGGGATCTGTTGGGCCGCGATCTCATCGGCAGTACGCCGGACTGCCCAACTGTCGGGGGCATTCCACGCGCCATTGGGGCCTCCGGGTATATTGGCAGCCGGCGGTGGCAATGTTATCTGCGACGACTCTGACGGCTTCCGCTGTTTCTCGGCTTCGGCATTCGTCTTGAGTATCTCCGCATCCATGGGCGTGAGGGGCAATGGCCGGCTCAAGATGCCTTCCATGTTCTCCAGGTCGGTATCTAAGAAGAATGCCTTCCCATCCTTCTTGCCCTCCGTAGGGCCGACGGCTTCTTCGGTCTCGTCATTGTACCGGTGTCCCTTACCCTTCTTGTGGAAGGGGAACTTATTATTAAAGGTAGGCTGTCGCGAGCCCCCGGCAGGCCGCAACGAAGGAGAATCGGTGGGCTCAATTATGCGTCCAGGTAGAGCCGGTGCCGACTGCCCAAAGCTTTCTGTTCGGGGGAATTCTGTTCGGGATGGTCGCGCGGACAGCGTATGCGATGCCACTGAGCCGACTTTCTTTAGGTGATGGTGTTCCTCCTTCTCCTTGTGGTTCCTCCGCAGGCGGCCCAGCAGGCCCTTCTTGTGGTGACCCGGCGACACGTCGTCTACCGGCATTGACTTGGAGGCGACTGGTGTGGGTATGGTGCCGTGGCCGCTCGGTGTCGGGCTCGGCGCTCGCGACATCTTACTATATAGGGGGGTGCCAGTGCGAGACTGCGGCACGCTGACGGTCGAGTCTTCGCGGCTAGTCGTTGGCCTCAGCGCCCGGGGATCATCATTACTCTTATTATATCGGTGATGATGACCTGGTAGGTGCACGATAGAGTGGCCCGAGCGTGACGAGGAGGATGTCTTGGGTGGTATTTGCGTGGAGTTGTCGGGCATGTAGCGTTCTCGGTCTGGCCCACTAAGGATATCTCGGACGGGCGCTTCACCGTACCGTGCTATGTCCTATATATACACTATGATTAGACCAAAAGACGTGAAGAGAAGGAGACTGATCCATAAATGAAGCTGTCTGGGACGACGACGGACTGCCCCAAGTCAATACGGGACCCTGTCAGCGCACTAGCGCTTTTGATCCACCGGATGGAGTTGGGGACTAAAGGCGCGAGACGAGCCTACCTCTGAGTCTTGGTAGAGGAAAGGGAGGACCTCCGGATTTGGTGCCGGCGTTCGAGGTCGCGAGGAGGAAGGAGACGCATCCCTGGTGTGGTCGGTAGCATTAGAGTAGTTGCGATCCCGCTGCGGCCTGCCCTGGCTATAGGAGAGCGACCGTGAGTCCTTTCCCGGGACAGCAGGCGGCGTGCTTGCATCAGAGGATTCTCGGCCGGGAAACTCCTCGCCGAAGAAACCTTGAAGCTTTCTCATTCCACCCCTTGTGCCACTCGCCTTCGAGCCCTGACTGCTCGCTGTGGTCGTGATGCTTGCGAGGGACGGCCTCCGCTGGTCGTCAAAGTAAGGTGCATCGGGAGAATCGAAGCTGACAGAGGTCTGGCTCGGCCGAGGTCCTGTGTTGAAGCTAGGCGAGAGCTGAGAGGCGATAGAGATATTGTCGCTCGAGTCGTTATAGAAGCTCGTCGGCAACGCGCCCCCGCTACTGCTCGCAGGCGTCGAGCCACTACCGCCGTTCGACGACATCCACGGAGCGATGTTTCTCAAGCTGGATGAAGGGCCGGTGGCGGGTGTGCCGTGCTGGGTACTGGGGCCACGGTTGCCAGAGGAGTCAAGGACCGCGAGGTCGCGGCGGTAATTGGTCAAGTCGCTCATTCTGCGCTGGTCACGGGCAGAGGTATTGCTATAAGAGTTTGAAGTCGGCGACCGGGGCATGCGCGGCCCCGAGGTCGGGGAGAGCTGGCCTTCGTCCAGCGGAGCTGGGTCACTAGAGATTGGCGAACGCAAGGACCCGTTAGTTCCCACGCTTTGCTTTACTCGAGAAAGTGAACGCAGCAGCTAAAGAAGCCTGCAGCATCCACGGCAACCCATCCACGGGCGGCTTGACGTGCAAGTCGGGCTGCGGCAAAGGACTCACCTGGCGAGCTTCCCGTTCTCGTCCCGCTTCAGCTGTGAAGGCGCCCCAGGCCTTCGGGAAGCGAGCGAGTCGTCCTTGTTGATTTTGGTCTTGCTTTTGGTGTCGAGGCTGTTGCTGGAAGATGGCGTGGCCGGCAAGGGCTTCACGGTCGCAGCGGACCGCGCACTGTCTGTCGAAGAGCTCGCAACGGAGCCGATTCGAGAGGCAGCATCATTCCTGGCCATTATCACCACCAGGCATGGGCAGATATGTGCACGGCCATATCACTGCCAAAAGGTCGGGGAGGAGGAAGCTTCGGCTTATTTCATGCTGGCCATGCCAGTCGCGACGGAGGGTTGGCGTGTTTGCTGGCGTCGATGGCCTTGTCGCTCGGCTGAGGCGATGCGACGTCGGTTCAGAGAGCTAGCCGGTCAAGCACAGCCTGGCTTGCCTCAAATCTATGATGAAGACGTCGAGCAATTCGATCTGTCGTCGAAATGGAGCCAGTGGGCAGGCGGGCGAGTTGTTATGTGGGTAGGACGTATATCGAATTGCGGGCAGTGGATGCTGGTACGTGCATCAAGAACAGAGACAGGTAAGGTCTGGTCTGGGTCAATGCTGTTGTAAGTACAAGTAAGGTAGTGAGTGGGTGGAGGTGGTGGACTGGATGGGGGGTGGAGGATGTCTGGTCGGATGTGGTGTGGTGTGTTTTGCTGTGGTGCGGGTTGCTTGGTGCTAATGCCGCTGCCGCTGCTGGCGGGCTGGTTGGTTGGTAGGGCGGTTGAGAGTGGGTTCATTAGAGCACACATACGGAGTACAAGTACACATATACACACACACACACACGCTCGAGCTCACACGGAACCAGTGTTGCGGTCTGAGTGCACGCCCCAAGACTAGGCTCGCTGTGAATCTGGCCTTCTGGTGGGTGTGGTCGGGCCCGCAGAGCTGGACATGGTTCCTCAATGGCCCTGTGGCCCTCGCTAGCACAGATCCGGTACCGACTGCCTGAAGGCATGGCATCTCATTCCTGCCGGCTAGCCTTTTCTACCGCAATATCGATCGATTCACTGGACATGGAGTCAAGGCCGCCATGGTAATGGTCGTCTTGGGCGGATGCCAAGCGGAGATTACGTCGATACTCGTCCCTCGTCTCCTGTCGAGATTGTGTGCTTGTGAGATGGGCGGCACGGTGACGGGGTCAAGCAGGGGTCAGGAAAGAGATGACGGGAGTTCATCAGAGATCTCACGACACGGGTTTTCCCACTATCTGAAATTAGATGGCGTCGATGAATGAAGTAGTCAAAGTACCCTGCCACCAGCCCGGCAGCTACCTAGGTAGGTTCCTAGGTAGGTTCCTAGGTAGTCAATGGCCTCAGATCACCACTTGAGAGTCTACCTCCGCAAGAGTCAGGGTCTGCTCCACGAGTCGCATATCAAAGGTGTCAGTCAGGACCCGGAAGAGAGGAATTCCACCTACATCAACTCAACAATAAAGACGGTGATAGTGGCATGATCAAGTGCTCTCGTCTCGGCAGTCATTCTCCAAAAGCGACTATATGGTAGATATTCCACGCCAATGTGTGTCAAGAGTACTAAAGCTTAGTAGAGAGCACCTCGTCTTACCTTAATCAACTTAGTGTGGGCAAGACGTAGATCGCGGACCCATGCGGGATGTAAGTCGTCACGACAAAGTCTAAACCTCGACTTGCTCGACACCCACCACCACCACCCATCATGCTACGAGCCCACAACCAGCGTTGCCTCAGTCAACCCCGTATTGCCACACGCTGCGAGGTCAATGTCCTTCTCGAATGAGAGTTTTCAGCCCTACTGACATGGGGTTGGTATCCTCCGTCCATGCCATTTCTTGATATAGACAGGCATATCACCATATCATGGCTTCTAGATCCGCTCCCGGTGCCTCATGCTTGATGTGCCCGGGTGTGCTTGAGCGTCGGGAACCGCTGGGTAGTCTGTATGATCGCTTCGGCCATTATTGAGATCTTCAATGCGGACCTTGAGCCACTCTAGGACTTGCACCTGATATTGGAATTCTAGGCTAGCGTCTACTACCACCCATTGCGGCTGTCTTGCTACATCAAAGTCTTCGCCCCTAGGGCTCAATTCTCATACCTCGTGTGAAGGGCTCTAGAAGCCGGGCGTCGTCAAGAAAACCGCCACGGAATCGACCATGTCATTGACGCAAGGTCGGCAGAAGGGAAGATGACGGGATCGACCAACGCCAGTCCACCCCCGCGATCAGTGCGTCAGCAAGGCATCCCTGCGTGAATGCAACATGGAAAGTTTTGTGGCTGGCCATGCGTCCCCAGATTGTGCTGCTTGTTGGGGAAAGCCTCTTTACGCTCAGCAGCAAGCACGCACCACAAAGCTGGTGGACGGACCAGGACGCAGGGTGAATGATCTGACAGATCCGCGCCCTTCAAACCCACAAAAGACACGAGTCTGTCTCCCGCCGTCGTTGGATCTGCCTTGATTCAAGACCCTTCAATTTTGGATGTCGGAAGAGGAATAGGTCACGGTAACGAGGCAAGTGATGGTCAGATTAGTTGACGGACTGCTAACAGAAGTACTTGACTATCCATCAAGCCCATCGGATTTAGGTAGTGGGATAGCCCTTCTGAGTTCTAGGGCAAGGATGTGACAAGGATATTGATTGTTAAGATCGAGGTAGCTCCTGATGAACTTCCGTCAACTATTCAGACACCCACTTGCGAGGCTTTCCGCATTCCACATGTCTTCTGGTACGTTTCCAGGGATTAGGGAATGCGCAAATGCTTAAGATCGATCGATACGCATTCCACACCGCCAGATCTCGATTAAGAAGCATAGTATTCTTTGGATGCTGGGCATCTCTGGAATCCACTCGCACATGGCATATCCTGAGCAATTGCATGTCTCATACACTCCCCGCAATCCAACTACCGCTCGTCCGCCGATACCATGATCGTGCCCATCGGCCTAGGTGAACGACCTGGTGGAAAGCGCATGCCCCACGAGTTCCATGAACCCATGATGTAGCTTCTGTGGAATGGTTGCCTTCGCTCTGACGTGCATTGTTGTGTAACCCGTATTCTCCGAAGTCAAGTCCAATTCTGAATGCAGACATCAAAACGGGATTAATTACAGAAAGAAGGCTAGGACCAACATCGCAGGGAAAACAATCTAGGTACCTAGACTTGGGTATACCGCGACTCCTAGACGCCGAACCACAATAAATTACCTACCGCTAGTATCAGAGCCAGTGTCTAGTCTCCATGCCATGTGTGCCATCTGCCGCGAATGCCCCTGGCAACGATGCATCTGCCTCCGATATCACACGAATCTTGCTTCTCAGTTCATCCCGCCGCCGTTCCGCCTTGCTCTTGACCTGCACCTTCTTCATCGCCTGGCTCATCAGTCCCTTGGCCTGCTCCCCTGTTCTCTGTAGCAGATCTACAGCTGCCTTTGGGGTAGACGGACTCGTCGGCTTGGGGACTGTGGTTACCCGTTCGCTCACCCTCCAGGGTTGATCGCTAAGGACGTAGTCACGCTGTGCAGCGGAGGGATGGAGCGTCGGTCCAGCCAGGCCAGAGCCATGCCGAAGCAATCGACCAACAAGCGCCGAAGACGAAGAAGACTTCCGCTTTGGCGAGTCCTCTGCTATCAGGGCTGCGTCATCCTCGCCGTCGCTATCATCATCCTCAAAGACGCTTCGAGGGGGGTATGGCGTTCTGAGTGGGTGGCCAACTGCCCCAAATCTCCCACCAGTCCGATGTGCCGGGAGGTTCGCCGGGGGAGCCATGCGGACTTTTGATCTATTGACGCGATCCGCAAAGCCGTTCCTAAGACTGGAAAATACTGACAAGCCAGGCGAGCCTGGACTCTTCGGGCTCCTGTCTGTCCTCACAATGATCGGTGGCTTCCTCGGCTCAGTAAAAAGCCCTGGAGCTTCATACTCTGGCACCAGACGGTTCTGTGCATTGGGAGTCGTAGCTGTCCCGTAGAGATTTAGGCCGGACACAGCTTGTCTGTCTGCTTGCACCGGTGAGTGTTGACAGTAGACGCAATCATGCCGGCAGAACGAGGGCAATACAGAGCCCCCGCTGGGCACTTTGCCGTCGAGGTTTAATGGCACCACTCCAGGGTTCGGCTTATTAGGAGTAAAAGACCTAATGATCGGTGACTCTGAAGCTAGACACTGCGCCACATGTATGGCCGGTTTGGTTGCCACATTTGAACCTTGAGCCATGGGTGGCGGCATCTCGAGGCTATAAACACTGCTGCTCGAGCTGGTACCAACGACAGGAGAGTCTGGTTGTTCTGCCGGTAGCGTCTGTGGCGAGTGCATCTCCAACCCAGTCAACTGGCGCATTTTCTGAGATGGGTTGTGACCACTTGGAGACGATGATTGTATGGAGCTTGAGACTGAGCTTGTCGCAGTAGCGGCCACGCCTCTACCATGCCAGACTTTGCGAATAGGTTGCACAGGCTGCGGAGAGATGATTTCTCCAGGCATGGGGCAGAATGCGCTATCCACTCCGCGTCTCGATGCTTGCTTTTGGTGCTGCGAGATTCGGCCTTCGAGCATGACGGATATGTCGGCTTCTTGCCTGTACCAATTTGGGGTGGCGCTCGGCCTTCGATCTACCACATCGCCCGTTCTGCCCTGGGATGTCTCGTGCATCTCGTGGCTAAAGGAGGAAGAAATCGAGCGCCGCAGAGGGATAGGGGGCAAAGGCTTAGAGGCAACCTGTGTCCTGGTTGAAGGTGGTGGATGAGGTCGGAGTGGTCGTTCCTGACCGGGTGGAATGGCGATCTCCATGCCCTTTAAAGATGTATTCGACGAGTTGCTGTGCATCCATGGTTTGCTAAGAGGTATGCCGGAAGCCATGATAACGCGACTTACTCACATGGAGCAAATTCGTAGCGGTTTGCTTTGCAGAACTGCTGCAAAAAGCCAGAAATGAGTGCTTCATCGAGCCCGGGCTGCCCTGGTAAAGAAAGAGGAACATCACAAAGGAAATAGACTTCGACAAGTCCAAGTGGTGGCGACATGGCCGCACTCGTCAACTCGCCGGCCATCTTTGTTATCCGGACACAAAGAACTTCTTTGGTCGGTGATTCAACGTGAGTACATAAGGGGATGGACGTATGTGTGTCACGAGGCTGCTTCGTACTACGAAACAACAGACAGAAACCCTCTGATTGTCGGCCACCATGGATCTTAATGGGCATGACGAAGCGAGACAAGCCATTTGCTGTGAACACAGAATGATACCGTGGCTGAATCGGGAAAGTTTGAGTCCCTACTTGGAAGGATGTGGTCGGTTGGACAGTGCTGCTCATATGCATCGAGTGAACACCAACTCAAGTTTCCCATGGGATCGAAATGGAGAGAGACAAACAATGCTCGATGACACAATCAGGGAAGCTAGAAGAAGAATCAGAGAGGGACGGGAGCCTTCTTCTCATTTTGACTCTTGATGACCTGATGTTTGGTCCCGCACCAGCAGCCAAGCGCCTTGGTCCTATCATGATAGAGGGCCACGCGTCACACGAGGTCTTGCGGTATTCGTATTAAGGGGGGGTAGGATCCAGGTCAGTAAGTGTCCCGCATTGGCAAGATTCCTCACGTCTTCTTGTCCGGAGTCGTCGGAATAAGGCAGTGCTATGCCATCAGATCCGGTATGGTGGAGCGAAAGACAAAAGTGCCAGAGTTGGCGAATGAGAGGCGCGCCTTAAACCGCTGCCTGGAACAAGGTTGCGAGTGAGACCAGCACCGGCGTAAAATTAGCCCCCGGTGTTGGTGCTATGCCTCCCCCCTGCAGAAAACGTCCACGGGTGGGCTGAGGCGCGGCTCTTCGCCTGTTGTGCAGGCGGTCCGCTAGAATTACCTTCTGTCAAAGGAGGCTAACGCAGTAAGAGATCGGCGCGGCAGCCCCACGACCCTATTTGACTCGCTGTAAAACGCCGCCCGGCCTGCTAGCATCAAATCCAACCCCCGGCTGTCCAACCGCGAGGAAGTACTTTAAAAGTAAGCTGGCTTGCTTGGCTGCTCCAGCGACGGGACCGGGCATTCTCCCAAGATGGATCTTGCTTCTTGAATGTCATTCAAGACCTCGTTCGCTCATCCTTTCTTTCTAATTCTCAAATTTGAGCGTGTTTATGTGTTGCGCACGTTTTACTTTGTGCGATTGAACGAAGGCATAACCCACATGCAGCGACAGTGGTGAGAAGACCATCAAGGGGGAAACCCGCCAGACCCGAATTCCCTCCTCCTCCTCCTCCTCCTCCCTCCCTTGCGACGACGACGACGACGACGACCGACAGACGGCGACAAGACGCACGCACGCAATCATGGCGCTCCGACGCCTCTCCCGCGCCGTCAGGCGGCGCGCCTTCCCCATATTCGTCGTGCTGACGCTGCTCTTCCCCTTCGTCGTCGAGATGCTCATCCACCGCACAAAGTGGACGGTGCCGCTGCCGGACCCCAAGGACGTCGACGGACCCTTCGAGACGGGCTGCCGCGAGCCCGACACGTCGCAGCCGCGCGAGAAGGCCGCGCTCGTCATGCTCACGCGCAACAAGGAGCTCGAGCAGGCCAAGCACTCGGTCGAGTCGATCGAGCGCCACTTCAACCGCTGGTACCACTACCCCATCGTCTTCTTCAACGACGAGGAGTGGGACCAGCGCTTCATCGACGAGCTCAACGCCACCGTGAGCGGCGAGGCGCGCTTCGAGGTCATCCCCCAGGACGTGTGGAGCTTCCCGCCCTGGATCGACGTCGACAAGGCCAAGGCCTCCATCAAGGACCAAGGGGAGAGGGGCATCGCGTACGGCGGCCTCGAGGGGTACCACCACATGTGCCGCTTCTACTCGGGCCACTTCTACACGCTGCCGGCACTGAAGGAGTTCGAGTGGTACTGGCGCCTCGAGCCCGACGTCGACTTCATGTGCGCCATCACCTACGACCCCTTTGTCGAGATGCGCAAGCGCGGCAAGATCTACGGCTACGCCCAGGCCCTCTGGGAGGTCACCGAGTCGTGCCCGAGCCTGTTCATGGAGATGAACGACTGGAAGGAGAGCCACCGCATCCCGACCAACAACCTGTGGCGCGCCATGATGCGGCCCTCGTGGGTGCCCTTCCCGCTCCGCCGGCTCTTCGCCGCGCCGAACCGCGACCACGACCGCTTTGGCGACACGTGGAGCCGGTGCCATTACTGGAGCAACTTTGAGATCGCCAAGATGGAGTTCTTCCGCAGCAAGGAGTACCAGGACCTGTTTGAGTACCTGGACAAGAAGGGCGGCTTCTACTACGAGCGGGTATGTCTCTTTCTAGCATCTACCCATCCTCAAGCTAGCAATGTATCATTTGGCTGACAACCTGTGGAAAACAGTGGGGAGACGCCCCCATCCACTCCCTGGCCGTGGCCATGCTCGTCGACCCGACCAAGGTGCACCACTTCGAGGACGTGGGCTACCGCCACGACAAGTTCTTCCAGTGCCCCGCCAACGCGCCCGGCCGCCAGCTGCCGGACTCGAAGCTGCTGGGCAGCGACTCGTACTTCGAGGAGATCGAGGGCGGCAGCGGCTGCCGCTGCGAGTGCGACGGCCGCTGGACGCGCAACCACCAGGCCTACTGCCTCAACAAGCTCAAGCAGCCCGTCAGCACGTACCGGCCCTCCTTCGCCTGGCTGAGGTAGCTCGAGGAAGAGCTTGGAAAGCTCCCTCCTATCTTGACGACCCCATCTTCACATACATACAGGCGCGTTTAATGTTAGACTCCTCCGTCTTACTACTCTCCTATACACACACACGCCTCGCGCTCACGCGTGTGGTACTTACTGCATTAGCGAAAAGCATGAGCATCGATGCATAACGCTTGCACACTAGAAAGAGTTGCTTTTTACCCACTGCTGGGTTTTTTTGTCAGAGGTATCTATCTATACAATCGTAATTCGGCGCGTGGCTAGAGAGCAACGTTCCAAAGGACTTGGGGGTTTGAGACAACAAGGGACTGGTTTGATACACAAAAGTTGATGGAATTGTATATTAGATTTGTGGGTTTTTTTTTTTTAAAAAAAAGCATGAAGTCATGACCTCTCTATATGATATAATTTCGTTGCCGTGGGCAGCCCCAAACCCAACACCGTCTCGCCGCCGTAGTTCGCCGTTTTATATGTGTACCCCCCATGTTCGAAAGACCTCTCTGCGTCCCCCCCGCCCGCCGTGGTGGTATCTTACAGATATCGTCTTTACCAAATTACAAATGACCTAGCATGATAGGCTTCCGTCCGACGGTTGGAGTCCTGCACTACAATGAAGACAAAAAAAGCAGATTAGTCCTCGGCATCCTCATACTTGGGCGAGTAGTCCCCCATGAGGATGTCCTCGACGCCAAGCCCGGTGTTGGTGTTCCTAACCCATTCAGTCTCGACGCGGAAGAAGATCCAGATCCAGCGCCGGACGACCTCGAGCGCCTGCAGGAGGAAGATGGAGCTCTCGAACCCGGAGACGTGGTCGAGCCGGGGGCTGAGCTTGATGACCCACGTGCACCGCAGCACGAGGTCGAGCGCGATGACGGCGTAGTAGACGAGCGGCGCGGGCTGGATGTACAGCGGCGAGCGCAGGCCGAAGGGGTGCTCGGACGAGTTGCGCTCGCGGGCCGAGAACAGCGTCAGGTCCCAGTCCTTGGCCACGTCCCAGTAGAAGCTGTACAGCGAGTTGACGGCGACGGCCAGCAGCCACGCGCGGTACAGGCCCGGGCTGTGTGCGGCCGTGGCGGGGCTCTTGTCGGCGCCGGCGCCGGCGGACGACGACGACGAGCTCTCGGCGGCGCGCAGCAGGGCGCTGAACAGCAGCACGGGGAAGGAGCTGGCGTACTTGGCGGCGTTGGCGAGGTGCTGCCCTCCCCAGCCGGCGCTCTCCTTGAAGGGGGCGCGGCGGACGCGCACGTACTCGATGCAGCACTGGCGGAAGCGGATGAGGAAAGGCACGGCCATGATGAGGGGCACGACGACGCTGCCGCCGCAGTCGCGGTCGGGCCGCTCCGTGGCCGAGCCGCCGCGGGAGAAGAACATGCAGGCGCAGACGAAGAGGTCGGCCAGGATCTTGGAGTAGCTGGTCAGCACATCGGCGAGCAGGATGTCGCCAAACTTGCCGTTGTGGGCCTCGGCGAGCCCGCCGACGCTCACGCGGCGGAGGGTGGCGAGGAGGCGCCCGCGGCCCGAGTGGGAGAGGGAGAGGCTGCGGAAGGGGATGACGAAGAGGGCGGCGAGGACGACGAGGTAGCTCATGGGCAGCCAGTCATAGTAGATGACTAGCTCGGGATCGCGGTGGGAGAGGATCCAGAAGGCGGTGATGGAGAGGGCGAAGCTGATGGAGAGGACGGTGGCCAGCCGGTAGGTTGAGAGGTGGTGGGGTGCGTGGGTGGGCGAGGAGCGCCCCGGGTATCGGATGAGGGAGGGGACGTCGATGTTGAGAAGATAGAGGTAGTGGAGGTTGACTCCCCATCCCCAGACAGCTAGAGGATGGCATCTGTTAGTTCCGGGGTTCCTTCTTCAAGGCCCAAGCCAACATAGAAGCGTATCAGGCATACCGAGGATTATGATAAAGGCGACCCTGTACGGCAGGGGAAAGGTCAAGCTGAAAGAGTCGAGCTGCGACTCGACCGCCGGATCGCCGTCCATGATGGAGAAGGGAGTAAGTGTTATGCAACTACGCGAGCAGCCAAAGACTCGTGGCGTCGAGCCATCGAGGAGAATAAAGAGGAGAGAAGAGAAAGGGAGTAGGGAACGAGCGACTGTAGTTGGTCCTGCTGTGTTGTGTGGTGGTAGTGGTATCGGTTGAGGTCGTGGAGGTTTCAAAGGCAAGATGCGTTGTGAACTCGTGTTCCCTTTTTCGTAAAAAAGGTGCCTCCCTTGTCTTCTTCTTGTCTTGGACGCGCCTCCAGTTCAATTAAACTGCCACTAGAATTTTAGGGGCACCACTCGACGTCAGCAATTCCAAGGCCCACACCACCCCCCTTTCCGTACGGAGTATCTCTTTTACAGTGCAGTATGTACCCGTAACGGTACATCCCAGATCGATGGGTCCCCTGGGCCGTCTAAAAATATGGGTACATCAGGCTCGCTCTTTGGGCGAGATGCCGTAAGGCTGGACCATCAATTCCATCCGTGCTGCTGCCGTCACATTCTCAGCCGAGGCAATTCGCTAGTGCTGCACTCCCACCACCACATCCACTGCCGACCAGGCTGTACCTAAACCACAACTCTTCAACATTTCACATCTGCGACTCACGAATTCCTGCGACTCAACACCAGCGCCACACTTGCACTGCCTCTAGACTGCTCTCAGCGAACCTCAACACCAACACATTCATCTGCGACATGGAAACACACCCTCCGACACAACCACAATCGCCGTCATCATGACATCCCAAGCCTCACCATCCTCCTCATCCTCCTCCTCCGCTCCCTCCTCCTCTTCAGTCCCCCACCCCGAGCAGTCCTCATCATCGCCCTACCCCTTCGCCGCGGCGCCCGACATCATCCGCGCCCACCAAAAGGACGCCTACTTCACGGGCGTGCTGACCAACACCCTCGCCGATCTCCACCGGCGCCTCCTCGGCGCCCGCTCCGCGCACGCCTGGGCCCCCGAGACCCGCACCGCCGCCGACGCCCTCTACCTCTGCCTGACGACGCTGCTCGGCAACCGCACCCTCGGCGAGGAGTACTGCGACCTAGTCCAGGTCCACGACGCCCGCTCCTCCTCCTCCCCCTCAGCAAACAGCGGGCCCGTCCTGCCCTCCCTCGCCCGCCGCGCCTCCTACATCGCCTCCGCCGTCCTCCTCCCCCACCTCGCAGGCCGGCTCCTCCCGTCCCTCCGCGCCCGCCTCCGCGCCGCCCTCGAGGGCCGGCTCGCCGACCTCGCCCGGAGGGGGAAATCCGCGAGCCCGACGTACCGCGCGGCGCGCTACCTCGCCGCCCACCTCTCGACCCTGACCTCGGGCGCGCCCTTCCACGCCGTCGCCCTCGCCGTCTTCTACTTCTCGGGCGCCTACTACTCCCTCGCCAAGCGCGCCACGGGCCTGCGCTACGTCTTCACCCGCCGCGTCGACCCCGAGGCCGGCGGCCGCGCCGGCTACGAGGTCCTCGGCGTGCTGCTCGTCTTCCAGCTCGCCGTGCAGGCCTACATGCACGTCCGCGCCGTCGCCGCCTCCTCCTCCGACCCGTCCTCGTCCTCGTCGTCAGAGCGCGTCGCCGAGGTCGAGGCCGCCGTGCGCGAGCGCCTCTCCCGCGACAGGCGGCCCGTCGAGGTCTCCCTCGACCACGAGCACTCGTACCTCTCCAACAACGACCTGCTGCTCGACAACGCCACCGCACAACAGTCGGGCAGCACGAGCAGGCTCGACGTCGCGGCCGTCACGCACACGCCCGTGCCGCCCGGCGGCCGCGCGCGCTACGACCTCGCCTCCGCCGCCGTGATGCGCTGGGTCAAGGGCTCGTCGCAGCGCAAGTGCACGCTGTGCCTCGAGCCCCTGCGCGACCCGGCCGCCACGCAGTGCGGCCACGTCTTCTGCTGGGTCTGCATCGGCGACTGGGTGCGCGAGAAGCCCGAGTGCCCGCTGTGCCGGCGCGAGGCGCTGGTGCAGCACATACTGCCGCTGAGGGCGGCCGGGTGAAACGAAAAGAAAGGAAAGGAAAGGAAAGGAACCGTTGTGATTATGGGCTTATCCTGTAGCTTTGCCATTGATTGATGGTTTGTGTGTTGGTTATTATTGGAAATGGATTTTTTTCCTTTAGAGGGAGGTAAAACCCATGTCCATGATGTTGTATGATTTATCGTGGGGTTTGGCATAGCGGGCGCGGGAATGTCAATGAAAGGAGGTAGGAGCAGGAGCAGCTCTCGAACGAGCCGAGACGTCAAATTAGTTATATGGCATGCAGACCAGACCTGGTCAAGAAACACAGTCCGCCTCAATTTTCCATACGTCTAGAGATAGATCGAGTTACATACGCCAAGACTGACATGGCATTGTATTATGATATATCAGCGCGCGCGCAAACCGAAATCAAGGTTACCGACGTGCACAACCAGTATCAAGTCCCGTGGCCATAGGCCCCGTCTGCTCCGCAGCGCCGAGACCAGCCAGCCGGGAGCAGAGTGCCAACACGCCGCCACAAATGAACAAAGCTCCTGTCCAGGAGCTGAAGAAGAGTTTGAAATGTCCCCCGGCGGGCCGTATGCAAGAACAGTGGCCCGTATGATGATGATATATGTCCGATCCTTCCGATTGTGTGATGTCCTCCCATTTGTAGGAGATGCAAATTTGTATGCATTCCCCATCGTCTTTTCCCTTCGAGGTATCATAGTTTCCCACCCATGCCGTGAACAATATCACACGCAAGCAATCAAGAACTCCGTGAATATCGACGCCGAATTATAAAAAAAACAGAAACCCCAATGCAACAAATGGTATGCTCAGATGGAGAAGAGGACAATCTCGCCGCGGTCGTTCTTGCGCAGGCGTAATGACCTCCACAGCTCCTTCTCCTCCATCGGCTTGCCGAGGCTGTTGCCCGACGCGCTCCTCTCGCGGTGGAACCGCTTGAGCGCCTTGTTCATGCTGCAGCCTCGCTCGCTGTCGGGGCCCTTGTTGACCAGGCTGAGCAGCAGATCCGCGCGCGGCTTGTAGACGACCATCTGGCTGGCGTCTCCGCTCTTGCTGTCCTTGGAGCCGGGCCGGTACTCGATCAGCTTGGGGCCCTTCTCGCCGTCCGACTTGTGGCGGTGTTCTCGGTGCTCGCGGTGCTTCTTTGACGAAGACGACTTCTTCTTCTTGGGCTTGGATGTGAGCATGGACATGAGGTTGTTGCCAATGCCTTCTCCGCGATGCTTCGAGTGCTTCGATTTGGACTTCTTGAGCGGGCTGGCCGGCGTCTCGGCAGCGTCGGCCGAGTATTCGGGCGACGGGGGGAAGACAGAGGGTCGGCTCATGAGGCGGTTCAGGCCGCCAGTGAGGCCCGAGTGCAGGACTGGAGGCTCGTCCATGGGCACGTCGACGTGCAGGCGCTTGCGCTTCTTGTCCTTGTTGGCATCCTTGGCTCCTTCCTTTGCTTTCCTTCGCTCGCTCTTGTTTGCGGGAGTGTGAACAGGCACCGGGCCGGTGCCGTACTGAACCATGGACTTTTTGTCGTCGGCCTCGTAGCCAGTAGGGTCGACGTAGGTGTTGGCCTCGTAGTCGTACCGGACGAGTGACGTGCTGTCGCCCTCCTTGAGAGCATCGTCCTGAGGGAGCTTCAGGTTGGAGGCATTCGGCGTTGCTCCTGCGACGAGAAAGTCAAAGACGTCGACCTTGGCATCGTCGGCAGGCGGAGGCGTGGGCGCATGCGGTAATGCGGATGCTACCGTCTTGCCGTCATCATCGATCTGGTAGTCCATGTAGTCTTCCGGGGCGTCTTCAACGTATGCTAAATGGGTCATGGTCGCCATTGTGGCTTTTGGCGCTTCTGGGGTCGTCGGGTTGGGCTTGACTTTCTTGTTCTTGTATAGAGCACCGTGGTACTTTTGTTCTTCGGTCATACAGCTCTGTGACGGCAGTGTTAGCAGGCTCGCTGGCGCAGCAGGGCACACAAGCACAAGGCCCGTGTAATCAATGCGGTCAGTCACACATACCGTATGCGAGCGATACTGCGTGCCAGGAAAGTGTACCATGCAATCGATGCACGTATAAGTGGCACCCCGGCAGCGGTTTCTGTGCGGGTCGAGCTTCTTCTTGGTCAAGACGTCGCCGCACGCCTGTAAGTGGTGGTGGAGTGGTCAGTATGAGGCAGCTCGCGAGGCGCAACACGGATGGATTGACCAAAGAAAGGAAGCAAAAGGATTCAGAGAGCGAGCGTGTAAGAAGCAGTATGGTTGGAACAAGATAGATAAGCTGTGGAAGGAAGAGGAGGACACGGGACAGAGGGTATGAAGTAGGTAGGGGACTGGTCAGAAGGGGCGAGGGGGGTCTAAGAAAAGGGTGTTGGAGGATGATCGTGGTGGTGTGTATCAGGACATGGTGTGTGATGTCAGGTCTTAAATTGGGAGCATCCCGGGGGTCAGGAGGGGTGGGTGTAGAGAGGGGGAGAGAGGAACAGAATATGGGACGCAAGGTTCGAAACATGAACAGGGGCCGAAGAGTGCCAAAAAGAGACGAGCACCCAGGGAGGAAGAGTAAGAGAGAGACAGGGGGGGTGCTCTTGGGGGGCAGATGGATCTATGGAATGAGGGGGCCAATATTATGACTGTGCAAAGTACACAGACAGGAAAGTAGAAGTGTTCAGGATACGTACCTCGCACGAGAAAGACACCATGGCTGAGGCGGGTATGTGTGTGTGTGTGTACACAGGCTGGGAAATGGTGTGTTGTCGCGAGAGAAGCACGATGCAAGTGCTGTTTTGTTGATTTTCAACTGGCTGGCCGTGATGCTTCGCGAATGTTCGCCTCTTAAAATTCTTTGCCTGCAGCCAGTCGGCAGCGGGAAAGTGGGTGCTGACTGGACGGAGTGGACGGGATTGGCGTCTGATCTTGCAGGAACAAGCAGCTGGAATGCGAGATGGCGACCTGAAGGGATGAGGGCAGATGGCGCAAAGAGCGTTCGTGGTGGACGAAGAGCGCGATGAAAAATTTCAAGAGAGAAACGAGAAACAGGAGGACGGGAGCTAGTCTCAGACAGTCGCGGAGGGCGTGTCGATAGACTGGGCAGAAGCGCATAAAGCCGTAAAGAGGTCGTCAATAACTACTTGTACTTGTCGGGTCCGTTCCTGACTATCGGTCTCTGGTGTGCAAAATGTGGGTAGAGGCGAAGAATCCAAGGGCTCCGAGGGCTCACAGAGGGGCGCTCAGCTCGTCGAATGGTGCGTGATAGTTAGAGGGAGAAGAAGGCAATGCCATTCGAGAGAGAGAGCGCGCGAGAGGGCGGCGGCAGAGGGGCTGTGTGTGCACTGTGCACGTTGGTGCTGTTGTGCTCTGCGGTGCGTGCCGGTAAGGGAAGCCAACCCCTGGACGGGTTTCTTTTCCTAGTGGGTGGCTTGGGATGATCCTTGTCGGGTTGGGCGCGAGGGAGAGGACGACGATGAGGCCAGGCGAGGAAGAGATGGAAATGGAAATGGAGACAGCTTGTGGGGAAGGCAGAAGATCGATCTTGTCTGCTTCAGGATTGTGTGAGAGACCGGAGTGGCGCGTACGTGCGAGGGAGAGTGTCGTTCCGGCACAGGGCAGAAGTATTGTAAAACTTGTAAAAATTCCTCTTCTTCCTTCTCTCCTGTCTCCCCTTGCTCTGGTCGTCGTTCGCTGCTGTGCATGAGGATGGAGAGCCGAGTGGACCGAGTGGAGAGAGCGTCAGTCAAAATAAGCCAAGTAAACATGCACGACGAGAAAAAACACCGGCAGCCAAACAGACGAGGCGAACCAGAGATGCATGACAGACTGCCAGACGGACAAGTTGGGCCTCAAACGCTGCACCTGAGTGGACACTGCCGGACTGCAGGCACTTCTGGACGGGTCAACAGCTTCGACAACTGTTGCCCGGTGGGAACGGTGGCCATCGCACTACTGCACCATCCTTGACCAGCCCCCGAGCAGAGAGATCCATGATTCTCAGGTACGCGAATGAATGGTCGGCCGCCTGTTGGAAGAAGCAGAGGAGATGGTCCCTACCTCCCACGAACCCACGAATTTGGGTTGACGGATGGAATGGCAGCATTGCTTCTTCCCGTTCACTTCCCTTCCTGCCCTCCCCCCTCCGGCTCGACACGCTTTGCGCGGGAGGGGGGGGAGACATCTCAAACCCGCCTGATACGCGTCCATGATTGGTTTGGGAGGGTGTTTGGATTAATTTAAAGAAAGAACAGAAGCCAATGCCATGAATCTATCTGGACTACAGGGAGTGGGTTTAGCCACCACTTACACAGCATCAATGATGCACCACGTAACGATCCTGTTCGCGCCATTCTCCGGCGATCCGGGAACCCACCAGCTACACTGGCCATTCACACAACACGGACAGTCTGGGGAAGCGGCCTCAAAAGGCCCAGCGGTGAGTGGACGATGCCATTCTCATGGTGGATGGCCAAGAGCCAGGATATATACTTAGAAAACGGCGCCACTGGCCTCGACTCGATCTATTCTCATGAGATCGGATCAGCGCAAAGGACACACTCCAACAGGCAAGCAAAGTCCGACCGGCGCAGAACCGGCAGGTCTCAAGTTCATGCTATGGGCCACGGGGCCTCTTCGTATTTCATGGAAGACAGTCCAGCCTACCAACCTAGTCCAAGTCGATATCGGCGCATTCCTGGAACCCCTCTGGGTAATCAACATGCGATAGCTCTTGATAACACCTTTACATATCGGTCATGGGTTCGCCAACGTCTCGAAAGCGACTAGAAGACCGTCGGGGATGCCCACACACCCTCGTCCCAGTCTGGGAGGTCGGGGTGGTCACTTGTTTCAGACTGTCGGTCTCCTGAACATATCACACGAAGAGGAGCTTGTGGCAACCATGTTGGCTACTTACTCCGTACCTACACCCAGGGTTTTCATGTCCGCCATGGAATGTGGTAATATCTCGACTACCTACTCCGTACAAAGCAGGTACGGAAAGATGAAGAGCTGCAAGGTACGAACTCACACAGTCCCAGGCCGGCACCTATGAAGCGGCCATTTGAGGTGGCGCGCGTCTAGATGCATAATATGGACGAGTGTGGCCCGTGATGGTGTGTACACATTGCCCAAAGAAGACACATTAGCTCGTCGCCGGGAGATTGCCATCACCCATGAAGCACCAATGATCTTCCCGCTCCCCTCCAGCCTGTAATGAGCCAGCTCTTCTTCCACGCGTTTGGGGCCGGCGCGTCAGTCAATACGCAGCATGTATGTCATTAGGCTGTGGGTAGAGAAGATAGCGACGCAGGCAGCTCACACCCGCTTCTGCAAAAGAGGATGAGCGAGAGAGGCCGGACCATGGCATGGGCTCCCCTGCTGAACCTGTCTGACGGGTCTCAAAAGGTCGAACCCGTGGCCCGCCTCTCGGAAGCCGGCCGGCTGACCTGGGAGCTTTCCAAGCTCGCTCACTAGCAGGGTCATGATAAGCGAGGTAGTCCGGGCTTCCTGCAAGATCAGAAGACATGATGTCCCAGCACACCACTTTGGGGTCAAGCAGGTCATCTGAGGGATTGGCGAACTGTGAACTCGTGGCGACTTGCGGGATTACCTGTACATCATCTAGGTCCGCCTGAAAAGGCGCTCGATGGCTCGACCTTCTACTAGTCGCCACTGTCTGATCTCTGATATTGGATGCCTTTAGGCTGTCGGAGCCAGTCGTGTTTGCACAATTGTAAGAGACGCGATACGAAGGAAAGTACTTGTAGGTAGTAAAGAATTCAGCACCAGCCGACACTTGGCCTTGAGTCGGTCCAGATAAAGAGTCCAAGCCCATGAGCTCAATCATGATGACCTAACTCTCGGCACGGGAATGGTCGAGTGCACGGGTGTAGCCGCTTGGAGACAGCCCTCAACTCTCTCGGGCTCTACCTATCAGTTAGCACAGTTAGCACGCACACCGACCGATTAGGTGGCCCGCTGTCTCGAGTTCTCCACTGTGCGAGGCGGTCTGTCCCCTGAAGCCCCCCAATTTTATTCCATCCTTGGGTCCACGGCGTGCACGGGTCGGGTGAGCGGTCGGTCGGTGTGCAGAGACCCATCACAGAAAGTGCTCCGCAGTCAACCCCAACATCCCGAATCTCGAAACAGCCCACCAACCCGCACAGAGCTTTTTGCAGAAACACAAGCAGCACAAACAAGTCAGCTTGCAGCCAGCCAGCTTGCCTTGTCCTTCCCCGGACGCGGAAACAGCTGTCTCTTGTCCTCCGACCCCCGTGACACGCTATAGCTGCCAGTTAACTCCCGGGTTGTCCTCCCCTTCCTTCGCCCGCCATGACTCCCTCCTCGGCATCATCCACCAACAGCAGCAGCTATCTGGAGCAGAGTGTCTCGCTCCTCAGCAGCATCGCCAGCTACATGCGGCTGCCTGCCATAGTCTCGACGGTATGTTCTGCTATTTGGTCCGCCCTGGACCTTGTGCTGCCTCGACACCTGATCGCAAGCCACCGCCTTGCGCGGACAGCTTCGCGCATAGCTCGAGATTACCCAACCCGGGCCGGGCCACCGATGATCATGCTTGCAGTCCTTCAAGACAGACCCTCCGCTGACCGCTCCTCTGCAATAGAGCCTCGCCGCAGTCCTCACATCATTACTCTACTTCAAACAAAAGTACGCAGCGCCCCCCCTCGCCCATGGATCACATGCCACATACGGCCAAGTTCCACTAACATGCCCCCCTCAAGAGCCCTCATCTACCCGTCCCACGTCCCCGCCAACGCCCGGACAGACGTGCCCCGGCCCTCGCAGTTCGGCATCACCGACTTCGAGGAGCTCGTGATCCCGACCAACGACGGCGAGAAGCTCTCGGCCTTTTACATCCGCGGGCCGCGCGGCGGCCGCAACGCCAACATCACGGTGCTCATGTTCCACGGCAACGCGGGCAACATCGGCCACCGCCTGCCCATCGCGCGCATGCTCGTCAACACCATCGGCTGCAACGTCTTCATGCTCGAGTACCGCGGCTACGGCCTGTCGACGGGCACCCCGGACGAGTCGGGCCTGGTGCTCGACGCCCAGACCGCGCTCGACTACCTGCGCGACCGCGCCGAGACGCGCGCCCACCGCCTCGTCGTCTACGGCCAGAGCCTCGGCGGCGCCGTCAGCGTCCGCCTCGTCGCGCGCAACCAGGAGGCCGGGGACATCATGGGCCTCGTCCTCGAGAACACCTTCCTCAGCATGCGCAAGCTCATCCCCAGCGTCATCCCGCCCGCGAGGTACCTGACGCTGCTGTGCCACCAGGTCTGGCCCAGCGAGTCCGTGCTGCCCAACATCAACAAGGTCCCCGTCCTGTTCCTGAGCGGGCTGCAGGATGAGATCGTCCCGTGAGTAAACTTTCACTCCCGCTCCACACGCCGAAAGCATGTCCCGTCTTGCGCTGCAGCCATTGTTCGGCCTTGGCTTTTGAGTCGTTCGACGCTGACATAGGCACCTTTTGTGACAGCCCACACCACATGCGCCAGCTCTACGAGATCTGCGCCGCCCCGTCCAAGATCTGGAAGCCGCTGCCGGGCGGCGACCACAACTCGAGCGTCCTCGAGGAGGGCTATTTTGAGGCGATATCAGACTTTGTGGCCGACTGCGCGTACAACAACCCCGCCGCCAAGGAGAAGAGGTGAATAGATGGTGAAGAGATAGAGAGAGACCGAGGAGATCGATCTTTTTGTTTGATAGAGCTGGGAACCTCCAACAATGGAGAGTCGGCGTTTTATGTGTGGCCCTTTTTTTATTTTCTCCCGTATATCCTGCATGATTTACGACGCCCCGTTATGCTTATACAACAACAAACACACTTGCACATACGTTTTTATCTATTCGTCTGATTATGAAGCTGTATTTCATAGATACCCTGTCATATCACTTCTTCCCTTCGGCCTTGAAAAAAAGTCCGGCTGCGATCAATAGACTTTACATCTATTCATGCACAGTTCTCATGAGAATCCACAGTATCTGAAAAAAGTGATCATTTCACACTATCACCAACGATCTCAAGTTCCTCCCGTGTTTGCCTTTTTCATTCCTTGAGACTAAAGGGGCTACTAGCAGCTAGGTAGCCCATGTTGGTGATCATCAATAAGTTCTCCTCGACCGTTGTCCCTCAAGGTTCTCTCATCCCACTCATACACGACCAAATCACGACGACGTTTCCGCAGAACCGCCAGATCAAACTCCTCTCCTCTCCTCCCTCGCCCTTACAATAACCATACCTGCGCCACGTCCGTCCGTCCCACGAACCCTCTTCTCTTCTCTAATCTTCCAGCTTCTCCGCCGCATCCTCCCAGTCCTCCTCGACCTCCTCCTCCTGCTCCCGCGCCGCCTTGGCCTTGGCCTCCTCACGCTCCCGCTCGCGCTCCCGCTCGCTCTCGCGCGGCATCTCGGCCTTCTTCCGCAGCGCCACAAACGAGCTCTTGAGCTTGCCGCCGCTGTTGATAGCCCATCCCGTCGCCGGCGCCGCGCGGGGCCTGGCCGCCGCCCGCCCGGCCACGGCGCTCCATCCCGACCCCGCCCCGCCCGCGCTCCCGTCCCCCTCGTGCCGGACGACGTGGCCCGCGTCGTCGACGGCGCACAGCGTCACGCTGCCCGCAAGCTTGTCGGCCGCGACCGCGCGCGCGACGGCCGGCTTCAGCGCCGTGAGGCTCGTCTCGATGCCCGCGGGCGTCGGGGCCGGGCCGGACCGCGCGACGCTGGCGGCCGTGGCGCCGGGCGCCGAGGCCTTGACGACGAATTTGTCGTCCGACGGCAGGAAAGTGGTGTGGAAGGACAGTCCCGACGGAGCGCCGCCGGGGCCAGCCAGGTGCGGCGCGAGGGCCGCGCCGACCTCGTCGATAGTGAGGGCGAAGCGCGGCGCCGACAGCAAGAAGGCGTTGTACGGCTGGACGGCCGAGGCCTTGGCCGCGGGGGTCGCCGGCGGCGGGGCCTGCGCCTTGAGGATGCTGACGCACTGGGCGAGCGTCTTGCGGGGCGCCGAGACGAAGCGCGGCGTCTTGAAGACGGCGACGTGGCGGTGCGGCTCCGGGTCCTGGCTCTCGCTGTCGAGCCCAAAGTCCTCGGCCAGGGCGTGCAGGAAGGCGCGCTGGTGGGCGGGCATGGGCCTGAAGCGCAGGCGCCTCTCGCCGCGGTCCTCGGCGAAGACGCGGAACTCGCGCTCCTGCGCCTGCGCCCACGCGGTGCTCTCGCGGAACAGCTTGAGCGTGGCGTCCGAGTAGGGCACGTGGTCGTCCGTGTGCGTGGCCGGGTCGATGTTGAGCGCCTGCGCGAGGCGCGCGTTGCGCTGCAGGCGCAGGCACTCGTCGTCGCACTTGAGCGGCTCGCGCGCCGGGAAGGGGTTCGTCCGGCTCGCGAGGCAGCGCACCTCCTGCTTGCGGTTCTGGCAGTCGCAGGTGACGAACGTCTTGGACTGGCAGGGGCGGTCCTCCTTGCAGGCGTAGGGGGCGTGGCACTCGTCGGTGCAGACGTGCTCGCAGGAGCGGCGCGTCTTGCCGCAGGGCTGGGTGCAGTGGCTGCCCGTGATGCCGGCGTCCTCGCACTCGCCCGGCTTGTGGCAGAGCTTCATGCACTTGTGCGTGCCGCACTTGAGGGTCTTACCACAGGGCAGGCCGCAGCGAACCTCATCGAACCAGCAGGGCTGGTTCTTGAGGTTCTGTTTGCCACAGATGCATGTCTTCTCTACCAAGAAGGGGCATTTTGGGCACGGGACATCGTCTGGGTGGCAGTTATGCTGCACCGTGGGATGTCCACAAGCTCGAGGCTTGGTGCAGTCGAATCGACACTCCGGTGGCCGTGTTCCGCAAGGCTGAGGAGGGTAAAGGACGGTTCTACCGCAGGAGCAAGCGATCTCGTCAAAGATGGCTTCTCTGCAGCTACCACAGGGGCCTTTGTGGCACAGCTCTTGGCATCGGTGAGTTCTAGAAATCATGTTAGCTGATGATTGCTCTGGGTCGCGAAGAAGCTCGCGTAGAAACATACCCGCACTTCAGCAGCCGGCCGCAAGTTCGTAGACAGATGTGTTCTGCCTCGAACTCCTCGTTTACTGCTGTATTTGCATTGCGTTTGCGCTTTGCAGCCTGTCGTTCAGTGGCCCGTCTCTCACCAGAGCAACAGGGCTTACCACACTCGTGTCGCCCACAGTTGAGTTGTGCTCGGCAAATTCTCTCGCACTGAGGGGGCGAAGCTAGACCCTTGTGGCAGATGGCCTCTGTCGTCGTCCGGCCACAGCGGCAAGGAATATCGACTGTCTGCATGCAGGGCTCGCAAGCGCCATCGTGACAAGCGTTTTGACATCTATGGCCGCAGGGCAGAACCTTCTCACAGGTCTTGCTGCAATGCGGAATAGGGTCTCTGCAGGACTGTCTCGGTGTCTCGAGGATTTCTGTCAAAGCAGTCTTACCGCATGGACAGTGAGAGACAATATCCGGAGAGAAAGTGCAATGAGCTGCCTTCTCGTCTTGGGGGTGGCATTTCTTCTGGCACTCATGAACACCGCAGTCGAACTTTCTTCCACAGACTGACCCACAGTGGAAGGAACCGTCGAACCACTCGTCGTCGATCGCTTGACTCTCTCCCTCCTCCTCACCCTTCTTCACCTGCCCGTAGTTGAAAGACTCGAGCAGTTCGTCGCGCTGCTCGCAAGGAAGCTCCTTCTGCTCCTTGCCACAGTAACACCTGGAAGGCATTGGAAGAGCGCAGGTCCCACACAGTCCGGGGTGGCACTCTTGGACACAAGTGTGTTCGCCGCAGGGAAGTAGATCGCCACAGAGCTCGTGGCAGCTCCAGCCATTGATGTAATCGGTCTCACTGCACCGTTTCCTCGAAGCGTTCTTACCACAGAAACATGCCTGCTCCGGACCCATGAGCTTACAAGGCTCACAAGGCCCAGCATGGCACTCTTGAGGGCATGGGTGGGGACAGGTCGATCGAGGCTTGGAGCAGGTTTGTCCACATGAATGTGGAGGTAAGCCCACGATGGATTTCGCGTTGATCTCCTTGCCACACCAGCAATGGTGCACTCGCGGTTCTTCGTTCTCGCCCATAGCAGAGTTGCATCCGGGGCACCTCCATGTCTTAGGCTGATCTGGGTTCTGTGGCTGATCGTCCTTTTTCATCTGATTCTTGTACCATTTTTTGACGCAGTGTAGATGAGCAACTGTCCAGCATAGTGAGCAGGACCAAATTTGGGAGGTCCGCAGAACCTCGCCAGTGCAGATGACGCATTCGTATTGACCATTGTCAATGTCCTCATGGATCCGAGTTGGTAGGTCCAGTGCTGAAGATTTCGAGGCCCGTCTAGTATGAGGGACCTTGGGTGGTGCTTGCTGAGTGGTGGGCCTTGATACCACCGGCTGTCCGGGGACGAAGACGGGCGCATCTCCGCTCAATGCCGGTCCTTCAACGGCATCAGGTTGCGCGTCTGCAGTCAAGTGGCCTCCAAAAGCTCTTCTGGGGCCGAGAGTGGCAACCTCGACTGATGGTGCTCCTCGCCCACCCCTTGGCCGCGGTCCACCTCTTCTTCCACGTCCACCCCTTGAGCGATCTGTAGTCTGACTACCCCGGTGAGAGTCAGCCGACTGCACTGAAGCATTGTCAGTGTGAACATGAGTATGTTCCAGTGGGGCTGGCGCAGCTCGACCGGCCTCTTCTGCCGTGCGAGCAGCACCTCCTCGACCTCTGCCTCGGCCACGCCTTGATCGGCCCCCTCTCTGCGGTCCCCGGTGCCCGCCTCGACTTGAGGGTGCTGGAGGCCGTGACTCTGCCGCCATGGCCTCGGGCATGTTGGGAAATGGTGATGGGGCGGGGCTGGGTTGCGTTGCCACTGTGGTCATGAAAGGATGATATCAAGGTGAGTGCGCTTTGAAATACAGCGTCTTCGGATGAGTAAGGAAACAAAAACAACGCCAGGCAGGAACGTCGCCTGCAAATTTAGGCACTTTCGTTCCCACTGAAAGCAAGCCGGCGAATAGACAGAAGGGAAGTGCGAGATCCTATTGTAGGATCGTGGATGAACGCGGACAGGTGAAGGAGTCGATTAGCTGGAGTTGATATCAGCTTCGTGGTGGCAATCACTGGCTAAACATATAATTTTTCGGGCTGTTCTGACAGGTGGAGCCAGCCCTGCTAGAAGCACCTAGGCTCGCACCGTCAGTAACTGGAGGTTCTGTGCACGCCACTCCGTGATCCATAATGACTCATTCACCCTAGAACGGATAGGGCCTTTCCCTCTTCTCTCACCTGCTGCTTTCTGTGATACTGAAAGAACCATTAAAGAGTCTCTAAGCAAGTGCTCTTCATTGTTTCCTGTGTCTGCCACACCACATGTGTCTGGGTGTCGATACCGGGCCGGCCCTGCATATACTGGCGATAGATGCTATGTGATGGACTCCCTACATTATTGCCAGAGCCACCCATGCAGAGCCATGCAGAATGTACCTTACCAAGGCATGTCATTATTTGATTCCTCAGAGTCGTACATTATACCCATGGCTCTAAGACTGATTCTCACGATGCACGTCATATGTCTGTTGGAAGACAACACAGTCTAAATGGCGGGTGTCTAGTTTTGCACATGTCAATATCATTTGCCCTCAATTTGGCTGTCATACAGGCCGATGATATGTTGCTCATTGAACTGACATTGATTGTTCGAGGTCCGCAGGTGGATCACATTCAGCTGCCTGCCACTTGCCTCACCTCGTCGTGACTGCATCGGTAGTGGTGACAGTGAATATATCTGTGTGGATGGCTTGGGAGCTTCCTGAGTCGAGGAGCCCTTTCCTAGGTCTGCAAGTGAGTGGAAGCAGGTTGTGTCTTTCCTTCTCAACCACACTCTAGACTTCCGGCTGCGTCATTGTTGAATGGTCTTTCCATATTCACGGTGTTGCCAGCAGTCCCATAACATGCCTGTGATGCCCATATCCCACTTCTCCTTTGTTTTTCTTTCTTCCCTTCTTCTTTGTCTCGGTTTCTTGGCTTCTTCTCTTCTCCCATCATCTCTTGTGCTGCAGACCTGGTTGGTTGGGTGCGCTCTCTTCCAGCCCATATCAGTCCAGATCTGTGGGCAGCAACTTTGTATCAGCATCGTTTTTGAATATTGCTATCTCGCCTTCTCGTCTCTCGATCCGGCCGTGGGCTCCCTTCTGGCCTCGTACAGATCCATCACTCGCCATGAAGCTGTTTTCGCTGCCCAAAACAGCTCTGGCTGTTCTGGCTGCTGTCACAGCCACCGCATCTGCGACCAGAGGCCCAAGCATACCGCCGACGCAGGTTGACCAATCCATCGTGATCAACCTGGGTTATGCCCAGTATAATCCCCGTCTGACCATACTTGCCGATTCCAGTGTAAGCCATGGCGGTTCCTCCAGCCTCCTTGCTCCAGCTTACACAACACAGGGAAAAGTAGCCTAGTATCTGTTCTCCAATGTCCGATACGGCAGCCTCCCAGTCAAGCCAGACGGCCAGATCATGAGCTTCTCGAGAGCACAGATCCCGAAAGGAAATGGCGAGTTGTTTGACGGCACTGACGATGTCATCTGCCCTCAGGCCTGGTCCGAGGAGGAGACATATGAACCTCTGACGCCCAATGATCAGCCATTTCGTGAGAGCGAGGACTGTCTTTTCCTGGATATATGGGTTCCCGGGCCTGCAATGGATGCGCTTCGCCAGGAACCCCCTTTAAGCATCAGACCTGTTACTGTCTGGTTCCACGAAGCTCCTTGGTGAGTGGTCGATACCGCAGAGATCCTCGGTGCTCCTGGAATCTGCCAGCACATTGCTAACCAGCTGCTTTCTGCTTCGTGCTACAGGTATCGTCATGGTGAGTTTGAATCTGTTATATCAGGACGGCGATTAAGTGACGTGCTAATGCTCTTGCAGGTTCGAAATATGACAAGCCACTGCGAATTGTCACCAACCACCTGCCGCGTGACGATGCGCCAATCCTCGTGTCTGTCAATTACCGGTGAGTTTCTGACATCTCCCTCCAGCAAATGAACATTTCTGACCGAACAACATCCCGCAGGCTCGGCATGTTCGGTTTCTCCAACGCTCCAAATGTGACCAGAAACCTGGGTCTCTGGGATCAGCACCGTGCCCTCGAATGGGTCCAGCAGTACATACACTTGTTTGGAGGCGACAAGAGTCTGGTCACCCTCATGGGCCAGTTCTCTGGGGCAGGCAGTGTCTTGCACCATCTGACTGCCTGGGCTGGCGAGAAACAGGACCAGCATTTCTCATCAGCCGTAATGATCAGCCCAACGCTCTACTACCCTCCATCCCGCCTGACTTCGAAAATGCTGGAGAAACACATTCTTCACAAGGCCACCTTCTACACCGGCGAACCAATCAAGAGTTTCGAGGATCTTCGGCAGTCCAATACTGACGAGACGAGAGCGATCAACCTCCGTGTCGTTGAAGAATACCCCAAATATTTCGTGCCGGCGGTTGATGGCTCCCTTGTCCCAGCGAACCCACTTGTCATGCTGAGAAAGGGCCTCTTCGACCACAATGTCAAGGTATGTGAATCTGGAAGTTTTCCGAACTGGCAGAATTGTCTCTGATCATCCTTTCATCTAGGTCATGGTCGGAAATGATGACAGGAACAGCGCATGGGAGGTTGGAGATGTGAACTCTTACAACATCACCAAGAGGCTCAGGGAATGGTTTCCACGCATGTCTTACGCATCCGCCCACCACGTCATGCACAAGCTATACCCTGGCGACACCGTGCTGTTTGATGAGTCTTACGGTACACCACAGGAGCGGCTGCAAAGGATCCTGCACGATGCTTTCACGGCCTGTAACGGTGTCGTGCTGGCCCAAAACAACCCAGACAACGTCTGGAAGTGGTCTTCCAAGAAGGAGCGTATCTTCGAGCCCGGCAGACCATTCCGCCTCGCGCACGAAGGGGAGTCGCTCTTCGACGTGGCAACTCCCGCAGGCACTCGAAATGGTACGGTTATCGACGGGCCTACTGCTGAACTGTACATCGCCCACTTTCTGTCAACGGGCGATCCGAACTGGGCCATACGATCTGACAGGCCGGTCTGGGAAAAGTACGGTGTTGGCAAGAGAGAAATGCGCTTTGGTCTCACAAAGGTCTACTCTCAGCAGGCTATCTCTGAGACACAGCTTGAACGCTGTAAATGGTGGGCTGAGGAACAGTATCAGCCTCTGCAGCACCGCACGAGCACTCTAAAGATGCCTGGTGCTGGTCCGGGCCACGTCCCCCGTTCCAAGGCGACGACACTGGGTCGGAAGTTGGAGGGCTGCCTTGCATTACCAGTCTTCGTTGCTATTCTTATGGCGTTGTACTGAACCTAAAGAAGCGTGCCCAGGGGCCTAAGTTGAATTGAGCTGACTTGAGTTGCCGACATGGTCTTTTCCACTTTGTAATATCGTGACATGGTTGAAGTCGAACGAACCAACATTGAATTCGGTTTTAGCTGAATGAACTTTTCTACGAACCTTTCTACGAACCTTTCTACCATGTTAGGTGATTCATTTCTTTCTGGATGTGTAGAAGGAAGCCGCCCCATGGTTTTGGGGCTGTGTTGGGTTCCAACCGAGAGGCTCAAGCTCGAAGGATCGCCACTAACCTCGATATCGTCGAGGCCAAGCAACGCTCCCTGGTATGTAACAAGTTGGTCGATTCTATGGTTACTTTGCTGCCCACTCTTATCATCTCATGGTCCCCCATCACCATGGGTCTGTGGTACTCTGGCAGTCTAAAATTGGCAACGGATTGTCGGGACCTGGGCACATTAGCGCAGAACAGCAGAGATCGAGCTTCCCATCACAGCCTTACGCCCAAAAGTGACCAACATGCTTTCTGCTTGGAGCGGTCCATATACCTATTCCGACCGCGGGGAATTAGGGAAGTGGCTTTGCGCTTAAACGCTGTTGGTGCTAGGCATAACTAACCAAGCAGAGGATCGCGACATGGGTAATGTGCCAATACCCTATGAATGCCTTTTGGGTCCGGGGAGGCTGGGAGATATATTGGCTTGAGCTTCCCGATCGGTTGTGCGTGGTTATGGTGTCCTTGTCATGGCTCTCCATCAACTTTAGAGCAGAAATCCGAGTTGTAGTGAAAAAGAGTACATCGATATCTCGTCGAGGTCCGGTTGATCTTGGCTTCGTACTCGTCGATCTGGTCACTTGCAATTGGGGTTGACAGGGCCTTATATGTTGCCTCATATTCGAAGCAGATTGCATGGCCCCAAGAGCAAACATGAATTGTCTGTCAGGTTCGGTACGCTGTCCTCGTGCCGAGGATGATTCGTCCTCGTCACAATCACCACCCAACATCGCCATCAACTCCATCTTCCTCGCCATAGCCGCCCTCAGCCTGGTATTCCTGATAGGAGTATCGACATACACACGCTGCGTGCGGAGGATACCGCCCGAGTCACGCCGCCTCGGCTTCTCCGTCCTCCTCGGCCTCACGGCGCTCCTGCAGATCGCGGCATACTCGTCGCAGCTTACACGACACGCAAGCTCCAGCGCCGGCCTGGTCCTGAGCACCATTTCCCCGGCCTTTCTAGCCATTGCGTGAGTGATTCTAACCCTCAACTCCTCCCCGAGGGCCACAGTCACAATGCCGTACTGACACCGTCCACACCAAAAAGCATCCCCTTCGCCATCCGCCCAACAATCACCCTGCTAGGCGCAGAGCACTCACCGCTCAAGAAGCACCTCTTCATGGCGACAACCACGTCGCTGACCCTAACCTCCCTCCTACCCCAGGGCTTCGGCCTCGTCTTCTCCCTCTCCTCCTCCTCCTCCTCCTCCTCCCGAGACGCCGGGACGTCCTTCTTCAGCCTCGGGTCCCACGGGACTAACGACCTCGTCGCGGCGGGCCACTACCTCGCGGCCTCGGGGCTCGCCCTCCAGGCCCTGTCGCTCGGCCTGTGCCTCGCCGTGCTGGGCGCCACGGGCTGGCGCGCGAGGGCCGCCTACCGCGCGTTCGGGTACACGACGTTCCACCGGCTCAGGGGCTACGTCGGCCTCGCCCGCGGCGACCGGTGCTGGCTCGCCGCGCTGCCCTCGTCCGCGGCGTGCCTGGCGGCGTGGTCCGCCCTGCGGGCGGCGCGGTTTGCGCGGGCCCCGGGGTCTGCGGCGGCGGGGTACTTTGACCCGTGGAGGGGGGGCGCGAAGATGCTCGCGGCGGAGGGCGTGCTGCTCGCGGCGGCCGTGGGCGCGATGGCCGTCTTCCACCCGGAGGTGTGCCTGAGCGCGGTGGGCGGGTCGGGATGCAGGGGCGGCAGAGGAGAGAGAGCGGCTGCTGCAGGAGATAGCGATGATGGAGACGTGGAGGCAGGGCTGGTGCGGTATGCGGTCGTGGCCAAGGCCGACCAGCGGAGGAGTACGGGCTCCCACAGCCGCAACTGCAGCAACAGCAGCGCAAGCAGCGCGGACAGGGAGGCGAGGGCGATTATGATGCCAGATGGAGCGGAGCTGTATGGCCAGCCCGCCTTGGCGTCGAGGGAGAGCCGGCACTTCCTGGAGGAGCTCGATCTTGGGCAAGACATCTCTTCGTGGTATCAGGAGGAGGAGGAGAGGAGGGTGTTGGTCTTGGAGCAGCGGCTGACGTGGCACTAGGTTGGCATCAAGTCCAACGAGAGGCTGTGGAGAGACAGCTCATAAAGGTCATGGTTGATTGTCTTTCCAATCTTCTTCCGATTTTGATACCCAAGCATCAAGCATTTGTATATCGTGTAGGGAAAACATGTTCTGTTGAGAACGGGGAGAGTGCTCGAAGGAGCTTCGTAGTCCATTGTATATCAAATGTTGCTCCTCCAAGTCGTTTTCGAACCTCGAGCTTGTTCGTCCCTTCGAGGACTGATGCACCCTTTGGCACCCAGGATAATCAAAAAGTCCTTGATAATTTGTGCCATTAACCCTATGAGCTAACTCCGTTGGATATCAAAAGGTAAAGGTAACGATAAAACACCTTTCTTTTTCAACGCCAAAGAGAAAAACAGGCATGCTGCAACTTCGCTATGCATATGCACATTCATATCATGGCAGCGTAGGTGGGAGAGATCTCCGAGATGCTCTCGCCCCAGATCTCGTGATGAGCCCCCGAGTATGATGTCCCTGCCTGGAAACGCTCACTGCTAAAATCCCGAATATTTGTCGAAAGAAACCCCTTCTCCGTGTACCGACCGTCCATCAACCTTGCAATGGCTGCCTCATAAATGAAAACCCCCTTTAAATCCTTTGGAAACTTTTGCCTGGGTAGCCCCAAATCCTGTACGCCTGGGTGTGATAACGCCGTTTATACCGTCTCTTATTTAGTGCGGATCGGGCCTTGGATCTCTAATCGTCTTCGTGTCCGTCATCCGTAGCGGTGTCCTCCTCCTCAAATTCTCCTTCTTGCTCATAATCGCCCTCGTCACTCTCTTCGTCGCTATCCGAGTCCTCGTCCCTGTCCAGCCCGGGTATCGGCTTCCACGAGATGTAATCGCCCTCGAGCCACCGCTTGCTCACCGGCAGCTGGTACGGGTCGAATGGGAAATGCGACTCCAGCTGAAGGAAATTGTCGTCATGCGGGTCATAGCCCGAATCACGCAGGGCGCCACCATTTTCGTAGGCGTTCCTGACGTATTGCGAGAGGTGCACCCGCTTGTTGGTCTCAAGGAGCGGGTAGATATAGTGGAGGTGGAGGTGATGAGCAAGCTTGGCGAACTGATAGACGATCGAAGGCGTGCAGACCTTCATAGGGTTGAATGGACTGTAGATGATACGATTCAAAGACTCTCTCAGCCCAGGTATCCATTCGAGGTCGTGGCCAAGGTACGACGACGGATCCTCAGGGTCCACCAGCTCAGGCACTGAGTCAACGAGATCCCTCCACCGGAAGCAGAAGATGTAGATGAGAGCCTGGACCCAAGCATAGAGCTGCTGGTAGCGGCGGAGGTCTGGTCCGCGGCAGCTTTCCTGGTTGGTGGTTCGAAACATCTCAATGCGGTGGCACAGGACGTTTGCGATGCTGCGTACAATATCTCGGGAAACATGGGCGCCACGAGCCACAAAACTCCCAAGATATGCTGCCGCAGCCTGCCGTATGGCAGTCGGCCGGTTCGACTCGAAGGCAATATTGAATAGTGTGCCGACAAAAGTGTCTGTGAGTGCAGGCGATCGCTGGCTGAAGTGGAAGATGAGAAATTGGGTATGTCGTGACTTGTAGGTAGGGAGCACAAAGTTGGTGAATTCGGATAACATGTCCTCAAGACAGCTTCGTGCCTCGGGGGAGTCGGGATTGTTGAAGATGGGTGTATAAAGTGTGAAGAGGGAGTCTAGGATCGAATCTAGTTTCTGAACCTGGTGTGTGGCCTTCTCTATCCTATTGGCCTCGGCGTCGAAGTCAGGATCATCGCTAAGCAACGACTCCAGATCGCTATCGTCTTCGTCTTCGTCGTAGATATCGGATTGGGAATTCAACTGCACCACAACGCGGGTGACAAGATCATCGTCCATGTCATCCAGATCCAGCTGCATGTCGACATCGAGCTTGACCAGTCTGTTGGTGATGATTTCCATGATCTCCGGGCCCAGGTCGGGGGCGTATTGCCGAACCTGAAGCATGTTATCGACATATGACATGTGAATCTGCTTCGACTCCTCTGAGTATGGGAAGCGTTGGGAGATGAGCTTGCAGAGGAGCGGTCGTGCGGACGGGAAGAGTTGCAGGAGATAGCGAAGCCCGGCATGCAATCTCTCCCGCATCGTCTCGCGGTCGACTTCGGGGAAATCGGGCACGGTCCATGTCGAGGGGCGGAACTCCTTGAACTTGTCGACGATCATGGTAAGCACAGGCTCCATGCAGGAGCCTTGGGCACTGACGAGTGCTGCCAGAAACTGCACGTATGCCTTCAGAAACAGCTCGTCTCGACCCACCCACGAGCACTGCAGGATGGTCTTGATCAGTGCCGAGCAGGACTTGTTCAGGAGCGGAGCACAGGTAGTGAGTGCGACGACATAGACGACGAGCTCCTCGGGCCGTAGAGTGTCCTCCTCGTCCCCTGCGATGGGAGCGAGATAACGTTGGCGGTCATTCGCAAAGACGTCCTTGAGGTCGTTGTAATCTTCGTTCTGGCCCCGCGCGTGCCCCTCCAGGGCTTTTCGAACTTCCGTCTTGGTGGCATCCAGAGAGCGCTTGCCGATCTCGGCTGTCATGTTCAGGCTCATGTCAAAGTGCACCGTCTTCTTTCGCTTCGAGGGGCTCTCCATCTCGTCAACCTCGTCATGGCCCCTCTTACGGGTGCCTAGGAGTGGTGTCGGGTTCGGTCGAAGAATCGACTTGATCGTAGCGGGGCTCGAGGGAATGGTTGGCGACGTGAAGCGGGGCCGCGGTCTCGTCAGGGGTGTTGAAGTCATGGTTGAGATCGCGGCAATCGGTTTACCGCCAGGGCTGTTGCAACGAGGAGGCGGAGATTTGAATTATTTGTGCGGAGAGGGATGATGGGATGGCGGAACACTGCTTGGGATGAAAGTTCACATGGGGAGCAAACTTATCGAGAAACATAGCAGTCGGCACATCCATTAGTTTATCCAGCGTAAAACCCAGGCAGAGAACGGGATGAGGTTGAAGTGAGAGCGCTGGGGATGCTGGTTGCCTTGACCACCGCCTTCACACAAAAGAATGAAAGTGAAAGCTCACGAGGCAAAGATTGGCCCAAATACTCCCAGCAGGCCCAAACCCACAGGAAAATTTTGGGTGGGTATTGGGTGGTGAGGGGCCGCTCATTGGTCTCCGCATTTTCCAGGCCGGCGGCACGTGCCCCAGCATCATTCTGATTCAACCCAAGAGTTCAAGGGCGGATTAGGTAAGACCAGCCATCTCAGGGTCCTCTCATCCACCAGAGAGTTCCTGTGCCGGGCACCAGCCTTGATGGTTTCCGAGCAATTCGACCCTGAACTTGACATAAGGTAGGTACAAGTAGGCAGTCAGAAGAGCCTTCCTACACTAGGGTACAATAGAGCATTGCCATGTCGGCAACTAGCATAGTCTGGGGGGTTCTTATACACGAATGCATAACCACGTTGGCAACTTCAGGCACTCTCACGATATAACCAGAGAAAAAGTAACGTCAAGCTTTGCGAGCTGTTAGATTGAACGAACCCAGATATAACCTTGCCCTATACCCTAAACGAGAATAGCAATGAAAAAGTAGAAACTAAACCCCAATGTCCCTTCTCCTGATGCTCGTCTCTGACTTCCCAGTACCTGCCCATAGCGGTTGAGAGATGGTTCCTTGTCAGTACAACGAAAGCCCCGAAGACAGGCATGGAGATGCCCTGATTTGCCCGGGATCTAGGGTGAAGAGAAAGCAAACACACACAAGACTCGCACCAAACGGAAAACAAAGCAGTCCCTGACGCTTTTGTGGGATCGCCCCCGACCGACCCTCTGATGATTGCTCCATCCATCTTTCCTCCAGCTAATTACACAACACAGCCGTACTTGCGCCCCGTTTCTTGTATGTCAAAGCGTTCCGACCTCCTATACTCATACACAGCCAGGAAGTACATCGCCGACTAAGAAGCCAACCTCGTAACAAGAAAGATGAGATGCCGGACTGCATGGGCAAACATCCCGAGTGAGAAGACGACTAGTAGCCCTCACCAGCCCCGGCCCCGTTGTGAGCGCCCTGAGTTGCATACATGTAGTCGTCGCTGGCGCCTGGTTGCTGGCCGGTCAGATCGCCACCAGGGAACGCCGAGGCACCCGGGTTTGCTCCCCCTGCAGACCCTCCGGCCCCGTAGCCCTGGCTATTCGGTCGGTTCGGCTGGTTCTCGCCGCGGTTTGATTGCGACTAGACGTTGTGGTCAATCAGTTGGACTTGGCTATGAGCCCAGCAGACCAGCCTGCTGCTTGCGGATCAACGCTTGGGACCTACCTCTCTGTACTTGGACAAGTAGATCTTGAGAGCCTCCGCATAATTCTCAAAACCCAGAGACGTCATGGCAAAGAGAATATCCTCGCCGTTCACTGTTTTTCGTTTCTCCTGGTGGCACTTCTCGGAGGCTGAGAAGTAACGGTCTGTCAGTTCCAACTTGGCCCCTGAGGTCTCACCAATGTCTCTGGAAGATGGGCGGCACTCACCCTCACTCGTGATGAACGAGATAAACTCGCTGACACATTCTTGCATGCACTCCTTGGCCTCCTTTGCAATCTTGGCGTTCTCGGGGAGAGCATTCTTCATGATGCGGGCCACTGGGGCAAAGTTGCGTATGTTAGCATCGTAGACATCGTACTTGTCGGCGGTGGAGGAGGCGTCCTGGGTCGCCTCGGGCGACCTGGCGGACGGCGAATCGTGAGACATCGAGCGGCTCTTATACATGCACTGGCTGAGACCAAGCAGAAGCGATGCCAGTCGATGGCTGTGGAAACGGCCGCCATGCAGCGCAGAACGACACCAGAATGGACGATACAGACGCGTGCGAACACGAATCAAGAGGGAGAACGATGTGGGATATCACGTACCATTGGCTATAGGGAGCCATCGGTCCTGCTCCTTAACCTCGAACTCATAGGTGAGCCCGCTCGCGTGTGGGTCCTGAGGATCGTTCATTTGTGCGTCCTCTTCGGGTGACTGTCCACCTTGTTCGACATCCTTTGGATTGGATTGGGGGGAGTCGGACATATTTGGCTACCTGCAGCGGGAACAAGCTTCTTGTAAATTCCTTGGATTCCAAGCTCGCACAGGTGCTTGGTGAGATGATGTGTCCCTTGACACGTTGCAGGATAACAGGGCTTGCGGGCTTGTCGGGTGCTCTAAGCTGCAGGTCTTGCGTCAATCGTTCCGTATTCCTCGTTGACGCCTTGCCCGTTCCAGATTTAGGTAGCTTTATTCCTGTTCCCGGTCGTGCTCTGCCCGATTCCTTGGGGCTGTATTGTGACTTCTCTGGGGCCCTTGGATGAGATGGGCGGGACAAGGAAGTGTGTGAATGAATGAGGGGTGGGTGCGTTACTGCGGGTCCCGCAACGGACGGACCTGTCTTGCTCTTCTAACTAGGAGCGGTGCGCGCGCAGGCGGTAGATGATTATGCAGGGCTTGATCGCCTCGCTGCAGCAGCACCTAAGGGCCTCCCTTTCTCTCTGAGCCCGTCTCGTAGAGATTGGATCTGCTGTGACAGGAGGAGTAGGATGCCTCCCCGGTTCGCAGTACACTTAAGAGCTAGCTGGAGCGCCTGCTACTGCTCGAATGGTTGGCAGTGGTTGGCACCGGGCTAAAGGACCGTGAAAGCTCCAAGTCGGCGGCCAGACCAGGGCAAGACAAGAAGAGTAGGACGGGTGAGACGCGCTGCCCGTGCGTACAAGTGCTCAGGTTTGCTCGAGGCGCGAGGATATCTGCAGCACTGTGTCAGAAATTGTTTGTCCACCCAAGTCCGTCGAGGCGTAGGAGAGATGCAAGCTTGCGCATCGCCCAGGGCCGGCCCCGGTTGCGCGTGCTGTAGGTTACCAGGACCCGGTAGCACGTTGCGCTGCCACCCGGGTCGAGGCGGCGGCCTGCGCCAGACTGCAGCGGCCTAAATGGCCCTCGTAAAGGCTGCATCTGCGTTGTCCATTCAATCGACGTACCTAGCTAGTAGTTCCAGATTGGCACCTTGGGAGGCAGGCGACGGTGCATAGATGGGCTGCAAGGACGTGGGGTTGTTGCAGAAAGGAAGAAATCGCGGGTTTGCGAAGCTTGGAGATGCGATGCGAAATGGCGGGTCAACCTTGGGAGATCAACAGAAAACAGCGCCCATGACTGGTACCTCGACCCAGGCGCCCTGGAAGCTAGTTACGTCACAGATACTTGCGGATTCACTAGCCAGCCCTGGTGGGTACTCACGCACCCCGCTAAACTCGGGCCAATGCACCTCTTGCAGATGTACCTTCACCCGCCGACTCAGGCACATCAAGTCTCCGTCAGGTACATTTGGACTGATCAAGCCAACCCGTGAGCTGAATTCTCTCCCGAGTAAGAGAGACGAGACATAGCCGGTAAGCTTCCAAGTGAGCTTTCCCAGCTACCTACCTACATCTTCTTCATTTCTACCTTATTTGCACCCAAATGACCTTTCAGGTCCGTTAAAACACCTTCAACTGCTTTAAAACGATCGAGAGGATCTGCACAGACGGGATACATGCATCCAAGAAGACCCAGGGCCTAGGCAGTACGGCACAGAGCGGTGTAGGTTGTGGGGAGAGACCAAGGTTGAAGCGGTCAGTGAGCATCAGACATTTCGTCCATGATTTCATAAGGATAAGACGCAAGTCACCATCACCCATGCACCGGACATGTCCGTTTGTTCTCGTTCCCGTCCTCATCCATGCTTGCCACCGTCTGCTGTCGTTGTGCTGTGAGGTTGTACAAAGGACAAGGCAGCCCGGTGGTGTGGTGTGCTCTCCGCAGCGACGGGTAGCATGTTGGAGGGCCACCATGGAGATTGATTTGATCATGCCCGTCTCGCATAGACAAGAGTGCAGGAACAGGAAGGCTGGTGGGAGCCTAACAGTCTCACTGGATACCCGACTCGCACTCACTCCCACCTTTCCAGCCCAAGACTGCTGGCCCATCTGGGCCAATGTCTTCACGATCCTGGATGCGGCTTCAAAGTATGGATAAGTATTACCTCATTTGCAGTGTGCTCGTAGTTATGGCTTCAAGCCTACTCCGTAGGACTGCCTTTCGTTGCCTTGGCAGAGATCAATCAACTGCACCAACCATCCAATGACGAGAAGTGCAGAGCGCCTCTGGTGTTGATTGGGCTGTAATGGACGAGACCCTCCACTCTGGCCACCAAGAAACGTGGAGTAATGAGACGTCGATTGGACTGGATGCCAATGAATCAAGATTGTTTTGAACTCGTGGTGGTATGCCCGCAGGTCATTCTGGTCAGCCCTCTCGGTATATCCAGGCGAGCCCTCATGATAGGCCGGCAAAGTTATCTGATGGCCGAGGGAGACATGATAGCGGCAGCATTGAAACGCAAAGCACGCATTTGGATGACTGAACTGTCGTGTGTTTGCAATTGCCGGTTCTATTTGCGAGAGAGAACTTTTTGGTATCCTATCAAAGCCCGACAGCCTCAGTCTGCATCCATCCTGCATCGGTTGGGCATCGAGGCGCCGCTGCCGCCGTGGAAGCCGAACCATCCCCCACACCCCCAAAACAGTGGACAACGCATCAAGGCAACGACAGAAATATCTGCTGAGCCATCCTGGCCAGCACCCAGCGGGGATCAGTCCTCACGGTACGGCTTAGCATGACGCCTTGATACACAGAATTGTGATGCTGCTTCCAAGACATAGCCGGACCCCTTTTGGGGCAGCCGACTGCACACTAGACATCGCCCAGATGTCAATGTGACAACACGTTGATCGCCTCGACAGACGAGACGGTAGTTCCAAACCCAACGCTCGAGAATACGAAGCGTCTTTCTGCGGAATCGAGATCCGTCGGGCCATCATGACGATGCCAATGCGACGGAGCGATGGAAATCAGGACTGGACAACTTGAACGTTGTTCTTCTTCTGTTGAACGGAAAAGGGTTAGTAAGTGGCTCATCCAAGGAGACCCGATACTGTAGGGATGACTTTACCTTCCACTTTTCCAGCTCCTCCTCCCGAGACTTGTACTGCTTGACCAGATCCTCCAGAACTTTCTTCAGCCCATCGGCGTTGGTCTTCAGGGCAGGCACAACCTCCTTCACCGTCCTCTCCACCAGAACGCCGTTGATGAGACGAAAACACTTGCGATCCTCCGGCAGAGGTCCCAGGGTCTCTAGAACAAGCCTAAATAGATGTTTAGTACACAAGCGACCAAACCCTCGAGGTGAAGAAGTCGGTAGTGAAGGGACGAATATGGCATATAGAGAGAGAGGCAGCAGAAGATGCTTGGAAGGGCGGAGTTTGCGACGACGTACTTATGCTCTTCTGCTTCTTGCTCCACATCGCCAATTTTCTGAGCGATTTGCTGCAATGTGTTCTTGTAGTTGCTGTATTGCACTTGAAGATCTGGTAGGTGTGAGCAAAGTGCTGCCTCATGGGGATCACGCGAAATATGAAGACTCCGTACCTTGCTGGCGCTTGGCCGATGGCGCAGATGTCGACATTGTGCACACACGCGAGGAACGAGACACCCCCTGTAGATGGCGGCCGTCAGATGGGAAGAACTATGACTGAAGCTCCGAGATCCTTGCAGTAGCTCTGTGAGATTGAGATGGCGATAAGTTCAATCAAGGCTTGTGGCCTAAACTGCGCTCGGTGCAAATGCCCCACCACCGTGGGGTGAAATCGAAGTCTCCTGAGTGGTTGTCTCCGGGCTCTTACGGCCATTAGATTTTGTTCGCGTCAAAACAGCCAGTATAGTAGGTAGTATCTAGGTAGTTCGAGCCCTGCCGAATTTCTTCACGCCACATCCTCAACAGCGCTTCCTTTTGCGACAACATCACATTCTCCCTCCGCGGAACAAATTTCACTCCGGACGCAGCGAATTCACCCTCGTCACCATGCATCCTCTTCTTCACACGGCGGACAATATCGGTAGGTCCTGACAACCTCCTAGTTCTAAGACAAACCCATGGTCTGATCTACTCCCGACAGCTTGCGAGGACCTCATGGTCGCATTGGACGAGTGCCATGCAAAGGGCTTTCTCTGGAAGTCAATGGGCATGTGCAACGACGCGAAGGAAGCCCTGAACCAATGCTTGAGGGCAGAGAGAGCCAAGCGAGTGGGCGCGAACCGGACTGGCGCTGAGAACAAGAACGCAAAGATCCGGGCTATGTGGAAGGAGATCGACGAGAACTCCTGAAGCCTCGCCCACGACATCGACACTGCACCGCGAAACGATCGGTTGTACGAATATGAACAAAGAGAAGAATACCCCCACTCGTCAGCATGGATATATGGGCGCAAGGAGTTGTTATGGCACTGCCTCGAACAAACATTGTGTTTGACGGAGCACAATGGAGCGACTAACGGTTGCTCACGTTTTCAATTGAAGATTATGGGCATTTATTTGTACGATACACTGGAGTACGGTGAATAAACACGGACCCATCAATATACTTGCAACAGCCCCTCCATCACTGCACCCCTCACAGGGAGCGTCTGAAAGCATTTCCAAAGGTGAGGATGCCGAAGGTGGATAGGATGGCGAGGAAGATCGGGACTGGCTTCCGGAGACGGATGGCACGTGGGATAGAGGAACCGCCGAGAATGACTGAGGCCAGGAGGCTCAGCTCAACGCCGTAGGGCTGCCGGTTCTGGATGCGATAGCCACCAAGACCGTCTGATGGGGGAGTGTATCGATTAGCCTTGGCTGTGCCAACACTTGCGCAGCCTGGAGCAATCGGAATAATTGCCCAATGCCCATCCATTGATGACTTACAGAGGAGACCGACAGTGCATCCAGCGACGATCGAGGGGACAGATCCGGTGCGCGCGTAGCCTGCAATACCCCCCGATGCCGTCAGAGCGGCCAGAACGTATGAACTAGTGTCGAGGCTCTGCGACGCCATTCACGGTGTGAGCAGGTATTATATCTTGTGAAGGGTTGGTTGTCCGGAGCGGATTTACCATTGTCTCTTGAGTCGTGCTTCTGCGAACGACTGGGTATATCTTGCAGCTGGTGGTATGGTAGTTCAGATGACGGGATGAAGTTTCGGCAACGATCAAGCTGTGTTGCTCAGTCCAAGTCTGGTGCTGCATCCATGTACGACATCACCGGAGCTCCGAGGCCATTCGGGCTCCGATGACTAATAATTCTGGACAAGCTTAGGGAGTTACCCCACTCATTACCCCAAAGAGGTCATCCTGATCAGAGCAAGCACCAATGCAAAGAAGCAAAACATCGCTGAATAGTAGTGAGGTTGACTGAGGAGGAGATTGGATGCTATGCTATCCTCTACTCTGGTGACTCATTCTGTTCTGTTCCAGATCCGTTCCCATAGCTTTAGCTGTTGATGATCAAGACTCAAAAGTGACTATTGCATGTTACCATTACCAACTTTATTTGCAGCACTGGCTGGAGCTTTGGTCTTCCTGGATCATTAGCGTCCGGGGTTCTTGGATGGAGGCAAGTACCTACCTCGTGGTGTAGGTCGGTCTTTCCTCCACCATCACCGAATTCACGACTTGATCGATCACCAAACCCAAAAGCTTGTAACCAAACCTGATTGCGACTTAAGATCGATCATTCTCACGTTCTGCCTGCAGCCGAGTCCTTTTGGCACCGCATGGGAGCTTAGCATCGCGTCACAGATGCCAAATGCACAAGCCCTCCACCCAGCCTGGTGGCTGTGCATGCGCCAAACCCATCCCAGCAGCCATGCATTCCCCTTCCTCGACTTCAGCAGACCCGTTTCAAGACGGGACTCGGCACTCGGGAGGCAAGTGGGTTCAAGTGAATCACAGTCCCGACGAGGCACGACTCCGTTGATGCTTGGCAACTGGCACAAAACACTGTTGTTTCTCAAGCGCTTCTGACGGTGGGCGCTCCGGAGGTGGAGATAGCGGCAGTTTCTATTCTAGGCTGCGCTGCACGTTGACCTAAATGGGCCCGACGGTCAATTTGATCATCGAGAAACTCACCTTGTCGCAGCCGAGGACGGTCCACTGCTGTCTATGAGAGACGGAATACCTTGTTCTACGATAGGGCAATGACTACTTGAAGTATCATGATGGTGAGAGACTCAGCAACATCCAATCGCATCCAGGCGGATCGACCGGGCTGGCGCTCGAATCTAGGGCCGCGAGGCAGCGCTTCTCGGTCAAGAGGGCAGTCAAGCTTCCTATCCTCACTCATCCAGAGGGGGGACATACATACCTATGAACAAATGCGTCATTCCCTAGATCGATCTGCTGGAGACACAGTGGGATAATCCACGACAAACAGCAACACGGGATGAGAATGCCTTACCCTTTCTTCCACCGAGGGCGGCCCTCTGGATCGAGGTCCATAATGTCGAGTTCAGGTCCCCCAAACTAACGATTTAGACCCATGGGGCTGAGGCATGGTGTGCCTCGCAGCCACAAAAACGCCTTGCACAAATTGATCGGGTGGGGTCCGCGTTGTCAAGCTGCCGCGGTCAAGACATTGGTGCGAGCAGGGATCCCCTCAATTTAGCCCTCTGATCTGCCTCTGTACCTACAGAGGCGCATGAGGTCTCTGGGAGGTCTGGCGATGGCTCGGTCGTAGCCAGTGGGCCGTTCTGCTCCTCAGTACGTGCCCTATCTGCCGCCCCAGGTGGCAGACTCTTTCAGAAACGCGGTGTTGTCAAGCCTCTTCCTTTCTTCTCGAACTGAACCCGTACCACACCACACGGGTCACCTAGCTAGGCTGTCTTTGGGCTCCCACCACAGATGCGGGCAGATCTTACAGGTCATCCCCGTTGTCTTGATATCAGATCGGATGCGTTAACCCCTCCATCTCGTCTCACTGCAGGCCTCTCCAGTCATCTCGTGCCATCCTCACCATCATCATATCGCGCGGGCTAGGCTGCCTGTTTCGAGGCAGCCCGCCGGCCTGCTTGTTCTGTGTTTCCACCCTGGATCTGCTTCTGCTCTGACGTTGAGGAGCATAGATGATCAAAGCTCTTACTTGTTTCCTCCGTCGAAACTAGAAGACTTGGTCTGAAACTTGTTTAGTTCCCGGCGCCCTCCCTCGGTCTCCCTTTGGTACAACAAAAGGCACCATATCGCTCAGCATCCAAGGCCGACCGTTGACATCCAGACAGTTGCTGATGAAAAAGCACCCCAAAGCTGTCTGAAAAAGGACCCTTGCAAGCTGTCCGGAGGACTCCACAACTTTAGGCTCGTCTCCGCCCTGCTGCTCTGCCCACACATCCCTGCCACTGCCCAGGTCCGACCATTCAGTGTCACCCAAATCTCTAAGCGCTGTCGCTTGGTGACTACTTTGTAGCGCGAGGCAGCGCCTTCTTCCCAATCCCTCCCACCTTCTTCAACTTTCTATATCCTACAATTCTCGCAACAGTCCTGGGAGAAACCAACCTGGACCTTCCCTCAGGTTGCCATTCTATCACGTCTATTCTGTTGGAGCGCAAGAGGCGACAACCCCGTCTCCATTGTGTCTCCCTCCGGGCCATCTGGTGTGCGATCGCAAAGGAAACGCCGCAGCCTGTTCCCCCGCGCTGAGTTGATCTCGCACCGTACCGATTCCAGGAACATGAGCCCAGTCTAGTCAACCAGCTTGGACAGCTGAGTCTACACCGATCGTTCCGGTGCCTCAACTTGCGTGTCGAATAAGTACCATTGATCGCCCCAGCCCACACCTCACCTGCCCTGTCCGCCATGTCCTCTCTTTACACACAATACCACCCCTCCCAGTTGCTGGACGAGTCTCTGAAGGGCCGGATGCATGACCCCCGCAACAACTCTGCCAGCAATCTTCAACAGCAATTCCATCCCAACACACCTGCTGAGTCTCACCATCTCTCACCCTTCTCGTCAACCACTCAGACCCAAAGCAGCTCGGCTTCGCCTGCCTTCAACGGGGCAACTCCAGACGAGTCGGACTCAACACTTAGTCTCCACTATCAGTCCAGTGACATCGGCGACGACGATCCCTTTTTCGGCGTAGACTTCAGCAACGCCGACGTCGGTACGCCCTCATTCCTGAGCAACGAACACTCGCCAGCAGACTATGCTGGCGATCCATTCTCTCAATCAGATGTCCCGCAGAACCCCGCCAATGTTGATGCCCAGACTTATCCTCTGAGCCCCAGCCAGACTGCTTCCATCCATACTTCGTCGCCGCCAACTGAAGGCAAAGATTCGAGGGGCACGTTTCCGAACGTTCTTCCTCAGTCTATCTCCCCTCAAGAATTGACAAAGGCCCCAAAGCAAGACTGCATACCGCTCAAGCTACAGACTACCTCTATCACACCCGATACGTCTGGAAGCAATCCATCAAGTGACGAGGGTCTCGTGCCGCCGGCCTCGGCCGCAGCTATGCGGAGCCCTCGCCTTACAGTGTCGATGTGGGGGGATGCTGCTGGGCCTATCGAGGAAATCGCTCCCGCCTTTCACTCGGATGGTGGCAGCCCGACCACTGTTCGAGCTGGTTATAGCCTCGACAACAGTACAGTCCCTTCAGATGTTCAGGGCTATGCACAGGGCCACGCTGCCCGAGATGCAGACGGCCAGTGGAAGCGGCATGCAGCCAGTGGCCCTCGAGGGCTTGATCCGGCCAGTCGTCCCACAAGAGAGGTGGCCAGCGCCAATGAACTAGATGCAAATCGCAAATCTCAAGAGCGAAACCAGGACGTCACCGATTGGCTATCCCGCTCTGAGGAAGCAGAAATGCCCCAAGATGAAAGCTTTGTGCAAAGTGAAGGGCAGCCTAAGGCCGAAGGCGTCCCTGACCGGGAAATTGCAACGGGCGACCAGACTGAAAATGTGCCTCAGCCAGGACGGACTTACTATCTTGAGCAAGGCGGTCAACTGACTGAGGAGGATATGGAGATCATGCGTGGAGCCTGCAGTTGGACTGATTCACCGACTCTGTTCCACATCCAACGCCCGGACACGGCTCGTCGCCAGCCGCAGACTGCTGCCGAGGCAATGAGAAGATTTGAGAAGATGTGCCGTGATAACGACTCTATCTTGTCAAGAGCTGCAACATGGGGCACTCGGCGTCGCAGCCTTCCAAGTATCCCTGATTATGAAGGGATCACGAGCGGTAACTTTCTCAAGAAGCTGTCCATCAGTCGTAATGACGCACCGCGGCGACCAAGCGTCTTGCAGGGGATACGTTCTCTTATGCGCAAGCCAAGCGTCAGTCAGTTGCGCAAGCGTCGAGCAGGTGTCGAGGAGGATGAGAGCTCCAGCGGTCCCGACTCGGCTGGCGAGCGTCGTGAAAGCAAAGACAGCCTCGCCCCTCCAGGTCACACCACGAGCTGGAGCAAGAAGCAACAACCGCCGAGTATCAATACGGCATTGTTGTCCATGAGCCAGCAAGTGGCATCCATTGGCACGACACACGCACGCAATGGGTCGATCAGTACTACTCCGCCGGTGACTTCTCCTCCAGTCACATCTCCAAAGAGCCCGTTCTTGAGAGTTGCAAACATCCGGCGCCCGCGAAGCAAGTCGGATCTACCCACCAGTCATTCCAACCTGGTTGACATGTGGAAGAAATCAGGCGGGCCTCCAGTTGCTCAATTGGCAAAGACAAGCACTATGCCTGAGGTAGACGATGACGATGATGAGGATGAGGATGGCTTTGATGATTCAGAGATGAAGTCTGAGTCTATCGAGCTGATTGACGATATCACCCCAAACCTGGAAGGGTTCCGCCAACACATTCTTAAGTGCAACCCAAGGCTCAAGGACATGAACAAATTTCTCGTGGAGCGAATCATGTACCAACAGCAGCAGCGGTATAAGCTCTTGTGCGGGGCCCGTGTCAAGCATCTTGGGCATGTTCAGAACAAGACCTGCCCCTGTGGTCCCTCCTTGTGCATCGACCTGGGAGGCTCTGCTAATCGGCTTGTCAATAAGAACGAGACTCGCGGCATCGATCCATTGGATGGCTCTGATGACGACAACTCTCCGCTGGATGGCGCTATTGCTCAAGAGAGCTTCCCAGCAAACATCCCCATGCCGCCGACCGCGGCGCTGCCTGCTGAATTCGAGTGCCAACTGTGCTTCCAAGCAAAGAAGTTCCAGAAGCCGTCGGACTGGACCAAGCACGTCCACGAAGACGTGCAGCCTTTCACTTGCACCTGGGAGAAGTGCCGAGAAAATAAGATCTTCAAGCGCAAGGCCGACTGGGTGCGCCACGAGAACGAAGGGCATCGGCATCTCGAATGGTGGACTTGTGACGTTGAGGACTGTCGGCATGTCTGCTACCGACGCGACAATTTCCTCCAGCACCTCGTCCGTGAGCACAAGTTCCCGGAGCCCAAGGTCAAGACGAAGGCAGCGATCAAGCGTGCTGGCGGGAATGACCCAACCTGGATCAAGGTTGAGAGTTGCCACCAGGAGACCAGGACGTTGCCCCAGGAAGAGGCCTGCCGCTTCTGTGGCAGTACCTTTACTACCTGGAAGAAGTTGACTGTGCATCTGGCCAAGCACATGGAACAGCTCAGCCTGCCAATACTCCGGCTTGTCTCCCGTAAGGAGCTTGATGCAGACACCCTCATCAGCCCAGTCCAGGAACCGCCACCACGCAACTTCATGGTGACTCCCGTCAAGACGGAGCCGCCTCCTTTCCCAAGCACCAGTCCTTCGGCGTTCGCCCAACCAATCAACAATGCCATGCACCAACCCTACCACGGCGCGCCCAACGCCAATTACATGTTTCCTGTGCAACAGCCGATCGCCTATACCCAGCCCTTCTACCCTAACCAATTCGATGGTCTCCCGCATACTATGCCGAACATCGACACATCTATGGGCGCTGGCCACCCTGTGAACCCGGGCTTCCCCGATCAGCAAGCCTTCGCTGGCATGACGGGTATCCCAGTTACCACTGGTTCCTACATGGGCGGTGATGCCTCGCGCTATATGCCCATGGCACCCAATGTTGAACCATTCCCGGAGATGCCCATGAACAACGCCCTTGGGCTCCAGAATCCGTCTCACCAGATGCAATACAACAACATGATGGATCCGGGCGGTGCTGGTTTGGACCAGCACTATATGGCTCAGACCGGCTCAACCTCCCCTTTCTCTCATCATTCTCACTCTCCCCATCAAGGTCAAGGCGGTTCGCAATTCTACTCACAATAAGCGCGCAATGCTGTCAATGAACCTCTCATACCGATTCAACATTTCTGCTTCCTAGCAGCTGAACATTCTACGCTGCGACCTTCATGTATATATTTCTGGTCTCAGGATACCCTTGGCTTATTTTCTTTGGTTTCCTTGCTCCTGGTGTGATGGCTCCAGTCCGCACATTTTCTTTTTTTCTTCTCTCAACCGAGACTTACAACACACCATGACGTCTTTCAGGATTGTGGAGCTCTTCCACTGTTCCTAGGCACATTTATGAGTATATGAACGGAGAAATGTACATGAACCGCTTTCACCCCCAAAGAATGGGTCGGTGAAGGACGATGAAAAGGCGGAGCGAGCTTTTCTATTCTATTCGGTGATCTAGCCAGTTCCTCAATATAGACCTCATCATGATTCGTGCGAGCCTTCCATTGAAAAGCCTTCCTCACCGTTGAACTAGATTGGCCTCTGTCGGGACACGTCCCAAATCCATCCCATGAATATGCTAGCACTGGCAATCTTAACTTACGGGTCTGCAACTATGCTGTCGGCTCATGCCTAGGCTTTTATGGGCCGCTACTTGCGTTGGATTGTTGCGATGCATTGATGCACTGGCAAGGATGGGCAGGGGCTCTTGCAAGGGTCTACGTACGAGAGGTCGCAGTGAGCACGGCATGGATCCTGGGCGATGATCAGGTCAAGGTCGATATTGAAGGAGATCAGTCATGGGCAGAGATGGGAAGGAAACGGCTCATTTCTGTTCTCGGCTTGGACGGATCATAGCCTTTTGCTTCTCGAGGACAGCTGAGATGGGACAAGAGAGCTGGTCACGGACGATAAGCTGAACTCGATCAAGAGGTGCTTGAGTAAGATTTACGATGTTGATAGGCGACCCGCTGGACACTCCAACCGCCGGGCTTGCTCCTAGCCTCCTGCTGAGCAAAGCCTCCTCATCCATCCCGGTGCGGATGACGATGGCATGTGGTCGTTGCTCGTTAGGTGGTAGCAACAAGAGGCGCACATCGCTCAGATCTTTTACGGACCTAACAAAGCCTATTTCTGGCTTGTATGCCAAGCACGGATCACAGTCAGTCCTAGCAGTCGTTGCCTCCGGCCAGAATGAAGCCAAATAGTCGGGTCAATTATGCCCTATAGCCTGGAGATCATCTCCCTTCGGCATCTCCCTGGATAACCATCATAAACCTCGGATGTTATTGCGGTCAGACCCTGAACGAAAGCGTCGCGGAACCTAGTCGCAAAGAATGAGAGTTGCCGTCCGTTGCAAATATATCAAGCTTCTTGACTGTCTTCTCTGGCTTCGACGATGTCTAATAAGCGCTACCGAGAAACATGTCTCTTTTGCTTCGGCGCCAAAAAAGCGTCCTTTCTAAAGTATTGTATTGCTCTTGATGGCTTCTTTTACGAATTTTGGCTTCCGCGCTTGCAACGGCAACGATGGTGGTTTCAAAAATAGCTAGGGGAGGTCGATCACCCCTGGTCCGGTCCACGCCCGTTCTGGCAACCCTGGTCTTCAGCCGCTGACTTGCAGAGGTGTTCCCGTAGCCAATGGTTCCTTGGCCACCCAGCCTGAACGACTGGAATGCGGTCCTGATGGTGGGGGGGACCCAGAGGCCTGGGGGGTGGTTGTCGAGGGAGGGTGTGGGACGCCATAGGCTCAGCCTCCATCTTCTGGCAGCGAAGGCGTTTCAGATGCGCCAGTAGCTGCGTCGGAGCGACACACCCATGGATCGTTTCGATAAGCTCTCTGCCGTTGACAACCACATGTCCATTCCACACTCCCCAGGCCTCCTGCGTGATGGCCACCACTACCTCGTATGTGCAGCGGCCGGTCGCCGCCGATGCGCACATGTAGCCTTTCTCCAGGCCACATGATAAGACCGGACTATGGAGTAGTGAGGTTTGTCAAAGCATGTCAGACCAGGGGCTGGCTGGAGATAGACCCCGGCATGCGCCAATCAAGGGGCCGATGCTCTCGCAAAGGGAGAACCTCCTCCACGGTAGGTGCATCTGCTCTGGGAACCCCGGCTTGGCTCGTGTCGCATCTTGTCGACCTCCCTGGGCCCCGGCTCGCCCATCTCTCTGGGTGGAGAGGCGCAGAGGGGAGGAAGAAGAAAGTTCTTTGGATCTGGCGTTGCGGTGGTGCGGGCTGGTTGCTCTTGATCGACCGCTACGTTCTTCAACGGGGCCACACCATCGGGGAGGGAGGCGTATCATCACATTCCAGTCCTCTACTCTGTTTCATCTATGCGCTGGTCGTCTCTTCTCTTCTTATGATCCTGGCCTATTTTCGTTCAGAGCCAAGTTCTCTTGCTACCTACCATTTACAGGCCTACCCCCTGGTCGCCTTTTCACTTCTCTCTTTCCCCTTCTCTTTCCCCCCCCCCATCTCCCGTGATCGTGAGATCTCTCTTCAACTCCAACACATCTCTAAGAGGACGAGAGTGAGAGCACCGCAGAAGCAGCATCGTCTCTTCCCACCAAGGGCAACTTGTTGCCTCTTTTCCATTCGTTCCAGGTTGATCCTCGGCCATTTTACTTTCTTTACGAACCAGCACAGCCCTGTTTACTTCCCTTCTTTTTCGCTAGTTTTGTTTGCCTTCTCTGTTGTATGTCGACCGGTCTCGAGAATTTCTTTGTTCTTCCCCGCCCCAAAACGCCACCACGACACCACCAGGTCTCAGCCGCAGGCCTCCAGAACAGGTTGCGGCTTGCATACGCAGAGCTCGAGGGGAATATTAGACGAGAGTCAGCCGTGGAACAGGCTTTCCAGTGAAATAGGTTCAGAAGGTGCCGTTTGTCTATCACCGAATATCACCAGGATCGACACTCCGACATAGACGGTGACCGATTTATTTCGACTCTTTTCTTACTCGCAAAACGCTGTACCAAGAAGTTTCAAGATTGGAGGAAATGACCCGGCAGTCTGGGTTCCTGAGAAGGGCTTTGCTGGTGGCAGTAGCCTGTGCAGGTGTGGTTAGGGCGGTTGATATCCTCCAGACGACGGGCTTCAGCAGCTGTGGAAAGAATGCCGAGATCCAGGTCAAGAAGGTCGATATCAAGTACAACAATGACAACAAGACGGTGAGCTTCGACGTTGCTGGGTTCAGCACCAAGGTCCAGAATGTCACGGCCATCCTGAACGTCACGGCGTACGGCAACCAGGTCTACTCCAACACCTTTGACCCCTGCAAGTCCGACACATTTGTCCAGCAACTTTGCCCAGGTATGATCACTTCAAAAGAGGTGCTGTCGTTCAACAGAGCTTGGCTAACAGGAGGATAGTTCCTGCGAGCAACTTCAGCGCTCGAGGCACGCAAGCAATCCCTGCCAAGTTTGCTGACCTCGTCCCCGCAATTGCCTTCCAGATTCCTGATATTGCGGCCATGGCAACCTTGCAGCTCATCTCCAAGGACTCCGGTGATAACGTAGCCTGCATTCAGTCCACGGTCTCGAACGGCAAGACCATCAGCGTCCCCGCCGTCTCGTATATCGCGGCCGGTGTTGCAGGCGCTGCCCTGGTTATGAGCGGTGTCACAGCAGTCGGCGCTGCCGTTGCCGGTGGTACTGGTGCGCTGGGCGGTAGCTCCGCAGCCGGCGGACTGGGTACGGTCAGCCCCAGCTTCATCGAGGTCTTCACATGGTTCCAGGGCATGGCCATGAACGGCATGCTGTCGGTCAACTACCCGTCGGTGTATCGGAGCTTCACCAAGAACTTCGCCTTCTCGACCGGTCTCATCCCCTGGACCCAGCTCCAGGTCGCGATCGACGACTTCCGCGCTTCCACTGGAGGTAACCTGACGAACGACAATGTTCAGTTTCTCCGCAATGCCACCCTTGTCTTCCCTGACGGCTCCTCGAGCACACCCGACAGCAGCATCATCAAGGCCAAGCGTGCGTTTCACATGTTTGAGATGCTGGCCAAGCGGCAAATCGTGACCAGCACCGACGGCTCAGACTCGTCCAACTCGACCAACCCCGAGAGCACAGTCGACAGCATCCGCACTGCCGTCAGCGGCATCCAGGCCTACGTCAACGAGCTCAGCATCCCGTCCAGCAACACCTTCATGACCGTGCTGCTCGTTGTCGCCATCGTGATTGCCGCCATTGCCGTCGGCATCCTGCTGCTCAAGGTCATCCTCGAGGCGTGGGCGCTGTTCGGCAACTTCCCCAAGTCGCTGGCCGGTTTCCGCAAGCACTACTGGGGCTCCATCGCCCGGGCCATCACGTCGCTGATCCTGCTGCTGTACGGCATCTGGGTGCTCTACTGCATCTTCCAGTTCACCCACGGCGACAGCTGGGCGGCCAAGACGCTCGCGGGCATCACGCTGGGTATCTTCACCGCCATCCTCGTCTTCTTCTCCTTCAAGATCTGGTACACGGCGCGCAAGCTGAAGCTGAGGGAGGGCGACGCGAGCGGCCTGTACGAGGACAAGAGCATCTGGGTCAAGTACAGCCTCTTCTACGAGTCGTACCGCAAGAACTACTGGTGGATCTTCGTGCCGACCATCGTCTACATGTTCGCCAAGGGCGTGGCGCTCGCCGTCGGCGACGGCCACGGCATGGTGCAGACGATCGCGCTGCTCATCATCGAGGGCCTCATGTTCGTCATGCTGCTGTGGAGCAGGCCCTACGAGCGCAAGTCGGGCAACGTCATCAACATCGTCATCCAGGTCGTGCGCGTGCTGTCGGTCGTCTGCATCCTCGTCTTCGTCGAGGAGTTTGGCATCAAGCAGACGACGCAGACGGTCACGGGCGTCGTGCTCATCGCCGTCCAGTCGACGCTGACGGGCGTGCTGGCCATCCTCATCGCGTGGAACGCCATCAACGCCTGCTGCAAGGAGAACCCGCACCGCAAGCGCAGGAAGGAGATGGGTAAGTTCTTTTCTGTTTTTGGTTCTCTCGATATCATCCCAAGTATACACACTACCCCTTGCATCACACAAACTAACCACATTTTTATCACGCAAAACAGAGAAGCGCCGCGAGACGGACAACCTCACGCCCCTGGACGCGCGCAACTCGCTCCTCCTCGACCGGCCCTCGGAGAAGACGACGCTGTTCTCCATCGCCAACACGCCCGACGAGAAGGCCAGCCTCGTGCGCGAGGCCTCGCCGGACCGGTACCTCGGCGCCGCCGAGCCCGCCAACCCCTACAGCAGGCCCGCCACCGCCAGCACGGCCTACCGGCCGCTGACGCCCGTCGGCGGCGACAGGCCCGGCGACGCGCTGATCGCCAACGCCGCGGCCCCCGGCCGGCAGCCCACGCTGCCCAACGTCGGCGGCGGCATGCCCGGTGCTGGCGGGTATGGCCACCAGCGGTCCGGCAGCGGGTACTCGCAGCGCAGCTACCAGAGCTACCACATGCCTGGCGCGTACAACAATGGCGGATACCGGGCGCCGCCGTCGAGAGGAGGGTATTAATTATGGCCTATGATGATTACCGACCGGGGTTGTACTTGTACTCTCTTTTTGTTTTCCATTGCGTGCGAGTGCCTTTTCTCAAATTTGAACTGCATCAGCGTCAAAGAGTGGCGGAAGGGCTGGGTTGCCTTGCCGGTAAATAGTACCGTGGTACCGTGGATGACGGAGAGTCCCATGAGGACCAAAGAAAGCCTCTCCTAGGGCTGCTTATTTTCTCTTTTATAATTAGCTAAATACCCTCCTTATGTTGGATCATAGTGATGTCTCATATTCTGATCATGATTTTATGAAGGTGGATCAAATAGTCCTGTCAGGGATGGAAGGATGGAGGAATATAGTGATATCTATAAGAAAGCGAGGAAGGAAAGTGTCCTTATTAGGTAGTACTTGATGTGTAAGACTATTCCTCACTTTCATATCTATCTATCTAGGTGGTTGATTCTTGGTCTACCTGTTGGCTTGTACCTATAAAAGTGAGGAATAGTCTTATGCAATTCTACAGATTCTTTTCAACTCGAAGTGCTTGGTGTAAAGATGATTAGGACGAAGTTTTGTCTCTGCATATACCCACAAAGAGGGGTCTAAGACAGAAGAAGAATATTCATAGAGAGAGAGTATAAACCTTGATTATTCTGTATTTTATTCATGGAGTGAAAGAATTCACAAGTCTTACTTGACAGTGATCTCTCGTGTGAGCCAGCCTGACAGCTGTCACTAGGTATTTGGAGCTAGTGTGGAGTCTGCAAGGTCTTTTCCTTCCCACGCACCATTCTACTGCACCTGCCAGCGTACAACATCTCAACTCTGCACACATGTGGTGTCGATTGCTCGCAAACACCAAACATAGAAGAGGGATACATCTGTAACTCGTCGAGTCCGCCAGACTGCGCTACCCCCAAATGGCTTCATATATGGGCTCGGGTACGGCGCGCCTGGTCACATCCGCTGAGGCACGCGCTGCCGCCGGCGAAGCTCCAGCTACGATCCGCATCCGCAACCTCCAGTCCGTCGTCTGCGTCGGCACCGATGCGTGGGGCCGGCATGGCCGTACGCAGCCCATCCTGGTCTCGGCCGAGGTCGGCCTCAAGCAGACGTTCGGTGCGGCTGCAAATTCCGACAGCGTCTCGGCTGACACGGTCCACTACGGCACCCTCACCAAGGCGATCCTGGGCTTCCTCGAAGAGAAGTGCGGACCAAATGTGCCACCCAACCCGACAGCTGTGTGGACACTGAAGTGTGCCTTGGAGGGTCTCTGGGCCCGTCTCACGGGTCTGTGTATCTTCGAAATCCTTCTAGGCGGTTACCCCAACCGTTCCCAGCCGCCCGTTCTCAATGCGACCCAGTTGAGGTCGCTGGCCATTACTTTCCACCTGCCAAAGGCATCGCTAGCCGGTGATGGCGTGAGCCTCACAGCAATGTGTGTGTATGGGAATCGTGCCGGGGTTTACAGTATGAGCCTGTGTTTGCACAACCTACGACAGCGGACGCTCATTGGCGTCAACCCCAACGAGAGACTGGCGAAGCAGGTTGTTGGCACGACGGTCGAGATTGACAAGTATACCTTGTTTGAAGACGAATACACAACCCTGGAAAACTTGGTCGTTGAGGTGTGTGAATCTACTTCTATTCTGTCGGATGGCCTGCATTCCCTTCCCTACTATCTGTCTGCGTCAAATACTGAGTCATTATTCTATAGACGATAGAGCCAACCGCCTTTGAGACCCTGGAGGCACTGGCCACGCATACGGCCAAGGCTGTCCTCGCGGGCTTCAAGGGCCCTACAGGTGCCGATGCTTGGCGAGTCAAGATCCAGATGGAGAAGCCGACTGCCATTACCTTCGCGGACTGCCCTGTCATTGAGGTCGTTGCTGGTCCGGAAGATCTTGCATAAACAGGCACGGTATGCAGTGGATAGAGAGCCGCAAAGCCGCCTTTCCGAGGTTTGCGGCAGTGTAGTACTGCGTTTGGTGGTAACCTCCTGGTGGGATATCATACGTCCCCTAGCCCCTGTCGCTTGACCCTTTCACTCAACGGGATATCACCATGTGTCAACGTATTGACGAGCTCTGGGTCTGGGTCATAGAGCATGACGTGGAAATGTTCTACCGCCTGTATCGACTTGAGGGAAGCCCAATTCTTGAACCAAAGATACTGCCATATCACCGTCAGCAACCAGACTCGAGCATCAAAAACTGACAAAGCAAGCACTGGCCTACCCGATCTCGAGGCATATTCTGCCCAAACGTCTTGACCACAAACTCTTCAATCTCCGCCCTCGCCGCGTCCGTCAGGTCCCCTGTGATCGGGTCCTCCTCGAACGGAAACTTGGTCCACACGACCAGGTGCACGACCCTGTCGTCCACGCCGTACGGCCAGTCGTTCCACAGGATCTTGACGTCGTCCTCGGGGAACTCGAACGGCCGGCCCCGAGCCACGATGGGCGGCTCCCACCGCAGGCGCTGCGACAGGACGAAGGCCATGACGCTGCCGTGCTGCCGCGCGATCTTGCGGTTGTAGGCCAGGTAGAGGCGCAGCACGGAGGGCACGCGCCGCAGCAGGTCGAGCCGGTTGGTCTCGATCTTGCGCCGCAGGACGGCCCACGAGTCCGGGCGGAAGTCGGCGTCCCGGGTGCCGACGATGCCGCGGTCCTTGTCGCTGAGGTCGCGGAGGAAGTCCGGGCACTCGGCCTCGCGCTCCGAGGGCGGCACGTTGACCTGCCAGTAGGGCAGGTCGCCGTCGGGGGACGTGCTGCCCATTTGTGTGTGTGCCTGCCGGTTCAGCTTTGTTCACGCCCGGAGGTTTGTGATGTGTGCTTTGTCCCGCAGCTGGCTTGCTACTTATCCAGGGCGCATGGAGATATAATACGAGGTGGTTTGCCTTTGGTGGTGGGGTTGGCGGCGGAGTTGTACAACTACTTGTAGATGAGATAGAAAGGGTCCCGACACTAGGCGATATCGAGAAACTCCGCCCAGAACGTAGGAAGGGAAGCTCTTCGCGAAATGATCACAGGCATGAAAAAAGGTCACACAATTGAGTCCAACACCCCCGTCTAGAGGCATTGTCGGGAGACGTGATTATCCCATTACTGGATTAGAAGATCGAAAGGCTGACTCGCCCTCGTAAGTTGTGAACGTGGGTTTAGCACGTTAGCAACGTCTTAGTGCAACTGCATGTCTGACACACTGTCGAGTAGTGTCAACGCAACTGACAGTGTAAGGAGGACTGGCGAGTCGGCATGACTGCCCAATTGTATAATATCGAGCTGGCAGACTGTCTCGTATTGGAGATAATTGGCGCTTTTATTGCCAACATTCACCACTCATATTGCCTCCAGCGGGCTGGCTGGTACCCACACCTTTCAAGGTTGACGGTGATGGACCTTATCGTGAGCCTCCAAAGCCCCACGTGGACTGCCGAGTCTCCAGTTGCGTTCAGGGGCTTGTTCCCGGCCGATGGGACATTCATTTCACGTTGCCGAATCTTACTTGGAAAAGCGATATGAGAATGGAGATGAGGCATGGGAAATACCGGGCTGGACTGTGGCGTGCGTCCTGCAGCCAGCACCTCGGCGACAGGTTACGCAACGCCCACTGACAGGGTTTGATATCGGGTTGGGAATAAGGAAGGGACTCTGTCCAGGTCGGTCTGCCCGAGCAAGGCACAAGGCACAGAGCCTGTCTGTTGCGCGCACTGGCACCTCGAGACGATGTTCAGGTACCTAAATAGTTTTGAGTCGGCCAATACTACAGAGACCGAATCTGCAACAAAATGCATCAACTGCTGTGTCTAGCTCCCGCCGGGGCTGACGGCTAGTGCGGTATGGGTCACCTTAGGGACGCCAGGACAACCGCTTCCTTGACCCAGCATCGTGCCCGGGGAGGAGTGATAGCGGGCCAGGTACCGGGCCTGTTTCATTCCAGTGAAGTGAATGCCTGGCGGTGGCTGGAGCGGAGGACGAAGAACAGCCGTCCCTGCCGAACGACATGCGATTGTACAAAGTGTATTGGTTCTTCTGCCAATTGTGCATGAGACAGAAAATGATCCAGGGTGTGGGATGGCAGAGAAAAGAGACTGTCTTGTCGGCGTATTTCTCGGTGTTTGCGCCCGCGCATGGCTGCAGCCAGCTGTGATCGTCGAAAACTGTTTATCCTGGGGGGGAAATGTGTCAACAGGAAGACTTTTTTTTCCGTTGGGCTGATGGCAAAGCATTGGCAAACAAGCAGTTGGGAAAGGCGAGCCGCCTAGCCAGTGCGCCTCACACACCTCCCACACCCAGCTGAAGCAACCACCGGCCATTCAGGTGTTTCCATGACATCTGTCACCCTCACGCCCTCACGGGGGCGGTGGCGATCTGCATCGACCCCGCGGTCTTGTCTCTGCCTGTCCAGGCAAAGAGTAGTGCTGCACATCACTAGGCGGCGACTGGCAGGTCCAGGAGCACTAGCACCGGGCGTGCGAGTAAGGCCAAAGACAAGACGCTCGACACATAGTCTACCTAGTGCATGATGATGAGCGGTGATGCCACGACGGTGACGAGACATGGCCGCTCCGCTGCTGCACATGGTGGTGTGGTGGGGATGTCTACCTAGGTAATTCAACCACTGGCCGGAGCGTTACTGGCGGCGGGCAATTGGGCGGACATCACAGCTGGAGCAGTGGAGCTCGCTGGTCTGTCAAGTCTGTGAACCGCAAACACCTGCAAGACAGTCAGTCATCTATTATTACCGCAGCCAACTTTTCGATTCGATGTTCCCAACAATGCGACACCCGCCACAGCCAACGCCCCGCCAGAGTGCACCAAGCAATGAAGAAGTGACCAGCGTGTACCTTTGCCGCTAACAATTTATCCCGCAGCACGAGAATGAAGCTCAAGATCACCCCGGTACTGTCTCTCCACAGCAATCTCGACTGTATTGTTGGTAGAATACCAGTTTGATGTCTTCCACCCTTCGAGCCTGAGCTGCCCGACTGACTTTTGTATTATCCTGCAACTGAAGCTGCAACAGAGTTGGAGCAGGAGAGATTCGCCATGTGAGTGACAGCATTCTCGTAGAGTTTGACTCGGGGGGACCGCCGCCTTGGATCGACGCCAAAAGGCCTGGGCTCGCCGCCATGTGATTGCTAGCGGCCAGGTAGCGACAAGTGTCCCTGGTGTGGGATCCATCCATGGGTAGGACCATCACTGATGCTTGCTGGTTGCCAGCTTGGCTCCATTACGTCAACCCGCTGATTCGAGACCGCCAAACAGAAAGCTTGCAAATTTCCTCCTTTGAGAGCGAGCACTGAGCTTCAAAAGAGCTTCCCCGCCATCCCCCATAATAACACCACTACTACTGCCTACTACTTGTACTATCCTTCCTCCTCCCATCCTCCAGTCTTCTGACTTTTGCCCCTGACATACAAACATCTCCAGTGCGACGAACAGAATCTCGCTTTCGTTCTTTCGCTTTCTTATCTTCTCTGCAGAGGGATCCTTTTCCACCAGGTCGAATAGAGAGATTGCACAGCACACATCATGGCCCAGGCAATCAAGAGCGCCGTGCCTTCGCACCTCAAGGCCGCTCTCGGCGGTGGCAGCGACAAGCAGGACGACACCGAGTTCTCCCAGAGGCACCACGGCAAGACCCGATCCCACATGGTGAGTTTCATGAATTGATACCCAGACGTTCTTGTTTTATTGCAATTGCGCCTATCCGACGAGAGCCAGGCTGGCTGCCTCCTGTTGCTGTTCCACGTTCTCGCCGTGGACCTCCTTTCCCCATATCACATGAACCAAGACACCTACCTACCTGGATGGCAACGCGACGATGGTTATGGCCAGACGCTGCAGGCATTGGGCAGCCTCGGCCCTCTCTGTCTCTCTCTCGGCAATCCTACCATGCGCTCAACAGGGGAAAAGGGGCTCCGTGGTTTCTGGCATCAACTCTTCTGCGGCTGGCTACCCTCCTTGCTCCAACCCTTCAATTGGATCCTTTGGGCAGCATCGACCTGGTGAAGCTTTGTCGCCATGCACGAAGAAGAATAAGCCCTTTGGGACCACAGAGGAACAGTCTTTTTCCTTTTTGCGCAATCCAAGAGCGACCATGGTTTAAAGTCGGCTTTCTCTCTTGAGAGTCGCCGGCGCGGCCTGGGCTGGCTAGCAGATTGAGGAAAGAGCGAGAATTGCACCGGCACGGAGCCTCGCAACCATGGCGGCCGGCCCCGCTCGTCACAGCATATCACCACCGTTTTGGCATAGCAGTGCTACGTATGGAGTTATGAAGTACGTGTGTGTGCTAATAGGAAGATACCAGGCCTTCGAGAACACCTCCACAAACATTGCTGCCGCCCAGATGCGCAATGCGCTGACCCAGCTCGCCGAGACCGTCGAGGACGGCAAGCAGAAGAAGGTATGCTGGTGTTGTCACTTGTCCGCCTCTCGAGATGACGATCGTACTAACGCTCTAAACAGCTCTTCGAGACCGAGATGGACAACTTCTTTGCCCTCTTCCGCCGGTATCTGAACGACAAGGCTAAGGGCAATGCTGTGTATGAGACCACGCCCGTTCCCAGCATACTCGCCACAGTATAGATGTAGCTGACAATTGCCTCCGACAGTGATTGGGACCGTATTGCGCCGCCCGCCCAGGGCCAGGTTGTCGACTACGAAGACCTTGCCAACTCAGAGTCCGTCAACTTCCTCAACAAGCTTGCCGTCCTCAAGCTCAACGGCGGTCTTGGTACCTCCATGGGCTGCGTCGGTCCCAAGTCCGTTATCGAGGTCCGTGACGGCATGTCCTTCCTGGATCTGTCTGTCCGGCAGGTCGAGTACCTCAACCGCACCTACGGCACCAACGTCCCCTTCCTCCTCATGAACTCCTTCAACACCGATGACGATACCGCGTCCATCATCAAGAAGTACGAGGGCCACAACGTCGACATTCTCAGCTTCAAGCAGTCCCGTTACCCCAGGATCTTCAAGGACAGCTTGCTGCCCGTCCCCAAGTCCTTCGGCCACTCACAAGAGGCCTGGTATCCTCCCGGTCACGGTGACGTTTTCGAGTCTCTCTACAACTCGGGTATTCTCGACAAGCTGATCGAGCGCGGCATCGAGATCATCTTCCTCTCCAACGTCGACAACCTGGGCGCCGTTGTGGACCTGCGCATCCTCCAGCACATGGTTGAGACCAACGCCGAGTACATCATGGAGTTGACCAACAAGACCAAGGCCGATGTCAAGGGCGGTACCATCATCGACTACGAGGGCTCGGTCCGCCTGCTCGAGATTGCGCAGGTGCCCAAGGAGCACGTCAACGAGTTCAAGTCGATCAAGAAGTTCAAGTACTTCAACACCAACAACATCTGGATGAACGTCAACGCCATTAAGCGTGTCGTCGAGAATAACGAGCTCGAGATGGAGATCATCCCCAACGGCAAGACCATCCCCGGCGACAAGAAGGGCGAGTCGGACATCTCCATCATCCAGCTCGAGACGGCCGTCGGCGCCGCCATCCGCCACTTCCGCAACGCGCACGGCGTCAACGTGCCCCGCCGGCGCTTCCTGCCCGTCAAGACGTGCTCGGACCTGATGCTCGTCAAGTCGGACCTGTACACGGTCAAGCACGGCCAGCTGCAGATGAGCGCCAACCGCTTCGGCGACGCGCCCCTCATCAAGCTGGGCACCGACTTCAAGAAGGTCTCGGACTTCCAGAAGCGCATCCCCTCCATCCCCAAGATCATCGAGCTCGACCACCTGACCATCACGGGCGCCGTCAACCTGGGCCGCGGCGTCACCCTCAAGGGCACCGTCATCATCGTCGCCACCGAGGGCAGCACGATCGACGTCCCGCCCGGATCCATCCTCGAGAACGTGGTTGTCCAGGGTAGTCTGCGTCTGCTCGAGCATTAAGAGACTTGTCTGTTTTCTACTACGCGGGGACAAATGTCATGAGAGGTTGGGGTTGAAGAAAACAACAACAACAAAGGAATAATGTTTGGTGAGAGTGGCAGGGGGGAGAGAGACAGCTAGATGTACGAGAAACTGTGGGAGTGAAAGCGTGGGGGATATGGATTCGTCGGCCTCTTTAAATATGTACATGGGCGCGAGAGACAGAAAGAGAGAGAGAGAGAGAGACGATGTTGAGATTATCTTTTCAATGTCGGGGATGATGATGCATCCGCCACTACTCGAGCAAACGAGCAAAATTTTAATCCACGTCGTCAAGATTTTGATGGCTTCCTTCTTCAAATGCTGCATAAATGTATATCTTTTTTTTTTTTATTCTTTGTTACGCGAAGGTTGGGTATTGTATTACACAAGCTAGACTACCTGCATGGATGTGACCTTGTTGTGCCTGCTGGTAATGTTGACACGGCCACTGACTGTAGACTGTAGACTGTAGGTGCTGGCCCTTTTGTATGGGGGGGGGGGGGGATACATATATCTCTATTGATGCCATGGGCTCCCAAGGAGTCCTGGCGCCGCGGGGGGACGCCGCGTAGAGGCTGGCCGTCATGCTGCTTGTAACTAGCCAGAAGTGGAAGGCGGGACTGTCGGCGTTCGTGCGCCGTCGTCGCTTCCGCCTTTCTTCTGACCCTGCCGCCCCTTGCCTGCGGGAAGCTGCTGCGGCGCCCGGCGCGGAGGCGGCCTACCCCCGGCGCGCACGTGGATCGTCTTACCGCACCTGCCACCGAGGACGGCCGCGGTGGTACCATCGTGGCCACCGCCGTTGTTGTTGTTGCTGTCATTGTAATGATCCATAGTGCTGCTGCTACCGCTGCCGGCGCTGATGGTGCTGCTGCTGCTGTTGTTGTTGCTGCCACTGCCTGCGTCGCCATCGCCGACGTGGGTGCCAGACGACGAGCCGCCGATGAGCGGGGGCGCGCTCTACTTGCCCTTCTTCATCTTCTCGGTGCACACGGGGCAGAACCAGGTGCCGTTGGGCTCGCTCTTGAGCCCGACGCAGGACCAGTGGAACCACTCGTACGGGCAGTCGTCGTTGTCGCAGGCCACCATGTCGCCAAAGCTGACGTTCTGGCAGATGCAGTACTTCTTGTCGTCGCCCGCCTCGTCCTCGTCCACCTCCATCGCGTCGTCGTCGGCGTTGTCGCCGTCCTTGTGGTGCGCGGCCGCGCGGGCCTTCTTGCGCTCGGCCGCCGTGGGCGGGTGGTGCGGGGGTGCCTCCTTTTGCTGCGACGAGCGGGCTGCGGGGGTGCCGCGGCGGGACGACACCTCGGAGCCGCTGCCGGTGTCGGCGTCCGAGAGCTCCGAGTCGGCTGTCGACGAGGGGCTGTTCTTGCTCGGCCGCTTCACGCGCGACAGGTTCGACTTGTTGCCGGGCCCGGCGCCGGGCGTGCCCTTCTTGCGGATGCCGGCGGTGGGCGTCCCGGCCTTGCGACCTGGTCCTGCCGCCGTGGTCTTGACGCTGGCGCGTGGGCCTGCGCTACCTGCCCGCTGAACTCCTGCCGCCGTGCTCGCCTTGGGTGTTCCGGGACCCAGGGAGGAGTGCCTCGCCAGCCCGCTCGACGTCGTGGGCGCGTTGCCCAAGCCGCTGTTGACGCGGGGACCTCGCTTGGGGTTTCCCGAGGGACCAGCGGAGCCCTCCCTTGCTTGCCTGTTCAGGATCATGCTGGCAGCCGGCGTGGCGGGCGCCGATGCTGCGTGTGTCTGTTGCGCTTGCGTACTTCGTACTTGAGGATTGGCTGCTCGGACGGCGGACGGGGTTGCCGAGTTGAGGATCGGGTTGAGCGGCGTCGGAAGGGGATGGGCGGCGGGATTGATGGAGCGCGCCGAAGGGGCGGTGTTGTTCGCAGCGCTGGGACGGAGGAGAGAGGGTACTTCGTCTGGGTCTGTGAAACCAGGCTCGCCCCTGTCGTACAGCATCTTGATCTGCATGTCGAGCTGGCGCAGGTGCTTGTCGTAGATGGCCGACATCTTCTGGGTCAGGACGATCTTCTCGTTGGAGAGCTGCTCGGCCATGGTGTAGTTGGTGGAGATGGCGGCGCGCAGGCTGTCCTCGCGCGGGTTCTTCTCGTGGCTGCCGTTGGCCTTGATCCATTTCTGGATGCGCGCGTCGCGTTCCTCGATCGTCTTGATGCAGTCATTGTACTGGCGGTCCTTCTCGGCGATCTCGTCCTGGATGAAGCGGATCTCCTCGGGCAGGTTGGCAACGCGATGCGTCCAGTCGTCCAGGATCATGGACGGGTCCAGGTTCTCGACCGGCGGCATGTTTTTGACGAAGTCGATGGACAAGTCGTCTCTAGGCATCGTGTCAACAGCAAGCTCATAATAGGAGCTGGTGGCTGATGCAGGTTATGTATGGGGTAGAGTTGAAGATGGTGAAGAGAGTCAACAGACACATGCCTAACCCGCACGTGGGAGAAGGAAGCTATCTATGTGTAATAGTAGTAGTGGGTTGACGTGACGTGCCCGTGGCTCGATTTCCTCCAATTTTTTTCGCGGCTCGCAGCGGCAAGAGACGATGGAAAAGAACACAGGGGTCTTGCATATAAAATTGGAGTGGCTCACCAGCGATGCTGACGCTATGTGCTAGGCGCAGTGTGGACAAGGCACGGCCCAGAAAAAAACCAGGCGCACCGGCTGGGCAGTGACCAAGCCGCGAGCAGAGAATACCCGGGGTCCCGGCTCCGCAGGAATGACACAGGACAGGATTTGATGTGCGGGGAGAGAGTCCAGTCGGCTGAAACAGAAGGTCGTACGTAGTGAGAGCCCAGCTCTAGGGACACGAGGAAGGAGATGACCGAGGGGCCGGCTCTGACGGGCAACGAAGACTTGATGGCTAGAGGGAGTCGTCGGTTGCGTCAGCCGATGAACCTCTGGCCCAGGTCGCAGAAAAAAAAAGGTGGAGAGGGAAGGCGGAGAGAATGATAAGACCAGCCCGGCAGACACGAGTCGAGATGATGGAATGTCCAGTCGTGAAGGATAACCTTAGAACAGGAGCGAAGAAGGACTTGCCCTGGAGGATTGTCCCGCTCCCCGTGATCAAGTCGGCAGGAGTCCCTTACTGCGCTTGTGGCGTTGTGACAAATCACACGAGGCAGAAGAGGCAGCGGGTTGTTGGCCGAAGTTGATAAGACGCTTCGACCAGACAGAAAGAAGACTCTAGACGGAAGTTTGGCTTCAGCCTTGACCACACACACACACACACACCCACAGCGTTGACAGCCGCCCACTGACCAATCGAGCGCGAGGCTGGAGCAGGGAGTCCCCACAGGAACCTGCGCACTGCTGCTAATGCCAATTCGGCCTAGTGTGGCAACCAACCGCTTAGTCGATTCCATGTCACTCGAGCTTTCAAGATGTTCGTTCCCTTTTCTGGAATCTCATTTTCATCTCAACTGTCTTCTGCATCTAATCTCGGAATCAAACCAATTATCTTGGAGCACAGACGCGTTACACTACTTGCATCGTGTTAAGGGCCCAGAATACCGATACTGCATCCTTATTAAGAGGTACTCCCGGCCTGAACCGTCTTAAATTCTTAGACCACCATCATCACAAGGGCTGGACGCGTGCCCTGACGCCGCTCGCCGGCAAGCATCATGGAGCCAGACCCCAGCAATCCTTACCGCTACCGGGTGCCTCGGCCGAACTACCTGCCTCACAACTTCGAGGCCGACTACCCTGTCGTCAAGGAGCACCATGTGTCCCTGGGTGTGGCCCCCGAGGCGGAAAACGCTGCTTTCTTCAAGAAGATGAAGCGTCAAGCCGAGATCAGCAACATCACCAGGCCAAAGGGCTACAACGTCTCCTTCCACTACCAGCCCGAGATGGAGAAGCACCACTTCGGCCAGACGCATCCTATGAAGCCCTGGCGCCTGACCCTGACCAAGAGCTTGGTCATGTCCTACGGCATGAACTTTGCCATGGACAACTACACGCCGCGCGCCGCCACATACGAGGAGCTACGGGACTTCCACACCCAGGACTACCTAGACTTCCTTGCCACCGTCGCGCCGGAGCCCGTCCCGAGGGACCTTGACAACCATAACCCGGATCTCAAGTTCAACTTGGGAGGCTCCGACTGCCCGCTGTTCGAGGGCCTGTTTGACTACTGCTCCATGTCCGGCGGCGTATCCCTCGACGCCGCGCGCAAGATCTGCAACAAGGAGTCGGACATCGCCATCGCCTGGGGAGGCGGCCTGCACCACGCAAAAAAGTCGGAGGCCTCGGGCTTCTGCTACATCAACGACATCGTCCTCGCCATCCTGCAGCTGCTGAGGCACCACCCCCGCGTCCTCTACATCGACATCGACGTCCACCACGGCGACGGCGTCGAGGAGGCCTTCTTCTCTACCGACCGCGTCATGACCTGCTCCTTCCACAAGTACGACCCGCTCAACTTCTTCCCGGGGACGGGCGGCCTGGACGACAACGGCCCCAAGAACGAGCACAACCCGGGCGCCCACCACGCCATCAACGTGCCGCTCAACGACGGCATCACCGACGAGCAGTACGCCTGGCTCTTCCAGAGCGTCATCGGCAAGATCGTCGAGAAGTTCCGCCCCACGGCCATCTGCCTGCAGTGCGGCGCCGACTCGCTCGCCGGCGACCGCATCGGCCGCTTCAACCTGCAGGTGCAGGGCCACGGCGCCTGCGTCGAGTACGTCAAGGGCCTGGGCCTGCCCATGATCATCTTCGGCGGCGGCGGGTACACGCCGCGCAACGTGGCGCGCGCCTGGGCGTACGAGACGGCCGTCGCCATCGGCTGCCAGGGCCGGATCGACCCCGTCATCCCGCAGCACACCGTCTGGCGCGAGCACTTCCGGCAGGAGTCGCTGCTGCCGTCGCTGGAGCAGATCGTTGGGGAGCCGCGCCAGAACCGCAACACCCAGAAGCGTCTGCAGGACGTCATCCAGCACGTGCACGAGCAGCTGCGCTTCGTCAACCAGGCCCCCAGCACGCAGTACCAGGTCATCCCGCCCGACCTGGGCGGCGTCCGGCGCGACGTCGAGCAGGCCATCCAGGAGGAGAGGCGGGAGAAGAACGACGCGGCGAGGAGGATACAGGAGGAGGGCGTCGGCGTGGCTATGGAGTATTAAAAAGGGGTGGGGGGGGGAAACCGGTAACGGGAGGCCATCATCCCATCATGAAATACGGAATCTGATTATACGACGTCACGATGAATCTGTGGGGGGCTTGCGATGAAAGAATCGATACGGGGACGGATACGAAAAGAACTACTGGAAAATATCGCAAGCACTTTCCGCTATGGCCTTTTGCTAATGCAGAGAAATGCAAGAGAAGAAAGCAACTCTGAACGCTCATCAGACGCAATACATGCTTGATGCTATCCCCTCCGCCCAAAACAAAACAAGAAATAGCTTCCCGAGCATCGCGAGCTTTCATCATTCTCCACCCCGGATGGCAAAAGCGTGCTCCGCCTCGCGCTCCAGCAGCGCCCGCCGGATGGCCCTGCTCCGGATGCCCACGTACATGACCAGCACGACGCCCACCGCGAGCCCGACGGCCATGAGGCCGACGTTGACCGGCCTCGGGTCGCCGCGGAAGGTCTCGTGGAACAAAAAGTCGAGGCCCGACTGCGAGAAGTTGAGCAGGCCCGACAGGCAGATGATGGTGCCGTAGACGGTGCCGAAGGTGCGGAAGCCGAAGACCTTGGCGGTGTAGTCGGACACGGCGGTGTAGTAGAAGGGGCGGTAGAGCACGAAGAGCGCGACGTTGGCGTAGGCGGCCCACATGTAGGGCAGGACGCCGAGGACGCCGATGGCGGTGGCGACGGTGACGAGCGTGCAGAGGACGGCCAGGGTGGAGAAGCGGTCGAGGACGGTGCCGATGAAGGGGATGGAGAGGATGCCGCCCAGCGGCAGGGCGAGGTCGAAGAAGTTGTTGATCCGGATGGCCTTGGCGCGGGAGTGGAAGATGGCCTCGTACTGCGGGCGGATGGTGGCGACGAAGTAGTTGATGCGGGTCATTTGCACGACTTTATAGGGAAAAGGGAAAAAAAGTTAGCAAGGGGGGGGGGGGGGGGGGGGGGGGGGGGAA